CAACTGTACTGTAGTTTTTCTAGCCAAAAACACTGTTTTCTGGCCAAAAATATAGTGTTTTTCACGTTTTTTGGCCAATTTCTTGCACTTTTTGTTTTTAGTTCAATTAATTTTGGCCAAAAAATGGTCTTACCGTAGTAATCCTGGCCTGCAATTTCCGCTTGTCGTTAAATCCCTTTTCCTCGATTTGATAAGAGAAGATTTGAACGTCTATTGCGACCAAAGAATTTTGGTTTTACGACACTCCGCATTTACGACCCCCCTCTTTTTTTGCATCGCTTTTTATATGGCTAGTGGTTTTTGAGGTGTGAAAAATGGTTTTAAAAGTTTAATCAATGATCAAGAATCTCTAGTGCTACAGTAATCCTTTTGGGTTACTGTAGGGGAATTTTTTGGAGATTTGTGGATCAGGAAATAGAGGTTTTTCTAGAACATGTGACAGAGGTTACTGTAGGTTTTTAGGATCTACAGTAATCTGAGACGCTACAGTAACCTGTCTACAACTTATTGTTTTGTACAGTAATCTAATCTACAGTATGACCATAGACCTCTGGAATTTTGGAGTCTTGAATATTTTTGCCAGAAGATATGAGACCTGAGATACAGTAATCTGAGACGCTACAGTAGTCTTTTTGGAGTTTTTGAGATTTTTCTACTAGAGAAGTTCATTGTGATCTACAGTAACCCTACAGTAATCCCTGGATTTTAGCTATGATGATTTGGAAAATTCACAATTTTGAGCTACAGTATCCTGAAAACAGTTTGGTGTCTACAGTAATCCTAGATTTTTTTTTGAAAAAAAAATTTACTGTTTCAAAGTTTTTACATCACCCAACTGTCTGGCTGGTCTACAGTAATACGATGCTGTCTACAGTACTCATGAACCTTTGAAATTTAGATTACTGTAGGTACAGTATCGAGAATAATGCAGATCTTTTGATGATTCCTAAAATAAATTTTTTTATCAAATCAAAGTCTCCTGCACTTTTCGGTCACACACCTACAGTACCCACCTATTTCTCGTCAAGACCCGATCTACAGTACCCTCCAGAATCCCTGCAAGACCATTAAACCAAAACCTTTCTGCAAAAAAAAAGGAACTTTTGGTCAAGGCTATATTTTTCTTCTATATTGTCCATCTGCCAGCCAGCCCCTTGTTGTGTTTCAAAACGGACGATTTTTCATGATTCTCCTATTTTTCCGAAAATCTTCTTTTCTTCTCTTCTCTATTGATACCGTATCACTTTGGTAATTTATCTTTCTCTTCTTTTTTGGGGGGTTGTGACGTAGTAATTTCCGGGAACTTTGTACGTCACAGTACTATTTTTTGTTGGTTTTGGCGCCAGAAAGTCGGTTTTGAACGGTTTTTGTACGAATTTTTTCGATCAAGGTAGAGATTTTTTGGACGGGTCTTGTAGAAATTGATACGCTGATGCGCGGTGCGGAAAAATAGGCGCGGAAGCTTGCGGAAGGCTTACCCGCTTTGCGGAAGAGTCCACAGGTGGACTCGAACCCGCCACCTTTCAATCAGTGACTTGGGTACTTACCGCCTACACCATTCTGCAAGATTTTGGGACCTCTGAGCCAAGTTCTGGGCTCTCAAAAGTTCGAAAATTGCCGAAATTGGCTCATAAAAGTTAGCATAACTCAATTTTTGATGATTATTGTGAGAAAAAGTATTAATAAATTGAAATTTCATGAATTTTCAGCCGAAAAATAAAAAAATTCAAAATTTTTTTCCTGAAAATTCAATTTATTGATTCTTTTTGCGTAAATCTGAAACTTGATTTCTCCCAAAAAAATTTTGAAATTTGAATTTTGAGCAATTTTTTGACCTGAAATTCGAATTTCCCATCAAATTTTGACCCCGGAAACTTTGAAACAGTGAAAAATTCTTACTCTCAAAATTTTTTTTTAATTCCTGTAGTCCAAAAAAGCCTAGATTTACTATAGTTTAACATGAGCAATCCACATATGTTCCTTTGAATTACTGTAGGCTCAATTTAAAAAAAATGAACATTAATGATAATGATAACCCCCGAAGATTTTGAAAATTTTGTGACTTATCGTATCTTTTGTGTGACGTAGACATTGTGTGCGTCGAAAATAATTTTCGACCTACGCCTGACCATCATTTCATTACATTTCATCTTCTTCTTTCTTAATTTGCCCTATCTTTTTTTCATCGTCTTTTAAGCGAGAAACGATTTTTGCTGTGATGCATGAAGAAAGCAAATTTCTGTTGTTGGTATTACACTTTTGGCGCCAACAAATATACACATACACGCAATTAAGAATAAAAAAAAGAAGAATGAAATGTGTTAAAGTTTTTCGCTTTTGTCATCATTGTTTGATTTGAATTTATATGATATAGTTAGAGGAAGTCACCTTTTTTCACGTTGTTTTGGTCAAATTTGGATTTTGGGGGATTTTCTCTGCGTCTCTAATCAGATTCTGGTTGTCTGGAGGGTCCTCTGCGTCTCTAACCTAATTCTGGTCATCTGGAGGTTCCTCTGCGTCTCTAGCTTGGTATCTGGTTGTCTGGAGGTTTTTCTGCGTCTCTAACCATATTCTAGTTGTCTTTTAGTTTGGTTTTCCTCTACGTCTCTAGCTTCTGTAGTCTCTGGTCGTCTGAAGGCTCCTCTGCGTCTCTGACTGGATCCTGGTCTGTAGGTTTTCTAGTTTTTCTCTACGTCTCTAGCTTCTGTTTTCTCTAGTCGTCTGAGCTCTGATCTACGTATCAATGACAGGCTTTCTCTGCATCTCTAATGAGATTTCTAGTGGTCTGGAGGTTCCTCTGCGTCTCTAGTGAGGTTTCTAGTCGTCTAGAGGTTCCTCTGCGTCTCTGACTGGATCCTGGTTGTCTGGGGTTCCTCTGCGTCTCTAGTTTAGTTTCTAGTCGTCTGGAAGTGTCTCTGCGTCTCTAGCCAGATTCTGGTTGTCTGGAGTTTTCTCTGCGTCTCTGACTAGATTTTAGTTGTCTGGAGGCTCCTCTGCGTCTCTGACCAGAACCTAATTGCCTAGTTGTATACTCTGCGTCTCTAACACATATCAGGTTCTCTGGTTGTCTATAGGTTCTCTACGTCCCTAACATCTATAGCTATACTCTGGTCATCTGGACCTAACCGTCTAGCAGTATGATTTCATTTTCTCTGCGTCTCTGACCTCATTAATCAACCCCAATACATCATATACCAAAAAAACTAGAATTTTCTTAAATTTATCTCTGCGTCTCTCACTCTCTCACCCCCTAATTCCTTAAATTTTAAAGAAAAAAGTTTATGTTTCAATGATCAAGATGTTTTTCATTTTTCTGCAATTTGACCAACATCAGACACTTGTCACATATAAAAAACTTGATCAAAATTAATCGGAGAATAATTATTTTAGAATTAGAACTGATGACTCATGTTATACTAGAAAAGTTTCCCAGAATTTTTTCTGTTTCAAAAAATTGTCTGTGAGGAAATTGCGCAATTTTATCCGATTTTTTTGACGGAATTTGGGAATTTTTTGGCGATTGAATCGCGATTTTATCGATTTCTAGCTTTTTTCGCATTTTTTTGAATAAGAAAATTTGGATTTTTTCTTTTTCTATGAAAAAAATGTAAGAAAATAATCGGATTTTTGGGTTGAGTGAATTTTCGAAACTGTTTTTTCTTGTCCTATTTTTTTCTTGCAAAAAAACTTTGCTGTTTCATAGATCACTTTTGAAAAAAAAAACGTTTTTTTCGAGTTCAAAAGTTTGTGTGAATTAATATTTGTTTTAGAGCTAACATAAAATTTTTGAAAGTTTTTTGTGTGTAGGTTGAACTTTAGCTCTAGATTTTGGCCCAGGAATTTTGGGAAAATTAAAAATTTTGAACCCTGATTTTTCCCGCCGGAAATTGAGCTACTGTAGATCTTCCCAGGATTTTTTCCCGCCAAAATTAGGTTTTCAAAATTGTTTTGTAGATCAAATTTTGGCGCGCTAAAATTTGATCTACTGAAATTTCTGGAATTTTTTCAGGCCAAAAATTAGAGCTACAGTAATCCTATAAATTTAGCCGAAATTTTTTGAATTTTTTCACCTGAAAATCTAAATTTTCAATCTGAAATTCAAGTTTTTTCCTGAAATTCGCTGGAATCAAAAAAACAAAAAAAGTTCTTCTTATCTCATTTATTTTCTCTCAAAACTAACTTTAGTTACGTCAATCAGAGATAGTTTGTCTTCTCCCAATTTTCTCTGATTTTTCTTGATTTTTTTTTGATTTTGTCCAATTTTTCTGGAAAAATTACCTAGAAACTCATAAATTAGACCATTTTCTCTATCTATATAAATTCTGAAATTTCAGAAAAATTTCTAGTTTTCTCCCCAAATAAAAATTGTCTTCTTCTTTTTGTTTTGTTTTGTTTAACTAGTTTTTTTTTTTGGCTGAAAATTGAAAATTTTCTGTTGTTTTATTGTTTTTTTTTTTATTTTTTAGCATTTTGTTTCATTAAAACCCCCTTTGGACTAATTTTTGGAGGAGTACTGTAGATCAAGATTTGGCGCCAAAAATTAGGGTTTACACGCTGTTTTTCAGGGATTACTGTATCTCTAATTTTCGCGCCAAAATTCTGAATTTCAGGATTATTTTCTAGGAGTACTGTAGATCAAAATTTGGCGCCAAAATTCTGAATTTCAGGATTATTTTCTAGGAGTACTGTAGGTCTACATTTTCACGCAAAAATTCTGATTTTCAGGATTATTTTCTAGGAGTACTGTAGAGGGTTTTGGCGCCAAAATTTTGAATTTCAGGATTAGTACTGTAGGTCTACATTTTTGACATCGAAATTTTGAAACGTATTTTTCTCTGGCGCCAAAAAATCCTCCCACATTATTTTTTCCAATAAAAAAATATTTATTATTTTTTCTTTCTCTCTGAAAATCTTTTCTATAATCTTTTCTAGGATTTTCTCATTCTCTTTCTTTTTTTTATTTTTTCTGAAATTCTCTGAAATTTTTTGTGTCTTCTAGAATGATTCTAAACATTTCACAACTTGAAAATGAGCATCCGACAACTTCGACAAAAATTTCGATCAATGAATATCCCATGGTGCATTTTTCACCCAAAAGAGCGATGCGGCTGAAAAAATTGGAATCGGAAGAGTTGGAGGAAGTTGAGGAGGATTTTGAAGATCAGGAGATCCCCAGGGGCTCAAAATCTACACGATCTTCATGCAGTTCTAAAGATTCGGGATATATTGGATCAAATTCGCCGAGAAGAAGTCGTGATGGATCAATGGCTAGTTCTATAACTACAATTCGAATCGATCGGAATGTTCAGAAAAATAAGAAGTTCGATGAGAAAAGTGAGAATGCGTCGGAATCGAGTTTTTCGTCGATTTCATCGACGGCTTCCAAAATTTTGAGCCAAGCGGCGAATTGTTTGATTTTGATGACGAAGAGGAATGGATGGAGTTATGGTAACTTATTGGAAAAAAAAATGAGAGAGAGGGGGGCCTGGGAGGTCTAAAATATAAAAAATTTGAGATTTTTAGAGATTTCTAGAAGTTCCCTGAATTTTCTGGTTGAATTTGGGTTTTCTGAAAATTACAGATGAATTTTCAAGGTTTTCGAAATTTTCAAAAAAATTTTCCTATAACTTATATCGAAAAACAAGTATCAAATTCAATTTTTCTTCCAAAAATTTATGAAATTTTTGAAACAGTAGATTTTTTTTGTGAAAAATAACTCTATTGACAATGAAATATCAAATTCAATTTTTTTCATCCAAAAATTTACGAAATTTTTGAAACAGTAGATTTTTAATGAATTTTTTATGTTTTCTTTAATCAATTTCATTTTTTATTCCAAAAATTTATGAAATTTTTGAAACAGTAGATTTTTTTGTGAAAAATAACTCTATTGACAATGAAATATCAAATTCAATTTTTTTCAAAAAAATTTATGAAATTTTTGAAAAAGTGGATTTTTTGTGAATTTATTCATTGGATTATTCAATCAACCGAAATCAATTTTTCATCAGAAAATTTATGAAATTTTTGGAACGTAAATTTTTTTTGTGAAAAGTTACTTGAGACTTCCATGGAAATATCAAATTCACTTCTTTTTCAAAAAAATTTATGAAATTTTTGAAACAGTAGATTTTTTATAAATTCCTTTTTGATGTTACGATAAACGGAAATAATTTTTTCATCAGAAAATTCATGAAATTTTTGAAACAGTAGATTTTTTGTGACAAAATAACTCTATTAAAGTACCAATTTCAATTTTTTTTCCAAAAATTTATGAAATTTCCAAAAATTTATGAAATTTTTGAAACAGTAGATTTTTTTTTGTGAAATTATTGATTGTAAAAAATTAGTCTATGGAAGTATCAAATTCAATTTTTTCTTCGAAAAATTTATGAAATTCTTGAAACAGTAGATTTTTTAAATGTTTTCTTTGATCAATTTCATTTTTCCCCCAAAAATTTATGAAATTCTTGAAACAGTAGATTTTTTTTGTGAAATTATTTTGATTGTGAAAAATTATCAGAGTTGTCTATATTGAAAACATTAAATTCAATTTTTTTTTTTCAAAAATTTATGAAATTTTTGAAACAGTAGATTTTTTTTATGAATTTATTCATTGGATTCATCGATCAACCGAAATCAATTTTTCATTAGAAAATTCATGAAATTTTTGAAACGTAATTTTTTTTGTGACATTTTTCAATGTTTTCTTTGATCAATTTCATTTTTTCCCCCGAAAATTTATGCATTTCTTGAAACAGTAAATTTTTTGGGATATTTATATTGGGATTCACCAATCAATTTCAATTTTTCTTACAAACATTCATGAAATTTTTGAAACAGTAGATTTTTTTTGTGAAATTATTTTGATTGTGAAAAATTACTGTTATGGAAATATCAAATTCGATTTTTTATCCAAAAATTCGAAAAAATTCCGGAAACAGCCTTGAATGATCTATCAAGTTCCCAAATTGTTCTCCAAAAATTCATTTATTCTCTGAAACAGTGAATTTTTTTGCAGCCGGCGGACCAGCTGACGAAGGAAAAGGTGGACAATTAGACGGACAATCATGGACGACTGCAATTCAGGCCGCATTAATGCCAGTCACACCACAATCAAGTGTTGGTGGAAAAAATATGGCGAAGTTGAAAGTTCCGATGGAAGGTTGGTGGATTTGGGGATTTTTGACCACAAAATTATGAAATTTTGGAATTTTTCATGTTTTTTGACCTAAAATTGTGGTTAAATTTTGAGAGAACAGGAAAAATAAGATAATAACAATTCTGAAAAAATCAACACATTTTCCAGAATTTTTGAAACAGTAGTTTTTTCATAGAAAAATTCAAAACAATTTTCCTGTCTCAAACATGTTTCTGGTCATTTTGACATGAAAATTTGGAATTTTTCATTGAAATTCATGATTCTTGACCTTAAGTTGAGAAAAATTAATTTTGAGAATTCGAAAAATGCCATAATAAGATTTCTGAAAAAATCAAAACATTTTCCAGAATTTTTGAAACAGTAATTTTTTCATAGAAAAATTCAAGTTTTTTTCTGACTCAAAATTGTCCAGAAAACATGTTTTTAGCCTATTATTATCTGAAAATTTGGAATTTTTCATTGAAATTGATGATTTTCAACCTGAAATTGGGGAACAACGAAGTCAGTAATTTGATAAGAACAATTCTGAAAAAATCAAAAAATTTTGCCCAAATTTTGAAACAGTAAAATTTAATGAAAATACCGATTGTTACAATTTTATTTTCAAAATTATATTTTGAAGTTTTGAAACAGTAATTTTTTAGAGAAAAAAGGTATTAGTCTTAAAATTATCCAAAAATCAAGATTTTTGGCTATTTTTTATTTGAAAATTCGAGATTTTCTATCAAAAATTGTGTTTTTCCACCTGAAATTGACCAAAAATCAAGATTTTCGAGAATTTCCCATTTTTCACGTCATCAACCTATTTTTTATCAAAAATTTATCAAAGTGATAAATAATATCTTTTTCTTTTTCTCTCTCTGTTTTTTTACACTTTGAACGATTTTTTTCTGCAGAAAAAATGGTTCCAGAACACTTGGAGAATTGGGCGAACTTTTTGGGGATTTTTTTGCAAAAAAAAATTATAGAAAAATTTACTGTTTCAAGAATTTTTGAGAAATTTGGGGGTTTAAAAATGTAATAATCCATCGGAAAATAATGTGCAACTTTTTTCTCCCGAAAAAAATCACTGTTTCAGAGATTTTTTGAAGTTTGGAGATTTAAAAAATGTACTAATATATCGCAAATCAACGTGCAACTTTTTTCTCACAAAAAAAATTCACTGTTTCAAAAATTCTAGGAATTTTTCTTGATTTCTGGAAATTTTGATTAAACAGGATTTTTTTAATCAGGAAAAAAAATTAATTTTCGATTTTTTCTCCCGAAAAAATTCACTGTTTCAGAAATTATTGGAAGATTTGAGGATCTTTTGTAATTTTTAATGAACTTCCTATCTTCAGTTCAGAAAATTAACAAAACAAAATTGATTTTCAATTTTGAAAAAAATTCACTGTTTCAAAAAATTCCAGAAAATTTTCAATTCTGAAATTATTTTCAATATGTAAAATAATCTGTTCTTCAAAATTTCTGAATGAAAAAAATCACAGAATTTTCGTACCCGAATATTTTACGTTTCAAAAAATCCCGAAAAAATTTTCAAAATTCTTTTTTTGCAGGCGAAAAAGGTCACCTGGGAGCCCACATTCAAACCGAACAAGAATTTTCGCAACTCTATCAAATTTTCGCCGAAGAAATATTGGGAAGTGGACAATTTGGCACAGTTTATGGTGGAATTCACCGGAAATCTGGACAACATGTGGCTGTGAAATTGATTGATAAATTGAAATTTCCGCCGAATAAGGAGGATTTGTTGAGGGTGGAAGTCAATATTTTGCAGGTATGGTTGAAGTACTATACTAATCTTGGAGAGTACTGTAGGGCAGGGAAAAATTAATTGATTTTTTTTGAAGAAAAAAATATGTCAATATCTGCGAATTTCTCAAAAAAAAATTATACATTTTTTGAAACAGTAGATTTTTTTTATCATAAACAAATTTTTAATGTCAAAAATTCCAACAACAAAAAATATAGCAGTTTTGAAACAGTGAATTTTTCAAATTAATTTTCAAAATATGGAATCAATTTTCAAAAAATTCCTCTAAAAATTATGAAATTTTTGAAACAGTAGAATTTTTATCCAACAAAAAAATGTGCCAGGCTTGCAAAAATTAGGCCACGCCCACTTTTTTCTGTAATTTTTTTGATCAAAAATGCAGAATTTGAATTATTCAAACTGATCTTCCCTTCAACGTTGAAAATTCCAAAGCCAAACAATTATAAATTTTTTGAAACAGTAGAATTTTTTTTAGAAAAAATGAAAAAACACAGAGTTTTGGAATTGAATTTCAAAAATTCCTCCAAAAATTATGAAATTTTTGAAACAGTAGATTTTTTCATCGAATAAAAATGTGCCAGGCTTGCAAAAAATTAGGCCACGCCCACTTTTTCTGTAATTTTTGGAATTGAAATGCAGAATTTAAATTTTTAAAAGTGGATCGTTGTTTTAACATTGAAAATTACAAAGCCAAAAATTTATGATTTTTTTGAAACAGTGGATTTTTTTTTTGAAAAAAATTTAGAGGTAAAATTTTTCATCATAAACTTATGGTCAATGTCAAAAATTCCAACCACAAAAATTTATGGTTTTTTTGAAACAGTAGAATTTTTATCGAATAAAAACTATGCCAGGCCCGCAAAAAATCAGGCCACCCCAAATTTTTCTAAGAATTTAATTTGGAATAAAATTTCCAAAGATCCTCCAAAAATTATAAAATTTCTGAAACAGTGGAATTTTTTAAATTAATTCTTAACGTAAATTTTAACATTTGGAATTAAATTTCAAAAATTCCTCTAAAAATTATGAAATTTTTGAAACAGTAGATTTTTTGTTCAATAAAAACTATACTAGGCTTGCAAAAAAGAATACAGTACCCCTCTCATGTCTACAGTACCCCTCCAAAATTTCTCCTATTTTGCAGCAAGTCCATCACCACGGCGTCGTTCATTTCCTCCAAATGCTCGAAACCACCGATCGAATTTTCGTGGTAATGGAAAAATTGAAAGGCGACATGTTGGAAATGATATTATCCAGTGAAAAAGGCCGATTATCCGAGAGAACTACACAATTCCTGGTTGCCCAAATTTTGGAAGCTCTGCGATATTTGCATCATTTGAATATTGTACACTGTGATTTGAAACCCGAAAATATTCTGCTGACTTCGAACAGCGATTTTCCGCAAGTGAAGCTGTGTGATTTTGGTTTTGCCAGGATAATTGGCGAGAAGAGTTTTCGGCGGAGTGTCGTTGGAACACCGGCATATTTGGCGCCAGAAGTTTTGCGAAATAAAGGTTTCAATCGAAGTTTGGATATGTGGAGTGTTGGAGTTATTGTCTATGTTTCACTATCCGGAACTTTTCCATTCAATGAAGATGAGGATATTAATGATCAAATTCAAAATGCCGAATTTATGTATCCCGCACAACCGTGGAAAGAGATTAGCGAGACTGCAATTGAATTTATCAATGGATTGTTGCAGGTGAAAATGAGCAAACGGTTTACGGTGTCGAAAGCGTTGTCGCATATTTGGATGCAGGTTAGGAACAGGGTTTTGGGGAAAATTGACCTTAATTTAGGTCAGTTTGGAGACTTTTTTTGACCTTAAACCTTAAATTCCTTAAAAATTGATCTAAATTTAGGTTATTTTTGGGAGTTTTTTGACCTTAAAAAGAGTATTTTATCAAATTTTCAAAAAAAAATTATCAAAACTTCTAGAATTTTTGAAACAGTGAACATTTTTCTTGAAAAATATTTATAAATATTTCACTGTTTCAAAAATTCAATATTTTTTCGGGGAAATTTTATATTCATTCGGGGAAAAAATAATTGAACGTTTTTTTTGGAAAAAATTTTACAAAAGTCAAAATTCATCGAAAACTTGGAAAACTGTCGAATTTTCAAGATTTTTTTGAAACAGTGGAAATATTTTTGGAAAAAAAAATTGTTTTTTTTTTTGAAAAAATTGTTTTTTCTAAATTTTGGGGATTTTTCGATCACAAAAAATTCACTGTTTCAAAAATAATTTACAATTTTTGTGGGAAATTTTAGAATTCGCTGTGAGCTTTGCTAGTGCCATTCGAAAATTATGAAGAAATCAGAGATTTTACAAATTTCCACCCAAAAATCTCTAATTTTTTCCAGCGCTACCTAAATTTGACCTTAAATTCACTAAAAATTTACCAAAATTTAGGTTATTTCTGATACTTGTTTGACCTGAAATTAACCGAATTTCACGCTGAGATGAGTAGAACGTTATCAAATTTTTAAAAAATTATCAAAGTTTCCAAAATTTTTGAAACAGTGAACATTATTCTCGAAAAATCTTTGAAAGTTTGTTAAATTTTTCACTGTTTCAAAAATTTTATATTTTTTTCGGTGAAATTCAGATAATTGATACTTAATTTGGTGATTTTCAATAAAAGTAAAAATCAAAGCTTTTAAAAAATCATTAAATTTTCCGGAATTTTTTGAAACAGTAAAAAATTGTGGAAACTTTTCATGTTCAAAATTTTTTTTGAAAATTTTTCACTGTTTCAAAAATTTTATATTTTTTCTGGTGAAATTTGATGCCAAATTGAAAACCCATCAAAAACTTGGAAAAATGTCGAATTTTCAAGATTTTTTTGAAACAGTGAAAATATTTTTAAGTTAAAAATATTTTTTTTTCTGAAAAAATTGGTTTTGAACTAATTTTGAGGATGTTTTGAATACAAAAACTTTACTGTTTCAAAAATAGTTTACAATTTTTGTGTGAAATTTTGTAATTCGCTGTAAGCTTTGCTAGTGCCATTCAAAAATTATGAAGAAATCAAAGATTTGTCAGATTTCCACCCAAAAATCCCCAAATTTCTTCCAGCGCTACCTAAATTTGACCTTACATTCACTAAAAATTTACCCAAATTTAGGTAATTTCTGATACTTTTTTGACCTGAAATTAACCGAATTTCACGCTGAGATGAGTAGAACGTTATCAAATTTTTAAAAAATTATCAAAGTTTCCAAAATTTTTGAAACAGTGAACATTATTCTCGAAAAATCTTTGAAAGTTTGTTAAATTTTTCACTGTTTCAAAAATTTTATATTTTTTTCGGTGAAATTCAGATAATTGATACTTAATTTGGTGATTTTCAATAAAAGTAAAAATCAAAGCTTTTAAAAAATCATTAAATTTTCCGGAATTTTTGAAACAGTAAAAAATTGTGGAAACTTTTCATGTTCAAAATTTTTTTGAAAATTTTTCACTGTTTCAAAAATTTTATATTTTTTCTGGTGAAATTTGATGCCAAATTGAAAACCCATCAAAAACTTGGAAAAATGTCGAATTTTCAAGATTTTTTTGAAACAGTGAAAATATTTTTAAGTTAAAAATATTTTTTTTTTTCTGAAAAAATTGGTTTTGAACTAATTTTGAGGATGTTTTGAATACAAAAACTTTACTGTTTCAAAAATAGTTTACAATTTTTGTGTGAAATTTTGTAATTCGCTGTAAGCTTTGCTAGTGCCATTCAAAAATTATGAAGAAATCAAAGATTTGTCAGATTTCCACCCAAAAATCCCCAAATTTCTTCCAGCGCTACCTAAATTTGACCTTACATTCACTAAAAATTTACCCAAATTTAGGTAATTTCTGATACTTTTTTGACCTGAAATTAACCGAATTTCACGCTGAGAGGAGTAGAATATTATCAAATTTTTAAAAAATTATCAAAGTTTCCAAAATTTTTGAAACAGTGAACATTTTTCTCGAAAAATCTTTGAAAATTTGGAAAATATTCCACTGTTTCAAAAATTTCATATTTTTTCGAGGAAATTTTTGGAAATTTGATAATTGTGTTAGTAGAACTATGAAATTTCGGTGAAAAATGGGCGTGGCCTAATTTTGTTCTTGCAAACCTGGCACAGTTTTTATTCAACTGTAGAATTTGCAATTAATTTTGATAATTGAAATTTGAAATTTATCGAAAATTTTGAAAAATGTCGAATTTTCAAGATTTTTTGAAACAGTGAAAAATTTTGGAAATGTTTTTATGTTCAAAATTTTTTTTCAATATTCCACTGTTTCAAAAATTTTATATTTTTTCGGGGGAATTTTAGAAATTTGATATTAGTCGTGGTGTCAATAACGATTTTTTAACCAGAAAATATGTGTTGGAGTTTTTTTTTCGATCACAAAAAATTCACTGTTTCAAAAATAATTTACAATTTTTGTGGGAAATTTGGACATAATCAACAACCTCTATTCCCAATAAACGTCAAAAATCTTGAAAAAATTCAAATTCCCACCAAAAAATCCCCAAATTTCTTCCAGCGCTACACCTTGTGGTCAGATTTGCGAGTTCTCGAAAAACAAGTTGGCGAAAGATATGTGACACATGAAAGTGATGATCCGAGATGGAAAGAATATGAAAGAGATAACAATTTGACACCAGTTTATGTGTAGTTTTCCCCCATTTTTGTAGTTTTTCCAAGAAATCCGCTCAAAAATGTCTTTTTCCCCCTTTATTTTCCCTTTTATCAACAAAAAATGGTCGATTTTTCACTGACGGGCCCCCACTTTTTTTCTCATTTTTTTTGTGTAAATTTTCAAAGTTTTTCGTCTAGTCTTTTTTATTTTAGAATAGTAGATTTCTTACATTCCTTTCCCTGATTTTTATTGCATTCCACACAAATTTTCTGATAGTTTTTTCACATATCATTTTTTTTGCATTAATTTTATCCCCGTTTTTTTCTGAGATTTTGTGAACTTTCTTTGGTTTTTTCTTTTTTCTGGAAAATAAAAAATATTGTTTTTTTTTTATATTTAGCGACAAAAAATTGAGCCAGGAAAAATTTGGGATATTTTTGAAACAGTGAGGTTTTTCAGATATTCAAATCCACAAAACCAATAAAAAATTCAGTTTCTTATAAAATTTATAGATTTTTTGAAACAGTGAAAATTTTAGCTTCTAATTTTAATTTCTCATTCACTTGGATCAAAAAAATTGACGTCTCCAAATTATTATGAATTTTTTGAAACAGTAAATTTTTTTATTTTTAATTAATTAATTTTTGTTCAGAAATCCACGTGGATTTTTAGAATTAGTTAAATTTGTGAAATTTATTGATTTTTGTCAACCGAGAGAAGACAGCTTAACTAAGTTCAAATATTTCTCAAAAAATCATAAATTTTTTGAAACAGTGAAAATTTCCCATAAAAAAATACGAAATTTGTCAGAGAGGTGGAAAATAAAAAATGCACTGTTTCAGAAATTCTTGGAATTTTGAGGAGTTTTTGGGAATTTCAAGACGTGTTCAGTAGAATACAGAAAAATCAACAACAAAAATTCAGGTTGAAATTGATTTTCAACTTCGAGAGAAAAAATTCACTGTTTCAAAACGAAATTGCTGAAACAATTTTTCATAGGCAAAATGGGAGAACGTGAATTGAAAAAAATTGGGATTATTTTGAAACAGTCAAATTTCTCAGCTGAAATAAATTGATTCTCGAAGAAACAAAAAAATTTATATTTATTTTTATATTTATGCACATCACTGCGATCACGAAACAAAATCAATACATCTCAACAAAATTTGAACATTTTTTGAAACAGTGAATGTTTTGCAGCGAAAAAAATTTAGAATAAATATTTTCAGATGACTGAACGAAACGTTGAACGATATTAAATCGATGTTGGAAAAAAAAGTACGATTTTTGAAACAGTGAAAAAATCCCAAATTTGAAAAAAACATGAAATTTCGCAGAGACGTGGAAAGAAAAGGTTATTGAAAAATGCAAGTTTTCCAACATTTTCCAAATTTTTGAAACAGTGAATTTTTCTGAATAAGCGAAAATCTGATTTTTTATTTTCAAATAATTAACTTTTGTTCAAAAATTCTAGAATTTGAGAAATTGAAAAAATTTCAAGTTTGTGTAAAATTAGGATTCTTGGCGCCAGGAAATTCCACGTGGAATTTTATTGATTTTTTTCAGGAGAAATTGAAAATCTTACTAAATTCGAAAATTTCCAGAAAATTCATGAATTTTTCGAAACAGTGAGATATTTTCAACAAAAAAAATAGTTTTTCCATGATTTTTAACCAAAAATTATTTTTAAAAAATTCGCAAAGTTGAATTTTGGGCGTTGTTTTTCATGAAAAGATGAGATCTACTGCTAATCTTTTTAATCAGAAGAAAATATTGGAATTTTGAAACAGTTAAGAAATGTTTGCATATACGAGCTTGAATTGAAACTTTCATAGATCTGTCAAATTTTCCAGAATTCTTGAAACAGTAAAAATTTTGGAGAATTTTTCAAATGCCTAAAACATTCTTTGATTTTTGTGATTTGCAATGAAACATCTGAATTTTCAGAAGTTTATGTTGCGAAAATTTCACTGTTTCAAAAATATTTTATTTTCTTTGGAAATTCAATAAAAATTTGATGATTCATCAATAAACGTCGAAATTCAAGAGAAAGTTTTTTTTCCAAAAAAATTGGGGACAAAATTAATTTTTATGCAAGCCTGGCACAGTTTTTATTTGACTATAAAGTTTTCAATCCGGTTAATAAAAATTTTTGATGATTGATTAAAAAAATTGAAAAATGTCAAATTTTCAAGAATTTTTTGAAACAGTGAAGTTTTTCTGAACAAATGAAAAACTGTTTTTTATTTTCCAATAATTTAATTTATTTTTCTTCATAAATCCACGTGGATTCTCAAAATTAGTTAAATTCGTGAAATTTTGTTTGAAACAGTGAAAAAAATGTTCAGATTTGTGTAAAATTAAAATGGGTTCACTAAATTTTAATTTTTTTTTTTGAATTCTACCATACAGACTGCATGGAACAAAAATCAAATTTCTTCAAAAATTTTAGAATTTTTTTGAAACAGTGAATGTTTTGTGAAGAAATATTCGATTTCAGCTTACCAACATAACGAAAATAAATTGAGCTTGGAAAAACTTGTAATTTACTTGAAACAGTGAATGTTTCCCAAAAATTTTTGCAAAAAATTATTCAATTTTTAAAACATTTTTTATTGAACAACTGAAATATTGTCGTTTCTCAAAAAAAATTATAAATTTTTTGAAACAGTGAATTTTTCAGGTGATTTTCCAGGTCAACAACAAAAAGTTATCTGGTTTTTCTGTGTAGAAAAACCAGAAAACATTTTTTCGATTATTTTCAAAATTTCTAACTTCATTGAAAAAAACCATGATGAAGAATCGAAAAATTTCGGCACTTGATTGTGAGTATTATGAGTTTTTTGAAACAGTGAAGTTTTTCTGAACAAACGAAAATCTGTTTTTTTATTATCAAATAATTAATTTTTGTTCAAAAATGTGGATTTTTAGAATTTGAGAAATTCGTGAAACGTTGATCGAAACAGTGAAAAAATGTTCGAATTGGTGTAAAATTAGGATTGACCAATAAATGTCAAGTATATTTATATTGATTCTTTTTCAAACACTCACAGAGTGTAAATTTTTTGAAACAATGAAGATTTTTCAACAAAAATTGTTTTAAAAAAATTTGAAAATTGAATTTTGTTGATATTGGGCGGTGTTTTTCATAAAAATAGGAGACATACTGCTGATCTTTTTAATCTGAAGAAAATATTGGAATTTTGAAACAGTTAAAAAAAATATTGCCCATACGGAGCTTGAATTGAAAATTTCATTAATTTATCAAATTTTCCAGAATTCTTTAAACAGTAAAAATTTTGGAAAATTTTCTATGTTAATAGTATTCTTTGATTTTTGGCATTTGCAATGAAACATCTGAATTTTCAGAATTTTAGGTTGCAAAAATTTCACTGTTTTTTTTTCCAAAAAAATTGGGGACAAAACTAATTTTTATGCAAGCCTGGCACAGTTTTTATTTGACTATAAAGTTTTCAATCGAACTTTTTATTGGAATAATTTAATTTTCGAATGAAAACTCGCGAATATATCGAAAAACTTGAAAAATGTCAAATTTTCAAGAATTTTTTGAAACAGTGATTTTTTTCTGAAATCTGTTTTTTTTTAATAATTAATTTTTGTTCAAAAATCCATGTGGATTTTTAGAATTTGAGAAATTCGTGATATTTTGTTCGAAACAGTGAAAAATTTCAGATTTGTAGGAAATTTGGATTCTTGGCGTCAGGAATTTTCTCGTGGAATTTTATTGACTTTTTCAGAAAAAAATGAACCGAAAATTACTAAATTCAAATATTTCTCAAAAAATAATAAATTTTTTGAAACAGTGAAATTTTTCAGAAAAAAATTCATCAATGAAAATTGTACCAATACTCAAAAATCCATCAAAAAATCTCGTTTCTCATGAAACTTATACATTTTTTTTGAAACAGTGAATTTATTTAGATGATTTTTTTCAACAAACAATCTCAATAATTTTTGGAGAATATAAATGACACGTGGATTTCTATTTTTAAACGAAATTACAAATAACCGAACAAAAATCACATTTTTTTCAAACATTTTGCAATTTTTTGAAACAGTGAATGTTTTGTGAAGAAATATTCGATTTCAGCTTACCAACATAACGAAAATAAATTGAGCTTGGAAAAACTTGTAATTTGCTTGAAACAGTGAATTTTTCCCAAACCATAACCCATTTCAAATTCTATTTTTTTTTGCAAAAAAATATTCAATTTTTTTAAAACAGTTTTTTGATATTGTCCGTTTGAAAATGAGATTCACCCCGCGAAAAAATAAAATTGAATTTGCTGCAGGAGACGCAGACAGCGAGAGAGTTCGCTGGCAAACAGCCAACGTGGGTTTTGTATGGGAAAGCGACCGCAACGCACACGCATCGCGGGGGTAGGGGGACATTAGAGATTTTCCCAAATTCAAATTTATTTTTTCGCGGGGTGACTCTCATTTCCAAATGGACAATAAACAACTGAAATATTCTCGTTTCTCAAAAAAAAGTTATAAAATTTTCGAAACAGTAAATTTTTCAGGTCATTTTTTTTGAAACAGTGAAAAAAAAATCAAGAAAAACTTGGAAACGGTGAATTTTTCATATAAAATTTATTCTGACCAAACTTACATTCACAATTTTGGAAAAACTAGTGAATTTTTTGAAACAGTGAAAAAAATTTCAATTTTTTTCTAACGTTCCCCCTCCCTTTGATTACAAAACAATAGTTCATATCATTTTTTGATCCAAGATATCATCATCTTGTTTTCTCTACGTCTCTTCTCTCAATCTCGATTTACACTGTAAAAGGACGTGATGAAACAAAAAAAATCAAAAACAAAAGTTGACAAATAATCAGCAGAATGCAATCAATAAAATGTGTTGTTGTTGGAGATGGAGCTGTTGGTAAAACGTGTCTTCTCATGTCGTATTCAACTAATTTGTTTCCCGAAGAACATATTCCCACGGTTGGTTTGGTTGGATGAAAAATTTGAGAATTTTTAGGCTTTTTTTCAAAATATTAGGCTTCTTGGGCCTTTTTAAGGCTTTAAGACCTTCCTAAAGGCTTTATAGTTATTCTTAAGGGTTTCTTATGACTCCTAGAAGCTTCAAAGGGCCTATAAAGGCTTTAGGACTTTCCTAAAGGCTTTATAGTTATTCTTACGGGCTTCTAATGACTCCTAGAGGCTTCCAAGGGTCTTTTAAGGCTTAAGGACATTCCTAAAGGCTTTAATGTTATTCTTAAGGATTTCTTTCGTATTCTGAAGACTTCTAGAGACTTAAATAGGCTTCTCGAGGCTTAATTATGCTTCTAGGGCTTTTTAAGGCATTAGGACCTACTTAAAAGCTTAAAAGTTGTTCTTAAGAGTTTCTGATGACTTTTGAAGGTTTCTAGAGGCTTAAATAGGCTTCTAAGGGCTTTTTAAAGGCTTTAAAATGCTTCTTTAAAACTTTAGTGTTATTCTTAAGGGTTTCTAATGACTCCTAGAAGCTTTTAAGGGCTTTTAAAGGCTTTAGAACTCTCGTTAAGGCTTCATAGTTGTTCTTAAGGGATTCCAAAGGCCTTTTAAGGATTTAGGACCTTCCTAAAAGCTTGAAAGTTATTCTTAAGGCTTCTAGAGGCTTTTAAGAACTTTTTTAAGGCTTCAATAGGCTTCTCGATGCTTAATTAAGCTTCTAAGGGCTTTCTATAGCTCTAGGATCCTCCTAAAGGCTTTTAAAGGCTTCAGGAAGCTTTCACCGCCTAAAAAAACATTTTTGTTCAAAAAAATTCACTCTGTCCATATCCCTTTTTCGTCTCGCCTCTCTTCTGCGCCCATACTCTCTCGTTTTCTCACTTTCAGGTTTTCGACAACTATTCAACAAACGTCATCGTCGATGGTCGACCAATAAATCTGGGACTCTGGGACACAGCGGGCCAAGACGATTTCGATCGACTCCGACCGTTGTCCTATCCACAAACCGACGTGTTTCTCGTCTGTTTTTCGCTAGTCAATCCGGATAGTTTTGAGAATGTTCGAGCGAAATGGTTTCCTGAAGTATCGCATCACTGCCCAAACACACCGATTATTTTGGTTGGAACTAAAACTGATCTTAGAGTGGATGGGGAGATTGTTGAGAGGTGAGCTTCTTTTATATCCCGACAATGAACACATTGTTCCTTGCCTGCATCTTTAGCGCAGTCGGGTAGACGATGGACTACCACACAATCGGGGTCGTTTTGGTGGGTTCGAGTCCCACCGCGAACTTTTTTTTTTTTTTGAAAAAATGTATTTTTCTACAGACTTCGCGAACGTGATTTGACACCAATTAGTCAAATTCAAGGAAACGTGATGGGAAGAGAACTCAAAGCGGTTAAATATCTCGAATGTTCCGCGTTGACTCGACGTGGATTGCGAGAAGTTTTCGATGAAGCAATTCGTACTGTTCTCACTCCACCGCAAAGACCAAAAAGAAATAGATGCAATTTGATGTAATCTTGAATATTTTTTTGTTTTTAATAACAAGGGAATGAAAAATTTTTGAAAAACAAAAACAAAAAAAACAAGAAAATAAAAGTAAACATGGAAGTGCGCCCTATTGATAAAAAAAATTTCCAACATTTTTGAAACAGTGAATTTTTTTTCCTTCAAAATTTTCCGACCTAATTTTGCCACGTCATCGAAAATGGACACTTTTCAAATTATAAAAAAAATCACTGTTTCAAAATTTTCTAATAATTTTTTGGTGAAATTTCGAAAACAATTCACCGATCGGTACCGACCTAGCATTTTCAGTTTGAAAATTTTCGAAATTTCGTGGAATTACAAAGTTTAGCGCTCAAAATATGCCACGTGCTTTTGGATTTTTCAATAAATTTGTGAGTTACTTTTTGGCCTAACCAAACAAAATAAATACATTTTCAAAACATTCATCAATTCTTTGAAACAGTGAATTTTTTCAGCAAAAAGCATTACTTTTATTTAATTTTTGTTCATATTTGAATAACCTTACTGAAAAAATGGACCGGGAAAGTTTCAGATGAAATTCTTGAAACAGTAGATTTGTACCGATTAAAAAATTTCAGTTTTTCGAAAATTCATGCATTTTTTTTTGAAACAGTGAATTTGTTCAACAACAAAAAATTCACTGTTTCAAAATTTTCTGATAATTTCGAAGGGAAAATTTGAAAACACTAAATAATGTGAAAAAGATTGAAAAAATTCATTCATAAAAAAACGCCATGAAAAAAATCTGCATATACTAAACAACAAACACTACGCGCAAATTCATTCATTTTTTGAAACAGTGAATTTTTCGCGCCAAAAAAAATGCCACGTGAACCCATTTTCGCGAAATTTTCTCATTTCCCATTTTTTCCGACTTCTCTAAAAAAACAGGTGTGCCTGCAAAAAAAACAAGAAAAAACAACGACACTCCGCTTGCTTGTTGTTTAGCAAGCCTATAATTTTGTTTTCCCATCATTTTTCACATTTTCCTGTGTTTTTCGCCCAAAACCCCGTGAAATTTTGCTTTAAAATCAATAATTATAATTCCAGAAAGACAAATGCGATAAAATGGAGCTGGAGTTGAACTACGATCCGACGGCGCTCACCGATTTCTCGAAATTCTCGCTCTACGATCCATCGATTCTCGAGATGACCGTGTGTCGGTGGAGCGCGAATGTTGAGCTGCGCGCGGCGGATATTTTGAATTTTCTGGCCGGCAAGGGATATCGTCTGGCTAATGTTTGTTGAAATTTTGCTGAAAATTTCAGCCAAAAAATCGATTTTTTTGCAGAACGAGACTACAAATACGACAGACGAACATGTGTTGATGTTCAAAGTTGTTGGGCGGCCCGAAGCGATTCGAATTGAAAGAGAATGCCGTGAAGCCGGCGGATTTATGATGGGAAATGTGGGGGATTTTCTAGTTTTGTTCAAAATTATCGATTTTTTCAGGTGAAATTGGAAGTTCATCCGTTGATTGGCACGAATGGAATCAGAATTCAGGATGTGAGATTTTTCGGGGGGATTTGGAGTTGAGCCAAGTCCTGAGAGCCTAGTTTTAGGCTTTCAGGGCTGCTGAGCCTGATTTTAGGCTTCCAGGCCTAGTTTTAGGCTTCTAAGCCTAATTTCAGGCTTCTGAGCCTAATTTCAGGCTTCTGAGCCTGATTTTAGGCTTCTGAGCCTAAAATTAGGCTTCTGAGTCGAATTTGAGGCTTCCAGGACTATTTTTAGGCCAAAATTGTGCAGTTTCAAGCTCTGAAGCCTTATGAACCTTCTTACAAGCTTCCAGACCTAATTTTACGCTTCTGAGGCTAAAATCAAGTTTCTGAGCCTAATTTAAGGCTTCTAGATCGAATTCAAAGCTGTCACGACTATTTTTAGGCTAAAATTATGCTTCTAGACCTAATTTTAGGCTTCTGGGTCCAATTCAAGGCTTTTGGGAGGCCCAAAAGGGCTTATGAGCCGAAAAATAGGCTTCTAAGCCTAATTTTAGGCTTCTGAGCCTAATTTCAGGCTTCTGAGCCTAATTTCAGGCTTCCAGGCCTAATTTTAGGCTTCTAAGACTAAAATTAAGCTTCTAGACCTGATTTCAGGCTTCTAAGCCTAATTTCAGGCTTCTAAGCCTAGTTTGAGGCTTCTAGACCGGATTTCAGGCTTCTAGACCAGAAAAATTTGATTTTTCAAGTTCTCAACGCTTTTTTGAGCAAATTTTCAAGGTTCCAAGCTTCAAGACCTATTTTCAAAGCCTAAATTTGATTTTAGACCTGAAATTCCTCATTTTCAGCTTGTTTTGGGGCCTGGAAGCTGGAATTTCACATTTTGGAGCTCGAGGAGATTTTTAGGAGCTCACTTTGTCTGAAAATATCGATTTTTGAGTTCTGGAAGCTTTATTTACGAAATTCTGAGCCCAAGGAGAATTTTCCGAGCTAATTTTCAAATTTTCAAACTCGCAGGCTCAGAAATTCAAAAATTGATTTGAATTTCACATTTTCCGAAGTTTTGAAGCTCAACAATTCCTAAAAATCTTCAAAAATCTCTATTTTCTCTCTAGAAAACTCTGAAATTCCCCGAAACCCGCTGAAAATGCCCAAATTCCAGACGATAACAATGCAACGTGTTCGAAAAGATGACAGATTCCGGCTGAGCGACACCAACGCCTTGGATCTTCTCCTCGAAGTTGTTCGCTTCACCGATCCCTCAAAACAAGAAATCACTCGAAGATCGACAATTTTCATCTGCAAAGTTCTGGAGAGCATTTTCTACAAGTGCGAGGCGCGAATTTTCGGCAGTTTTGCGAGTGATTTGAGACGACAGGCGAATTCCGATGTGGATATTTCGGTGCTCGTGAAAAATGAGCCGGAAAATCAGAATCCTCAGCAGGATCCATATTTTCGGACGATTCGAAGTGAACAGGAATTGTGGAATTCCACTACAGAAACTATATTTTTGAGGCCGATTCATAGAAATGAGTTCAGGGCTCATTCGATCAGTTTTATGATTAATTTGATTGCGAAGGTTTTGGCGAGTGTTCCGATGTTAAAAGTGGGTGATTTTTGCATTAAAATCATGAAAAATTCGGATAATTTGATGAAAAATGAGCTGAAAATTGCAAAAATTAAGCAAAATTGAGGTTTCCGCTGAAATTTGGGCATTTTTGAGCTCTAGGCGCTATTCCTTGACAGAAGTTCTGGCAAGCAGTGGGGCCTTGAAAAAATATGTATGGTTAACAAGCAGCCGCCCCTTGACAGGCTTTTCGACAAGCAGCCGCTCCTTGAAACCTCGAAATCTGAGGTCTCAAGGGTTCGCTGCTTGTCCTCTAGGTGCGTCCCAAGTGCCCGCTGCTTGAAGTAATTATAAATGCTTTCAACGCGCTGCTCCTTGAGCTAAGTGTATAATCTCTAGGAGCAGCACCTTGTTCGATCTTCTGGCAAGCAGCGGCTGCTTGAGACCTCAAAAACTGGTCTCAAGGCGCCGCTGCTTGACAACTAGGTTCTCAAGCATCGGTGCCTTGAGAACGTGATGATCAAGAAGCCGCGCCTTGAACTTGTGGCAATCAAGCAGCGGCTCCTTGACAGCTCAAAACTAGATCTCAAGGCGTCTTTCCTTGACAGAGAGGATATGGATAGCAGCGGATCCTTGACATCTAGCCCTTAAAGCAGCGGCTCCTTGAGACACTTCTTGTTAACCTGAATCTGCTCAATAGCAGCGGCTCCTAGACAGCTTCAACTAGATCTCAAGGCTCCAGTCCTTGACAACCTTAATGTGCTCTCAAGGAACCGCTCATTGAAAAACAAAAAACCTCACTTAAGCAACGGCTCCAAGACAGCTCCAACTAGATCTAAAGGAGCCACTCCTTGATAGCTAGTCCATCAAGCAATGGCTCCTTGACAGCGCTAAATCGTTCTCAAGGAGCCACTCCTTGACCTCCACTCTCACAAGCATCGACTCCTTCAAAAAAAAATCTCCCCTTTTTTCCAGGACCACTTCACATTCCGCAAAATCCCCGAAGCCCGCACACCCATCATAATGCTAAAATACGCCGAAGATCCTCACGTCGACTTGAACTTCGACATATCATTTTTCAATCAACAAGGCGTCGACAAAGCAAATCTCATCGAATTATTCATGATGCGAGACGCTTCCGATTGCAAATTCATTCGAAAATGTATGCTATATTTTGTGCAATTCGGAAAATCAAATAGGCTTTTGAATGGCGCATATTTGGATGAGAAATTGACGCCGAAAACTGGATTCAATAGCTATATTTTCAACCATTTGGTGATTCATTTTGTGCAAAATGCGTTGGATCGAAAATTGGTGCAACAGAGTGCGGTGGGTGCATTTTGGAAGGGTTTTGGGTGAAAAAACACGATTTCTGGCCAATTTTCACCGAAAAACATGATTTCTGGCCATTTGTACCTTAAAAATATGATTTCTGGCCATTTTTCACCTAAAAACATGATTTCTGGCCATTTTCACTATAAAAACATGATTTCTGTCCAATTTTCACCTAAAAACATGATATCTGGCTATTTTTCACCTAAAAACACGATTTCTGGCCATTTTTCCCTTAAAAACACGATTTCTGTCTATTTTTCTATAAAAAACACGATGTTTGGCCAATTTTATAAGAAAAACATGATTTTTTGGCCATTTTTATGTAAAAAAAACACGATTTCTGGCCATTTTCACATGAAAAACATGATTTCTGGCCAATTTTACCTCAAAAACACGATTTCTGGTCATTTTTATAGAAAAAACATGATTTCTGGCCAATTTTCACCTAAAAACATGATTTCTGTCCAATTTTCACCTAAAAACATGATTTCTGGACATTTTTACCCAAAAAACATGATTTCTGTACAATTTTCACCTAAAAACATGATTTCTGGACAATTTCATATGAAAAACTTGATTTCTGTCCAATTTTATATTAAAAACACGATTTTTGGCCATTTTTCACCGAAAAACATGATTTCAGTACAATTTTCACCTAAAAACACGATTTCTGGCCATTTCTACCTTAAAAACACGATTTCTGGCCAATTTTACATGAAAAACATGATTTCTGTACAATTTTTACCTTTAAAACATGATTTCTCGCCAAATTTACCTTAAAACACGATTTCTGGCCATTTTTATATGAAAAACATTTCTAGCCATTTTCACTCTAAAAACACGATTTCGTTCAATTTTCACCTAAAAACATGATTTCTGGCCAATTTGTATATGAAAAACATGATTTTTGACCCATTTTCAGGACCCGGCTCATCGTTGTGCTCCCTACAATTTCCATGATCGATTTCAGTCGATCACCCACTTTTTCCGCGATTTTTTCAAACATTTGGCCACTATTGACTATGGAAATATGGCCATTTATAATTCGTTTGTGCTTTCGAAGTGAGTTTTTCGGGTTTTCATGCAAAAATTTGAAAATTTCATGATTTTTGAGATCGGGAACCTTGAAAAACTCAATTTTTAAGTTCTCAAGGCGTCACTGCTTGACAAAGCTGATGGCAAGCAGCGGCGCCTTGACAACCAGATATCAGAGGTCTCAAGGCGCCGCTGCTTGTCAGATAAAAAATTCTCTCAAGGCGCCGCTGCTTGACAAATGAAAAGTTCTCTCAAGGCGCCATCCCTTGACAATCTTGGAATGCTCTAAAGGCGCTGCACCTTGACCAGAATACTGTCAAGCAGCCGATACTTGAGAATCCGATGATCAAGCAACCTCTCCTAGAAAATTGCGTTCTCAAGCAGCGGTTCCTTGACATTAGTATCGACAAGGCTCCGCTCCTTTAAAACTCGCAAATGCTCTCAAGGATCAGCTCCTTGAAAACTCCAAAATTGATCTCAAGGCACCGCTTCTAGACGTGAATTCTATCAAGCAGCGGCTCCTTGACAAATTTTCTGGCAAGCAACCGCTCTTTGAAAAGGTGTTAACAAGCATCCGCTTCTTGTCAGATGAAAAATGATTTCAAGGGCCGCTCCTTGTCAGATGAAAAATGATCTCAAGGGGCCATCCCTTGACAAAGGTACCAGCAAGCATCCTCTCCTTGACACAGTTTATTATGTCAAGCAGCCACTCCTTTCCAAATTTTCTTCCAGAACCACCGTCGCCATGTGTCACTCACTCAAAGTCACTCCAATGATGATTCTGGACCCCCTCGACCCAACTCACAATATATCATCGCGTGTAACTCCGGTCGCCTTGAGACACTTCAATTTGCTGATTCGAAACGGATTGTTGCTGATGAAACAGAAGGATTTTCAAATCCAAATGTTGGCCGACACCAATAAACACGCTGTGGAAGTTATTAAGAAATTAAGGGTTGAAAGTGAGTTTTTTGGGGGATTTTTGGGGATTTTTAAGCCAAAATTCGTGATTTTTGATGAATTTTAAGCCAAAATCCAAGATTTTTGGCCATTTTTCACCCAAAAATCATCCCAAACCCAATTTTTCCGCCAGAAATCAATGGAAATTGCCTGGAAATCGATCTTCCGCACATTATCCAAACATCTGCCGATTTTTGCATTCTCCTCAATCAAATTTTGCGATTTGATGTTAGCGCCGAGCACGAGGGAACCAGTGAAGAGAATTTGTTCAATAGCACGGTGAGTTGGAGGGATTTTGAGGGAAAATTTGAATTTCGCGTTTTTTTTTTGACCCGGGAAACGTGGATTTTTGAATTTCGCGCCTTTTTTTTTGACCCGGGAATGATAGATTTTTGAATTTTTCAAATTTCGCGCCTTTTTTGACCCGGGAAATGTGGATTTTTTGAATTTCGCGCCTTTTTTTGACCCGGGAAACGTGGATTTTTTTAATTTCCCGCCAAAAATAGAGATACAGTAACTCCTAGGATGTTTAAAGGAACATCTTCAAATTCCAAAACAATTCAACATGTTCCTTTAAGCTACAGTAATCCTAGAATGTTTAAAGGAACATGATAAAGTCAGAAAAGATTAAAATTATCATGTTCCTTTAAATTTTGAGCTACAGTAGGACTAGGAGAATTTAAAGGAACATAACCAAATTCCTATCAATTTTAGAACTACTATGTTCCTTTAAAATCGCTAGATACAGTAATCATCTAGTTGAGACCTGAAAAAATGAACAAAAAACGATATGTACCTTTAAAATTACTAGCTACAGTACTGATTTAAAATCCGGAAAATAGTTTAATTTTAAAGGAACATACAGTAATAGATAATTTTCTAAATCCAGGCGAGACCCAAAAACTTTGCAATTTCAAAAGACCTTCAGAATTTAAAGGTACATACAGTACCCCAGTATTTTGTCTTGCAGGGTGTCACATTTGTGATTTTCGGCCGCGCTTGGATCGGTCGCCGAACTCGCCGAAAACAATTGATGCAAAACACGGAGAACACATCAATCCTAGCTGTAGAATTGGCTGTTTCACGATCTTTCGAATTCGACTACAATGAACCGGTGGCGGTTGTGAGAATGACGATGGCTGAAGTGCCGCAGGAAAATGGACAGAAAAAGTGAGTTTTTTGGGGGAAAACACGTGGAAAATGATGGATTTTGAGCCGAAATTTGGGAAATTTGATGAATTTCAAGCCGAAATTCGAAAATTTTATTGAATTTTGAGCCGAAATTCGAAAATTTTGATGAATTTTGACTCGAAAAATTTCACTGTTTCAAAAATTCTTGATTATTTTTGAACAAATTTTGCAAATTTGATTTTCAAGGAATTGTTATAAGTTCAAAAAATCAAAATCAAAAAATTTATGAAAATTACGCATTTTCACCCAGATTTTTGATCTGAAATTCACATTTTTCAGCTCGAAATTGTGAATTTTGACCTAAAAATCGAAAATTTTGAAGAATTTTGACATAGAAATTTCACTGTTTCAAAAATTTGAGATTATTTTTGAACAAATTTTGGAAATTTGATGTCTCAATTCCAGGGTTGTTTTCCAAGAAATTTTAATGTTTCAAAAAATTTATGAAAATTATGCATTCTCCACCAAAATTGTGAATTTTGATTAAAAATGATGGATTTCGACCTAGAAATCGATAATTTTGATGAATTTTGACCCCGAAAAATTTCACTGTTTCTAAAATTTGAGATTATTTTTGAACAGGTTTTGGAAATTTGATGACCCTCGAGTGTTTCTTTCAAGATTTTAACTGTTTCAAAAAATCAAAATCAAAAAAATTCATGAAAATTTCTCCACTCAGATCTCAGATTTTTGACTTGAAATTCACAATTTTCTGCCCAAAATTGTGAATTTTGAGCAGAAATTCTGAAATTTTTTCGAAAATTTTGAGCTGAAATTCGAAAATTTTCGAGAATTTTGACCCGAAAAATTTCACTGTTTCAAAAATTTGAGATTATTTTTGAACAGGTTTTGGAAAATTGATATAGATTTCACGGTTTCTTCCAAGAATTTTAACTGTTTCAAAAAATGTATGAAATTTCTCCACTCAGATCTCAGATTTTTTGACCTGAAAATAACATTTTTCAGCCGGAAATTGTGAATTTTGAGCCGAAATTCATATTTTCATCCAAAATTTGCCACGTCATAGATCAAAATTTAGAAAAAAATAAATAGTGTGCCAGATTTGCATAATCAGGTTCCGCCCATTTTTTAATCGAAAAAGTATGCCGCAAAATTGCATTTGGCTTGCAAGTCTGACACAGTTTTTTCTTCGAAAATCCTAAAGAAAAGTGTGCGAGGATTGCATTTTTATACAAAATTACGAGAATTAGGCTCCGCCCACTTTTTAGCTTCAAAAATCACATAAAAACTGTGCCAGGCTTGCATTTTTCAACAAAAAATTCCCCAAAAACTGTGCCAGACTTGCATTTTCAAGCCCCGCCCCTTTTCCAGATCAAAAATCGAAGTTTTGCAAGGAAATGTGAACGAGATTCGCGACGCTCTCCACTTTCTACTCGATCATTTCGTCTTGAATAATATGACCGAGTTATCACAACTCGGCATTGCTCATTTGACAGAAATGGCCTAGAAACCCGACGAGAAAGTTAGGCCAAGATGTTGGTTTTCTCGGCCCCCGCCCATTTTTTATGTGTATATTTTTGAAAATCGATTTTTTTCCCCGTGAAAATTTGAGTTTTGAGCCCCGGTAGCTTTAACATTCCCTGTTTTTTTCAAAAAAAATAATTTTTTTTGCCATTTTTGTGAATTTTCCCTGTGAATATTTGATGAATTTCATGACTTTTTATCTCAATTTTTTGTGATTTTCAAGGTTTTCCAGCCTATTTTACTTGAAAAACCCCATTTTCAGCCAGGTTTTCAGACATTTTCAGACATTTTCAGCCAAATGGACGAAAAAGTGAACCAGAGAGCTTTGCTCACACAAACTGTCAATGAAATTGTGCGATTATTGATTGAGGCGCATGAGCAGAAAAAGGATGTGAATTTGAATAGAATGAAGTGTTTGGTAGGGAATTTTTGAGCTAAAAATTTGAGAAAATTGGGAAAATTTGAGCCGGGAAGTTGATTTTCAGCTAGAAATCATGAATTTTGACCTAAAAATCTGAAAATTTCGATGTTTTTTCACTATTTTCAAGAGATTTTCATCAAAAATCGAGAAAATTTGATCTTGCAGTCAATTTTCAGCTATAGCTCTATTGAAATTGATAAAAAATCGAATTTTTGGTGAATTTTGAATATTTTGACATTTTTGAAACGTATTTTTGGCTGGAAAACAATCTTGCAGTTTTTCGATGAAAATTATCTGAAATTTCCAGATTTTCAGCCAAGAAACCTCAGAAATCATGAAAATTATCATTTTCAGCATAATTTTATCTGAAAATTTCAGATTTTCAGCCAAGAAACCTCTGAAGTTTCCAGATTTTCAGCTGAAAATCCACAAATTCAGCTCAGAAATGACCTGAATTTAAATTCAGTGTGAAATTGGGGAAAAATCATGGATTTCTGACTGAAAAATGCTTAAATTTCGAGATTTTCAGCCAAGAAACCTCAAAAATCATGAAAATTATCATTTTCAGCCAAGAAACCTCTGAAATGATAGAAATACACATTTTGAGCTCAATTTTGTCTGAAAATTTCGGATTTTCAGCCCAGAAACCTCTGAAATCATGAAAATTATTATTTTCAGCCAAGAAACCTCTGAAATTATCGTTTTCAGCTCAAAAGAGATCTGAAATTAAATTCAGTATGAAATTGAGGAAAATTAATGGATTTCTGACTGAAAAATGCTGGAAATTTCAGATTTTCAGCCAACAAACCTCAGAAATGATAGAAATTCACATTTTGAGCTCAATTTTGTCTGAAAATTTCAGATTTTCAGCCAAGAAACCTCTGAAATGGTAGAAATTCACATTTTCAGCCAAGAAATCTCTGAAATTTCCAGATTTTCTGCTCAGAAACCTTAAAAATCATGAAAATTATCATTTTTAGCCAAAAATCTTCTATTTGGCCTAAATTTCGAGATTTTCAGCGAAAAACGCCTAAGATCGTTCAGAAATCAATCTTTTGACTGAAAAATGCTGAAATTTTCAGTCAAGAAACCTCAAAAATCATGAAAATTATCATTTTTAGCCAAGAAACCTCTGAAGAATCAGATTTTCATCCCAGAAATCCCCAAAACCCCCAAATTTTCCAGGTCGCCCAAAAAAACGGTCTCAGTTTCCAACCAAAACTCGTCGACATCATCGCCGGTGTCCCACCAAACTACAAAGACATTCTCCTACCTAAACTCAAAGCCAAACCCGTCCGCACCGCTTCCGGAATTGCCGTCGTCGCCGTCATGTCGAAACCGCATCGCTGTCCGCACATCAATTTCACCGGCAACATTTGTGTGTATTGTCCGGGCGGTCCGGATTCGGATTTCGAATATTCGACACAAAGTTATACGGGATATGAGCCGACTAGTATGCGAGCGATTCGAGCCAGATATAATCCGTATTTACAGACGAGAGGCAGATTGAATCAGTTGATACAGGTGAGTTAGAGGGATTTGGGCGGGTTTTGACCGGAAAATTGAGAAAAATCGTGAAATTTTGACCCGGAGAGTGATTTCTGAGCTAAAAATGGAGAAAAAAAAAGAATTTTGGTCCAGAAGAAGATTTTTGACCTTAAATTGATAGAAATCGTAGAATTTCAATCTGGAACATGATTTTTGATCTGAAAATTGAGAAAAATCGCAAAATTTCGGCCCAGAGAGTGATTTTTGACCTGAAAATAAGAAAAATCGCGAAATTTTGACCCGGAGAGTGATTTCCAGCCAGAAATTGAGAAAAATCGTGAAATTCTAGCTCGGGCGCTGATTTCTAGCCGGAACATGATGAAAATCGCGGAATTTCAGCCCAGACAATGATTTTTGGCAAATATTGATTGAAATATGAATTTTTGACCTGAAAATGAGGTTTTTAGTCAAATTCTGGTCCGGAACATGGTTTTTGACCTGAAAATTGAGAAAAATCGCAAAATTTCAGCTCAGACAGTGATTTTTGAGCTAAAAATCAAGATTTCAACATCTCAAAAATTTACTGTTTCAAAATTTACATATTTGAAAAATTCATTTTTTTTTTAAATTGGTATTCTGAAACCGGATTATTTAAATATTCGATGAAAAATATTTTAGTCTAGCCATTGATTTTTGAGCCGAAAATTGAGATTTTTGAGAAAAATTGGGCCAGGAGTTGATTTTCTTCACAATCCCCTCGAAAAAATCTACAAAAAGGCTGGGCCGAACCGGGGATTGAACACGGGACCTCTCGCACCCAAAGCGAGAATCATACCACTAGACCATTCGGCCACGCTTTAAATCCATCAGAAATTTCGCTTATCTTACGGAAACTGGGATTTCTTAAGAGATTTTATCCAGTTTTTCCATAAGATAAGATAACTTCGAAATTTTTAATAGATTTAAAACGTGGCCGAATGGTCTAGTGGTATGATTCTCGCTTTGGGTGCGAGAGGTCCCGGGTTCAATCCCCGGTTCGGCCCACTCTTTTTTGAAAGTTCTGTTTTGTTACTACAGCAAATCAGAAATTGGAAAATAATATTTCAAAAGTGTAAGTTTTGAAACAGTAATTTTTTTTCCAGAAAAAAAATTTCCAAAATTTCAAAATTTGATGACACTTGACTGAAAAATTCCGGATTTCAATAAAAAATTTGAATTAAATTCCAGGAATTTTTTCTAGACTCAAATTTCATGCTGAAAATCATAGGAACCTTCATTTTCAGCGAAATTTCACCCAATTTTTGTTCCGGTTCTTCCAAGAAATCACAAATTTTACTAGTTCATTTGAAATTCATCAGAATCTGTCTGGAAATATTCAAAATTGATTAAAATTTGATAGAAACGTATTTAAAACTGAAAAAAAAGCTGACCTAAAAAACCTTCTGAAAATCATAGGAATCTTGATTTTCAGCCAAAAATGGATTTTCCTGGCTGAAAATTTGAAGTGAATCATGTCTAGACCCAAATTTCATGCTGAAAATCATGAGAACCTTCATTTTCAGCCAAAATTGACCAAAAATCGATTTTCTAGACCCAAATTTCATGCTGAAAATCATGAGAACCTTCATTTCCACCCCCAAAATCTTCCCTGATGTTTGCAGCTCGGTCATTCAGTGGACAAAGTTGAATTCATTGTAATGGGCGGTACATTTATGTCACTTCCCGAAGAATATCGCGATTTCTTCATCCGAAATCTTCACGATTCCCTAAGTGGCCACACATCTTCATCAGTCAAAGAAGCAGTTTCATATTCAGAGAGAAGTAAAATGAAATGTATTGGAATTACAATTGAAACTCGACCCGATTATTGTTTGCCAAAACATTTGAATGATATGTTGTTGTATGGATGTACACGGTTGGAAATTGGTGTACAATCGACGTATGAAGATGTGGCGAGAGATACGAATCGAGGGCATACGGTAATGGTGGTTTTGGGGGAAATTTTAAAATTTTTGGGCAAAAATGAGCTAAAAACCTGGTTTTCTACTGAATTTTGATGAAAATGAGCTAAAACTTGAGTTTTCAAATCAGAAACTACATAGAAATGTGATTTCTGGTGAATTCTGATGAAAATGAGCCGAATTTTGAAATTTCTGAGCAAAAATCACCCAGGAAAAGGATTTCTAGTGAAAATGAGCTGAATTCTGAAATTTTTGAAAAAAAATTACCCAGAAACCTGAAATTCTGAAAATTTTAAAGAAAATTGAGCTAGAAACATGGTTTTGGTGGAAATGAGCTAAATTTTGAAATTTTTGAGCAAAAATGAGCTTGAAACCGGGGTTTCCAGTGAATTTTGAGCAGAATTAGCCAAATTTCAAAATTTTTGAGCAAAAATGACCTAAAAACAATGCGCCAAATTTCGAAATTTTTGATGAAAAATGACCTGGAAACATGGTTTTCTAGTGAATTTTGAACAGAATGAGCTGAATTCTGAAAATTTGATGAAAAATGAGCCAAATTTCAAAATTTTTGAGCAAAAATGAGCTCAAAAACTAGTTTTCTAGTGAATTTTGAGCAAATTGAGCCAAGATTTGAAATTTTTGAGCACAAATAACCTAGAAACCTAATTTTGGGTGAAATTGAGCCAAATTTCGAGATTTTTGAGCAAAACGAGCTGGAAATTTTGAAATTCTGTTGAAATTGGCCAAAATTTGAGAGTTTTCAGCAAAATTGAGCTAGAAAGCTGAAATTCTGAGAATTTAACGAAAAATGAGCTGAATTTCAAGATTTTTCATAAAAAATAATCTTGAAACAGTGGATTTTTGTAAAAACAAAATTATGAAAAATTATGTCACGTGGCATTTTTTTAGCTCTGAAAATTCAATTTTCAAGCTGAAAATTTGCCTTGAAAATTGTGAAATTTGAAATTCAATTCTGAAATTTTCAAAAAAAAAGCCACGTGTCTCTTGAGCCAAATTTTGGCCCAAAACTAATCTTGAAAAATATCTAAAATAGGGCCTAAAAAGCCTAGTGTCAAGCCTGAAATTGAGGCTCAAAGTTGAGCTTTAAATCTGGAGTTTGTCCTAAAATTAGGGTTTAAAATGAGATTAAATTCTAGCTGATTTTAAGGCCCAAAGTTGACCTTAAAACCTAAATGCAGGCCTTAAAAAATCTCTAATGGGGTGATTCATAAAAATAAATTGACAAAAAAAGTGCGATTAATTTCACGTTTTTTGTCAATTAATCGCATTCATTTCTGAAAAAATGCGATTAATTGACAAAAAACGTGAAATTAATCGCACTTTTTTTGTCAATTTATTTTTATGACTCACCCCATAAATAAATCCGGAACTTAAGCCTGAAGTTCAAGGCCCTGAAATCCTAGCCTGAAAAAACTCAAATTGACCTTAAATCCTTAATTTCAACTTGGAATCAAAGCCTGGAATTAAGGCCTATAATTAAGGCCTAAAATTGATCTCTGAAACTCTAAAAATTCAGATTTTTCGCTCAAAAATCATCTGGAATCTCGATTTTTCATCTTCAAATCATCCCAAATTCGAAATTTCCTCCAGAAACTTATTTTTCCAGGTCAAATCAGTGTGCGAAACCTTCCACATGTCAAAAGATACCGGCTACAAAGTTGTAATTCATATGATGCCAGATCTTCCAAATGTTGGACTCGAAAGAGACAAAGAACAATTTCTGGAATTATTCGAAAGTCCACAATTTCGACCGGATGGATTGAAATTATATCCGACTTTGGTAATTCGCGGAACTGGATTATATGAATTGTGGAAAACTGGAAGATATCAAAGTTATCCACCATCGGTGCTTGTTGATTTGATTGCCACGATTTTGAGGTTGGTTTTGGGGTGGAAATCGGGAATTTTCAGTGAAAAATTCGGATTCCTTGGGAAATTTCAGTTCGGAAATGTGAAAATTTGGAATTTTTTGACTGAAAATTGATAAAAATTTGATTTTTTCGAATTTTTTCAGTCCAGAAATGTTGAAAAATTTCAGTTTTTTTTCCACGTGGATTTTTGGGCTCCAAATTTGAATTTTTTTAAATTTTTTTTTGGCACGAAATTTGAAATTTTGAACTTCTTGAATTTTTTTGTCAAAAATTCGTTTGAAAATTTAGATTTTCCGCTAAAATTGCTCTGAAAAATCTGAAAATCCCAGTTTCTCATGAAAAAATGATGAGAATTCAGGAATTTTTTGAATTTAAGTCAAACAAAATTGGTCTGAAAAAATCCAGATGTTCAAAGAAAAAATCACAAAAAATAAAAAAAATCAGGAATTTTCAGAATTTTCACAATTTCCCGCTGAAATTTAACCTTAAAATTCAAATTTTCTACCCAAAAATTCTCCAAAAAATTCAGATTTTCAGTCAAAAATTGCTCTGAAAATTCAGAATTTTGATGAAAAAAAAAAATGATAAAAATCAGGAATTTTTTGAATTTTAGTCGAACAAAATTTTGTCTGAAAATTCAGATTTTCAGCTAAAAATTATCCAAAAAATCCGATTTAGAGCTAAAAATTGAAATTTTCAGTCAAAAATTGCTCTGAAAAAATATGAAAATCCTTGTTTGTTATGAAAAAAAATGATAAAAATTCAAGAATTTTTTGAATTTTCACCATTTCTAATCAAACATTCTGAAAATTTTGAATTGAATATTAGTTTTCTACTGAAAAATTCCTCAAAAAATCCGATTTTCAGCCAAAAATTATCCAAAAAATTCAAATTTTCAGTCAAAATTTGCTCTGAAAAATCAGGAATTTTTTGAATTTTACTTAAAATTGGTCTGAAAATCCAGATTTTCCGCTAAAATTGCTCTGAAAAAAATATGAAAATCCAAGTTTCTTATGAAAAAATGATAAAAATCAGGAATTTTTTGAATATGGGTTACTGTAGGCTTTGATTTTGGGTTACTGTAGGTTTTAACTGGATTTTCTTGGATGTTTCAGTATTTCTTGGGTTACTGTAGATTTTGACACGAAATTTATTGATTTTCTTGAGATTTCTTGAATTTAGGGGACTTTTAGGGTTACTGTAGCACGAGATTTCCAGATTTTCAGTGAAAAAAATGTCAAAAATTGCTCTGAAATACCAGGATTTTTTGAATTTTCATCAATTCCCGCTGAAATTCAACCAAAAATTCAATTTTTCCAGCCTGGTTCCACCATGGACACGTGTTTATCGAGTTCAACGCGACATTCCAATGCCATTAGTTTCGTCGGGTGTTGAACACGGTAATTTGAGAGAACATGCGATGGCAAAAATGAAGGAGTTGGGATTGAAATGTCGTGATGTGAGGACGAGAGAAGTTGGAATTCAGGTAGAGCATTTTTGTGAAATTTGAGCAAAAATCTGAAAAAATTGTGAAATTTGAGCCAGAAAATCAGTTTTTCCTGGAAAAAATCGATAAAATTTGATTTATTTTTAGCTTGGTTACTGTAGGATCTATTTTTGACCCTTAAAGCTACAGTAATCCAAGAAATGCTAAAAAAATTCAGAATTTTCGCTCCAGAACCTACAGTAACCCAAAATTTTCGCCGAATTCAGAAATCTCAAGAAAATCAATAAATTTCGTGTTACAGTAACCCAACAATTTCCGAATTTTGATCAGATTTTCGCGTTGGAACCTACAGTAACCCTAAAAGTGCGGGAAAATCAAGAAATCTAGAGAAAATCAATGAATTTCGTGCTACAGTAACCCTAAAAGTCCCCCAAATTCAAAAAATCCCAAATTTTCGCTCCAGAACCTACAGTAACCCAAAAATTACGCAAAATTCGAAAATTTCCCAATTCTCATCATTTTTTTCGCGTTAGAATCTACAGTAACCCCAAAAAAAGCGGGAAAATCAAAAATTCAAGAATTTTCATGAACCAAGGCAAATTTGGTCTCAAAAAGCTCAGAATTTTCCCGCCAAAACCTACAGTAACCCAAATGACCCTAATTTCAAGGAAATCTAGAGAAAATCAATAAATTTTGGGCCAAAACCTACAGTAACCCAAAACCAAGGCAAATTTGGTCTCAAAAAGCTCAGAATTTTCCCGCCAAAACCTACAGTACCCCATCCTCCCCAAATTTTCCAGGAAATCCACAACAAAGTGCGTCCCGAAGACGTCGAATTAATCCGCCGTGACTACGTGGCAAACGGCGGTTGGGAAACATTCATCTCCTACGAAGATCCCAAACAAGACATTCTCATCGGCCTCCTTCGCCTTCGAAAAATCTCCGACAAAGCCCACCGGCCCGAATTAAAAGGCCGTGTTTCGGTGGTCCGCGAGCTGCATGTCTATGGAAGTGTTGTGTCGGTGGCAAATCGAGATCCGAAAAAATTCCAACATCAAGGATACGGTCAATTATTGATGGAAGAAGCGGCGAGAATTGCAAAAGAAGAACATGGAAGTGAGAAAATTGCAGTGATTTCGGGAGTTGGAACAAGAGATTATTATAGGAAATTGGGATATGAATTGGATGGACCATATATGAGCAAAAGCCTGGTTGATGAGGATTTTGAGGCCTAAAAAAGCCTGAAATCTAGGCCCAAATGGCCTCTGTGGTAATTGTTTTGTTTTGTTTTTTTCTAACTGTTTTTTTGTTGTTTGATAATAAAAATGCTATAAGAAATTTGATTTTTCTCACCGATTTGATTGAAAATTTAAATAGAAATTAGAAACAGTAAATTTTCGATGAAAAATTCAGGAATTTGAATCATGTAACAGTTTTTTCAATGCTGTAAAATTCCTAATTTTCATTTAAAATTTTTTTGAAACAGTGAATTTTTTTCAAGAAAAAATTGAAAAATTTGATTTTTCTTCAATTTTCTTAAAAATAAAGAATACATTTTCAATGAACAGTAAAATTCCTGATTTAGATTTTAAAATAGTTTTTTTGAAACCCGAAAAACAATAAATCAGTTCACAAAATCATCAGAAATATGTGAAAAAATGTTGAAACAGTGAATATTTTCATAAAATATTAAGATTGAAGTGAATTCTTCAATTGATAAATAAATCCTAATTTTTTCATTTACAAATTTTTTGAAACAGTAAATTTTCAACCAAAAAATCGGGAACATTTAGAAATTTTTCAGATTGGATTGAGAACTTGAAAAATATTTTATTTTGTGAAGATTTTTTGAAACAGTAAATTATTTTCAAAAACTAATCGGGACATCAGCAATTATAAAATTCTCTGTTTTTATTTGAAAATTGTTTGAAACAGTGAATTTTTTCTCAAAATTTAACTTTAACAAAATTTTTGAAATGAACAAAAAAGCTCACAAATTTCAAGAAATCAAAATTTTGAAACAGTAAAATAAATTCAAAAAATATGAATAATTCTTGAAACAGCGAAAAAATCAGAAAATTCCTAGAAAAATTCAAATTTTCTCGGTTTGGATTACTTGAAAACGTTTTGAAATAGTTTTTTTCAAACAATTTTTCATAATAAAAAATTTCAAGAAAATTCTCATTTGTGGGCTCAAAACTATAAACTGATCATCTCTATCAGATCAGAAAAATAATTTTTGAATTTATATATCAAAATTTTGAAACAGTAACTATTCATAGAAAATTATCATTAGTTCAAAATAAAATCAGATAATATTTTTTTTTAATGTGAAACAGTGAAATTTTTATTTATAATTTTCAGCTTGTCAGTTTTCACAAAAAAAAAAGTTTTTTTTCGAGTTCCGGATTTCAATTTTAGCTCAAATGTTCAAAATATAGCATTTTTTTCGGTGAAAAATCTTTTTTTCCCAATATTTTTGAATAACTCGAACGACTTCAAAAAACCACCAGAAAATTATGACCAAATTTTGAAACAGTGAATTTTCTTGGAAAAAATTAAAAATCGGGAATTTTTATAGCAAATGGTGCATGAAGATCATTTGCTAAATCCTGAAGTTTTATTTATTCATTTTTTGAAACAGTGAATATTCTTTGAAATTTTTCAAATCAAGTATTAATTCCACGAGAAGCAGGTATATTAGCAGTTCAATTGAGAACAAAATTTTCAAAGCAGTTTTTTGAAACAGTACATTTTTCATGCAAAATTTAAAATTCTGGGAATTTTAGAAAAAAGAACTGCATAGCGAAATCATTCAACAAATCCTAATTTTTTCATTACACAATTTTGAAACAGTGAATTTTTCCCAAGAAAAAATTGAAATTTTTTTTCTTTTTTTCTTCAATTTTCTTGAAATAGTTAAGTTTTCATGAACAGTAAAATTCTTGATTTTCATTTAAACATTTTCTGAAACAGTAAATTTTTCAAAAAATTTTCACGGCAAGTATTAATTTCAACTAGAACAGAAATGTTAGCAGTTCAATTATCAAGAAAACTTTCAAAACAATTTTTTGAAACAGTAAATTTTCAACCAAAAAATCGGGAACATTTAGAAATTTTTCAGATTGGTCCATAAGAATAGAAGCTGTATTGAGAACTTGAAAAATATTTTATTTTGTAAAGATTTTTTGAAACAGTAAATAATTTTTTTTAGACCAATCTGGGCATCAGCAATTATAAAAATCTCTGTTTTCATTCGAAAATTGTTTGAAACAGTGAAATTTTTTCATTAAATTTGCCTTTAACCAAATGTTTGAAATGAACAAAAAAATCTCTTTCAAGAAACCAAAATTTTGAAACAGTAAAATAAATTCAAAAAATATGAATAATTCTTGAAACAGCGAAAAAATTAGAAAATCAGAAAGTTGAAAATTCCTAGAAAAATTCAAATTTTCTAGGTTTGGATGACTTGAAAATGTCTAGAAATAGTTTTTTCAAACAATTTTTCATAAGAAAAAAATTTCAATAAAATTCTCATTTGTGGGCTCAAAACTATAAATAGATGTTCTATCAGAACACCAAAATAATTTTTGAAATTATCAAAATTTTGAAACAGTAACTATGTATTCACAGAAAACAGTTATTAGTTCAGAAAAATGATCAGAAAACATTTTAAAAAAATGTGAAACAGTGAAATTTTTATTTATAATTTTCAGCTTGTCAGTTTTCTCAAAAAAATGTTTTTTCGAGTTTCGGGTTTCAATTTAGCTCAAATGTTCATAATTTCGCATTTTTTTCGGTGAAAAATCGATAGTAAATTTCCCCAATATCTTTGTATTATTTGAATGACTTTAAAAAACCACCAGAAAAATATGAGAAAATTTTGAAACAGTGAATTTTCTTTGAAAAATTAAAAATCGGGAATTTTTATAGCCATATAGCACATGAAATCAATTGCTAAATCCTAAATTTTTATTTATTCATTTTTTGAAACAGTAAATTTTCTATCGAAAAAAAATTGGGAAAATTCGTGGAGAACCGTCATCAAGGCAATTGGAAAATTGTTTTTTTTATTAGAAAAATTTTTGAAACAGTGAAAAATTCAACTAAAATCAACTAAAAAACCCCACTAGAAAATTTATAAATTTTTTGAAACAGTGAAAATTTTCTGGTTTTTTTTGAGTGACTATCAAACACACTTTTAAAATTTTCTAAATTTCCAGGAAATCAACAAAAAAGTCTATCAAGAGCCCAGTGAAGCCTAAAATTCAGGCCTGGCCCAATTAAAACACATGTTGTTTTTCAAAAATTTTTTGTTGTTGTCGAATAAAAATACTATAAGAAGAGGAAATAAATCAGGAAAAAGAAAAAAAAATTCAAATAGAAATTAGAAACAGTGAATTTTTGATGAAAAATACGGAAATTTCAAATACCAAGAAAAGATAGCTTTAATACTGTAAAATTCTTGATTTTTATTTAACAAAATTTTTGAAACAGTAAATTTTTTCCAAGAAAAAATTGAAATCTTGTTTTTTTCTTCAATTTTTTCTTAAAAATAATGAACAGTAAAATTCTTGATTTTGATTTGAAAATATTTTTTTGAAACAGTGATTTTTTGAATGAAAAATTTGGGGAATTTTAGAAAAATCCTTTATTTCTAGTTATAAATTTCTGAAACATTGAATATTTTAACAAAAAATTTGGTACCAAATATAATCAAATCATTTCATATCAACCACTAATTTGAAAAGTTCCTGATTTTCATTTAAAAATTTTCTGAAACAGTAAATATTTTCTAGAACGTGAATACACTAACAAGTTTGCAAAATCATCAGAAATGTGTGAAAAAATGTTGAAACAGTGAGATTTTTCATGAAATATTAAGATTGAAGGATTCTTCAGAAGCTGTATTGAGAACTTGAAAAATATTTTATTTTGTGAAGATTTTTTGAAACAGTGAATTATTTTCAAAAACCAATCGGGACATCAGCAATTATAAAATTCTCTGTTTTCATTCGAAAATTGTTTGAAACAGTGAATTTTTTCTCAAAATTTAACTTTAACAAAATCTTTGAAATGAACAAAAAATTCTCCCGAACTGCAAGAAATCACAAAACTTTGAAACAGTACAATAAATTCAAAAAATATGAATAATTAATGAAACAACGAAAAAATTAGAAAATCAGAAAGTTCCAAATTCCTAGAAAAATTCAAATTTTCTAGGTTTGGATGACTTCAAAATGTCTAGAAATAGTTTTTTTCATAAAAAATTTCACAACAACTAAAATTTTCAAGAAAATTCTCATTTGTGGTCTCAAACTTATAAATCGCTATTCAATCAGAACACCAAAATAATTTTTGAAACAGTAACTATGTATTCACAGAAAACAGTTATTAGTTCAGAAAAATGATCAGAAAATATTTTTTTTAAATGTGAAACAGTGAAATTTTTCATTTATAGATCTCAGCTTGTCAAATTTCTCAAAAAAAAAAGTTTTTTTTCGAGTTCCGGATTTCAATTAAAATTTCAATTATTTGAATGACTTTAAAAAACCACCAGAAAAATATGACAAAATTTTGAAACAGTGAATTTTCTTTGAAAAATTGAAAATCGGTAATTTTTATAGCCATATAGCACATGAAATCAATTGCTAAATCCTAAATTTTTATTTATTCATTTTTTGAAACAGTGAATTTTTTTTGAAATTTTTCAAATCAAGTATTAATTCCACAAGAAGCAGGCATATTAGCACGGCGAGAATTTTTAAACCTCCCCCCTCCCTTGGAAAATGCGGCAGAGAAACCGGTGTTGCAATACGAGAGAGTGAGAAAATCGGGGAGAGCGGGAAAAGAAAAAGAGTACAGGCGAAAAAATGGCTGGAGAAAATTGAAAATCCTAAAAATTTCCTCTCGCATACATTATCATTAGAGCGCACATTCTCTACTCCTCGCTATTTTCTGCGGGAGGGGGAAGAAGAACAAAAAGTTTTATTTTTCTCGCCGTGTTAGCAGTTCAATTGAGAAGAACATTTTCAAAGCAGTTTTTTGAAACAGTAAATTTTTGATGAAAAATTTAAAATTCTGGGAATTTTAGAAAAAATAAATTGCAATACGAAATCATTCAATAAATCCCAAATTTTTTAATCAAAACTTTTTTTGAAACAGTAAATTTTCTACACAAAAATCGGGAAATTTTTGGAATTTTTTGAAAAAAAAAACATCAATTAAATGGAAATTGAACAATATTTTTCAATTTTCAAGATTTACAATTTTTGAAACAGTGAAAAATTATGTCCACATTTTCCTAACAACTTTTATGCTGGATCAACTAAAAAAAACCCACCAAAAAATTTATAAATTTTTTGAAACAGTGAAAATTTTCGGGGTTTTTTTTGTTGACAATTTCAGCCTAAATTTTGTTTGATAACACAATTTTCCAGAATTTTCATAAATCAGGCAGAATTTTTCCGTCCAGAGCCCAGTAAAGCCTAAAAATTAGGCCTGAAAGGCCTGGCCCAATTAAAAAACACATTTTGTTTTTCAAAAATTTTTTGTTGTTGTTGAATAAAAATACTATAAGAAGAGGAAATAAATCAGGAAAAATACAAAAAAAATGACAGAAATTTGATGAAAGCACTAGAATTTGAGGGGAAAATAGAATTCTTGGAGTTTTAATAAGTCGAGCGAATTGAAGTCAATGCAGAATGTGCCAAAAGCAAACGGGTTAAGAAGAGAGTTTCTTCGTGGCGGCGAGCATCTTCGATGAAATCCGAAGCGATTCTGGAAAATTTGGGAGGAAATTTGAAAATTTTGTGATTTTTTTTTGAGAAAATTGGTTAATTTTAGGATTGATCTGAGCAATTATCTGAAATCACTGTGTTTATGATAAATAATTCTTGATTTTTGTTTTGAAATATTCAGAAACAGTGAATTTTTCATGGAAAAAAAGACAGAAATTATAGAAATAGCAGCAGTTCAATTAAAAATAAATTTTTTGAAACAGTAAATTTTTCATGAAAAATTTAAAATTTAGGGAATTTTAGAAAACACACTGCAGAACATAATCAGTTGATAAATCCTAATTTTTTCATTACACACAATTTTGAAACAGTAAATTTTCCACACAAAAATCGGGAAATTTTTGGAATTTTCGAATTTTCAGAACTGGATTACACCAACGAATTGAGAACTTTAAAAAAATTCTTTTTATGAAGATTTTTTAAAACAGTTAATTTTATATTCAGAAGAAATTGGATAAATAATGGAGACAAGAACCGAAAAAGTCCTCAAGCAATTGGAAAATTCTTTTTTTTTTTGAAAATTATTTGAAACAGTAATTTTTCATTTATTTTTGATCGAAGTAAATAAATTGATTACAAATTTTTTTAAAATTTCAAGAAACAAAAAAATTTAAAATTTTGAAACAGTACAAATTGCCCATTATTTTCTAAATTAATTAAATAATTTTTCAGATAATCAACTGACCATTACAGACATTTTCAGACATATTTAGATCATGCAAAGTCTCGAAATCAGTTCAATCATCAAGAAAATTTTCAAAACACTTTTTTGAAACAGTCAATTTTTTATTGAAAAAATATTACAAATCAATCGGAAAATTCTTTTTTTTTTTTATTTGAAAATTGTTTGGAACAGTAAATTTTCATTTATTTCTAATCAAAGTGAATAAATTAATAAAACATTTCTCAAATATTTCAAGAAATCAAAATTTTGAAACAGTACAAATTGCACATTATTTTCTAAAGTAATTAAATAAATTTTCAGATAATCAACTGAAAATTACAGACATTTTCAGACAGATTTGATCATGCAAAGTATCTGTTTAAATTGAAAATAGAATTAAAATATCAAATTCCTCTCAAATTTCAGATTTTTTTTTGTATTTGAGAACGCCCCATATACTGAACAATAATTTTCAAATTTCAAGATGTTTTTACAATTAGTAGCAGTCTCCCTGATTCAAACTTGCCGCCGTGTGCCACAAACACGTCCGGTGTCACTTCACTGACGCGTTTGAGGTGCACACAAACGCGTCCTCGTTTTTCATTTTGAATTTAGTTTTGTTTTGTGTTTTGCGAGTTGGATTACTCGTGCACATTTTTGTTGTAATCTAGGAATCTAGGTCAAAGGTTGGTGGTACCAATCTACATTGTTGTTTTTGTTTTTATTGTTGCATAATCAGTTCCTGAGAATAAATTATCGGGAATCAATTGTGTTCAAATCTTCACGATATACAAGTGGTTCTCTCCACTTTCATCTTTCTTATCGCGGTTGGCTAAGCAACAACTTAGCACCAGCCGACTAATTTTTGAAACAGTGAAAATTTTCAACAACAAAAAATGATTTGTTGTCCTAGAAAATAGATTTTCCTACAAAATTCTTATTTTTTGACACAAAAAATGTTGGGAATTCAAATTTTCCATAAACTTTTAATTAATAGATAACCTATCTGGATCAATTAAAAAAAACCCAACCAGAAAATTTAAAAATTTTTTGAAACAGTGAAAATTTTGCGAAAAAAAAACATGAAATTTACAGATGTTTGGTCATAATAAACAACATATATCAAAAAACGAACATAAATCTCATGTCACAAATTATCAAAATTTCGAAACAGTGAAAATTTTTTGGAGGAAAAATCGTATATTACTGAATTTCTCAAAATATCCAGATTTTCCAACAAGAATTTAAGCATTTTTTCACAATTTGTTAACCTTTCCAAGGCAATAATATAGTCAAATTGGCGAAAATGCAAAGAGAATTGAAAAAGAATCAGAAAATCGCGATAATTTTAAAAATTATTAATATTTTGAAACAGTGAATAATTTTCAACTAAAATATCTGTATTGGATATCAAATATACCAAAAATCAATTCGAAAAATTATGAATAATTCTTGAAACAGCGAAAAATTCAGAAAATTCATAGAAGCATTGATTTTCACGAAAAATTCAAATTTTCTAGATTTTTAGAGCTTGAAAATTTCTAGAAATAGATTTTCCGTACCTATTTTCACGGATATATCAGAACACCAAAATAATAATCGAAATTATCAAAATTTTGAAACCATTTAATGGGTTTTGGGTTCAGTAGTCGCATCGTGGTGTATTATCAATATTTTAATTCAATTATAAACCAGTAAAAAACGAAAACGACGGTAAATTTGGATAATTGTTTTATTGTTCCAACGTTTCGATGTATTCACATCATCATCAGGGTGTTAAATACCTGGAAATATACAACTGAGAAATATACACAAACATTGAGAAATCACATAAATAGATAAGATTGGAATTTTTTAAAAAATGTGAGAAGTTATAGTACAACTAGTTAGTAGAAATTGTAATGGTAAAGTTATTTACAAATATGGAAACTTTTTAAGGTGTAAAGCTATGAAAAATTCGTTGAAAACTGGTTTATAATTGAATTAAAATATTGATAAAATTTTGAAACAGTCAATATATTTCCAAGTATGAGGGATGAGATCAGTTCGCAAAATCAACAGAAAATATGGAAAAATGTTGAAACAGTGAGATTTTTTTATTGAAAAATCAAGATCTTCAAAATTTTCTGGAAATTCTCAAAAATTTCAGGGAAAAATTGATTGAAATTCGGATTTCGAAGTTCAAAAATAGAGAACAATTATGGTTCCAGATTTTTTTGAAAATATTTTCGATAAAAAAATTAATAGTAAATTTTCCTACTAAGAAGCCCAGTTGATTGATTTCAAAACCATCATGAAAATAAGAAAACAATTTGAAACAGTGTTTTTTGAAATTATCAAAATTTTGAAACAGTGAATATTTTCAAACATAGACCTCACATCAGTTCGCAAAATCAACCGGAAATATAAAAAAAATGTTGAAACAGTGAGATTTTTTATTGAAAAATCAAGGTCTTCAAAATTCTCTGGAAATGCTCAAAAATTTCAGACAAAAATTGACTGAAATTCGGATTTCGAAGTTCTAAAATGAACAAAGAGAACACATATAGTTCCACATTTTTTTGAAAATATTTCCGATAAAAAAATTAGTAGTAAATTTTTCTACTAAGAAGCTCAGTTGATTGATTTCAAAACCATAAAAAAAAATAAGAAAAAAATTTGAAACAGTGAAAATTTTTGCAGCTAGAATTAGGCAAAAATACTCAATTTTCAGCTCAAAAATCAAATTTTCGTGAGATTTCTCAATTTTAGCTCAAAATTTCATGAAAATTATCGAATTTCGGCTCAAAAAATCGAGAATTTTTCAATTTTCCCTCCCCAAAACCCCTCACCTTCTGGTAGCTCCATCAGTCAATTGCAAAACTCTAACCGCATCCAATCTTTTTCCCTGATTCCACAATTTTTGAGCCCGTTCCAAAAGCGAAATATTCGTCTCTTTAGCCGGATTTAGCCTGAAAATAGACAAAAATCAAGGGTTTTTCGACTAAATTTTGAAAAAACAACCAACTTTTCCTCATTTTTAATTGGCAGAGTAAAAGTCATGGAAGAATTGAGCCAAGACATCAAATGAGCCAAAACACCGTGTCCAGTTGAGGAATTGACGTAGGCAACTCGGCGGCCAATTCGATAGACCTGATAAATGATTTTGGCGGGAGATTTTCATGAAATTTTCAATTTTCAGTCAATTTTTGAATTTTTGGAAATTTTTTCCACGAAAAAAATTTACTGTTTCAAAACTTACACTTTTGAAATACTATTTTTCAATTTTTAATCATATAGCGTCATCAAAAATAAAAATTAAAGAGTTCTTGAATTTTGGCTGAAAATTAAGCTTCTCACGATTTTCAGCATGAAATTCGGGCTGGAAATGGATTTATGATATAAAACTTCATTTTTCTTGAATTCAGACTGATAATCAGGATTTTCATTGAAATCCGGAATTTTTTTCCAAAAAAATTTACTGTTTCAAAACTTACACTTTTGAAATACTATTTTTTCAAGTTTTAATTTTTAATTCCTATAGTAACAAAAAATAAAAATTAAAGAGTTCTTGAATTTTGGCTGAAAATTAAGCTTCTCACGATTTTCAGTATGAAATTTGGGCTGGAAATTGATTTATGATATAAAACTTCATTTTTCTTGAATTCAGGCTGAAAATCAGAATTTTCATTGAAATCCCGAATTTTTTTTTCAAAAAAAAAATTTACTGTTTCAAAACTTACACTTTTGAAATACTATTTTTCAATTTTTAATTTTATATGTATTAACAAAAAATAAAAACAAAAAAAGAGTGGGCCGAACCGGGGATTGAACCCGGGACCTCTCGCACCCAAAGCGAGAATCATACCACTAGACCATTCGGCCACGCTCTAAATCCATCATAAATTTAGCTTATCTTACGGAAGCTGGGATTTCTTATGAGATTTTATCCAATTTTCCCATAAGATAAGATAACCTGGAAATTTTCAATAGATTTAAAACGTGGCCGAATGGTCTAGTGGTATGATTCTCGCTTTGGGTGCGAGAGGTCCCGGGTTCAATCCCCGGTTCGGCCCACTTTTTTATTTTTATTTTTTGTTACTATAGAAATTAAAAATTGAAAAATAATATTTCAAATGTAAACATTTTGAAACAGTTAATTTTTTTCGAGAAAAAAAAACGTTTTTTTCTAGTAATTCTTTGGAGCTGAAACTTAGGCTCATTTAGGCTAAGTTTTTCTAAACTTCTAGGCGAATTTGAGGCCTAAAGCTAGGCTTGTCTAGGCCCATTTTTCAGGTTTCTAGAACTGAAAAATTTTGTCAGAAACTCAAATTTTGCTAATTTTCTTGAAAAACTGGAAAATTCCCCCCCAAAACCCCACAAACCTTTGCAAATCTCGCATCCAAATCCGAACACGTATATTCTCCCTTAATTTTGCTGACACGTTTCATCGATTTGTCGACAAGTTTCAACAATTCGTCATTTCCAGCACATTTCATCAAAACCTGCAAAAAAAAAATTTGGATGAGATTTTCTGGTGAAACAGTGGATTTTTTGTAAATAATTTTGATTTTTCAAAAAAATGAGAACTTTTTTTTGAATTAAAATTTTATTTTGAAAAATTTTGTAGTAATAATATCATTTACACGACAGGTGGAACACTAATTCTCAAATTTCGAAATTTCAATAAAAACAAATTTGAAACAGTAAATTTTTCAGATTCCAAAAATTTTTAACCTCGAAAATTCAGAAAATGGAAAGCCTTCAATTTCAACTTGAAATATATTACACGTGTTTTCAAAGTGATAAATAAAACAAATTTTCAAAATTTTAAATTAAAAATTATTTGAAACAGTGCAGAGCAAATATTGAGAAATAAAATTTATTTCATTAAAATTTTGAAACAGTAATTTTTCAAGTTTCAAAATTCCAGAAAAATATACCGAAAAGGAAAAAGAGAACTAGACTAGACTAATTTCGAGAATATTTCTTCAAGAAAACTTTGAAACAGTGAAAATTCAAATACAGAAGAATCAAAATTTGAAAAATGAAATTTATTTCGTCAAAATTTTGAAACATTAATTTTTTTGAGGTTTCAAAGATCTTATTATTTTTAATAAAAAATTAAAAATTCGCGGTTTTTCGGTTGAAAATTTCACTATTCTCAGGAAGAAAATTGCAAAAATTAATAAAATTTTTGAAACATTGAAAATTCAAATTACTTTATTTATTTTAATGTGGAAATCATCTAATGGAAAAAAATCAACATTTGAAAAGCAAAAAAAAATGTTTTCCGTAATTCTTGAAACAGTAATTTTCCAGGTTTTAAAATTCCAGAATAATATACCAAAAGAGAAGAAAACAAAAAATTAAAGATGTTTCGTAAAAAATTCTTCAAAAAAACCTTGAAACAGTGAAATTTTTACATATTTTAGGTCAACAATTTTGGGTTTTTCTCAATTTTTGAATGAAAATCTGGATTTCTGACTATTTTAGCACACAAATTTTTTTCATGAATTTTAAGAATTTTTGATATTTATTCAACGTTTTCTTCCTGTAGTAACAGAACACTTTGAAATTTTTGAAACAGTAAATTTTTCAAATCTCATTTTTCTTGAATTTTTAGTTCAATTTTTGGCTCGAAAAAATTTAACTGTTTCAACAATTCTAGTAAATATTTTCGAGATTTTGAAGGTTTTTTAGCTCAAAAATCTCATTTTCCCTGTTTTTTGGGCTCAAAAAACACATATTTTTCAACCAGAAAACCCCATTTTTCTCAATTTTCCCCCTCAAATTTTACCTTCATTTGCTCCCCCAACGGTGCTCTTCTTCCCTTCCATACAACATTTCGATCGATTCCCAAATTTCACAGTATCCACCAAATTTTGTGTCGCCAACCACATTTGTTTCGATTTTCGATTCTCGATATCCATTTGAACGTGTCCATCCAATGCTTTTTCGATTCCTTCCAATTGAGCCAAAGCTTTTCCGATTTGAGAAGAATAAATCTGGAAAAAAATAAAATTTTTGGGGGAAAGGGAGTGAAAATGTCTAGATTTCCCAAAATAAATTTTGAAATTTCATTTATTTTTTCATGTAAATTTTCATTGAGGAATCAATCAGAAATTCGGAGAAATTAATTCAAAAATTTGTTGAAACAGTGAATTTTTTCGTTGAAAAATGGGAATTTTGTGAAATTTAACTTGTTTTTTCTCAAAAATCAATTTTTCAACGAAACAAAAACTCATAACCATCAAACAAAGTTTTAAAAAATAATTCAACAATTTTTGAAACAGTGAAATTAAATATCAAAATTCATAACATCAGAATGAAATTTTCAGTTTTTTAGTATTACAGCCATTCTCCAGATTGAATGAAAAATCAAAAAAAATTCAATTGAACAATTTTTGAAACAGTAAATTTTATAAGCTTTGGAACTTCGAATTTTCAGAAATTTTCAATGCAAAAATTAGGCAATACTTGAAATGATGAAAAATAGCTGTATTTTCAGATTTTCTTCTCGAAATCATATTATCGTAACCAATAATTTTTTTGAAAAATTCTTTAATTTTTGAAACAGTGAATTTTTTTCAATGAATTTCAGTACTGCAACCAAAATTAAAGGAACACCAAAAACTAAAAGGTCAACATCGCTAGGTGAAGCCGCGCATACCAAAACAGACACTTTAATACTCCTACTTTCATTCCCTATACTCACTTTTCGATGAAAAAATTATTCTGAACTTTTAGAGGAAAAAATATTTTTCTGTGGAAAAATGAAAAAACTCAAAATCAAATTGCCACGCCTTTTGCGCTAAACACCAGGCGAGCGGAATGTCGTTGTTTTCTTTTTGTTTTTTTTGTTTTCGAAAAATATTTTTTGCGTTTTTCCATTTTTTCTTTGTTTCTCATAGTAAATGACGACTTTAAGTAGTAAATTCGATATTCTGGTTATCAACAAAACGTATTGATTGCAGATTGGAAGAACATTCGTGGCGAAATAAGTGAATTTGGTCGGAATCTGCGTTTTCAACCTACAATCGCGGATTTTGATCGTTTCTCCAACACATCCTGATGATATTCGAAATAAATATGACATCCACGAATTTCGAGCGCCTACAGTTGTTTTTGAATGGTCGGAGTTCTGATAAATTCGTTTTTTTAAACAAATAAACCGGTTTTCATCAAATTTTATTGAAAAATGACAGAAAACAGATTTTAAAAGAGTAAATGTATAGAGTAATCGCGATCAGAACATTGATGAGCAGAATCGTCGAGGAAGAAGTGTATTTGGTGAGTTTGGTTTGCAAGAAGGACGACTTTCGATCGAAACCGACTTGAAATCATGAAAATTCATCAAATCTCTCCAATTAGCCTCGATTCATGACTATTCATAGGGTCTTTCTTCTACTTCTACGGCTTTCTTGGATTTTCCAGCAGTTTTTATGCATTTTTCACATTTGTCAGGCCTGGAAAACAGTGATTTATGAGAATAATCTGTAATTTAGGCTCAAAATGCTCACCTCTTTTTGCCTGAAAATTGACGAATTTTCGCATTCCTCCGTCGAAAACATGATCGAGACAGTTGGGAGAAGAATTGCCAACATCAATTTACTGAAAAATATATGAATTCATCGTTGAAAAGTGAAAAACAAGCGAAAACTCCCGAAAAAACAAAAAAATAAAAAAAATATTTTTTTTGTGTGCATTCTGCCGTGACGGTGTTTGCACACTTCGCTCTGAGTCCTCTGAGGAGGGAATTCAAACGGTTTTTTTCCCTTTTTTTTATTTTGGCGCAAACTTCACCATTTTTGCAAATTTTTTTTTACTTGTTGCGAACATTTGTAAATTGACATTGATTATTTCGAGTTCTGAAGTGTTTTTTCGTATACGCTAGAGTGACTATTAGCTTTTGGTGTTCCTTTAAGGAATTGAATCAAACATCAAGACAAAAAAATTTTTGAAACAGTAAATTTTTCTGTGAATTTTGGGTGATAAATGGGAATTTAATATTGAATAAAATCCAAGAAAAATTCAATTGAACAACTTTTGAAACAGTGAATTTTTTGAGTTCATAAAAATTCCCAAAATTCCCAATATTCCCAGTAATTTATAGGCTGAAATTCCAGATTTTTCACCCAAAACCCCATCAAATTCAGGCTCAAAATGCTCACCTCCTTTTGCTTTTCAACCGCAATTTTCACATCATTCGCATGTTCAATATCATATAGTTGTTTTTGAGTTTTGACAACTTGCTCCAATTTTTTGTCATATTTTTGTTGAATTTCTTGGATTTTGATCTTTAATTCTTCGTCGAATTTCTTGTGATCAATCTGGAAGAAAAATCGATATTTTCAGGTAGAAATTTTCTGAAAATTTTAAATTTTCAGCAATTTTTGAGCTCAAAATGCTCCAGATTGTTAGAGAATTTTAAAAATCAATTCTATTCAAATTCAGGCTCAAAATTTTCAGATTTTTCACGATCTTCCGTCAAAAATTGTCTGAAAATCTCTAATTTTCAGCCAAAAAGCAATTCTAGTTAAATTTAGGCTCAAAATGCTTCAAATTTACAAAGTTTCAGAAAAATGCGCATTTTCAGCAAAAATAATTGAATTTCGGCTCAAAATGCTTCAAATTTTGCTAGAAATTGACTGAAAATGCTCAAAAATCGAAATTTTCAGCTAAAAAGCATTTCTAGTCAAATTTAGGGCTCAAAATGCTCCAAATTTTCAGATTTTCTCATTCAAAAATCCATATTTTCAGCAAAAATATCCGAATTTGAGCTCAAAATGCTCCAAATTCCCACCTCCGGTACAATAATCGGTTTCAAATTCTTCTTCGCATTCTCCTCAGCCTCAATTCTCAACTTCTCCAAAATATCCGCTTTTTTTGCCTCAATTGCCGTTTTCACGCGTTTTCTCTTCGTTCATTTTCAAATCGATGAGTTTGAGCGAAAGTTGATCGACTCTTAAATGTGCATGAGCCAAAATTGTGCGCAAATCCGATTTTTTCATCTTTTTTCCATCTTCGTAATCAAGTCTGCAAAAAAATTGATTTTTTTGGCGCCAAAATCTACAGTAACCCCAAACTCACTCCGGATGCACAGCCTTTAATTCCAACATGAATTTCTTGCGACTCTCCTCGACCAAACTACCGTAGTCTCGCGTGAAAATCTGCTCCGCATCGATTTTTTTGACACTTGTCACCATTTCATCCAATTCATTCGACAATTTTTTGGCAGTTTCTTTTGAGATTGGAACCAATGGATTTAGTTGGGTGGTTTCACCTTGTCCACCAATGTTGGCTTCCTGGAAAAAATTGAAAAAAATTGCAATTTTGCGGCATGGTTTTAGGGGCGGGGCTTAGGTGATATCAATGTTCAACTTTTTTCAAGCAAATCTCGACATTATCAACAAAATCCTAGCTAATTTTGAATTTTGCAATTTGCGGCATGGTTTTGTGGGCGGAGCTTACAGTTATCTCGAATTTTGATGTTTGCAATTTCGCGGCACAGTTTTAGAAGCCTATGAGACACTTAATTTATGTTTGAAAACTTCCCTGCGGCATGGATTTAGGGGCGGAGCTTATAAAACAGCTTCTGATTCTTAATTTCTGCAATTTTGCGGCATGGTTTATGTTAAAAATTTAACTGCGGCACGGTTTTGTGGGCGGGGCTTAAATTAACCCTAGAATTTCAATATTTGCAATTTTGCGACATGGTTTTAGGGGCGGGGAACACTCATTTTCGCTATTTTCTCATTGGAGCGCAATTGCTCTACCGCCTTCAAAAAATTAATCATTCTAATGGTTTTCGACCAAAAATAAGAAAAATCGATACTTTCAGGCTAAAATCCGTGAAATTCCTCGATTTTTGATCCAGAAACCATATTTTTACTGGAAAAATCGATATTTTCTCATTGCTCACCCGACTTCAAAAAATTGTTTGAAAATCCATGTTAGGCGCAAAAATATCAATTTTTGAGCTGAAAATCGTGAAAACTTGCATTTTCTGGCTCAAAAACCATGGAATTTCAATTAATTTTTCGAATTCGGGTGAGCAAACGCGCTCCAATGAGAAATTCACGATTTTTTGCGTTGAAACATGTGTTTTGGGTTGAAAATTCGATAATTTTAGGCTAAAATTGCGATATTTGGCTCAATTTTTGCGGCATGGTTATGTGGGCGTGGCCAACACATTTTTTAAATTAGCTTTGACTCTCAAAAATTAGGCTCCGCTCACAAAACCATGCCAAACTTGCAGAAACCAAAAAATTGCTATATCTCCATGCGGCATGGTTTTGTGGGCGTGGCCAATATATTTTCGATTATTTAAGCTTCGGCAAGGTTTTCTGGGCGGAGCCAGCTGATTTTCCAATCAATTTTGGCTCTCATAAACTAAGCTCCGCCCACAAAACCATGCGGAACTTGCAAAAACCAATAATAAATCATATTTTTAGGTGCGGCACGGTTTTATGGGCGTGGCCAAGCAATTTTCCAAAAAATTCCTACCGCCACCAACTCTGCGACCATATTCCGCGCCTCTTTTTCCGCCTCAATATCCTTCGCCGTCAATCGCTTGGCCTTAACATGAGCAACAGTCACCGCATCCCAATCGCCATCTTTTCCGCCTTCAATCGCTTCGCGAATCGTTTGAATATGATTTTCTATCGCGCGAATCGTCTCCAATTTCGCCGTCGTCGCAGTTTTTGTCGCTTTTTCCGCCGAAATCAGCTTCGATTTGAGCTCTTCGGTGAGTTGTTCGTTCTTTTCCAGCGAATTTTCCTTTCCCAAGTAGGGATTTTCAGCTTTTGGCTTGCGAATTTTTCCAGATGTCGCCGTTTGAACTGTGACTGTATTCGGGTCAACTTGTTTTACACCAATCAGCTCTTTTTTCAGCTCAACTTTCTTTTCTTTCAGTTTTTCTGGCTCTGCAACAACAATTGTCTTTTTCTCAACAATTTCTGTTGATTTCGCCTCAAACTGCGTCAATTTCCCATCTTTATTCATCTGCAATGGTCTCAATTCCTTCAATGAAATTGGTGCAGGTTCCGCTGCTCCAATCGCATAATTCAGCACATTTTTCGTCGCCGGAATCGATTTTTCCAAACTTTTTCGAAAATCATTGTCATAACTCGCATATCCAGCGACTCCAATAGTTCCAGCAGCTGCGGAGCCCAACAAAACACCAACTAATCTCGCGCCACCACCTGAACCGCCAGCTGAACTTGATGCGAGGCGATTTATCGATTTTTTCAAATTTGCAGATTTCTGGAAGCACTAGAAATGTTCCCTGGGAAATTTTGTGGAAGAAACACCTACCAATAACTTATTACCACTTTGTTGCATCGCGAAATGCTGAAATGATTGAGTTTTGCGTGGAAAACGGGGGGACACGTGGGAAAAACGAAAAAAAAGAAAAGAAAAATGAGCGGCGTGGCCGAACTTTTTCTAGTCCCCGAGGGAATCGTTGCGAGACCAAATCGCAAAATTGGATGTTCCTTTGATAGAACTACGATGTGTTTTCGAAAAAAAAACTTTTTTTTCGATTTTCTGGACTTCTTGTAAGTGAAAAATTTATTACAAAATCGAGAATCATACATTCAATAAAAACAAGAATCATGTAAGTACAGTTGTGAAATTAATTAAATACAAAAAAATCTACGCCCAATAATTTTTATTTTGAATCGCGCACGCGTTGAGCATTTTTGACAAATTATCGATCAATTCACCGCTTGCATCTTCTTTCACATCATTTCTGTTATTGGCAAATCTTTCGAGTCTCAATGATTTTCTGCAAAAAAACGCGTTTATTTCCCAACCGCGACGCACAGCCGCACGCGACTAACAAAAACCCACTGATGCGCGATAAAATTGTTTCTCCCTCGTTTCGCCATATTTTCCGCGGCATAAAGAACATTTGGAACAGCCGGTGGTTGAAAACTGACTTGATGGCCGAATGCCAAGAAATACGTCATATGTGAAATCTCATTGACCGTCCATTTTGGATCATTCACAATGATGCTGTAGCGAGCTGGTCTGATGGTTCCCTGTGAGAAAGCTTTTTTGGAAAATTTTAAGAAAATGGTGACTTACGATAAGTGCGCTTTGGCTAACCAAATAAAATTCATCGCGATCATATCGAGTAATTCCAGCAGTTAGGCAAGTTCCCGAAGGCACATTTTGCTCAAAAGATGTTCCGTTTCTGCTTAAATTTTGCGGATAGATTCGAAGATGCGATGTTTTCGATACAACAATCATCAAGAATTCAGGAACCTGTTTTCGCTCCCTTTCAAAAACCATTTTCATTTCTCGAACCTCATCTTCAACCCGTTCAAAATCACCTTCACCAACGCCACTTCGATAAATAACAATCTTATCTGGCATAGTTCTCTTCACCAATTCGTAATTCGAAACAATCATCGACATATGTTTTTGAATGTACATGAGAGAGTGTTCCCGGGGTTTTTGGAGGTATGAATATCCGCCCAAATCACAAGGATCACCTAAGCTATAGGAATATCCGACGACTGATGGCTCGCCGCAAGAAATGTTGTTTTGACGGTCGAAAAGACACGTGGCACTGGCGTGTGATAATTCGAAACCAATGAATAATGTGTTGCCAAATAACATGTCGTGAACTCTGGAATAAGAGACTTGCGAATCCGCTGATCTCGAATCCATTTTCACACGCAACGCAGACCGCGTCGCGCCACAACACACAAAAAAGGGAGGGAATTTGAATCGTTCCCTTAGATATTTGTGTGTGTGTGTTGTGGCGCGGCGCGGTCTGCGTTGCGTGTTTATTTCGGTGGAGCGCGTGTTACCGATGAGATTTTTGATAATAAATTACCTCTTTTCATTATCGCACAATTGTTTCGATTGAACTTGTCGTGGAATCGAAAATGTGAAATTCAAACCACCACCTTTCAAATTAAACTTCCTTATAACATTATCAGTTGTCTGAAAAAAAAACACAAAAAAATTATGTAAATAAAAAAAAATAGTAATCCAACCTGTCTTCCACCAAAATCCCCCGTCATTTTTCTGAATGTGCTGAACGAGATGTGCTGGGTTTGAACACCGATTTGTGCCTCATACAATTTGATGAAATCATGAACATCGGGACGTTGCTCGCGAGTTACGGCAAATATCATCGAAACTCCATTATTTTTCGCGTCTCTCATGATATTTCTGAGCTTCTGGTGATCCGATTCAGCACAATCAATCATTTTCCAAACTCCGGATCGTTTTGAAATGTGAATATTTTGATTTTTGCAAGCATCGGAGATCGCATTAGACAAACGGCTGAAAAATTCAATTATTTTTGCTGAAAATGCGTATTTTTCTGAACAATTTTGAAAATTTAGAGTATTGCGAGCCTAACTTTGTCTGAAATTGCTTTTTAACTGAAAATTTCGATTTTTAAGCATTTCCAGACAATTCCTAGCTGAAAATCTGAAAAGTTAGAGCATTTTGAGCTCAAATTTCACTAGAATTGCTTTTTGACTGAACATTTAGACGATTTCTAGCTGAAAATTTGAATAAAATCTTGTCTAACATGAGTTATAGGCTCTCAAAAACGAAATTTTGCAACCAAAAAGCAATTCTAGTCAAATTTGACCTCAAAATGCTCCAAATTTTCAGATTTTTCAGCAAAAATAGTCGAATTCGGGCTCAAAATGCTTCAAAACTGAAAAACTGTACTGACCTACAACCATCATTCCGAATCACTCCATCAAAATTGATAATCCAAATTTCGCGCAACTCGGCTCCTCTCAAAAACCTTGCACCACCTTTTGAATCAATAATCGGTCGTTTCATGGTACCGGTCTGGATTTCAACTTTATAATTTCTCGCAAAATGAATAATTGGGGCCGGGAGGATTTTTGCAATCATTTCAACTGGTTTTCGAGTGATTTCCAAACCAAAAGCTTGCAAAAATGGATTTTCATCGATTTTCAAAATTTCATGGAGGATTTTTGAAGCGAGTTCGATGTGTTTGGCCGGCAACATTGCCATTTTTCCCGTCATAAATTGTTGCTAAAAATTATTTTTGTTTCAGTTTTTTTCGCAAAAAAAAAAAAGAAAATTGAACTTACAATTGCTGCTGTGATATTATTCTGTTTGACCCTTTGTCCTCTTTCGATTTTCAAAATTTCCAACGGATAGCAAAGCACACGATTTCCAATTTTTTGAATTGCCAGAGGCAAATCCGGATATTTCAATCGAATGCGGTATTTGTCCAAAAAATAATCGTAAACAGACATTTCCTTGCCAGATTCATCAGCAAATTTGCATCTGAAAAAGAATGATTTTTGAAACAGTGAATTTTTTTTTATGAGTTTGGAAATTTCCAATTATTGGAATTTTCAGAATTATTCAAACAAAATGTGTGTCAAAATTATGTACTTTCCGATTTTTTTACTCAAAATTAAATTTTTTGCCAATAAAAATTATATTTTTTTTTCGTTCAAAGTTTGGTCCAACTATAATACAGAAAATTCGTAGAAAACAATTAAACAATTTTTTGAAACAGTGAATTTTTTTGATTTTTTTTTACATCTAAGAATCAAAATCCACATCTTCAGATTGAAATTATCAAAAATCTCGGTTTAAAAAAAATCCATTTTTCAACTAGAAGAGAATTTTGAAGCAGGGCATGCATTGTTGAATGAAAAAAATCAAGAAAAATTCAATTGAGCAACTTTTGAAACAGTAAATTTTATAAATTTGGAAATTTCCAATTATTGGAATTTTCAGAATTATCCAAACAAAATTGTGTCAAAAATTATGTGCTTTCAGATTTTTTTTTCAAATATTTTTGCCAATAAAAATTCCTTCACTTTTTTCGTTCAAAGTTATTTGCTCTACTCCAATATATAAAATTCGTAGAAAACAATTAAACAATTTTTTTAAACAGTGAACTTTTTCGATTTTTTTGACATCTACAAATCAAAATCCAAATCTTCAGATTGAAATTTTCAGCATTAAAAAATCCTCGGTTTTTTATAAAAATCAATTTTTCAACTAGAAGAGAATTTCGAAAAAATTGAAACACGAATTATTGAATGAAAAATCAAGAAAAATTCAATTGAGCAATTTTGGAAACAGTGAATTTTATAAGTTTGGAAATTTCCAATTTTTGGAATTTTCAGAATTATCCAAACAAAATGTGTGTCAAAATTATGTACTTTCAGATTTTTTTTCAAATATTTTATTTTTTTGCCAAATTTTTCTGTTGGTCCAATACAGAAAATTCGTAGAAAACAATTAAACAATTTTTTGAAACAGTGAATTTTTTCGATTTTTTTGACATCTAAAAAAATCTTCAGATTGAAATTTTCAGCATTAATTTTAGCATAGAAAAATTATCAGCACACAAGTGATTGAATAAAAAAAATCAAGAAAAATTAAATTGAGCAACTTTTGAAACAGTTAACTTTATTAATTTTGGAAATTTCCTATTTTTTCGTTCAAGAAATTGAACAATTTTTTGAAACAGTGAATTTTTCCGATTTTTTTTGACACCTAAAAATCAAAATCCACATCTTCAGATTGAAATTTCAGAATTTTAGCATAGAAAAATTTTACACGCTCAATCGAACAATTGAATAAAAAATCAGAAAAATTCAATTGAGCAACTTTTGAAACAGTGAATTTTATAAGTTTGGAAATTTCCAATTTTTGGAGTTTTCAGAATTATCCAAACTAAATTGTGTCAAAAATTATGTACTTTCAGATTTTTTTTCAAATATTTTATTTTTTTGCCAAATTTTTCTGTTGGTCCAATACAGAAAATTCGTAGAAAACAATTAAAGGGGGGGTAAGACGACAAAATTTTATTTGCTCAATGAATCGGGCTCCCTTTGAATAGTAAAAGCCCCAGGGGATTTTTTCTCGAAGGGCCTAAAAGGTCCGAAAAAAATATTCCATGAACTTTTTCAACGTATAGCTATACGTTGTCCGAAAGTTTATGGAATAATTTCAACGTATAGCTATACGTGGTACCTAGTTTATGGAACATTTTTTCTGAGCGTTTCCAGAAAAAATCCCTTGGAGGTTTTACTACTTTTGGGGAGCCTTTAACTTTGCGACAAAAAAATTTTGTCGTCTTACCCCCCTTTAAACAATTTTTTGAAACAGTGAATTTTTTCGATTTTTTTGACATCTAAAAAAAAATCTTCAGATTGAAATTTTCAGCATTAATTTTAGCATAGAAAAATTATCAGCACACAAGTGATTGAATAAAAAAAATCAAGAAAAATTAAATTGAGCAACTTTTGAAACAGTTAACTTTATTAATTTTGGAAATTTCCTATTTTTTTCGTTCAAGAAATTGAACAATTTTTTGAAACAGTAAATTTTTCCGATTTTTTTTGACACCTAAAAATCAAAATCCACATCTTCAGATTGAAATTTCAGAATTTTAGCATAGAAAAATTTTACACGCTCAATCGAACAATTGAATAAAAAATCAGAAAAAATTCAATTGAGCAACTTTTGAAACAGTGAATTTTATAAGTTTGGAAATTTCCAATTTTTGGAATTTTCAGAATTATCCAAACTAAATTGTGTCAAAAATTATGTACTTTCAGATTTTTTCAAATATTTTTGCCAATAAAAATTCCATTTTTCAATAATTGAATGAAAAATCAATAAAAATGCAATAAAACAACTTTTGAAACAGTATTTTTTTTTTAAATATTTTCAAAATAAACCTACTCAAATGCATTTTGATCCGAAAAATCATGAATAAAGAACAAATTCAATTTTTTGGTCGTTAAATGCGTCGGATAAACAGCGACGCTTTTTAAATCGCAAAGTTTTTTGGAAGTTTGAGAAGGTCCATCTCTTCTCATTTGTTTAATAACATCAGAAATAGAAATATTATAAATAATTCGAAGCATATCAACAACATTCATTTCCTGATAAAATGGACATCGTCGTGTATCAATTGTCATCACAAATTCCGATTTTCCAACATCAACACCAGCCACCAATCTCACACTTTTCTCAAAACCAGTTTTGATTTCTTTTCCATCCGAATCCAATTGACAATGTTTATCTTCATCGCTCGATCTATTGAATGTCGAATTTCCGAATTGAAAATAATCGCGGCCCATTGTGATTTGTGAGGTGAGGGTTTCAAGAAAACGCGTCAATTCTGCTGCATTTTCAACACTTTGACCTCCACGGGTGTAAATCAAATCTTGTTTTGGTCGAGTTATTCTAATTTTCAAACTGCGAATTTCAGACTTCAACATTTTTGCAATCGGCGACCATTTTTTATCATCGAAGTCTTCTCGTTCCAATCTAACATTCTCCACAGCGCCACCAACAAATGTGCCAGCTGGAAAATAAATTGACGAGCCACAATCATAAGCTCCATCTTTGTAAGATTTTCCGGAGAATAAATCAGAAGAGTTTTGCGAAATGAGCAACTTCCACACATTCCACAATCCCCATTTACGACATTGAATGGCAAGGCTGAAAAAAAATTGAAAATTAAAATATGAAAATGAATATTTAGCAAATTTTAAAGTCTTACTCTCCGTGAACCAAAATTTCACCATTTAATCGAATGGTTTTGTTACTTTTCAACACTGCATAAATATCAATTTCCAATCGTTCCACTTTTTCCACCATTTTTTCTCGTTTCAGTGCATAACTATTCGTTTGAACAGCAATACAATTGATTGTGCTGAAGGTGTCCGCGGATTTGTTTCCTGCAAAAAAATCAAATCAAAATATTCTAAAAGAACTACAAACTCACTTTTTACATCTGAATATGGTTCATTTTCTTGCTGACGATTTCGTTTGAAGATATTTGGCGGTGGTTCTCTGATCTTGTTAGGAATGCGAAATTGTGCGGAAGGTGAATTTTTGTCCATGGTCGACAAAATGCCATCCATAAGGTCCATTTTATTAGTAGGATTTCTGAAGAAATTGAATTTTTTGAAGGCTAAAACCTTTTTTACGAAGCGGAACAGCAACAAAAACTGCGAAAAAAAGAAATAAATTGCGAAAACCGCGAAAATTTCAAACATTCGTTGCGAGACCTCTCTTTGAAAACGTGTGCGCCTTGAACACAGTACTCGTGTTTGAAAATATTTTCTTTTTTTTTCGAAAGAAATTTCGGGCGGTTTTTTGAGTTGGCTTGACAATTCCACGCCATTTAGTTCACGCTAATTAAAAAAAATTATTTTTTATATTCAAAATCAAATTTTCCAGGAGGAAAACGTGACCCGATTCAAAACGTGCACAAAAAATGGCCAAAATCGCCGAGCTGTCTCTCTATTCCTAACTTGAATTGAGCCGACAAAACGCGACGGCGCTCAATTCTATTTTGTAATTTTTGCTCAATTATATCGTGTGAAAATCTTCTTCGTGGAAAATGACCGAAATTTCGAAACAATCGTGGTTTCACGGTTTGCTGCCGCGCGAGGATGTGAAAGCCATGTTGAAAGTGAATGGCGATTTTTTGATTCGGACCTCTGAGCCTGTGGCTGGCAGGGCTAGACATTTGATTTTGTCGTTGATGCAAAATTCGACTGATCAAGAGACGGGGGTGAGTAGAAGTCTTTGGACGAAAGAAGTTCATAAGGTTCTACCGGTTCAAAATGGAATAAGTGTTTCATATAAGTAACACAACATATTATCCAGAATCTTATCGGTACCACGCGCTCCACCGAAATAAACACGCAACGCAGACCGCGCCGCGCCACAACACACACAAAAAAAGGGAGGGAATTTGAATCGTTCCCCTATTTGTGTGTGTTGTGGCGCGACGCGGTCTGCGTTGCGTGTTTATTTCGGCGGAGCGCGTGGTACTGATGAGATTTTCGATAATATGATAAGATATGGGCGGAGCTCAGGATGACCTTGATAAGGTTTTCCGTAGGAGACAGGTCCCGGGATGAACTTCTGATGAAAATATATTGAAATATACAAAATCGAACACGATCCCATAGTCAAAAATTGTCAGAAACCCTTGTGAGCACAATTTGAAGCTCCAAATTGTGCTCACATGGGTTTCTAACAATTTTTGACTATCTTGTCAGTTAAATTCTACTTATCTCAACTCTTAACATGAGTTATGACGTGGCAAACGTTCTAAAATCGTTTTATAGGATTTTGTGAGCTTTGCCACGTCATAACTCATCTTCAGAGTTGAGATAAGCATAATTTCTTTTCTGCAGTGTGATTCTAGAAGTTTTCAACTAGTTCTTCGTGATCCTGAAGTCAATTTCTGTTTATTTCAAGTCTAAACATGAGTTATGCCGTGGCAAGGGTTCTAAGATACGATTTTGTGAGCTTTGTCACGTCAAAACCTATCGTCAGAGTTGAGCTGGGGTCTGATTCTCGAAGTTTCCAGCCTGCTGTTCATGGTCCCGCCGTCAAATTCATCTTATCTCAAGTCTGAACATAAGATATGACGTGGCAAGGGTTATAGGATCGTAATTAACGATTTTGTGAGCTTTGCCACGTCATAACTCATCTTTAGAGTTGAGATAAGTTGAATTTGACGGTGGGACCATGATCAGCAGGCTGGAAACTCCAAGAATCAGATCCCAGCTCAACTCTGACGATAGGTTTTGACGTGGCAAAGCTCACAAAATCGTATCTTAGAACCCTTGCCACGGCATAACTCATGTTTAGATTTGAAATAAACAGAAATTGACTTCAGGATCACGAAGAACTAGTTGGAAACTTCTAGAATCACACTGCAGAAGAGAAATTATGCTTATCTCAACTCTGAAGATGAGTTATGACGTGGCAAAGCTCACAAAATCGTGAAAAACGATTCTAGAACGTTTGCCACGTCATAACTCATGTTCAGAGAGGTTGACAACTTCTAGAAACCAGATTTTTTTTTGAAGAAAACCTTTCAAAATCAATCAATAATGTTTTTCAGACGCGTCACTATGTAATTTGCGAAGATGGCGCCAAATTTTCGGTAAACGAGAACAAAATCTTCACAACAATCCACGAACTCATTGATTTCTACAAAAAATCGCCAATAAGCATCAAAGAAGAGTCAAGTATTCTAGTCAACCCAATAGAACGGCAATTCTGGGAACTCGCTCACGAAAATATCAAACTCACAAAAACGTTGGGCGAAGGAGCGTTTGGTGAGGTGAAAAAAGGCACACTGGTGACTAAAAATGGGCAAATTGTGGAAGTCGCTGTGAAAGTGGCGAAATTGGAGAAGTGCACAAAAGAGCAGATCAAAGAAATCATGGCCGAGGCGAGACTTATGCGCAATTTCGATCATAAAAATGTGGTGAAATGCTATGGAACTGCTGCGGGACAAGAACCGCTGATGGTTGTGATGGAATTGGTGTGTGGCGGTGGACTGGATTCGTATTTGACGAAAAATAGTGTGAAAATTGCGGAGAAATTGGATATTATGTATCAGGTTTAGGTTTTTTGGCCGAGTTTGGGATCCCGTTGTCAATAATGCAAAGCTACTTATGACGTGGCTTCTGAAATTTTGATAAAACATATCGAAATATACAAAATCGTCCATGCTGATCACGATTCCGAAGTCAAAAATTGCCACAAATGCCTGTAAGCACTTTTCTGGAGCTCCAAAGTTACATAGAATTCAGTTTTGGTTTTCACCGTATAACTTTGGAGCTCCAGAAAAGTGCTCACATGCATTTGTGGCAATTTTTGACTTCGGAATCGTGAACAGCATGCTCTATTTGGTATGTTTCGATATGTTTCATCGAAATTTGCTTCCCTTGTGAGATTGAAAATTGTAGCGCGTGCGGTTGCGACGCGGCTTGATTGTCTAGTCTGACAGTTGACAGACCAGAAGATTTGAGATTTCAGGTTGGAAATTTTTAAAGACAGCTAGAAATCGTTCAGAAAATTTTTTTTGCATGTTTTATAGCATTCTTCAAAGTAAAAAAAAACGTAAAAAGATATATATGAATAAATAAAAAATTCGGGAAAACATGTAACAGAATGAGCCAAAAAATGACAGCAATAAATATAAACAGGTTCAAAAAGAAAAAGGCGGGAAGAAAAGGAGTAAAGAGTACTTGCGCGCCAACTAACAAAGTGCAAAATGGCAGTGAATGGTGTGTTAGAACTAAGACAAAAGGTTGTGTAATAAGACATTTTGTTAAGGAATGGAAGATGAATAGACGTTGATTTTTAAAAGGTTTCTCAAAAGAGTGCGATAATTGGGAGCTTATGAGCGCCAATTAAAAAAATTTGAAAATAATTGCGTTTTGGTGGTGGAATTTTGAGTTTGAAAGTTTGAAATTCACTAACCTGACTCTAATTTGAGCTGGAATTTCGAAATAGGACTACGCTTATATTGTCGAAGTTAAAAAATGTGGCAGCCGTAAAAAATAAAAAAAACCAGTGCAGAGCTGAATGAATGACAAACTCATATAACTTCGTCAGTCGCGAGCGGTTGTGCGTTGCGGTCGAAAAACAATCAATAATCCATTGTTTTCCTTTGTTTCCCGACCGCGACGCACAGCCGCACGCGACTGACGAAATAATTACTTTGTCATTCATTCAGCTCTGCACAGGTTTTTATTTTTTACGGCTGCCACATTTTTCAACTTCGACAATCGTGTTCACGGGAAGATGCACAAGAGGATTAGGATTAGAGTTCAAACTATACATTTAGACTAGACTAAACAATAGTTAGACTAGACTATAGTTTGTATCGATTGCGCGCGCTACGATTTTCGATAAAATTCTAGGATTTCTTCAACTTTCCAAAGTTTCTATGAGCACTTTAAAAATGTTCAAATATTGAAGAATTAAACTCAAATTGCACTTACTTCACAAAAAATTGAAGAAAAAATGAAAGTGGCCGAACTATTTTGGTGGCCGAGAAATGTCGGGAATTCGGCCAATGCAACAAACTCGCTCTAATGTTGCAAACATTCTCATTGTTGAAGCGCGTGGCCGAATTCCCGACATTTCTCGGCCATCAAAATAGTTTGGCCACTTTCATTTTTCTTCAATTTTTTGTGAAGTAAGTGTAATTTGAGTTTAGTTAATCCATATTTTAACATTTTTTTCTCACCAACCTAAAATTAATTCCAGGTTGCACAAGGTGTTGAATATATCCATCGACAAGAAGTGATTCATCGCGACATTGCTGCCCGAAACTGTTTATACGGTAATGGAATCGTCAAAGTTTCCGACTTTGGTCTCTCACGCAGAGGAACCACTTATCAAATGAACCCCAAAAACAAGGTTCCAATTCGCTGGTTGGCTCCCGAAACTCTACAAACATTTTTCTATTCGGGACCATCGGATGTTTTTGCATTCGGCATTTTGTGTTGGGAGGTTTTGGAGAATGGAAAACAACCGTATCCCGAGATGACGGTGGCTGATGTTCATCAGAAGGTTATGAAGGAGAATTATCGGATGGGGATACCGATTGATGCGCCGCATGAGTTGTCCGAACTTATTGTGAGTTCTAGACGCCTAGAATCTAGAGGGGGAGCTGACGCATTTGATGTAGGCTACAAAAATTGCGTCAACTTTAAATTCTCACTGACACGTTTTTGGTGCGTTCTCAACCTACAAAAAATGCGTCAGCAGTTGTAGCGCTGACGTATTTTCTGTAGACTATCTGAAACGATTTTTTGAGCTACAAAAAACACGCCAACACTGGAAAGGTGTCAGTTTTGAGCAAAAATCGATGCTGACACGATTTTGGTGCTGTCGCATTTGATGTAGCCTTCGAAAAGCACGTCATCACCATAAATATGCTTACTGGAAATGCGTCAGCAGTTGTAGGACTGACGTATTTTCTGTAGACTATCTGAAACGATTTCTTGAGGCACAAAAAACGCGCCAGCACTGAAAAGTTGTCAGCTTTGAGCAAGAATCGACCCTGACACGATTTTGGTGCTGATTCATTTTTTGAAGCCTGAAAAATATCAATTTTTTCCAAAATTAGAGCTACAGAAAATGCGTCAGCACTGAAATATGTCAATTTTTGATCAAACTCATGACTGACACATTTTTGGTGTTGACGCATTTTTTGTAGATCCTCATAAACTCATCAAGGAGGTTTCTACACTGACGCAATTCTTGTAGCCTACAAAATATGCGTCAGCACCAAATTCATATGATTTTTGGTGTTGACGCATTTCTGATGGATCTACAGAAAATACGCCAACACCAAAAATGTGTCAAGAAAGTTCTACTGGCGCATTTTCTTTAGCTGCAAAGTTTTCAGCTTCTGGAAATGTGTCAATCTGAAATCATAGTCTTCACTGACACATTTCTGGTGCTGACGCATTTTTTGTAGCCTACAAAATGTGTGTCAGCATCCCACTCTCTCATTTTTTTTTCCAGAAAAAATGTTGGCTGTCCCAACCGTCTGATCGTCCGCGCGCTGAATCTCTCGTCAAAACGCTCTCCCGCCTCGTTCCGCCCGAAAAACGCGAAAAGACTGTGCTCCAACAACTCGAAGAGAAATCGTGTCCAGATGACGAGGAAGCGGAAGAGGCGAATACGCAACGAGCTTCCGCACTCGTCGCACCTTCCGCGCGCAAACCCACCGCAGTGTCGAAAACGGACGGCCTTCCGCGAGCAACGACACCCACAAAATCTGGCTCGCAAGCTTCTGTTCCGCAACCTTCCGCGTCGGAAGCCACGTCGGCGTTTGGCGGAAAGAATAAGAAGCGACGGAATCGGTTCCTCGATCGCGGAAATCCGCTTCTTAACGCAACGCGAAGCCTTTCCGGAACCAAAGTGAATAATAATACGGAATCGCAAGACACAAGAACTCAGGAATCGGGACAGCAAAAAATTGCCAGTGAACATATTCAACCCGGATTTATGAGATCGCGACCGTCTTGTCATTTGATGTTGAAAGCGGAACGGAAATCGAGAAGTCGAGCCAATTTGAGCAGTTCCAATGATAATAAAGAGGCGAAAAGTGGAATTTTTGGCAAGGTGAGCGGGTTTTTGGGGCGGGAATTTGATCGAAATTCTGAAAATTTGATGAAAAATGAGCCAAAATTTGAAATTTTTGATGAAAAACTACTTTTTTTCAATAGAGCGCACTTGATTTTTCCTCGATTATCCTTCAGAAAATCCATGTTTTTTTTGACTATTTTTCGCTGTTTTCCTAAATTTCTCAAAAGCTTTTTCTGAAAAATCAGGGAAAATTTGAATTTTATATTTTCGCGCCCTAAAAATTGTTTTTCAGTAGAGCGCACTTGCTTTTTGAGAAGAAAAATGTTCAAAAAATCGCCTAGATTTGGTGATTTTCAATAGAGAGCACTTGCTTTTTCCGAAGAAAAATCGAGAAAAATTTGAATTTCCATGCTAAAATCGTGATTTTCAATAGAGCGCATTAGCTTTTTCAAGAATTTTTTTTTCTGAAATCTTAGGTATAATTTGAATTTTACAATTTCGCGCCCTAAATATTGTGTTTCTCAAAAGAGCGCACATGCAATTTCAACTAGAAAATTTTGAATTTCTTGTTTTGGAGCCAGATTTCTATGATTCTCAATAGAGCGCACTTGCTTTTTAAGGATATTTTTAAAAAATTTGAATTCTCAATAGTGCGCACTTGCTTTTTCCCCACCAACATTTCGAATTTTAATTAGAAAAATTCAAATTTTCCAATTTCGCGCCTAAAAACCCATTGTTTTTTTCAGAAAAAGAAGAGACCGTCTTCGAATTTGAAATGGCAATAAACCTGAAGAAATATCGATTTTTTGAAAAAAAAATTTTTCTCTTTTTTAAAAAACCACTTTTTCCAAATTTTGCAATGAATGAAGAATTTTCGTAACATTTTTTTTGATGAGAAATTGGTTTAATTGGATTAATTTTGGTTTGGAAATGAGAAATGTTGGGGTACAGTAGGAGAACTGCAAATTTTTTCCACAAAAAAAATTTTGAGCTCTGAACTTTTCTTTTGCACACAAAACGTTTTCTAATTAAAAATTGTGCAAAAAAATTTCATTGTTTTTTTTTGCTCTTTTTTTCCTGGCTCCGGTTGCCCGAGACAACCAAAGCACTTTTTTCCTTATTTTTGGCGCCAAAAATTATTTTTTTTGATGGATTTGTTGTAATTTTCCCTGCGTCTCTCACTCTCTCGCTTTTCTTTTTTTTTTTTTTTTCGAAAAAAAAAAAGTAAACCACATTAAAATGTTTGCCAATTAGAGAGTAGAAGAGTAGTAATTCACAAAAAAAAATTATTTGTTTTCACATTTTTCTTCAGGGTCATTAAGGGTTTGATTTGAGAGAGATGGCCTAGAAAACCAAATGCATTTGAATTTGGTTTTCTAGGCCACGCCACTTTTTTCTTTCATTTTTTTGCGTTTTTTTGCTGGCTCATAAATTTCCTGGCTCCAGGGAAACTTGAGCTCATTTTTTTCATTTTTCTGAAATTCTGAATTTATTTGCTATATACAAATTTCGCCGCTAAAAATTTCAAATTCAAATTTTTTTGCCACGTGGATTATTTTCTTTTCCCGCCAATTTTTTTCAAATTCAAAAATGTTGAGCCAATTTTAAGCTCTCAACAAATTTTTTCTAGTTGTCATCCTCTTCTCCACGAGAATTACACGAAAAGGTTCCGCTTTTTTCTCCAAAATTGATTCTCTCTCTTCTCATTTTTCCGTATTTTTTTTTTTGGAGCTGGAAGAAGAGTGCCTTGGGAATTGGGTGAAACAGCGAGAAAAAATTGGATTTTTCAAGAGAGAGTGGAATTTTGGAGCATTTTTTGGAAAAAAAAAATGAATTTTCTATTGTCCGAGAGAAGTACACAGGTTCTGTTTTCGCTTCGAGATATTTTTGAATACAATCTCGTTGTTCCTTTAAATGTTTCTTGAAACTTTTTATGTTCCTTTAAAAAAAATCTTGGACTTGTCCGAGAGAACTACACAAATTCCATTTTCGCTTCGAGATATTTTTCGAATAATATTGTATGTTCCTTTAAAAAATCTTGGACTTGTCCGAGAGAAGTACACAATTCATCAATCGCTTCAAGACCATTTTCTCAAAATTGCTAGGAAAATCTGTATGTTCCTTTAAAGTACTATACTGTAGTTTATCTCTTTTTTCTACCTATTTTTGATAATTTCCTAATTCTTCCATGTTCCTTTAAAATTACTATACTGTAGTTAATGTAAGCTTCTTTTTGTTCTGGAAATCCTATTTTTCAAGGCTGAAAATCTCTGGCCAAAATCAAATTAGTACACCCCATCAGCCGGAAAAAATCCGATTTTTTTCGCTTTTTTTCTTCTTTCGGAACATGTTCCCTATTTTTTTGTTTGTTTCCAAAAATAATGAGAAAAAAAAGAAATCTGGGAACTTTTTGAGTTTTTTTTTTGAAAAAAAAATGAAATTTTGTTTTTTTGTGTGAAAAAATAAAAAAAAAGTTTTTTGACACAAAAAAATGAAAAAGCTTCTTAAAAACACAACATTTTTATCAGAAGAAAATCGATTTTTTTTTGAAAATTTTGAATTTCAAAATTTTTGGCGCCAAAATACACTGCTCATGAATTTTTGATGTAGAAATGTGTTCAATTTAAAATTCCAAACAAAAAAGTTCATCTTCGAATTTTTCTCTCGCTGCAAAATTTGAATTTAAAAATTTTGCCGCCAAATTTTCAAATTCGAATTTTTATTTTTCTTTTTCAAAATTCTTTTCCGCCCCAAAAATTTCTCAAAAAAAAAATGAAATAAAAAAATAAATAAAAACAATTCAAGCACATCTGGCTTTTTCTGATTTTTTCTACCAAATAAATTTTTTTCAAAAAAAAAATAATAAACAATTTTTTAGAAGAAAAATATAAACTTTTTCACACATTTTTTCGATTTTTTTCATTTTGGCAAAAAAAAACCAAAAAAATAGGAATTGAATGCATAATTGAAAAGGTTCCGGAAACTTTTTGGCGCGAAAAAAAATTGAAATTTGAAATTTTAAGAAGCTCTTTCAAAACTCAAGAAAATGTTGATGTTCCTTTGAAATTAGTACTGTATTCATTTTTTTTTCTTCTCATGTTCCTTTAAAATTACCTATTACTGTATTTGTAATTATCTCCAAAATTTTCAATCTTATGTTCCTTTAAAAATTGATACTGTATTTATTAATTTATTTTTCTCTTCTCATGTTCCTTTAAACATAACCTATTACTGTATTTGTAATTCTCTCCAAAATTTTCAATTCAAATCTCTCATGTTCCTTTAAAAATTGATACTGTATTCATCATGTTCCTTTAAAAGATTACTGTAGGGAAACAAATTCCACGTAAGTAGCACAATTTTTGAACCCAAATGTTCCTTTAAAATATAGTACTGTATCTCAAATATTCTCTAGAAATTCCCAATAAAATCTCTGATGTTCCTTTAAAGTCTAGTACTGTAGATCTGTTTATTCCTTCTTTTAAAGGGGCATACTGATGGCCACGTGGATTAAATAATAGCAATCCACGTGGCCGCTTCGCGGTAGCTAGTGCCGCTGACGCGGAAGCTTGCGGTCTACACTCGCGGCTCTGCCGCTCGCCAACATGATATTGTTCAAAAGCAAAATTTTCCCGCTGATCTTTGACCTTTGAATGTCCCTTCAAATGGAAAACCCTTTTCTGACCAAAAAAAAGAAGAAGAAAATCTTCTCCCCGTTTTATTTACTACAACATTGTTATTTATTATCATTCGAAACATTTTCCACCCCAAATTTTCTCCAATTTTGCTTTCAATATCAATTTTCTACGCGCGCAACCACAAAACGACCAGCCACACAATTTTTCACTATCTTTTTTCTGATTTTGTAATTTTTTTTTCATGACGTTTGGTTTTTTTTGAAGGCTAGAGAAAATTTGAGGATTTTCTGGAGAATTTTCTGATGAATTTTGATTTTTTTTTGAACCAGGAACAATTTTTTAAATCATTTTTTAAAAAGTTTTTTGCCACGTGGTTTTTATTACGCTAAATTAGAATTTACAAGAAATCAATCCACCTATTAAAAAATATATTTGTCAGAAAAATCATGGATTTTTGAAACAGTGAATTTTTTTCATGTAAAAAAATCTCACTGTTTCAAAAATTCGAGAAATTTTCTAATATTTTTTCTAGAAAAATTTGGAGCCAACATTTTTTTTTGACGACTCTGCCTGCTCCTTTAAAATCAGATACTGTAGCTTTAGAATTTTGTCACAATTTTTGACTTGTCCAAGAGAACTACACAGCAAATTCTTCGCTTCGAGATATTCCTACAATTTTTTTTTACAATTAGTTATGTTCCTTTAAAATCGGATACCGTTATTTGAATTTTTTGAAACTATCAATTTTAGCGCGCCAAAAATTTATTTTTGATAGGTTACAGCTCATGATCCTTTAAATCTAGATACAGTACTTTTATTGTAAAATTTCTGGCCTCAAAAATATCCACGTGGCATTTTTTATGTATATAGTTTGAACCCTAATTTTCTTGTTACTTGTTTTTTTTTCAAAAAACTGGATTTTCCCGGGTTCTCCCCAAAGCTGTAATTATTTTTCTTCTCGCTCCTAAAATTTCTTTCGAATTTAAAATTCTGACGAATTCTGGAGACCACGTTTTTTTTGTTGCTGTGTTACCTGATACCCTTTTCACTCAGCTTCTCCCTCCCCCAACATTTTAAGGGCCGATTTTTTTTCAAAAAAAAAAAAAAGGGCCCCTCCTAATTTTTTGATGATGTGTGGGAAAATTCGTCTCAAATTTTGATTTTGGACGAAAAATTTGAGATTTTTTCCGAGAAAATTCGAGAAATCCCGAATTAATCTTTCTCAAGAACAAAAATGTGTCTTAAAAATTTTTCTAGATCAGAATTTTAAGCTGAAAATCATGGAAAACCTAAAATTGGCTGAAAATGAGTAATTCTAGGTTTTTCAGCACGAAATTCTGATCTAGAACAATTTTTTTGGCTGAAAAATCGAATTTTTCCAAAAAAATTAATCTAGATCAGAATTTTGTGCTGAAAATCCTGGAATCACTCATTTTCAGCTAATTTCAGCTTTTCCATGATTTTCAGCGCAAAATTTCGTTTTTTTTCCGAGAAATCCCAAATTAATCTCTAGAGAAGCTGTGTCTAATCTAGGGCTCAAAAAATTATTTTTTTTATTTTTCATTTTTATTTTCTGGATTTTTGATTTTTGGTTTCTATTTTTGGCGTTAAAATTTTTAAAAAAGCTACAGTATCTAAAGTTTAAAGGAACATAGCTAATTTTAACAAAAAATTGTTGGAATATCTTGAAGCGAAGAAATTTCTGTGTAGTTCTCTTGGACAAGTCAAAAAAAATGTTGACAAAATTCTAAAGCTACAGTATCTGATTTTAAAGGATCAGGCAGAGTTGTCAAAAAAAGTGTTGGCTCCAATTTTTTCTAGAAAAAATATAAGAAAATTTCTCGAATTTTTGAAACAGTGAAATTTTTTTGGAATTGAAAATCCATTTTTTTTCGACAAAAAATTTACTGTTTCAAAAAATTCATGTTATTTTTTGAAAATTAATTTTTTTGATACCTATGGAAATTTCTCAAAATTATAATTTTGCATAATAAAAACCACGTGGAAAAACATTTCAAAAAAACGAAATTTCAAAAAAAAAAATTCCCGCGTCAAAAAAACCACGTGTTCTATTTGAAAATTATTTTTGAAAAAAAAAATTATTTCCAAATTTTTGATCTCCGAAAAAAGTGAGTTTTCGAAAATTTATGCCACGTGGCAAATATTTTTAGCGCTAAAAATCCACCCAAAAATTTCTTTTTCATTTTTCAACATCCCACTATTGCTAAGCTCAAAAATCACTCAAATTTCACCTCATTTTCTGTTTTTTTTTCTCATTTTCTCAAAATTTTCTGATGATGATTGATCATTTCTCCTTCTTTTTTTTGTTCATTTTTCATTTTCCCCGCCGCCGCAAAATTCTCCAAAAGAACTACACAAATTTCTCCCCGCCAAATTTTTTACTTATCAAAATAGAAATTCATTCAGGTGTGAACCAATGCGATAATTATTTTTGGGCTGAATCGATTTTGTTTTTGAAAAATCGCAAGAAAAATGTCAAAATTGTGGATTTTGGTGGTGGTTTTGACGGTGATTTCGAGCGGTTTTGTTAGCAGTGAGGTAGGTCAAATTTCGGAGGGGTTAGAGACGCAGAGAAGCTAGACAGCTAGAGAACAAGGTTGCTAGGAGAGAGGGGGTAGAGAAACTAAACAGCTAGAGAACGTGAAGATGCTAGAGACGCAGAGAAGCTAGACAGTTAGAGATCAAGGTTGTTAGGAGAGAAGGGGTAGAGACACAGATAAAGTAGACAGTTAGAGAGTGTGGGGATGTTAGAGAGGTAGAGAGGGTAGACAGCTTAGAGAACAAAGTTTCTAGGAGAAAGGGGGTAGAGAAGCTAGAGAACACCCTTTCTGGAGAGGGAAGATAGAGACGCAGGGAAATCTGATGGTTAGAGATGTTAGAGTGCTAGACAGCTAGAGAGCAAGATTTCTAGAAGAGAGAGTTAGAGACGCAGAGAAACTAGACATCTAGAGAACACGAAAGTGTTAGATACGCAGGTTAGACAGTTAGACAGCTAGAGATCATGTTTTTTGAGAGACGCAGACAGCTAGAGACTACAGTGTAGCCAAGATCAGTTGGACATTAGTGTAACTTGAGAGACGCAGAGAAACCAGACATATTAGATATCCACATTTTCTTGAGAGACGCAGACATCACGTGGCGCCGAAATCAAAAATTGTTTTCTGATTGATTTGGATGATTGATTGACTTACACCGTGATTCAATTAACACTGATAGGATTTTTTTTGTTGTTTTCGTTATCAAATTTTCGACTATGACGTGGTTTTTGTGAAGATCGGGATCAACTTGTTTGCAGGGGCTCAAAAGGGCTGAAATTTGCGAGTTTTTGGGCTGAAAATGAGCAAAAATTTGCTGAAAATCTCGAATTTTTGACCTAAACACAGCTCAAAACTTACAGGAACTCGTCATTCACACAGTCCGTTTGCGCTCCAAAAATCCGACGGAAAATGCGCAATGCGAGCCGGCGAAACCCTGCAAACCCGGAGTGATTTTGCCAGTTTGGCAACCGTCGGTAGGTCAAAAAATCCAAAATTTTGGCGCCAAAATTTTGATCGCCACGTGGCATGAAATTTTAAGAATTTACCCATTTTTTGATGAAAAATTTTTGAAACAGTGGAATTTTTTGCTCAAAAAATGACAATTTAAAATCCAGAAAATTTCACTGTTTCAAAAGTTCGACAAATTTTTCATGATTTTCTCGGAAAAATGATTTTACAATTTTTTTGGTTTTTGAAAATTCGTGTCAAATTTTTCAGAAAATTTTAAGATTGAATTCTTTCCTATTTTTGCCACGTGGATTTTTGATCTCACATCAGAAAAAATTGATTTTATCCGAAAACTTGAAATGGCAGTATCAAAAATGTCGAAAATTCAAAAATTGTTATCAAATTTTTGAAACAGTGCATTTTTCTTCTTGAAAAATTTTTGTTTTTTGATACCAAAATTTCATTTCTCACGTGGAACTGGATTTCTAGCTTTGAGAAAAATCACATTTTTAAATCCAGAAAAATTCACTGTTTCAAAAATTTGACAAATTTTTATGATTTTCTCGGAAAATGATATTATACGCTGGCTTTGTCGATCGAAACTCCACGTGGCAAATTTTTTTTCAGAAAATTTCAAGATTGAATTCTTCCCTATTTTTGCCACGTGGGATTTTTGATCTCACATCAGAAAAAATTAATTTTATCCTAAAATTGGATTGATTAATCGAAAAATTCCAAAAATTCAAGAATTTTATCAAATCTTTGAAACAGTGAATTTTTCTTCTCGAAAAATTTTTTTGTTTTCATTTTCCACATGGAACTGGGTTTCTAGCATGGAAAAAAAATCAGATTTTCATATCCTAAAAAATTTCACTGTTTCAAAAATTCGACAAATTTTTCATGATTTTCTCGGAAAAATGATTTGCTTCATTACGTTGTTCGTCAATAATCCACGTGGCAAAATTTTCAGAAAATTTTAAACTTGAATTCTTCCCTATTTTTGCCACGTGGGTTTTGGTTTCAGAAAAACTTATTTTTTCAGAAAAGTTGTAATCCCAGTATCAAAAATTTCCAGAAATTCGAAAATTTTAGGAAATCTTTGAAACAGTGAATTTTTCTTCTCGGAAAATTTTGTTTTTTTTACTCCAAAATTTCATTTCTAACGTGGAAGCATTGAAAAAAAATCAGATTTTCAAATCCAGCAAAAATTCACTGTTTCAAAAATTCGATAAATTTTGAGGTTTTTTTCGGAAAAATGATTGACATGACTTTGTAGATCGAAAATCCACGTGTCCAAATTTTCAGAAAATTTTAAAGTTTGAAATCCTTTCTATTTTTGCCACGTGGATTTTCAAAAAATTGTAATTCCAGTATCAAAAAATTCCAAAAATTCAAGAATTTAATCAAATTTTTGAAACAGTGAATTTTTCTTCTTAAAAAATGTCTTGTTTTTTTACACCGAAATTTTCATTTCCCACGTGGAACTGGGTTTCTAGCACCAAAAAATCAGATTTTCAAATCCTGAAAAATTTACTGTTTCAAAAATTTGACAAATTTCGAGGTGTTTCTCTGAAAATTATTGTTTACATGAGAAAATAATTCTAAAAATTTGCGGTAAAAAACTGCGCGGCAATTTTGGCTACATTTATCAAAAATTCTCAAAACGCTTGAAAATTTCATAATTTTTTTTGAAACAGTGAACTTTTTTTTCCAAAAATATTTTTCTTTGCAGGAAAACCTCTCCGAATGTAAAATCTACTTCCGAGCAATTGTCTATTTGATCGCATTGGCTTATTTCTTCTTCGGAGTTTCGATTGTTGCTGATCGATTTATGGCTTCAATTGAAGTTATCACATCTCAGACGAAAAGTGTGAAAATGAAGAAGGTTGGCTGAAAATTGACTAAACTCTAGATTTCTTGTACTCACCGTGTAGAGAATTTCAAGAGCTACAAAATCATGTTTAACAGTCCTGGAAAATCTTGAAATTTTAAGTGAAAAACCCCTGAAAACTGAAATATACCCGAGAAAAAATGGGGAAATGTCACTTTTAGACCGAGTTTTTTCTTTCAAAAAAGCGCAAAATATAGATTCCTTGAACTCACCGTGTAGAGAATTTCAAAAGCTACAAAATCATGTATATTGGTCCTGTATAATCTGAAAAATACGATACAAAAAACCCTGAAAACCCGCTTTGTCACAGAAAAAAAAACAAAAAAAACAAAAATAAAAAATAAGCCCCGCCCCCTTGCAACACACAACGTGTCAGCGCGCACAACCCGCCAGCCGTCGGTCACACAATTTAACAAAACCACGCGCGCTTCCATTGTTTATCGCTGAACGGCGGTAGCGAAGCTATGCTCAAAATTTCGGGGATTTTGAAAAGCAAACAAAAATTATCGATTTTTTGCAGATAACCGGTGAACATTTCACAGTTCTCGTGCGAGTTTGGAATGAAACTGTTTCCAATTTGACACTTATGGCCTTGGGCTCTTCGGCTCCAGAAATCCTTTTGTCAGTCATCGAAATTTTCGGAAATAATTTTGAGGCTGGAGATTTGGGACCATCGACAATTGTCGGATCCGCTGCTTTCAATTTGTTTATTATTATTGGAGTTTGTATTTTGGTGAGTTGCGGGAACTTTTGGGGGGGGGGGTGAAATTTGATAAATTTCATGATTTTTCGAACTTTTTAACACCAAATTTAATGATTTTTGCTGAAAATCTGAAATTTTCAGCCAAAGATCAAAAGTTCTTTGGTGTGAACTTTTTGTCCTCGAAAAATTGTGAAATTTGAAACCTTGTGAATAAATAACATGAAAATGACAAGAGGGCAAAGTTTTTTTTTTTGAAAAAAATAAAAATTCCGAAAAAATAATTTGGGGGTGGAAAATTGTATGCCACGTGGCAAAAAATTTCAATTTTGAAATTTGAAAATGGAATTTTCGCGCCAAAAAAACTTAACTAAAAAATTCACTGTTTCAAAAATTTCATATTTTGTTTTTCCTTTTTTTTCAGTAATTCCTGTGAAGTACATTCCTTAAAAAATTGCTGAAATTCAGATATTATCTGAAAATGTGGGAAAATTGGAATTTAGCTGGAATTTTTGAAAAATTCACGAAATTTAGAGTTTTTTGAGTGTAAAATTGGCTAGGAATCAAATTTTTGAACATTTTTCAAATAAAAAATTCACTGTTTCAAAAATTTCATATAATTTTTCATACTATTTTTTGAGAATTCTTTATTCAGTCACTTGGTGAATAGTTCCCTGAAACTTTAATTTTGTCTGAAAATATTCGAATTTTCGAAAAATTCAGAAAATTTGCAGTTTTTTGAGTATAAATATGGTTAATAATCAAATTTTTAAACATTTTTCAATTAAAAAATTTACTGTTTCAAAAATTTCATATAATTTTTCATACTATTTTTTGAGAATTCTTCTATTGTGTATGGAATAAATGCCTGAAACTTTAATTTAGTCTCTTCCGCTTCCCTTCCGCGTCGCTTTCCGCTTCCGCACCCCCTCCCCCTAATCCCTCATTCTTCCAGGCCATCCCACCAGGCGAAGTCCGACGCGTCCAACACAATGGTGTCTTCTGGGTAACTGTAGCCTGGTCCACCTTTGCATATGTTTGGCTCTACCTAATCCTCGCCGTTTTTTCTCCGGGAGAAGTACAAGTTTGGGAGGGCGTGCTGACCTTCATTTTCTTCCCACTTACCGTATTCTCCGCGTATTTTGCCGATGCTCATGCTGGACAATTTGGACAACGACTTATTCGAGGACCGTTGAGCTCGTTTTTACACAGGTAGGCTTGCGGGGGCTTAGAAACTTGAATTTTGACTGAAAATATTGAAATTTTCGGAAAATTCACAAAATTTGCAGTTTTTTGAGTGTAAATATGGCTAGAAAACCAAGTTTTGGAAAATTTCCATTTCTCAAAAAATTTACTGTTTCAAAAATTTCATTTTATTTTTTTTTTGCACTGTATTTTTTAGTGATTTTCTTCAATTAGACTCAAAATTAACAATTTTTGGTAATACACCGGATGAGATCTTGAAAAATTATCTGAAATTCAAATTTTGTCTGAAAATATTGAAATTTCCGAAAAATTTGGAAAATTTGCAGTTTTTTGAGTGTAAATATGACTAGGAATGGACTTTTTTGAGAATTTTCAACTCCCGAAAAATTCACTGTTTCAAAAATTTTATTTTATTTTTTGCGCTGTATTTTCAGCAATTCTTCGAAACGTTGTTGGGGAAAAAATGACTGACACTCAAAATTTGTTTGAAAATATTGAAATTTGGCTTGAATTTTTGAAAAATTCACAAAATTTGGAGTTTTTTAAGGGTAAATATGACCAGAAATCCGATTTTTGAGAATTTTTCAAATTTCAAAAAATTTCACTGTTTCAAAAATTTTCTTTTATATTTTGCGCTGTATTTTTTTCAGTTGTTGGTCGTTGCTATAATTTTTCAATGAATTCCAATCAAACTCTGATTTTCCCACATTTTCAGATAAATTTTGAATTTCAGAAATTTTTATTGCGTACCTAAAATATGTATGCATTACTGAAAAAAAGAGAGCAAACAAAATATGAAATTTTTGAAACAGTGAATTTTTTATATTCAAAAAACTGCAAATTTTCAGAATTTTTCAAAAATTTCTATATTTTCAGACAAAATTTAAGTTTCAGAGATTAAGTCTATCGCAGAATTCTTAAAAATAGTATGAAAAATTATCTGAAATTTTTGAAACAGTGAATTATTTCTGGTGAAAAAATTAAATTCCTAGTCATATTTACACTCAAAAAACCCGAAATTTCGTGAATTTTTCAAAAATTCCAGCCAAATTCTATTTTTCCCACATTTTCAGATAAAATCTGAATTTCAAAAATTTTTCATTTTAAGTAAACTAAAATAAACTCCTGAAAAAACAGGGAAAACAAAATATGAAATTTTTGAAACAGTGAATTTTTCAGTCATATTCATATTCAAAAAACTGCAAATTTTCTGAATTTTTCAAAAATTCCAATATTTTCAGACAAAATTTGAGTTTCAGCCATTTATTTAAAAAGGAACTGTTTGAAGAATTCTTAAAAATAGTATGAAAAATTATATGAAATTTTTGAAACAGTGAATTTTTCTGCACAAAATTTGGCCGAGCGCTCTGCGCGAGTGTAAACCGCAAGCTTCCGCGCGGAAGCTTCCGGAAGTCCCCACTCATCCAATATTCCCTATTTTTTCACAGGAGCCCCCGCCGCTCGCCGTCCAAAAAATTGGACCGAAACCTCGAGACGGGCCTCCCTCAACACACTGAAAGTGAGCATCGCGAATCCCTGATCGGCCAAGAAAACGATGCGTTGGCTTTCGAGATTCACCGCAAACACTATCTGGAGATTTTCAAAAAATTGAGAAGCGAACATCCGGATGCGCCGGTGGATGAGCTCGAAAAACATGCGATGGAAAAAGTGGTGGGAGAGCAGAAGAAGTCGAGAGCGTTTTATCGAATTCAGACGACGCGGAAAATGATTGGATCTGGTGAGTGGGCGATGCGGAATTTTCCGGACACGCGTAAAGCCTAGGGATGTACACTCGCTCCGCTCGGGCCGCTTGCGCGGAAGAATCCGGAGCGCTTCGCGCAAATTTCCACGTGGCTTTTTTAATGCTCAACATGAGTAAAACATATTAAATTCACAGAAAAATTCAAAAATTTATCAAATTTTTGAAACAGCAAATTTTTTTTTGAGTTTGAAAATCAGAATTTTCACATCAAAAATTTTTTTTTACAAAAAAATTTGTTTAAATTAATTTTTTCGCGTGAAAAATTCCACGTCAATTCTGAAAAATTGAATTCAGCTTCTGATTCTTAGGCTGAAAATTTTTAAAATTCTGAATAAAAAATCCACGTGGCTTTTTTGTTAATTTTCAAATTACGTTTTTTTCCGTCAATTCAAAAGATAACTAATTTCACAGAAAAATTCGAAAAAAAATTATCAAATTTTTGAAACAGTAAATTTTTGTGAATTTAAATAATTTGAAAATCACATTTTTTCGCTCCCAAAAAAATTTGTAAAATTAATTTTTCGCGTGTAAAAATTCCACGTCTCAAAAATTTCATTTCTCAATTTTTTGTTTTGCTCAAAAATGTGAGTTTTTTTTCTCAAAATCTGGAATGTTCTTGAGCTATGACGTGGCAATTCTGATTTTTTTTTTAGAAAATCTATAAAAATCATCTGTGACGTGGCAAATATGATTCTACAAATTCTGAAAAATTGATTTCAGCTTTTGATTTTTTATAGAAAAAATTACGCAGAACAACTAATTTCACAGAAAAATTCGAAAAAATTATTAAATTTTTGAAACAGTAAATTTTTTTGTATTTGAATAAAGTTGAAAATCAGATTTTCACATTTTTTCTGATGAAAATTCATCAAATTTTTGAAACAGCAATATTTTGTAAATTTGAAAATCATATTTTTTTTCCAAAATTCTGTGCCACGTGGCATTTTTGGGGCGATAATTATTCAGAATTTCAATTTTTTTGAAAATTCATACTGTAGATCAAATTGTGGCTAGAGTACTGTAGGTTTTTTGGGCCCAAAAACCTATTATATTTGAATCTATTTTCAGCTGAGGTACTGTAGGTTAGATAGATTACTGTAGTAGAATTTAAGATTTATAAACAACTTTCAGCGCCAAAAATATTTGATCTACAAAAAAATTTCGAAAAATTTCGAAAAAAAAATTATTTTTCACGTGACTTTCACGCCAAAAATTTTATTTTAGGAATTTTTTTTTCATTTTCCGGAAAAAAAAATCAGATTTTTCTAAAGAAACCTCAATTTTTGCAGGCGACATCCAAAAAAAGATGAAAAAAGGTTCGAAAGATGCGCAAGCCTCAGAGCACCTCGTCAAAAAGCAAAACACCGCCGTAGTCGAATTCGACCCGCCACATTATACAGTACTCGAAAATTGTGGTGACGTCATTTTGACAGTGAAATGTGACAGAGGAAGTTGTCCCGACGACACTACGATTACGGTGCATTATCGAACGATAGCAGATACTGCGCAGGAAAATGATGATTTTAAACCGGCTGAAGGCACTTTGACATTTCCACCAGGAAATTCTGAGCAAAAAATCAAAGTCGGAATTGTTGACAATGATATTTATGAGGATGATGAGCAGTTTATGGTGAGGCTCTCGCAAGTCCGCGCATTCCGCGCGGAACATTTTTCCGCAGTTCCGGCGCGTCTTGGTCCTGCCGCAACTGCCACAGTCATTATTGTCGATGACGATCACGCGGGATGTTTTGGATTCGCTTCGGAGAAATTCAAGTGTGTTGAGAGTTGCGGGAGTTATGTGGCGGAAGTTGTGCGAAGTCGCGGAGCGCGCGGTGAGGTTTCGATACCTTATAAGACTGTGGATGGGACCGCCAAGAGTCCTGGGGATTATGAGCATAAGGAGGGCGTGTTGAAGTTTGCGGATGAGCAGAGCAAGTGAGTTGGAGCGGGGGGGGGGAGGGGGTTACTGTAGGAGTACTGTAGTTTTGAATATTCTGAGCTACAGTACTCCTAGAATATAAAATCAAAAATTTGAAATTTTTTTTGAAAAAAAAAATTCACTGTTTCAAAATTTGTATGATTATTTTTGAAATCAGACATGGTTTAATTCGTAGTAAAGAAATATGGGTTACTGTAGATCAGGAGTACTGTAGTCCAGAACTATCCAAAAATGATGAGGTACAGTACTCTACAGTACTCCTAGAATAACCTATTTGAAATTTTTTTTGAGGAAAAAAATTTACTGTTTCAAAATTTGTATGATTATTTTTGGAATCAGACATAATTTGATGCATATTGAATAACTATGGGTTACTGTAGATAAGGAGTACTGTAGTCAGGAAAATTCGAGAAACTTCGAACTACAGTACTCTACAGTACTCCTAGAAAATTATATTAATTTTTTGCAGAGCCGAAATCTACATTCCCATCATCAATGACGATGAATACGAGAAAAACGAGGAATTTTTCATCGAACTCGGCGAGCCAATTTGGCATGCTGAAATTGCTGAAAATGACGAGGGTTTTGATGGAAAACCGATTTTGGGTGAGTTTTTTTGAAAAAAAAGTTGGGCAGCATGGGGAGTCGAACCCGAGTTGTGCGAACCATAGGCGCGTGCTTATACCACTTGGCCACGCGCTCGTTTTTTTCTCCACGCGAAATTGTCGTATTTAAATGGGATGCTTTTCAGGATTCGCCAAATGCAAAGTTGTCATCACTGAAGATAGAGATTTCAAGAATTTTGTGGATAAAGTTTTGGTGACTGCAAATACATCGATTATGGTTGGAACATCGAGTTGGAAACAACAATTTACAGAGGCAATGACTATTGAAGCGGAAGATGAAGATGGAGAAGTTACGCTGAAAGGTAGGGCTTTTTTTTTTTGAGTCTAAATATGCCTGGGAAAAAATTTACTGTTTCAAAATTTCCTCAAGTTTTTATTGGTTTTTTGGGAAATGCTTGTGTTCAATTGCAAAATAAATAAAATTCAAATGTATTCGGAAAATATTGGGATTTGACTGAAATTTTTGAGAAATTCAGAAAGTTTTTTTTTTAATTTCATAAAGTCACTCAAATTGTTCTCCAAAAATTTATAGAATTTTGGAAACAGTGAAAATTATTTTTGAAAAAAAAAATAAATTTTTGGATTTTTTTCAAAACGAAAAATTCTCTGTTTTAAAATTTTATCAAAGTTTTCCTTTTTTTTTGAAAAATGATGAATCATTATTCTCTGAAAGCCATAAAATTCAAATTTAGTCTGAAAATGCTGGAAATTTTGAAAAATTCAGAAAATTTGGGGTTTTTTGAGTGTAAATATGGCTGGGATGAGATTTTTAAGAAACATTTTAATTTTTCCGATTTAAAAAATTTACTGTTTCAAATGAAATAATTAATAAGAATAATTACAATTGAATCAATTTGGCAAACTCATTGTTAACCAAAAATGTGTGGAATTTTTTCAAAAATTATTTTTTCACTGTTTCAAAATTTTTATAATTGTTTCGGACAGTTGGATAAATGCTTTTTGAGCGACTAACATTCAAAAAACTCCAAATTTTCTGAATTTTTCAAAAAATTTGAGTAGAATTTCGATATTTTCATACAAAAAATGAGTGCCGGTTATTCTTGAAAGAATTATGTTAAAATTGCAAGTTCAAAATTATATGGAATTTTTGAAACAGTAAATTTTTTCAAAAAAATTCAAAACATTTCTAGCCAAATTTAAACTCAAAAAACTGCAAATTTTCTGAATTTTTCAAAATTTGGAGTAGAATTTCGATATTTTCAGACAAAAAAATGAGTGCCGGTTATTCCTGAAAGAATTATGTTAAAATTTTTATGAAATTTTTGAAACAGTAAATTTTTTATAGGCAAAAATGTTTTTCCTAGCCAAGTTTACACTCAAAAAATTGCAAATTTTCTGAATTTTTCAGAAATTCCAGTAATATTCCAATATTTTCAGACAAAATTTGAGTTTCAGACACTTTTCCAAGATTTAACTAATGAATTCTTGAAATTAGTATGAAAAATTCATATGCAATTTTTGAAACAGTAAATTTTTTTGATTTGAAAAATTTTATTCCTAGTCAAATTTACACTCGAAAAAATTCAAATTTTCTGAATTTTTCAAAAATTTAAGCCAAATTCCGCTATTTTCGAATGAAATTTGAGTTTCAATAATATTTTTTCATGTCAACATTCAAAAATAGTAAATTTAAAATTTACAAAATTTTTGAAACAGTAAATTTTTTTCATTTGAAAAAATTAATTCCCAGTCATATTTATACTCAAAAAACTCCAAATTTTCTGAATTTTTCAAAATTTCCATCCAAATTTCAATATTTTCAGATAAAATTTGAGCTTCAGGCAAATTTATACCAGCTCCGAATCCAGTTCCAACTCTTAAAAATAATATGAAAAATTATATGAAATTTTTGAAACAGTAAATTTTTTTGATTTGAAAAATTTTATTCCTAGTCATATTTACACTCAAAAATTGCAAATTTTCTGAATTTTTCAAAATTTGGAGTAGAATTTCGATATTTTCAGACAAAAAAATGAGTGCCGGTTATTCCTGAAAGAATTATGTTAAAATTTTTATGAAATTTTTGAAACAGTAAATTTTTTATAGGCAAATTTACACTCAAAAAACTGCGAATTTTCTGAATTTTTCAAAAATTCCAGCCAAATTCCAAATTTCAGACAAAATCTTCCACTACATTTCGCTCCCCTGGAAACTTCTATTCGCTCTAATTCCACCAACCGATTATTACAATGGCTGGTTGTGTTTTGTGGTCGCCATTTTCATGATTGGTGTGCTGACTGCTTTTATTGGTGATTTGGCGTCGGCTTTTGGGTGTACTGTTGGATTGAAGGATTCGGTGACTGCGTTAACTTTGGTTGCCATGGGAACTTCTTTGCCAGGTTAGTTGGGGGCCAGAGAATGCGAAAATCGGGTTTTTCATGAAATTTTTAGTCGGGAAAGTGGAAATTCCCGGGTGTTTGAGCTGGTAAAGATTTCTAGGCATTGCTCAGGTTAGGAGGTTCATTTTTGAATTAAATTCTGGAAGAGCAACCATTGCTCAGATTATAGAGAAATTCAAAAGTTAGTTTTTTTCTGATAAAAATTCACTGTTTCAACATGAAAAATTGAAGAACAATTTTTTCTCAAAAAAATTACCATCTGCAAACATTTTTTTAGCTCAAAAAAAATTCACTGTTTTAAAATTATTCCAAAAGTTTGGGTTTGAATTGAAATTCTTGTTCGAGTATATGTAAATGGTGCCAGGAATTAATTTTGAAGTTGAATTTTGAAAAAAAAACTGATTTGTGAACTTTTTTGGAGATGACAAGATGATGATGAGATGATGATTTTTGGAGACATTGCTCAGGTTATACTGTAATTTTTTCAAAAAAATGTTCTTTTTCACTGAAAATAATTCACTGTTTCAAAAATTTATCAAAATATTATTTAAAAGTTTTCTGAATTCTGAATTTAGAAAAAAATTAACTGAAAAATGTTTCAAAAAAACTGTTTCAAAAAAAAAATTTAAAAAATTTTTGAAACAAATTTCTCCTTCTAAAAAAAATTCACTGTTTCAAAATTTCTATTCTCTGAATTTCGAATATGAAATTATTATACTATGCGAATTTCGTCTCAAAAATAAGCAAAGAGCAAAAAAAATCCAAATTTAAATATTTCGGGAAAAATTCATTGTTTCAACAAAAATGAGCAAGACATATTTTTGATGATTTGATATTCAAATTAAATTGAAGAATTTCACGAAAAATCCAACTTTTCAAATAAAAAGTACTATAGAAAAATTCACTGTTTCAAAAATTCATGAAATAAATTGTCAATTAATTATTTTTGATTCCATTATGTTTCAAACTTATCTGAAAATTTAGCCAACTTGTTTCCGCACAAAAATTTCACTGTTTCAAAATTTTTAGAAAATGAAATGTTTCCAGAAACTTGATTCGTTTATTTTTAGGGCATGAAAAAATTCACTATTTCGAAGTTTTCATTTTTGAATTAGAAGATTTGAAATTTTGATGAATAAGCTTCTCAGTTTTCAAAAAAATTCACTGTTTCAAAATTATTCAAAAAGTTTGGTTTTTAATTGAAATTTTTGTTTGATTATAGAATTAGGGACAGAAATTAATTTTAAAGTTAAATTTTGAAAAAAAAACTGATTTGTGATTTATTTGGAGATTTTCTGACTTGAAAAATGTTTTCAGACATTGCTCAGATTATACTGTAATTTTTTTCGAAAAACATTTTTTTTTCACTGAAAATAATTCACTGTTTCAAAAAATTATCAAAATATTGAATTGTACATTCAGAATGATGAATAAGGACTGAATTCTGATTTTAGAAAAAAACCACTGAAAAATTCACTGTTTCAAAATTTCTATTTTCTCAGTTTCGAATATGAAATTATGTTGCTATATTAAATCCAACTTCTCAAAAAAAATACTATAGAAAAATTCACTGTTTCAAAAATTCATGAAATAAATTCTCAATGAATAATTTTTGGTCCAGCTCGGTTCCAAATATATTTTAAAAGTTAACCAACTTGTTTCCTTACAAAATTTCACTGTTTCAAAATTTTTAGAAAATTAAATTTTTCCAGTTACTTTTGATTCACCATTTGGTCACAAAAAATTCACTGTTTCGAAGTTTTCATTTTTGAATTAGAAAAATTCAAATTTTGATAACTAAGCTTTTTCAATTAAAAAAAATCACTGTTTCAAAAAATCATGAAATAAATTCTGAATAACTGATTTTTGTTGGAACTTTTAAAATTTTTTGTTTGCAAAATTTTAAAGCTCAATTTTTCACGTATCTTTTTACAAAATCCCAAAAAAAATCACTGTTTCAAAAATTAATGAAATAAGTCCTCAATAAAATTTTTTTGATTACGTATGGCAATTTTCCAAATTCAAACTCAAAAAAATTCACTGTTTCAAAAATTTTTTGAAAATAAAATTTTCCAGGAACATTTGATACTTATAACTTCATTTTGACATTCAAAAAACCGGAAAAAATACGTGTCAAAATTTTCATTTGCTGAATTTCAAAAATTAAAGTTTTGATTTTGAAAATTTTGATTTGTTAAAGTCTTCTGGCCAAATAAATTCTCAAAAATATTTTTTCTGGCTGAAAAAAATCGTGAAAAAATTCACTGTTTCAAAATTTTTTGAAAATAAAATTTTCCAGGAACATTTGATTATTAGTTCATTTTACATTACAAAAATACCGGGAAAATTACGTTTCAAAATTTTCATTTGTTAAATTTCAAAAATTAAAATTTTGATGAGCTTACTGTTTCAAAAATTTCATGAAATTTTTTATTTTTCACTGTTTCAAAAATCTATGAAATAAATTCTGAATAACTGATTTTTGATGGAACTTTTATAATTTTTTGTTGCAAAATTTTAAAGCTCAATTTTTCGCGTATCTTTTTACAAAATCTCAAAAAAAAATCACTGTTTCAAAAATTAATGAAATAAGTCCTCAATAGAATTTTTTTGATTACGTATTGCAATTTTCTAAATTCAAACTCATCCAAAAAAATTTACTGTTTCAAAATTTTTTGAAAATAAATTTTCCAGGAACATTTGATACTTACAACTTCAATTTGACATTCAAAAAACCGGGTAAAATACGTTTCAAAATTTTCATTTGTTAAATTTCAAAAATTAAAATTTTGATTGGATTTTTTAGTTTGATTGGAAAAACTTAACCATTGCTCATATTTGGAAAAATTTGATTTGTTAAAGTTTTCTGGCCAAATGAATTCCCAAAAATATTTTTTCTGGTTGAAAAAAATCAAGAAAAAATTCACTGTTTCAAATTTTGTTTAAAAATAAAATTTTCCAGGAAAATGTGATATGATTTCATTTGAATGAAAAAAATATCGATAAATACATTTCAAAATTTTCATTTGTGAAATTTCAAAAATTTAAATTTTTGATGAGCTGAAGTTTTTCAATAATTTACTGTTTCAAAAAATTTCAAAAAAAAAATTTTTTTTTTGTAATTTTTTTTCGACAAAAATTCACTGTTTCAAAAAATATAATACATTTATTTGCAAAATTTTAAAGCTCAATCACTTCGTAAAATAAACTCCCAAAAAATCACTGTTTCAAAAATTAATGAAAATAAGTCCTCAATAAAATTTTTTTGATTACGTATTGAGATTTATTAATTCGAACTCAAAAAAAATTTACTGTTTCAAAATTTTATGAAAATAAAATTTTCCAGAAACATTTGATACTTACAACTTCAATTTGACATTCAAAAAAACCGGGAAAAATACGTTTCAAAATTAACTTTTTTTTTAATTTCAAAAATTAAAATTTTGATGAGCAAAAGTTAAAACTTTGCTTAAAATAACCTCACAAAAAATCACTGTTTCAAAAAATTTATAAATTTATTTGCAAAATTTTAAAGCTCAATCACTTCGTAAAATAAACTCCCAAAAAATAACTGTTTCAAAAATTAATGAAATAATAAAATTATTTTAATTCCGTAGTTCAAATATTTTCTAAAAAAAATTCATTGTTTCAAAATTTTATGAAAATAAAATTTTCCAGGAACATTTGATACTTACAACTTCAATTTGACATTCAAAAAAAACCGGGAAAAATACGTTTCAAAATTTTAATTTATTGAATTTCAAAAATTAAAATTTTGATGAGCTGAAGTTTTTTGAAACTTTTTCTCAAAATTACCTCACAAAAATTCACTGTTTCAAAAATTTCATAAAATATTTTATTTTGTATTTTTTTTTTCCAACAAAAATTCACTGTTTCAAAATTTTTATAAATTCTCAAAACAAAGTTTTCTAGCTCAAAATTCCACGTAGATCTCGAATTTCCCGCCAGTATTCCAAAATTCCCCCGATTTTCAGACACATTTGCCTCCCGAACCGCAGCAGTTCAAGATCAATGGGCAGATTCATCGATCGGAAATGTGACTGGCTCAAATGCGGTCAATGTTTTCTTGGGAATCGGAATCGCTTGGGCAATTGCGGCGATTGTTCATGCGTGGAGAGGAACAAAATTTATGTAAGAAAAAATTTTATTTTTTAATTTCAGGTTACAGTAACCTTTTTTTAAGAAAAATCCGGAAATTTGGCATTTTTTCCAGGTTTTTTGATGAATTTTGATCAAAGTTAGGATTACTGTAGATTTATAGGGACTTACAGTAACCCATATTTTTCTAAACTGAAAATTGAATTTCAAGCTACAGTAATCCAGTGGGTACTGTAGTCTGAACTTTTTTTTGGGTTTTTGATGAATTTTGATTATGGAAATTAGGGTTACTGTAGATTTATAGTGACTTACAGTAATCCAGATTTTGAAAATTGAATTATAGGCTACAGTAACCCGGGATTACTGTAGAATTTCGAGATTTATCGAAAAGATTTCGAAATTTGAAAATATAAATTTTGAAACATATTTTTCCTTCTGGAGTACTGTAGAAATTGTGGGTTACTGTACTCTACAGTACCCGAATCTACAGTACCCCTACAGTACTCCTAAATATTTCCATCCTTCAAAATGCTCCAAATTTTCCCGCGCGCAAAAAACTACAGTACCCTCTTCTACCGTACTCCTTTTCAGTTTTTTTTCAGCAAAGGTAAATTGAGCTACAGTAATCCAGGGTTACTGTAGTCAACATTTTTCGAGTCGAATATTTTGAAACCTATTTTGTCCTGGCTGAAAAATTCTGGAGTACTGTAGAGATGTGGGTTACTGTAGGGTCTACAGTACCTCTACAGTAACCCAATTTGAAGTACTGTAGCTTTTTAAATCCTTTAGCAACCTTACAGTAATCATAAGAACCTTCAAAATGCTCCAAATTTTCGCGCGAAAAAAACTACAGTACCCTCTCCTACAGTACTCCTACAGTAACCCACTCATTTTTCAGTGTTCCGACCGGTTCCTTGGGCTTCTCTGTGCTGATGTTCCTAATCGGCTCCACAATCTGTGTGGCTCTCCTCCAATATCGTCGTTTCAATCGAAAAATCAACGGCGAACTCGGCGGCGTCCGAAATTGGCGTCTAATTTCGGCCGCAATTTTCGCCGGCGTCTGGATTTCATACGTCATTTTGAGCACACTAGAAGCCTATTGTATTATTCAAGGTTTTTGATTTTTTTTTTTTTTGAATTTTGTGAATTTTTTAATTTCCTCCTAAAAACATTCCATAATATTGATGTATGAACTATTTTTATTAAATAAATTGTTGAAAATCACTGAAAATAACTAGAAAAAGCCTGGAATTGAAGAAATTGATGATTTTTACAAGAAATTATCTACCATCAAACATTTGTGCAAAATTCAATTTTTTATGTGACAATTTTGAAACAGTAAATTTTTTTGTGAAAAAAATTGTGAAAATTTCGATTTCCAAAAAAAATTTGTGTAATTTTTGAAACAGTGAAATTTTCTCACATCAAAAGTATTTTCAAAAAAATCCATTGTTTCAAACATTTGGCATCTAAAAGTTCAGAAAATTGAGGATGTTTATAAGTTTCATTTAAAAATTAAAAAAAATTCTAGAAAATTATGAAAGAAAAATATTTCACTGTTTCAAAATTTCTACATTTAGAAATTAATATTCTCTCGGTGGTGAACCGATCAAAAAAAAATGTTTTCCAAAAATTCACTGTTTCAAAGTTTTGAGATAAAAAATGTCAAAAATTAAAAATTTGATGCACCTTTGTACTCTACCAGCCCGAGAAAACTCAAAAATCTTCAATTTTCATAAATTTAACATTTTCAAAAAATAATTCAAAAATTTTCGATAAACTTTGAAACAGTAAATTTTGCTCACAAATATTTTTTGCGAAAATTCAAAAAAAAAACCTTTGACTTTATAAAAATCTCGTTGAATTTCACTATTAATGTTATCAACTTTTTTGAAAAAAATAATAATTTTGAAACAGTGACTTTTTTTTTTGAAAAAACCAAGTATTGCGACAGTGAAGATTTTAAAAACCACCAGAAACTTGTGAAATTCTTGAAACAGTGAAATTTTGAATTCATAAATGTTTTCAATTTTGGCTTCTTAACAACACCGCGAAGTATCAATCTAAATGAAACCAAAATTTCCATATAAAATTTTTGAAACAGTGAAAGTTTCTATTTTATTGTGACTTTTACAACATAACAATCATCAAGATTTTCATTAAAATGGGATTTTTGAGATCTTATCAATAAATTTGAGGTCGCCGATTTGACGAATTCGATTGCGCAGTGTTTCCCATGAATTGGGATTTGTAGAAGTAGAATTTGGCTGAAAATGTGAAATTCTGTGGATATTTTCAAAAACTTCTGCTCACATCTCTCTCTTCAATAATTCTGCCACCACCACTTTGCTCATCATTTTTCTCGATTCGATTCATTCTCACCACAAGTTTTCGATCATAAAATATTTGTCCATTCAACATAGCAACAGCTTGCACGGCCTCATTTGGATGCGAATATCGCAAATCGCAGATTCCTTTTGATTCGTCTTTTTCGTCAATTCGCAAATTCAACCAAGTGATTTTGCCAGCATTGCTGAACACTTTCTTGATTTTTTCGGTTTCGATATTGAAGGGCAACTGCAAAAAATACAAGAACATTTTTTGGGGGTCTCAAAGTGTTTTTGTGTTTTTGAATTCGTGTTTTCTTCAAATCTTGATGAAATTTTGTTCATAGACAGCTTTTGGGGTCCGGAAAATTTAAGTTACCCAATGGACCTCTGAGCCAAGTTCTGGGCTCTCAAAAGTCATCATAGCTCCATTTCAAAATAATTTTCATGAAAAAAAAGTTTCAGATATTGATCAGCATAGTCGATTCACTCAAAATACACTTATAAAAAACATTTTTTCAAATTTTTTTTTTTTTTTTTTTTTTAAATTTTTTTTTCCAAAATCAAAATTTTTTCTGAAAATTCGATTTTTTTTAAAATGTTTTTTGGGTAAATCGACCACGCTGATCATCATCTGCTATTCAGTTTTTCATAAAATTGATCGAGAATTGAGTTATGACGTGTTTTATGAGCCAATTTTGGCAATTTTTGAACTTTTGAGAGGCCTTAACTTGGCTCAGAGGTCCATTTTAAAATTTTTAGGGTGTTCTTATGACCCCAAAATCTGTCTTTGGACAAAATTTCATCAAGGTTTGAAGTGTTGAGTAAAAAAGGTCCCCTTGTAAGAGTCAAAGCTGGAAAATGCCGCGACGCGGCCATGCCAAACCCCTAGGCTTCCATTGAGTTCCAAGCCCGCCCCTGGGATGAGGTATGGTTTTGGAAAAAATTCCTTAGGCGGGCAATTTTTTACCCACTCCTCCAGGTTTTGATTTTTCGCGCCATTTTTCTCAAAACAAAAAAAAAATTAAATTTCAAATTTTCCCTCCAAAATTTGTGATTTTTGTAGCGCCAAAACAGAAACGCAAAACTAGAGTCTAGTTTGAAATTCGAAAAAAAAATCCTAAATTCAATTCCAGGTCAATTTTTTCCTCCAAATTTTCAGCCAAAAATTTAATGCCGGAAGTTCAAACTACAAACAATCATTTTATAACCTCCTCGAGTTCCTATAACTTCACAGTCTCAAATTCGAGTTCTCAAAAAATCTCACTTGCTCTGCTTACATTTTTGATTAAAACACGGTCACAAATTGGTGGTGTCATTTCAATCATCAACTCTTTAAACTCCACTTCGTTCTCAATCGATAATAATGTTTTGTGCAGCAGGTCAAACGTCCGCACGTCTGTTTTCTCATCAAATTCTTTTTTCAATCTTATACTCTTCTCTAGTAATGCTTGATAGTTTCCATCGATTTTTGCTGACTCGGCAATTTCATTGAATACCACTTCGTATGTTCTGCGAAAAAAATAAAAATTATTTTTCGTGGCAGAAAATTACGGGGGGGGGCCTTTAACTTTGGGACAAGATTTTTTTGTGGTCTTACCCCCCTTTTCGCCGTAAAATCCATTTTACGGTTTTACGCTGAAAAAAAATCGTAAAATAATTTTACGAAAATAGCACTTATTATAATGAATTTTGAGAGAATCGAATTGAAAATTTAAAAAAAAAATCCTAAAAATTTTTCAAATAAAATTTTGATTGAATCCTAATCATTTTATTTTTGATGGATATAGAGAATAATATTGTTAAAATTATGTTGGAGTTACGGTAAGTTACCAACTCCCAATTTTCAAAGAAATATTTTGGTATTTTTCTGTGAAAAGGTTCAGTGACAAAATTTTACGAATTTCACGGGATTTTTTTAGAACCGTAAATCACCCATTTTACGTTTTAAGGTAGATACATAGTTAAGGATGTTAAGGTTTGAAATAAAAAAAATATAAATTAACATAATTATAATAAAAAAGACTAACTTCTTTTCGGCTTCTATCTTTTCTTTCGTACTTCTTAGTAATCTAATCAACATTTTTTTCATCAGGACGATCGGTTCTTGCGTTTTTTCATTTATCTCCATATCTTCAACGATTTCTGCAAAAACTTGTTTATTGTGTCACGGAATGCCAGGCATATTGAGAAAGTAGACCGAGGTAAATAGAAAAAAATAGAGAAATTATGATAATATTCTGGCACTTTCTCAACAAACTCAGCAAACAAGAAGGCGGAGAAAGCATACATAAAGTTAGCAGATGTTAAGAGGGCAGATAGATAGATAGGTCAGGTGAATGTCCATCGATTTGGAGAGTAAATACACACTGTGCGCTGCGAAAAATAGATAGAAAAGGGGAAGGGGATGGGCTAACAACTCAACAATAAAACAATTTTTTGAAAGCACAGAAATATTTGACTGTTTCAAAAGTTGTACATGTTGAAATTTGAAAATTATTGTTAAGTGCAAAATTCTTTTTACTGTAGAAATGCAGGTATCTACAGTACTCCTTCTACAGTACCCCTACAATACTGCTTCCAAATTGAAATTTTCCTCAAGCTTCTAAAATGTCCTTTTTTTTCAAACCAATAAAAATTGAGCTACAGTAATCCAGGGTTCCTGTAGTCACCATTTTTCAGATCGAATTTGATGTAGAATCGAAGAAAAAAAGTTCTAGAGTACTGTAGTACTGTGGCTACAGTAGTATTTGGCAAATACAGTACCTCTACAGTAATCCAATTTGAAGAACTGTAGCTTCTCGAATCCTTTAGGAACCTTACAGTAATCATAAGAACCTTCAAAATGCTCCAAAAAAACTTTGAAACAGTAAATTTTCTTGTGAGCTATTTTTTATTCAAAAAAAAAACCTTTGACTTGAAAAATCTGAAACTACATAATTCGTTGGATTTCACTCAACATTTCTTAAAAGCAAATATAATAATTTTGAAACAGTGACTTTTTTTTTGAAAAAATAATTGAATTATTCAAAAAGTGCAGATTTGAAAACCATATTAAAGTTCGGATTTTCAGTATGTGCAAGTTTTGAAACAGTGAAATTTTGAGCAACTCTAAAAAATCAAGAATTGACATTTTACAAACGATTTTTACAAAACCATCAAAAACTTGTGAAATTCTTGAAACAGTGAGATTTTGAATTCATAATTTTTTTTCAATTTTTCAGGTAGTTGGACAACTGCGAGCATCGATCTAAATAAAACCAAAATTTTCAGGTAAATGTACGTTTTACGCCCCCACCCCATTTTTCGCACCCACCAGGTGGTTTCGTGCCCCCACCTATGCCCCCACCCATTGATTGATGGAGGCACAAAAAAGGGTGGGAGCACGAAACAACCAATGGGGGCGCAAAAATTAGGGGGCATAAAAAATGCCACTTTTTTCATCGTTGGGGCGCGAAACGGGTGAAAATGTATTGTGTCGGGTGCACAAAACATCCCACAGTGGAAAAAGTGTTTTTCACGCCCCCATCAATATTTTTTCATGTCCCCACAGGAGCACATTGTTTACTAGGTTTTTCCACTACTATAAATTAACCATATAATACTAACATAGATACTGTAGAATAGCAACCCAGATACTGTAGATTAGCAACCCAGGTACTGTAGATTAGCAACCCAGGTACTGTAGATTAGCAACCCAGGTACTGTAGATTAGAAACCCAAGTACTGTAGAATAGAAACCCTGGTACTGTAGATTAGCAACCCAAGTACTGTAGAATAGAAACCCTGGTACTGTAGAATAGCAACCCAGATACTGTAGATTAGCAACCCAGGTAATGTAGATTAGAAACCCAAGTACTGTAGAATAGAAACCCTGGTACTGTAGAATAGCAACCCAGATACTGTAGATTAGCAACCCAGGTAATGTAGATTAGAAACCCAAGTACTTTAGAATAGAAACCCTGGTTCGAAAATCAATGGATGTTTAATTTACATTACCCAGAAGTCATTTACATAATTTGTGGATGATCTAGACTAATGCGGACTTATTTTTTCCAATGAAACTCACATCACTCGATATCCAACCATTTTTCGAATTGATAAAATTTGAAATGGTTCATTTTTGTTGGATTTTTCACGTAAACGTGCCAACAAATGATTAAATGTCACGATTTTTATTTTTTTAGGTCAAGCTCAAAAAATTGAATTTGAAAAATATATTAAAGCAGAATACTGTAGATTAGTAACCCAGGTACTGTAGATAAGCAACCCAGGTACTGTAGAATGGCAACCCGTCCACTGTAGACCCTGGGTTGTCGTTGTAGTCGGGTTGTCAATCTACAGTACCTGGGTTGGTGACCTAAGGTAATCGGGTTGCTATTCTACAGTATCTGGGTTGCTAATCTACAGTAGTCGGGTTGTCAATTTACAGTAGTCGGGTTGTCAATCTACAGTACCTGGGTTGCTAATCTACAGTGCCTGGGTTGCTAATCTACAGTACCTGGGTTGCTAATCTACAGTACCTGGATTGATGATCTACGGTAGTTTTTTTGGTGAGGGGTGGTCATATGTAAAAATGGGTGGGTGCATGAAATCAAAAATGACTGTGGGGGCATGTAATGAAAAAGATGGGTGCGTAAATCATTCACATACCAAATTTTCATATAAAATGTTTAAAACAGTGAAAATTTCTCACATCAAAAGTATTTTCAAAAAAAAATCCACTGTTTCAAACATTTGACATCTAAAAATTCAGAAAATTGATGATGTTGACAGATCAAAATTTCTAGAAAATTCTGAAAGAAAAATATTTCAATGTTTCAAAATTTCTACATTTAAAAATTCAGATTTTTTGGATGATGGAAGACTAGATTAATAGTAAAAAAAGAAAAATGCTGTACTAAAATTTCACTGTTTCAAAATTTTATAGGGCAAAATCAATTTTTCTGAATATTTGTTGAACAATAATAAAACATAATTCAAAAATTTTCAAAAAACTTTGAAACAGTGAATTTTTCTAAACTTTTTTTCAGGAAAAAATTTATTTACATTTCTCAAAAATCAATAGCAAAATAGGTAAAACCAATTCAAAACTCCAATTAAAATACATCAAAATCATCACAAATCTCATTTTAGAATCCCCCAAATAATTCCAAAAATACAGAAGAATCTCATAGAATCCACAGATAATTAGGTTAATTAAAATCGCAATTAAAATTGGTGTGTTCCCATAATTTTTTCCAATTTTCTTCTTGTTCTTCATCACCAAAATGCCCAAAGCCAAAGCCACCGTCAAAATTCCATAAAAAATTCGATTTATCAAATTTTTGTAGCCTTTTTCATCCGCCGAATCATAAAAATTCAAAAATCCAAATTTCGAAATAAAAATTCGATAAATTTTCGATGTTTGAATACTGTAATATGTGGCCAGACTTGATGAAACCAAAATTATCAGCAATAACAATAACCTGAGCAATGTTCTGCAAAAAGTTTCTTGTAACCTGGAGTGTCGTAGTTCATACCTAGTTTTCTGCGGCGGCAAAATTTGATCTACAGCCAAAACCAGAAAATAAAATTGCACAAAAAAACTGGCACAAAAATCGAGATACATCGAAAATTCCAGAAAATTTTCCGAAAATCCAAAAAATCCCTAAACTGAGCAATGATCTAATCAATAAAAAAATCGATAAATTTTTGAATAAAAAATTTTCTTTGAATTTTTTTCGAATAAGATAGATTATTTGCAGCAAGAGATTTAGAGCTAATATGAGCAATGGTAGAAAAAAGTGGATTTTTTCGAGAAAAATATCGATTTTTGTTGGTGGTGGTTGAGTTACACAAGTTGATGGAATTTGTGGAATACATTCTGTGGGAGGTTGAGTATTTGAATATTGATTTTTGAAAGATAGTGCTACCATTTTGGTAGATCAAATGGATTTAGATTTGATCTACAGTAACCTTTAATTTGGCGTTGGAAAAATTCAGCTGAAAATAAAAATCTAAAAAAAAATTTTTTTAGCAAAAAAATTATGATTATACACAATTTTCGAAATATCAAGTGAAAAGTTCAGCAAATTGTCAGTTTCGCCCGAAAAATGAACCTGAAATTAAAAGTTCAAAAAATTGCCACGTGGCATAATTTCGAGGTGTAAAAGCGGAGCATCGTAGTATTTTTTGAAAATACTGCCAAAAAAAAAAATATTTTTCAAATGAAAACTTTGAAACAGTGGAATTTTTCAATTCAGAAAAATAATTTTGAAGATGCGATTAGTATCTGAACCAAACAATTGTCAATAATTCACTGTTTCAAAATTTTCCAAAAAATAAAAAAAGAAAATTGAAAATTCATACTTTGATAACACTTTTTTCATTCCAAATCCAACTTTTCATCTCTAGAAACAGTGAAAATTTTTTGGACCAAAATTTATCAAAAATTCACTGTTTCAAATATTTTCCATAATTTTTTCAAAGAAAAAGTGTGCAATTTTATTCTTCTATAGATTTCTTTCAAAAATTCACTGTTTCAACATTTTTTTTTCTAATTGTATTTAACAACAGCTGAAACTTTAACTAAAACAATTTTTCGATTTTTGAATTTCGAAAATACAAAAAACTCGATTTTTAGTTTCTATGAAAAATTGCATATTATTGGGATTCTCTTAATTTCCTGGGATACAAACTTTTTTTGAAACAGTGAAATTTAGTTAAATTTTATTGAAGAAAAAGTGTCAAAAATTCACTGTTTCAAATTTTTTAGATAAAAAATGTCAAAAATTAATAATTTGTTGGTCCCTTTTTCTCGCATCGAGAGATTATGTAAATTTCGAAACAGTGAATTTTTTTGTCTGAGAAATAATTCGAACGGGTTTCATTGATACGGAAAAATGTTGAAACAGTGGATTTTCGAAGGAAATCTATAGCAAAAAATCAAAATTGCCACTTTTTCTTTGAAAAAAGTTCACTGTTCCTATTTTCCCTTGCTAAAGTATAACTGATTTAAGAAAAATTCCGTTTTTAAAGGTAAATTGTTGAAACAGTGAATTTTTGATAAATTTTGGTTCAACAAATATTCACTGTTTTGAGAGATGAAAATATGGATTTGGAATAACTTGAAAATTTAAAAAAAACGTGAATTTTTGACAATTTTTCTTCAATAAAATCTAGTTTTTGAACCCAGGAAATTTAAAAAAAAATTCGGTATTTCGAAAAAAATTGTGCAATTTTTTCCTGTGAAAAAGTTTGTCAACAGAATCGCTCAAAATTTCGAGAAATTATAAAAATTTCGAAACAGTGAATTTTTTCTGGAAAAATTCTTTCGGGCTTAATTCCTTCAAACAGAAAGTGACTATTGAATTGACTATATATTTCCAAAAAAAAAAAATGCAATTTTTGAAACAGTGAATTTTTTTTGAGCAAAAAGAGTTATGAAAACTGAAATCAAAAACAACAAAAAATTAATTATCAATATTTCCTCGTTGATTTTTCAATTTGTTAGAACAGCATATAAAATTGATGAAAGCAGCTCGATAATTTTTAACAATAAAAATAGGTGAAAAAGGACTAATTGCTGGAAATAATGCAACAAGAAATGATACACAACTAGTCCCATTTCCAAAATCAATTTCCAATAAACACGAAAAATAAAGAAATACAACAGGAATATGCATCACAATAATTGGTATCAAACAATCCAAAAACAATGCATAAAACAATTGATTTTGTAAACTATTTCCTGACAACATCTTCGAACTTATTTTCCAATAACATTTCCATCCAAAATATACAATCGCTATCATTGAAGACATATTCAGTATAATTGCAATAATTATACCAATTATTGATTTGATATTAATGTGTTCAATTCCATCATTTTCTTTTTGATATAAATAAAGGCCAATGAATATAACATCATCAATATTTGTATCAAAATCGATTAGAAAAATATTTCTAATATTTTCATTTGCTTGAGAAGTTTGATGACATAAATAATAAGAGATAAAAAACCATAGGAATGCACAGCAAAATGGAATACTGAACCAGATAATAATCTTGAAATTCATCATAGTTTTAATCAAACTACAAGATTCATAGGCCACTAAATATCGATAATAAAATTGGATTGTTAAAAGTCCCATTAGAAAACCATAACAACTACAGTATAATGCGATTAGAACTCTTGTGATTTCTTTATCGAAAATTGAATTAGATGTTTCCACAAATACAATTATCATTGATTTATATGAATAAACCATCTGAAGATTTTTGAATGAGAATTAGAAATCTTTTTCTTTTTCAAAAAGTTCACTGTTTCAAAATATTCAGAAAAAAACATTTTTGAAGAAAAAATCTTCTAACAAAAATTCACTGTTTCAAAAATGTCATAATTTTAATTTCAAAAATTCAAATGTTGATTGATTTATCTTGGGTTTATATGAACCGCTGAACTAGAAAAATAATTCCAAAAAATCCACTGTTTTAAAATTTTCACATCTAAAAATTCACAGAATTAAGGATGTTTAATTTTTTGAAGATCCTGCTAAAAATCTGATTATCACTGATTAAGAAATCCTAGAAAATTCTAGAAAATTGTTAGAAAATATTTCACTGTTTCAAAAATTTTATTAAAAAAAACTCCAGATTTTTTTCTTCGTTTACAGAACATGCAAATCAAGAAAAAACTAAAAATCATAGATTTTTGACTGTTTCAAAAAATCAATATTAAAATAATCCAAATGTATTATTTGATACACAGTTGAGCAACCCTATTCTAACCAATGAGCGTCAGAAATTCACTGTTTCAAAATTTTAAAATAAAAAATGTCAAAAAATCAATAATTTGATGCTCCTACACTTATAGCACGCTGAAAAAACTCAAAATTATTCAAATTTCATGAATTTTATATCAAAATAGCCTATTTTTCTTTGCTTCAGCTCAAAAATCTCTGAAGAAAAAAATCTTCTAACAAAAATTCACTGCTTCAAAAATGTCATAATTTGAATTTCAAAAAAAATGATCTTCTCTTAGCTCTTGGAAAGTAAAAAAAAAATTAAAATTTTCAATTTTCCAACTGATAATCTATGAAAAAACTCACCGGTGCAACAATAACTTCCAAAATCGAATAAGTCAATTGAAAACCAGCTGACAATAACAACAAGCGTTTATATCCGCCCATTTTTTTCGGCGATTTTTTGAGGATCAGAAAAATTAGAATCACATTTAGAGACACTGAAAATACAGTGGAAAGATATGGGATTATTTGGTTGATGGTTTTCCATAACATTATTAGATTTTTTGAGTTATGGTAAATTGAATGTGGTTATAATTTAAGACTGATACTCTGGAGGCTCAAGTTCTATAGAATTCAAGTAAATAACATGATGTAACTATTTTTCATTTCAATTAAATAAATAAAATTCTTATAAATTAATGTACAAAACACATGCTTTAGGGGAATTCAAAAAGAGCTGAAAATCACAAAAAATCGGGGTCAAAAAAGGGCCTAAAATTCAATGTTTAGGTGGATGAACTTGAAGAGAGCTTCTTCAAATGCTCCATAAATACTTGAAGTGAAACATCGTCAGTGAAAACAGCAGCTCCGCCTTCATTTGCATATGGATTGTTGTGGGTTAATGATGGATTGACTTTGGATAACAGGAAACGAGCCTGGAAAGACAAATTTGATTAAAATTTACTGTTTCAAAATTATTTTGAATGAAGATTTGCTTTTCTGAATTAGTTTTGTTAGTTTACGAAATTTATATAGAAATTCTAAAAACGGTGAAATTTTCCTGTGATTTAAAATTCACTTATTCACAATTTTGTCCAATTATCATTATCTACTCAACAAAAATTTTAACATGTTCAAGGAATTTAAAAAATTCCGAAACAGTGAAAAAATAATTTTTATTGTTCAAAATGTAAGACTTATTGAATTCGGATTTTCAAAAAAAGTATGTGCAAGTTTTGAAACAGTGAATTTTTGAGAAACAATTTTGATAAAACGAGGAATCCGATTTCACTGAAGATTTAAAAACCCATTAAAATTTTGTAAAATTATTGAAACAGTGAGATTTTTAGAATTTCATTTATATTTTTCAATTTTTGGTTGGCAAATAAGAAACTAAGATCAATCTAAAAATAACCAAAATTCTCATATAAAAATTGTGAAACAGTGAAATTTTCTCAATCAATCAGAAAAAAAAAATTCCAAAAATTTACTGTTTCAAAAATTTCACGTCGACTGAAAATATTTGAAATTTGAATTTTTCATGAAAAATAAAATTGAAAAGATACATTTTCATTCAGAATTTTGATTAAAATTTACTGTTTCAAAATTATTTTAAATGAAAATTTGCTTTTCTGAATTAGTCATCATCTATGTCATTTTGATTTCCCAGAAAAAATTATGTAGAATTTTTGAAACAGTGAAATTTTCTTGTGATTCAAAATTCATTCGTTCACAAAAAATGATGTGATCAAAATTTCTCTAGCTTTCAAAAAATTATGGAAATTTTGAAACAGTGAATTTTATTGTCTGAAAATAACTTGTTTGAAACTGATTAAAGTTGTTGAATTAATAGAATTTTTGAAATGGTGAAATTTGTCAGACCAAATTTTCAAAAAAAAAAAAATCATATTTTTTTGAAGAAAATCTAACTGTTTCAAAATTACTATGAAATCTTCAAATGTTCCGTGAAAAAATGATTCTCAAATAATTTTTTTTGTGAAACATTGAAAAAAAAATAATGTCAAAAATTCACTGTTTCAAATATTTAACATAAAAAAGTTCAGAAAATTTAGGATGCTCCGGTGTTTGATTTCTGTAGAACTTTGATTTTCATGATTCATAAATTTTGATAATTTTATGGGGCTATTAAGCGAAAAAAAAAATGTTTTCTCAACGGGAGAAAAGCGAAGAAAACCTATTCAAGTCGGTTGAGAAAACATAAAAAAACAAACACTTGAAACACACAAATTGCGACGAGACCCAACGAAAAACAACATGTTCCTTTAAGTTACTGTAGAAAATCGCAACGGGACCAATTTACAGTAATGCAAAAGGTCAAAGGAACATGTTGTTTTTCGTTGGGTCTCGTCGCAATTTGTGTGTTTCAAGTGTTTGTTTTTTATGTTTTCTCAACCGACTTGAATAGGTTTTCTTCGCTTTTCTCCCGTTGAGAAAACATTTTTTTTTCGCTGAATAGCCCCATTAGAAAAAAAATATTTCACTGTTTCAAAATTATGACATTTAAAAATTCAGATTTTCACTTTGCTGAGAGGTGTACAAAGCGGAAAATCATAGATTTTTTGAGAGAAAAAAATCCACTGTTTTAAAAAATCAATATTAAAATATTCCAAATTTAATATTTGATGAACAGTTGTTTGCCTTATGTTTGTGAAAAAAATCAATTTTCAGAAAAATTCACTGTTTCATCTATTTTTCATTGATAAATCCAGATTTTTCTGCTATTACAACCGAAAAACAACTCACTGTTTCAAAATTTTCAAATAAAAAATGTCAAAAATTAATAATTTGATACTCATTACCTCACAGAGAGCCGAGAAAACTCAAAAATCTTCAAATTTCATGAATTTTACATCAAAAAACCTCATTTTCCACCAATTTGCACATACTTTATATCAAAATTCTCCCCCCTCAAAACCTGACCTGTGATCCTTCATGTTCAGTAACAATATATCTTGGCATTGGGAATCGTTCTTGTAAAATTGAAGTTGCATCAGCAACAGGTGCTTCCAATAATTGCTTGAATGTCGCATATTGTGGATCATCTTGATAATTCGCCTTTTTCCATTGCGCAATTGTTTGACCGTGGAAAATCAACACGTGGAAATAGTCGTCCATTAATAGAATTCGATCGGGTAAAATTGAGGAGGTGTCCAGTAATACTGGCTCTGGTGGACCACTGAAAAAAATAGAGGGAATTTTAAGGGGTTTCAGATGAATTTCTCAGAATTTGAATTATCATGAATTTTTGAAACAGTAAAATTTTGCTGATTTTTGGGATGAAAAAGAGACATCAATATTTTCAAATAATTCCTCGAAAATTATAAGAAAACTTTGAAACAGTAGATTTTTTTGTGAAATTTCGATCGTTATTTTATTGTCCAAAACACATTTCAAAAATTTTACGAAAATTTTGAAACAGTGAATTTTTTTTCAGAACCAAAATTTCGAACTTTCTCAATTTTTTTGGATGAAAGTTTCTCAGAAAATTCAGGTTTCCTAGAAAAAGATGCCGAAATATCGAAATTTGTACTAAATCAGCAAGTTTAACATTTCCAAAACCAATTCAAAAAATTATAGAAAAACTTTGAAACAGCAATTTTTCTGAACTTTTTTATTCTTCAAAATTCATAATTTTTCTGATCAAAATTCCAAATTTCCCGAGATTCTGAAATTTTCAGCTAAAAATACATCTGAAATTATATTCGATTAGCAATTAAAATTGGAATTAGAATTCGGATTTTCAAAATCGTATGTGCAAGTTTTGAAACAGTGAAATTATGAGCAACTCTGAAAATTCAAGAATTGCGATTTTTATGAAAAATTCGTGATTTTTAAGGGTTTCAGATGAATTTTTCAAAATTTTGCTTGAATGTTTCAAAACGCGTGTATCAATTCTGAACATAAATCCAAAATGTTTCACAAATTTTTGAAATAGTAAATTTCTGATGATTTTTGAAACGAACATTAAGAAGTTAATATATTCAAATAATTCCTCGAAAAATATAAGAAAACTTTGAAACAGTACATTTTTTCGTTATTTTCGGTAGAAATAGGACACCAAGCATTTCCAAAAATAATCCAAAAATTTTAGAAAAACTTTGAAACGGTAGTTTTTTCAGAACTAAAATTTCGAATTTTCTCATTTTTTTTTTGCTGAAAGTTACTCAGAAAATTCAGGTTTTCTAGAAAAAGCACTCGAAATTTCAGAATTTATAATGATAAAAAAAACATCAGAAAATATAACATTTTCAAAAACTATTCAAAAATTTTAGAAAAACTTTGAAACAGCAACCTTTTTTTATGAAAATATTTTATTTCAAAAATTTATGAGATTCTCCGCGAATTATTGATTTTCCTCAGAAAATACCAGAATTTCTGAAATAAAGTTTGAACATTTCTAGAATTTTATAAAGTGCCATCAACAATTAACATCGTTAGGAAAAAATGACTTTAAAATTATAGAATAATTTTGAAACAGCAAATTTTTCTGAACTATTTTTCTCCAAAATTCATAATTTTTTCTGCTCAAAATTCCAAATTTCTCAGAAAATATGAAATTTTCAGCTAAAAATATATCTGAAATTATATTCGATTAGCAATTAAAATTGGAATTAGAATTCGGATTTTCAAAATCGTATGTGCAAGTTTTGAAACAGTGAAATTATGAGCAACTCTGAAAATTCAAGAATTGCGATTTTACTGGCTCTGGACCGCTGCTAAAAATAGAGGGATTTTTGTGAAAAATTCGGGATTTTTAAGAGTTTCAGATGAATTTCTCAGAATTTTGCTTGAATGTTTCAAAACGCGTGTATCAATTCTGAACATAAATCCAAAATGTTTCACAAATTTTTGAAATAGTAAATTTCTGATGATTTTTGAAACGAACATTAAGAAGTTAATATTTTCAAATAATTCCTTGAAAAATATAAGAAAACTTTGAAACAGTACATTTTTTTTGTGAAATTTCGATAGTTTCGTTTTTTTCGGTAGAACTACGATATCAAAATTTTCCGAAACACACTTCAAAAATTATAGAAAAATTTTAAAACAGTAAATTTTTTCAGAACAAAAATTCCGAATTTTCTCATTTTTTTTTGGCTGAAAGTTACTCAAAAAATTCAGGTTTTCTAGAAAAAGCACTCGAAATTTCAGAATTTATAATGATAAAAAAACATCAGAAAATATAACATTTCCAAAACCAATTCAAAAAATTATAGAAAAACTTTGAAACAGTGAATTTTTCTGAACTTTTTTATTCTTCAAAATTCCAAATTTCCCCGAGATTCTGAAATTTTCAGCTAAAAAAATACATCTGAAATTATTTATTCTTAAATCGAAAATTTCAGAATTTGATATACTTATATAATGAAAAAATAAACATTTTCAAAAAGCAATCCAAAAATTATATGAAAATTTTGAAACAGTGATTTTTCAGAATCGAAATTGCTCAATTTCTCAATTTTTTGGCTGGTTGAAAGTTCCTTGTCAAAAAATTCAGGTTTTCTAGAAAAAGTGCCCAAAAAATCGAAATTAATACTGAATCAACAAATAAAACTTTTCAAAAAAAATTTCAAAAATTATAGGAAAACTTTGAAACAGCAAATTTTTCTCAACTTTTTTATTCTCTAAAATTCATAATTTTTCTGCCAAAATCCGAAAATTCTTCGAGATTCTGAAATTTTCAGTCAAAATTACATCTGAAATTATTCATTTTTTAGACCGAAAATTTTATAGTTTTAATGAAAACATAAACATTTCCAAAACACAATTCAAAAAATTTTAGGAAAATTTTGAAACAGTGAATTTTTTTTTCAGAATCAAAATTTTGAGTTTTCTCAATTTTTTGGCTGAAAATTCCTCAGAAACTTCAGTTTTTCTAGAAAAAACAGTCAAAATTTCAGAATTTATAATGATAAACTTTAACCAGCGAATATAACATTTTCAAAAATTTTAGGAAAACTTTGAAACAGCAACATTTTTTTATGAAAACATTTTATTTCAAAAATTTATGAGATTCTCCGCAAATTATTGATTTTCCTCAGAAATGATTGAAATTTCTAAAATAAAGTTTGAAAATTTCTAGAATTTTGGAAAGTATCGACAATCAATATGGTTTGTAAAAAATGATTTTACAGGGTGACCCATAATTATTGTCGCGTGAGTGGAACTCGTTCACCTGAGTTCTACATTTTCAAAACGAAATTAGATAAAGTTTGATTTTGATAAATTTAATCTTAAAGGTTATATAATGAAACATTTGTACTCTATTTTGATCATATTACCTCTGCTGGATTATAGTAGCAGCGGTAAAGTAGAGATAGATTTCCAAAAATAATTTTTCAGAAAAAATTAGTTTTTGGGACTTTAGGTGTAAATTTTATGAGAATGGTGAATACTGACTAAGCCCAAAAGTGTTTATATCCTAAATTCGGTCCCTGAAATGGGTTTTTGCACAACACCAAAGCTGGAAATTATCAGAAAAAAATAGGGACCTTCATTGTAGAAAGCGCTCAAAATTCATGGTTTTGGGAGTTTTGCTAACTCCAAGTCAGATTCGAGCTAGGTTTCAGATCCCAAAATACTTTGTTTTAGAGCATAGAATAGGCATGTTCACAAAAAGTTCCACACAAAATTTCATACTCGATCTCAGAATGGATTTTGCTGTTTTTCTTGATTTTTCTCGATTTTTTTTTGAAATTTCGGAAAAGACGCTTGACTTTGGAGCCCTGAAACAAGTGAGAAGCGGTAAACTCTTGCAAGATATGCTATTATATCTTGTTCAGGACATCAAAAAATGTATTAAAACATAATTTCCAAATACATATGTTCAGTCTGATACATTTCTGGAACTTGGAAAGAGAAAAAAGAGGCTTAAAATCGCAAAATTCATAGTTTTTGGGGTTGGTGAAGGTGGTGGGTGGGAAAAAAATTGTGTGGTCGGTATAGTTTTGAAAATCTGTCAGTAATCATGTTTTCTAAAATTTCCGACCTTAACATTGTTAAAATTCGAAATCTTGTTCTACCTACAGAGGTTCAAAGTGGCGACAATAATTATGGGTCACCCTGTAAAATTATAGAAAAACCTTGATAATGGAAAAATAAACATTACAAAAAACAATCTAAAAATTATATGAAAATTTTGAAACAGTGAATTTTTCTGAACTATTTTTCATAATTTTTCTGCTCAAAATTCCAGATTTGTAGCAATTTTATATATAATTCCATAAAAATATACGAAGAACATTCTCCAAAAATAATTCCAAAAATTATATGAAAACTTTGAAACAGTGAATTTTTCTATACATGTTTTATCTCAAAAAATCCCCAATTTTCAGCCAAAACTATCTGAAAACCAAAACCATCCCAGAAAAACTCACTTGAAAGAATAACTAAACAAAACCGGTTGAATCATTGTTGTAGATTCCAATACATTTTCGGAGAACAAAATGTGTCGATAATATGCAGTTTCATCAGGAGAATTGTTGAAAACCTGCAAAAAAATGGGGAATATTGGGAGGAAAAATAAAGTTTGTAGTAGAAAACTTTGAAAAAAAATGTTTTTTTTTGGTGAAAAATTTCACTGTTACAAATTTTCCTGATCAAAAATGCAGAATTTTCAGGTATTCGATGTGATATTAAAGTTCAAAATTTTTTTTGCAAAAGTTCAGCCAATTTTCAGCTTGAAAACAATGAAAAGCAGTGGATTTTAGTTCAAAAAATTCATAATTTTTTCTACAAAATTTCACTGTTTCAAATTTTCTAGATCAAAAAATTCAGAATTTTGAGGTAATAATTTTCTGGGCGTTATGAGTTTTTATTTTAAAAAAGTTCACTGTTTCAAATATTTTAAATTAAAAAATTCAAAATTTTCAGGTATTGGATGAGATGAAAAAAATTTGGAAAAAAATTTGGAAAATTTCAGCCTGAAAACAATGAAAAATAGTGCATTTTAGCTAAAAAAAAATTCAAAGTTTTTTTTTGCTAAAAAATTTCACTGTTTCAAATATTTTATACGAAAACATTCAGAAATTTCAGGTAATGCTATTTTCAATTTTTTGATGGAAAATAATGAAAAATAGTGAAATCAGCTGAAAAATTACAGAATTTTTCCAACAAAAAATATCACTGTTTCAAATGTTCTATAGCAAAAAATTCAGAATTTTCAGGTAATCTACAGAAGCTTCATTCTTCGTAAAAATCATACTTTTTTAGTGAAAAGTTCAACAGAATTTCAGGTAATTTTATGACTGAAAATTTAGAAAAATAGTATATTTTAAGCTCAAAAATTACAGATTTTTTTTTCTACAAAATTTCACTGTTTGAAATTGTCTAGATCAAAAAATTTAGAATTTTGAGGTAATAATTTTATGGGCGTAATGAGTTTTTATTTTGAAAAATTTCACTGTTTCAAATATTTTATAGTAAAATATTCAGAATTTTCAGTTATTTCTTGATCTATATAAATTTGAAAAAAAAATTGGAAAATTTCAGCCAATTTTCAGGCTAAAAACGATGAAAAACAGTACATTTTCCTCAAAAAATTCAGAATTTTTCTACAAAATTTCACTGTTTGAATTTTCTAGATCAAAAAATGTAGAATTTTCAGGTAATCTTTTGGGTTTCTGCTCCAAAAAAATACGATTCCCAGTTCAAAATTCCCATACCTGCAAAAACTGCGACCTTCTCAAATGGAACATAAATTGGGGGAAGAGCGAGAATTTCTCGCTCAATCTAAAACTATTCGCATCATCCTTCACATATTCGCCAAACTTTTGGCACAATCGAATGAGCGTGCGGTCGAGCCAACGCAACGCTTCCGGCGTGTCATTTTCGTTTGCCGCGCGGAACGAGGCGAGTCTTGCGATGGCGACGGCCGCGGCTTCTTGATCGAAACCGTAGGCAATGTTGGGTTGTTGTGTCGTCATATCGGCCCAACTTCTACAAGTTGTTGTAACTCGAATTCTTTTCCGACCATCCGCGTGTTGATATTGTGTGACAAATTGAACGAGACCTGGAAATTTGAATTGTTGTAATACAAAATTTAGGACGTTGTCAATTATTTTTGAAAATGTAATTTTAAAATCAAAAATTTTTGAAACAGTACATTTTCTGAAATTTGGTAATCAACGCCCCGCCAACAAGAAACATTTTCAAAAATTAATTCCAAATATTTAGAAAAACTTTGAAACAGTATTTTTTTTGAATGTAAATTCTTGCGACAACATTTTTTCAAATTATTCAAATTTTTTTAGAAAAACTCTGAAACAGTAAATTTTTAAAGCAATGTTCAAGGGGAAACTTCTAAATTTTCAGATTGAAAAAAATTACAGCCTTCAAGCTCAAAGGCCTCTGAAAGCCTTCTAGAGCTCTCAGAGCGTTTGAAACCTGCTTTTCAGAGCCCGTAGTTGAAATTAGTGAATATTTTTTCAAATTATTCAAAATTTTTTAGAAAAACTTTGAAACAGTAAATTTTTAAAGAAATTTTCTGTTGTTCAAGATGAAACTTCTAAATTTTCAGATTGAAAAAAAATACAGCCTTTAAGCCCAAAGGCCTCTAGCAACCTTTAAGAGCTTCTAAGAGCCTTCTAGAGCTCTTAAAGCCTCAAAATTCTGATTTTCAGAGCTCTAAAAGGTCCTAGGAGGCTCTTAAACCGGTGTAGAGCATTTTGAAGCCATAAAAACCTTAAAGCCTTAAAAACTTGATTTTCAGAGCCCAGATGTGCTCTGAAAAGGCCCCAGACAGCTCTAAATCTAATTTAGAGCCTTTTGAAGCCATGAAACCCTTCAGATCCTCAAAAACCTGATTTTCAGAGCCCAGAAGTGCTCAGAAAGGCTCTCAAAGAGTCCAAATACTATAAAGAACCTTAAAAAGGCCTTAAGGGCTCTAAAAGGCTTCAAGAGGCCCTCTCAAATTCCCCAAATTCACCAACCTCTTCCCCCTTGTGGCACAGCAGTTCCATGTTGTGCAGCAATCTCAAAAACCACTCCAATCGTGGTCCTCGGCGAAATCGCTCCAAACTTCCATTGACAAGTGCCTCCAATTCCCATCTCCTGATCCGACACATTCGCATTCTTCACATTTCCACTCGCACAACATCCCAACACTCCTTCAATCTTCAATCCAGCTCCAACTTTCACCTCCATCGTCGCATTGAATCCCATCTTCAGCGCTCCATGTCCATCCTTTTCAAAAGATCGTTGATAAGTTTGTTTGAAAAGTGACGAATTGAACGAATCTCCCATTACAACATGTCCACCACTGGAATTGAATAAATTCTTCATTTCTAGCAGACCAGTTTGATCCAAAGCACACGAATAAACATCGACGGCATGGCCATTTTTGACAACTCGTGCAGCCAAAGAATCATAGAATTTTGTGGCTTTTTTCATGAATGGCACATTGTCTTCTTTGATCGAATTCCATGATCTGATGGGATTTTTGAGCTCTTCTCCGACAACGGCTCCAGGGCCATGGGTACAGGCTCCGCCGATGAATGACATGATTCGGGCGCCAGTATTCGGGAAGCAGGACTGCAAAAAAAATGGGGTTGGGGGAATTTTCTGGAGATTACTTTTTCAAATCATATTTTCCAAATTTCAGCAAAAATTTTCCAGTTTTTTCCAAATTTTTAGGCATTATTTTCAATTCCAAAAAAATTCGGGGTAAAAAATTCACTGTTTCAAATTATTACTAAATTTTTTGGTAATTTTTGGGTTCTAATAATAATATAAAAAAATCGCGAAAAAAAATTGGAAAAAAATCACTGTTTCAAAGCATTTCTATATTTTTTTGGTAATTTTTGGGTTCTAATAATCCGGAAAAAACTTTTTTTCGTAGTTATGCACATTTTTTTTGCTGAAAAATTTTTTGACAAAAATTCACTGTTTCAAAATATTTCTAAATTTTTTGGTGATTTTAAAAACGTGATTTGTAGATTTTTTCTTAAAAACTATCAATTTCCGTCTGAAAACATCCGGAAAATCCCAGAAATCCGAAATAATTCCAAAAAAATTTCACTGTTTCAAAATTGTTTAAAGAACATTTCGTGATTCTGTTTTACAATTCCAGAATAATCAATTCGCCAACAAAAATTTATACAAAAATTCACTGTTTCAAATTTTTCATATAATTTTTGATGAGTTATTTCCTTATTATTTCATTGTTATATTTTCGGTAAAATTATAAAAATATTTTTTTTTCCTAAATTTTTACAATTCAAAAAAACTTTTCACAATTTTGATAATTTAAGAAAAACGCTTTTTACCATCAAAAAAATTTCACTGTTTCAAAAATTCAATAAAGAAACTTTTAAATATATTTTTTTATTAATTCTTTAAAAATTACCAAAAAAAATCTACAAAAATTAACTGTTTCAAAATTTTCATATATTTATCCGGTTATTTTAAGAAATCGATAATAAAAGGATTACTTAGCTTTTGGATTTCCAAATTTAATGCCAATTTTTCTATAAAAATTGGGGTACAAAACATCAGCTCAAATTTCCGGAGCCACATTTTTTTGTGAAAAAATTGGTTTGTTTTTTACTAAAAAAAGGTGGTAGATATAATGAGTTTCCGGTGGATTTTCAGAGCCAAAATGGCTCATTTTTGACCAATTTTCACACTTCTGGCTCATTTTTTCCCAAATTTCCGCCCAAAAAATCTCTCACCTCAATAAGAGTTACAGCAACTGCGAGAGCAGCTCCAGTTGCTCTCAATGGTCGATGTCCTTGTGGAACCGGCCAGCGATCCACCGTAATTTGATCGATCAAATCATTGATACTTTCATCGCATTCACTGATTGGCTGCAAAATTGGGGTTACTGTAGCTGTAGTTTGGATTACTGTATTTAATGAGGGGATTTTTCAACCGTAACTAAACTACACAGTAGTTTGATCTCGGGGTTACTGTAGACTTTGCTAATCTTCCAGAAATCCCAGATTTTAATCCTTTAGAAGGCGAAAAAAATAAAATAAACTTCCCGGTTCTAAGAAAATTTTTGCAGAAGCACTTTTTAGTGTGGCTTAGTGTGATCTATGGAAAAAGCAAAAAAAAAATTTTCAGAGGAGAAAAAACTGGGCTGAAAATGTGTAAAGAGGGTACTGTAGCTCAATAAATTTTGAAAGCCTAAAAATCCTACAGTACTCTTATTTTGATGCCAAAATGCTTACTGTAGCTCAAATTTCAGTGCTGAAAAATGGTGCTGTAGATAAATTTTTGGCGCTTAAAATTCTACAGTATCCTAATTGTACTGTAGCTTGATAAAAATCCTACAGTACTCTTATTTTGTTGCCACAAATCTTACTGTAGATCTTTTAATTTTTGCGCCTACAGTACTCTAATTACAACATAAAATTACTTACTGTAGATCAAAAAATCCTACAGTACTCTAATCTTAGCACAAAAAAACTATAAGTTGAAATAAAACAGCTACAGTACTCTAAAATTACTGTAGATCAAATTTTGGACCTAAAAACCCTTCAGTGTTTTTTCTAACTCTAAAATCTTTTGGGCCTATGCAGAATAATATTTTGTAATAAAAAAACATTTTTTCCTATGCAGAAAAACGTCGAAAAAACAAAATATACAGTTTATTATTTTGAGTAGAGACAACGTGAAATTAAGAGAGTGCAGACAAAAAAACCCATTTTATGTCTGCGCTCTCTCAATTTCACGTTGTCTTTATTTTGTTTTTTCGACGTTTTTTCTGCATAGGAAAAAAATGTTTTTTTTATGTTTTTTTATTACAAAATATTATTCTGCATAGGCCCATTTGAAAATCCCACAGTACCCAAACTTTCACCCTAGAAAATCTTACTGTAGCTAAATTTTACCCGCCAAAAAACCTACAGTACCCCCAATTTTTCAAATTCTCTTCAATTTCAGCACCAAAAAAACTACAGTAATCCAAAATTTTCAGTATTTTTGGTCTGAACAAAATGACTAATCCATTCCAAAGAACGAAAATTCGTGATCTCAAAAGCAAAAAAAAAATGTTGTGTGCAAAATGATCCGGATTACAATTTTCAAAAGACAGAATTACGTTTGGAAAAAATTCATATTAAACTAGACTCTAGTTTCAGCTTGAAATTTCAAATTTCATGGTCAAAATTATCGATTTTTGGGCCAAAATTCGGTCAGAAACCCTCATTTTCAGACAATTATCGCTGAAAATCCCAATTCCAGCCCATTCTTACCTGCAAAAACTTATTCTGCGGCGCATGTTGATGTGGTCCTTGTAGTCCAGGCCCGCCTGGTCCCATTGGACCAGGCCCAGCCGGGCCAGGTCCCAATGGCCTTTGTTGTTGTTGTGGTGGGATTCCGCCTGCAAAAAACATAACATCATTCTAAATTTATACGTTTTTCAGTGCCTTTATTTTTCAAAAACACGTCATTTTCTTGGGATTTGTGAATTTTTTGTATAGTTTATTTTCGGAAGTTCATTGGAATTTTGGATTTTTCGAAGATTAGGCTTAGGCTTTTGAAAAAATAAAATTTGAATTTTGCTCCCGGAACTTTTTCAGAAAAAAAACTTTGACTGAAAAATTAATTAAAATTTCAGATTCTCTCTGGAAATCTGTATCTTCAGCCCATTTTTCAGCTTAAAATTCAGATTTCTGAAAATATGCAGAAAATAGCCGAATTTCTAGTTTTCAATGAAGGAATTGAGAAAATTCCAGAATTTTCTAGCCAAAAATTTCATAGCAATTTTTTGGGAATGAATTTTCAGATAAGAAATGGCTGAAATTCAAAATTTCTGGTTGAAAATCAGGTTAGAAAATGGGGAAAATGTGGATTTTTCTAGAAAAATTCAAAATTCTCTGCTATTTTCAGAATTTTTGGCTGAAAATCACCTAGAAATTCAGTTTTTTTTTCAAAATTTTCCAGAATTTTTTGGATTGAAAATTTTCTCAGAAAAATTCTCCAGAAAAACCTGAAAATCCAGAATTCATAAGATTTTCGAGAAAAAGTTTCAGAAAATCACAAAAATTCTGAAAATTGTCTGAAAAACCTCTGAAAGGCCAGATTTTCTATAAATTTCCAGATCTGGTTTAAAATTTTGAAAATTTCAAGAATTTCAGCTTTTCTGATCAAAAATTGCTGAAAATACAAGATTTTCATCAGAATTTACCCGAAATTCCTCAAAAATAAGTGCAAAACCTCATTTTCCTTCAATTTTTTCAAACTTTATATCAAAACTCTTCAAAATTCTTCAATTTTTTCAAATTTTATATCAAAATGCTCCAAAATTGCTCAAAAATCGTGTGTTTTATATCAAAATGCTCCAAATTTCTTCAAAAATCTCAAATTTCCCCCCAAAACCCTCACCAATTGGTGCTCCAGGTGCTGCTCCAATTCCAGGTGCTCCAGGTCTCACAATTCCCGACGCCAGAACATCTTTGATTTGTTTTTGTGTCACTTCTTTGGTTCCCTGCAAAAAAGTTCCAAATTTTTCACTGTTTCAAAAAATCTCATCTAAATTTCCCACATCATTTTTTTTTCAATTTAAATTTTTTTTGCGAATTACTTTTTCCCAGGTTGTTTAGAAATTCAATTCCTCTTCCAAACATGGAAAATGTGTGGAGAAAAATGACCAAAAGGTGATTTTTTTGTGAGTTTTGATGCTAGAAAATCGAAATTTTAAGAATTTTTGGCTGAAAATGAGCTAGGACGTGGCAAAAAACCAAATTTTCAGCAAAATCCCTAAGAAATGACTGAATTTTTGAGTTTTGGTGCTGGAAATTTGAAATTTTGAGAATTTTTGGCTGAAAATGAGCTATGATGTGGCAAAAATCTTAATTTTCAGCAAAATTTGGCTAAAAATCTGGAGCATTGCCAAAAATATGCTCAATTTTTTTTGCAAAAAAAAATAATTTCATTAAATATTCATCTGGCTCAAAATTTCGCATTTTTTACGATTTTTTTTTGTTGAAAAATTTGGGATTTCAGATTTTTTTCCAGCCACGTCATAGCTCATTTTGAAGCTGAAAATCGTGATTTTCAAATTTTCAGAGTAATTTCTAGGTCAAAAATTGTGAAAATTTCAATTTTCGGGTTAAAAAATGCCACGTCACAACTGAATTTCATCACAAAAAATTCGAATTTCCCTCCGAAGCCCCCAAATTCCCTAATGTTTTAAATCAGAACTACAAAATTCCTCCAAAAAATTGCTCACTAATCCCCCTGGCTCTAAATACTTCCAAAGAGCTACCATGTATTCATTTTTCGCCGAGCTAAGCTCCGCCCACTTTTGCTCAATATAAAAGCGACTAATCAAATTTTCCAAGCATTATCTCATTTTTCTTGGATTTTTACTAATTTTTTCAGCTATAAATGTACAATTTTAGGCCATTTCAGGCTAGAAACATGAGTTTAGGCCATTTTCAGGCTAGAAACACAAATTTAGGCCATTTTCAGGCTAAAAACATGATCTTTCGGCCATTTTCAGGCTAAAAACATGAATTTAGGCCATTTTCAGGCTAGAAACATGAATCTAGGCCATTTTCAGGCTTTTAACATGATTTCAGGCCATTTTGAGGCTAGAAACATGAATCTAGACCATTTTCAGGCTAGAAACATGAATTTTAACCAATTTTTCGTCAATTTCCTCGTTTTTCTCCAAACTTTGGCTCAAAATGCACATTTCCAGGCCCCAAAAATGCACAAAATCCTCGCGATTCTCCTCCTCATAATTTCGGTACAAATCAATCATTGCGCAATAATGGTCCCCGAATTTTCGGCTCCCGAATCCTCCGAATCCTATGATCAATTGAATTCTCGTGCAAAAGAGAGCATTCGCCGATTGGCCGACATTTTGGATCAAGAAGTTGAGCGGAGACAATTTCCGGCCGCCCGCTTTTATGCTAGACGATTTTATCCGAAACGGGTGAGTCTTATGTTGTTGGGTGCGTCGCGGTCATGCGTTGCGGTCATGAATCTCAAAGTCACGGGTTCAATTCCCGGTGAGCGCTCTTAGTAGATCAAAATTGAAAACAACACGCAGCGCATGACCGCAACGCGTTCAACTACAAATTGTGTTCTCTATGTTTTGCTCTAGACAAAAATCCAATTTAAAATGAGCAATTAAATTCGGTTATCAAATCGGAGCATCTTTCAATTTTCCGGAAACTAGAAAAACAATGCGTCATGGAATTTTTCTCGGAAAAAATTCAAAAATTTTCCGGGAATCAGAATTTTCTAGATTTTCAGCTCACAAAAATTAACTAGTCTTAGAGAAGACCATTAAGGTCATATTCATAAGAGCCTTAAATCTCATTAGGCTCCTAACAAGCTCCTTGGGCTCATTTTCAGGCTCTTTAACCATTTTAGCGAGCCTTTAAGTCAAAAAATCTGAAAATTAATGTTAGAAGGCTTAAAATTGAGCCTATGATGACCTAAGATGATTTTAAGGACCTTAAGAACCTTAATGAACTTAAGAACGACCTTAACAAGCTTAGAAACCTGAGTAAAAAGTTTCCAAGCCAGAAAACTCCATTTTTCTCGTAAATTTCAATATTGCTCATGTTAAAGCTACAGCCTTATAGGAATTCTAGGCTTAAGGCCTAACTATAGGCTCATTCGTAGGCCTGAAGTTGGGCCTGAGCCTAGGTCCGGGCCTAACAAAATCCCAGCCTCAATTTCCAAGAAAAAATCGCAAATTCCTACGTAACAAGTCTGCGAAAAGTTCACCTTTCAACAAAATGTCAATTTTCAGCTGTCGCCCAAAGTTTTGACTTAAAATTCGCTGAAATTTCCAGATTTTCAGTCAAAAATAGGCTTTTCCCTTGCACTTTTTGGCCCAGACTTGTACTAATCCCCAAAAAATCTCTCACGTACTTCCAAAATTCTAATTCTAAAAATAAAAAAAAATTGAAATTTTCAACAAGAAGCCCTAAAATTCTTAGAATTTCTTCAAAATCAAAATTCCAAGAAAAAGTGGGTGTTAGAAAAAAACAAAACAAAAACATCATAAAAAATCTCATTAAAATCATACATATTTAGGCTAAATTGCTCAATTTTCAGTCAAAAAAATGCTGAAAATTTCAATTTTCATTTTCAGGACCAAATTCCGCCACTTCCATCGCCAACAAAACGACTACAACGAATAGGCGGAAATATTGTCATGGGCTAAAAAAATCGCCGAAAAATCTAAAAATATTCTCCAGTATATAATACCTTTTTTGTGTATTTAATTAAATTTTTTTGTGAAAATTGAACAAAAATATGAATTATTTAAATAAATATACACAGTGTTTGGAATTGGGTGAAAAAAAAGGAGAAAAAAAAGAAGAAAAAAAGATTTTTTGAAAATTTCAAGAAAAGCGGGTAAGAGTCCAATGGAGCGCGTTTGCAATTTCGGACAATTTTTGTAGTTCGGTGGAGCGAACTTGCTTGTTTTAGATGTCTTGTGGCTTTTGATAAAGTTCGATAGAGTGCATTTGCTCAGTTTAACTAATTTTTTTGGTTTTGAAAATTTTATCAATTTTCTTGGAGTTCATTAGAGCGCATATGCTCCTACAGGATTTTTGTGATTTTCTAGAGTTCGATAGAGCGCACTTGCTCAATTTATCTAATTTTCAGTTTTGAAAATATTTTCAATTTTCTTGGTGTTCAATAGAGCGCATTTGCTCGTTCTCCAGGATTTTTGTGATTTTCTGGAGTTCAATAGAGCATCTTTGCTTATTTCATATATTTTTATCGATTTTCAGAGTTCGATAGAGCGCACTTGCTCATTTTCACCTCAAAATAGGTCAAAATCCACTGTTTCAACGCAAATTTTTCTCAAAGTTCATCATTTTTGCTCATTTTTCCAAATTTCTGGCTTAAAACCCATCATTTTCATAGAAAAATATCCCAAAAACCTTGTCAAGTTCAATAGAGCGCACTTGCTCATTTTCAGCCCGAAATAGGTCAAAATCCACTGTTTCAACGCAAATTCATCTCAAATTCCATAATTTTTCATCATTTTTCTCAAATTTTGTCTCAAAATCTATCATTTTTGCTCATTTCTCTCAAATTTTGGCTCAAAATCCATCATTTTCACTGATTTTCTCAAATTTCCGGCTCAAAACGCCTCAAATCCCACCCCATACCTTAAAAACATAGCTTCTCGAGATTCCTTGAACATTGAGTTCGTGCAATTGTACCATTCTGCCGAAAGTGATCAAACCAACAAGAGCATCAGCTGGCAAAAGCGAAAGTGCAGTCTGAAAACAAAAAAACATGGATTTTCGGGTGTTTTCATGTGTTTTTGTGTTTTTTTTTTGTGTATTAATCGAATAATTTTGAAGGGCTTTTTATTTGAAAAGAAAAAAAAATGAAAAGAAGCCGGATTTTTTGAATTTCGGGGGATTTCGAAATTGAAAATTATGAAATTTTGGTCTGAAAATCTTGATTTTCAGCATTTCAGATCAATTTTGAAGAAAAAATCCTGGAAATTTGAATTTCTCATGGATTTTCAGCTCGAAATTCATTTTTTGTGCTGAAAATTGACGAAATTCAAGAGAAAAAAACAGAATTTCAAGATTTTTAGCTGAGAATTCATCAAAACTTCAAGATTTCGGCCCAGAATTCAAGTTTTCAGAGGATTTCCAGATCAAAAACTTCAAAATTGTTGAATTTCAGATTTAAAACCATCACAAAACGTTTGAAATTTCAGCCAAGACTTCAGGCTAGAAATCTAGATTTTCAGATGAAAATTGAAGCTGAAAATCAAGTTTCAGATAAAAATTTATGAATTCCAGGTTATTTTTCATCAAAATCCCGTATTTTCATTAAAAATCATCAAATTCTGAGCAGAATTCAAGTTTTCAAAGGATTTCCAGGTTGAAAAATTCAAAATTGTTGAACTTCTGGTTTCAGATTCATCCCAAAATGTTTAAAATTTCAGCCAAGACTTCAGGCTAGAAATCTAGATTTTCAGGTGTAAATTGAAGCTGAAAATCAAATTTCTTATCAAAATTCATGAATTCCAGGTTATTTTTCATCAAAAATCCAGTATTTTCATATAAAAATCACCATTTTTGAGCAGAATTCAAGTTTTCAGAGGATTTTTTAGGTTAAAAAATTCAAAATTGTTGAATTTCAGATTTAAAACCATCACGAAACGTTTCAAATTTCAGCCAAGACTTCAGAATAGAAATCTAGATTTTCAGATGTAAATTGAAGCTGAAAATCAAATTTCGCATCAAAATTCATGAATTCCAGGTTATTTTTCATCAAAAATCCAATAAAATCATCAATTTTCAGTCCAAATTTCATATTTTCAGCCTAATTTTCATCCAATTTTCATTGAAAATCATCAATTTTAGTCCAAAAATCATGTTTCTAGGTCAATTTTCATCAAAAATCCCATTTTTTCATCAAAAATCATCAATTTTCAGTCCAAATTTCATGTTTTCAGCATAATTTTCATCAAAAATCATCAATTTTTACCCAAAAATCAAGTTTCTAGGTCAATTTTCATCAAAAATCCCATTTTTTCATCAAAAATCATCAATTTTCAGTCAAAATTTCATGTTTTCAGCATAATTTTCATCAAAAATCATCAATTTTTGTCCAAAAATCAAGTTTCTAGGTCAATTTTCCCCCAAATTTCCAAATTCCCCACTCAAAATCCTCTACCTGAAGACATTCTTTCAGCGATTTCAGCTCTTCAGCAGTCATACAAGTATCCACAACAAACACAAAAATCGGTGGCATTGTGGTCGCTTTTCTCAACGTGTATTCGATGGTTGTGAATTGTGGATATAATTCTGGTGGTCGATTGTCTTCAGCGATTGCCGCATAATGAGCTGGGAATGGATTGCGATTGTTGCAGAATGGGCAGATCCAGATTTTGGCACGGAAATCGACGGCGCTGCAAAAAATTTTTGAAGGAGTTAGGGTAACTTTTTAGTGTTTTTCATGGTATTTTTAGTGGTTCTGGAGGTAATTTTTATGATTTTCTAGATTCTGGAGCAAATTTGGATGATTTTTCAAGCCCTGAAGCCAGTTTTCATGAATTTTCATGATTTTTTGAGCTTAGGAGCTGATTCATATGAATTTTCGAGTCCTGAAGCAGTTTTTCATGATTTTTTGTGCCCCAAAGCTAATTTTCATGAATTTCTGAGCTCTGGAGCAGGTTTTCATGATTTTCTAGTTTCTAGAGCAAATTTATTAGGTTTTTCAGGCTCTGGAGCTAAATTACATGATTTTTTGAGCTCTGGAGCTAGCTTTCATGACTTTCTAGATTCTGGAGCAAATTTATATGGTTTTTCATGCTCTGGGGCTAGCTTTCATGATTTTTTAGGTTCTGGAGTTAATTTATATGGTTTTTTGAGCTCTGGAGCTGATTTGAATGAATTTCTGAGCTCTGGAACTAGTCTTCATGATTTTCTAAGTTCTAGATATGATTTCAAAGATTTTTGAACGTTCACCTCAAAAATCTGACGCTCTAGATCTAATTTTTTTCTGATTTTTATGATCCCACATATTTTACTTACCCTAACTACATATAACCGTATTTCTTCTCCTGCCATTTCCGAACGCCAGCATTTTTCAAAATGACAAAAATTTCGAAATAAAACAGGATTCGAAAAAATTTAAAGGTCACGCAGAAAATGGATTAAATAAATTTCGATTTTCAAACGTGAACTTTGATTTCTACATCAATTTTCAATTATTTTTCAAATTTTTTAGGCTCGGGAGCTGAAATATATCAAATTTCAGGCTCACAGTCTATGTTTGACAATTTTCCGGCTCCTGGAGCTTCGCTTGACCTATTTCAATCTCCAGGAGCAACTTTTACCCTGTTTGCAGCTGCTGGAGCGAAATTTCGTCAAAATTCAGCTCTGAAGCCTATTTTCCGTGAGTTTTTGTTCCCTGGGGCTACTTTATGAGATTTTCATGCTTCTGGAGCAACTTTTACTCTATTTTTCGGCTCAGGAGCGAAAATTCGTCAAAATTTAGCTCTAAAGCCTATTTTCCATGAATTTTTCGGTTCCTGGAGCTAATTTACGAGATTTTCATACTCCAAGAGCTATTTTTGACGATTTCTCGGCTCCTGGAGCTGCTCTTGGCTCATTTTGAGGTCTCGGAGCGAAAATTCGTCAAAATTCAGCTCTAGAGACTATTTTCCATGAATTTTTGGTTCCTGGAGCTAATTTACGAGATTTTCAAGCTTCTGGAGCAGCTTTTGACGATTTTTCAACTCCTGGAGCAGCTTTCACCCTGCTTACAGGTCTTGGAGCGAAAATTCGTCAAAATTCAGCTCTGAGGCCTATTTTTCATGAATTTTTGGTTCCTGGAGCTAAGTTACCAGATTTTCATGCTCATAGAGCTATTTTTGACGATTTCTCGGCTCCTGGAGCTGCTTTTGATATATTTTTAGGTCGCAGAGCAAAATTACATCGATTTTCAGCTCCTGGAGCGAAAATGTTGAGCTCATAGCGTATTTTCGAAGATTTTCCGACTCCTGGAGCTGATTTCTGTGCTATTTATGCTCCTAGAGCTGCTCTTGGGTCATTTTGAGGTCTAGCAACAGGATCTCATCCAATTTTAGGCCCCAGGGGCTAAAACTCGGCAGATTCTAGGTCCAGAGCCTAATTTTGATGATTTTTCACGATCCAGACCGAAAACTGGTGATTTTTAGATGTTTTTCAACACTATTCATGTAATTTTTGCAAAAAATTCGATGAAAAGCTCACCAAAGTGGGTTCAAAATCGCTTTGCAGCTAGCCTTCTGACACAACACCGGATCATATTCGAGCGGCGGTTGTTGCGCTTCAGTCGCCGGTTTTTCTTTGAGTGGCGTAAAGAAACAGGTGAGCGGAACGACTAAACGTTGCGCATCAATTCGACTGTGCGGCCACATGTTCCACGAGAATTGCACACCGTCGTTGTTTTGTTGTGCCGCCAAATACTCTTCCCATGATGCCATTTTGGCTGAAAATTCGCGAGTTTCAGCAAAAAACCGGGTGAAAACTCGAAAAAACACAAAAAACTGCGGTGGCAAAAACGAACACGTCGACAAAATGAAAAAATGTTGGCAAAATGCCCGAGAAAGCGCAACGTCATCCGGCGGAATGTCGTTGTTTTCTTTTCTTTTTTTCCGCTTTTCTTCGGGGAAAAGTGCAAATTCTATTGTTTACATGGGATTTTGACATTTGAGGGAATTGGGGTACGGTTTCAAAGGAACATGAAGGATTTTTGAGAGGTCTCGCGGGGAAAAATGGGGGATTTTCAGAAGAAAAACTTCAATTTCGACAAGTTTTTTGAATTTTTGGCGGGAAATTGCAAATTTTTCAAAATTTAATTTTTAGGCAGAAAAACCATGCCACGTGGCACCTTTATGGAATTTTTATATGAGCCTACTTTCCATCAGTAATCAAAACTTGTAAAAAAAATTATTATAAATAATTTTTTGAAACAGTGAAAAATTTTAATTTTCAAAAATGTTTTTTTCAAAATTCAAATTTTCGCGCGCGAAAAAAAAATTCGAAATTAAAATTTTTGCATTAAATTTACACAGTTCCAATTTAAATCTAAAATTTTCCTGAAAATCATGCCACGTGGCAAATTTATCGATTTTTTAATAAAATAATTTTTAGATGAGCTAGCTTTGCTCCAATTAAAAATCAAAACTTGGGAAAAAATTAAATAATTTTTTGAAACAGTGAAAAAATTTTAATTTTGAAAATTTTGTTTTTTTTTAATTGAAATTTTAGCGCGCGAAAACAACTTGCCACGTGGCAAATTTATCGATTTTTTTATAAAATAATTTTTAGACGAAAAATTTTTACCGCAATAAAAATCAAAACTTGTGAAAAAATTCAATAATTTTTTGAAACAGTGAAAAAATTTTGTTTTTTTTTTTCAAAACTCAAATTTTCGCGGGAGAAAACAACTTTCCACGTGTCAAAATTTAATTTTAAAGTTGAAATTTTCGCGCAAAAAGTTGTGTAAGCCAAAATGTTACCGCAATAAAAATCAAAATGTGGGAAAAAATTAAATAATTTTTTGAAACAGTGAAAAATTTAAATTTTGAAAATTTTGTTTTTTTCTCAAAATTCAAATTTTCGCGCGCGAAAACGACTTGCCACGTGGCAAAATTTCATTTCAAAATTGAAATTTTCGCGCGAAAATTACACAGTTCAAATTTAAATCTAATTAAAGTTTTCCTGAAAATCATTCCACGTGGCAAATTTATCGATTTTTTTCTAAAATTTTTACCGCAATAAAAACAAAACCTGGGAAAATTTTTAGTAATTTTTTGAAACAGTGAAAAAATTTTGTTTTTTTTCAAAATTCAAATTTTCGCGCGCAAAAAATAATTCCACGTGGCAAAATTAAATTTCAAAATTGAAATTTTCGCGCAAAAAATTGTGTAAGCCAAAATATTGGCTCCAAAAAATTTTTCTGAAAATTTATCCAATTTTTACCGCAATAAAAATCAAAACTTGGGAAAAATTTCAATAATTTCATGAAACAGTGAAAAAAATTCTGTTTTTTTTTCAAAATTCAAATTTTCGCGCGGAAAAAACCATGCCACGTGGCAAAATTTATCGATTTTTTTTATAAAATAATTTTTAGATGAGTCTCTCCAAATAAAAATCAAACAGTGGGAAAAAACTCAATAATTTTTTGAAACAGTGAAAAATTTTAATTTCAAACATGTTTTTTTTTTGCAAAATTCAAATTTTCGCGGGCGAAAACAACTTTCCACGTCGCAAAATTTAATTTCAAAATTGAAATTTTCCCGCCAAAACTACACAGTTCCAATGTAAAAATTAAAAAATTTTCTGAAACAGTGAAAAAATTTCATTTTCAAAAATATTTTTAAAATCAAAAGTTTATTCACATTTTACAATTAGTTAATTACCAGAAGTTAATTATCCCAAAATAATTAATTAATTAATTAATTAATTCTCCTCCTTCAAGCTTTCCACACTATTCGATTTCTTCGACAATTTCTCCATTTTCTCGCGCAACTTCGTCGAACTCGCAATTCCCGAAATACAGGGAGCCGATTGTCTTCGAGTATTCTTGTTGTATTTTTGATTAGGGCCCGAACATCCCGAATTTTTCGCGCCAAAATTTTTCGGGGGCACCGTAATCACCGGAATCTCGTCGGTGCCCACACTGATGTTTATCGAATGCCGTCGCTCTCCAGATTTATATTTCGGGGTGGATGTCTGATGTTCAGCCTGAACTTCAGCAGCAGAATCTTCCGATGTACAAGGATCCGCAATCCGCGGGTTGAAAACCGGGGCTCGATTGAGATGTGTGAATTCGGAGACGAGAGTCGCGATTGAGTGCGGAATTTTCATAGTTAGGGTAAGTTCTAGCCAGAAAAAAATCAATTAGAAATTTCAAAATGAAAAACAATCGGGAGAAAACTTGATTTATATATAAATAAAAATAATTCCAACTAATTTGACACGAGGCTCCGCCCACTTTTTCGAAATTTTCTGATTTTTTTGTTGGTGAGATAGATCAAAGATCTCTTCAGGAAAAAGTGTGCGGTGAAATTGCAAAAAAGGGGCGTGGCCTATAGAAAAAACTGTGCCGCAGAATTGCAAGCTCTGGAAAAATTTCCAGAAAATTTTTTTTTATGATATCATTTTTTTTCGAAAAAAAAAATCAAAAGTGCAATTAATTAGCCAGACATATGACATCATTTTTTAAAAATTTTTATTTTTAGAATTTTCACAAAATTTTTCTGATGTACAGTACACCTACAGTACCCCAGGAGTACTGTAAGGTCAGAAGATCGTAGATCAAAAATCTCCCGTTTTCTGATAGGATTAGTTAATTTGTTGTGGCTAATTGATTTGAACCGGGAATTTTTTGGAATGAATTTGAATTTTTTTGGAGTACTGTAGATTTTCCCGCGCTGAAATTCAATCTGAAAACCAAATTTTTAGCGGCGGGAAAAATACGTTTCAAAAATTTGATTTAGAAAATCTTGGGTTGAAAATTCTTATTAGACTGCTATTTTACGGCGAGAAGAGTACTGTAGCTTTCGAAATATTTTTTGATCTACCATAATCCAGGATTACTGTAGTTTTGCCACGTGGAAAATTATCGATTTTTCTCAGTCTCCCTGTCCAAAACAAAACACACACAACAAAACAAAAAACTTTTATCATTCATGTGATGTGACCTTCATTTTTTTTCTTGTTTTTTTTCTAGCCAACTTCAGATTTTCAATTAGTCTGTGTTGGGAGGAAAAAATAACAAATTAAAATCTACCAGGAAGAACAAAAAAATAAAAAAACTTGTGCGCCGGGTGGGGATCGAACCCGGGTTGTTCGAACGTGAGACACACGCGCATACCACTCGGCCATGCGGCTTGTTTTTTCTGCAGCGTAAAATATCGGATATAAAATGCGTGAACTTTTTTTATGCAAAAAAAAAAACAAAACCCGTGAAACAAAAAAGTTAGCGTAACTCGGAAAAATTATCAAGTTAAAGTGATAAACGACGCATTTTTGACCAAACTTCTCGAATTTTCTTCCAATTTCTCCGGAACATCCTCACAATCCGCAGATCCCTGTTGACTTTCGCTATCTCGCTTCTTCTTCACCAGTTTCAGCTTTTCATTGAGAGCTTTTGCGCAGGCTGATGTGCTCATCGCTTGGCGTCGCAGCTCTTCTTGGTGTGAATGATGTGGGTGGGTTTTGTGGTGACGATGGTGGTAGTAGGAGAGGCCGTGGAGGGCTTGATTTGAGTCGTAGGTTCTGGGCGTGGTTGAGCCGCTGGTCGGGATTTCTTCCTGGAAAAATTTGGGATTTTTGGGGATCTTAGGGGACCTTAGGGGACCTTAGGGGACCTTAGGGGACCTTAATGGACCTTAGGGGACCTTAGGGGACCTTAGAGGACCTTAGGGGACCTTAGGGGACCTTAGGGGATCTTAGGGGACCTTAGGGGACCTTAGGGGACCTTAGGGGACCTTAGGGGACCTTAGGGGACCTTAGGGGACCTTAGGGGACCTTAGGGGACCTTAGGGGACCTTAGAGGATCTTAGGGGACCTTAGGGGACCTTAGGGGACCTTAGGGGACCTTAGGGGACCTTAGGGGACCTTAGGGGACCTTAGGGGACCTTAGGGGACCTTAGGGGACCTTAGGGGACCTTAGGGGACCTTAATGGACCTTAGGGGACCTTAGAGGACCTTAGGGGACCTTAGGGGACCTTAGGGGACCTTAGGGGACCTTAGGGGACCTTAGGGGACCTTAGGGGACCTTAGGGGACCTTAGGGGACCTTACGGGGTCTTAGGGGGTCTTAGGGGGTCTTAGGGTGCCTTAGGGTGCTTTAGGGGACCTTAGGCGCTTTTAAAGAGCCTTAGAGGGTCTTAGGGGACCTTAGGGGACCTTAGGGGGCCTTAGGGGGGCCTTAGGAGGACCTGAGAGGGCCTTAGGGGAGCCTTAGGGGGGGGCCTTAGGGGGGCCTTAGGGGGCCTTAGGGGGCCTTAGGGGGGCCTTAGGGGGGCCTTAGGGGGGGGGCCTTAGGGGACCTTAGGGCCTTAAGGAACATTTTTCTAGCCCTGTAATTTTCTGATCCAAATTTTTGGAACTTTTTTTGACACAAGAAATTTTACAGTAACCCAGGAAACTTTTAGCGCGAAAAATCAGAATTCAAAAATCTACAGTACCCAAGCCCCGCCCACCAACTCACCGTGCCCACCATAATCTTCAATCGATTCTGTCCCTGTCCATTTTGCCCCAAATCCCCACTCAACTTGCGCTGCGGCGTTGATCTACCAGACGGCGCACGCGACGCAGCACGCGACGCAGCACGCGACGCGGCTCGCGAACCAACCCGCGAGCAACCATGACACATATTCACATCACATCGACATCGTTTCACCGGCGTTTGTCGCATTCCAGCGAAATCGCTCACGATTTCAGCCAAAGCCAGGGGGACCTTCATTTTTTGGCTGGAATTTTGGGATTTTTATGATTTTCTAGCTGAAAATCTGAAAATTTCAGCCAAAAACATCTCAGAAAAAGAAAATTAAACGAAAAAATTGTGAGAAATTCTCTCAATCTGAAGATATCAGAACCAGTTTTCATCGCGGGTTTGAAACTGATACCGACTTGTGATAAGTCTTAGGCTCCGCCCACTTTTTTCACGTGTTTTTTTGTGTTGTGTTATCAATGAAAAAATGTGTTCTCGTTGATCTTTGCAATATTGCACGGAGGGCACGGAAAAGTGGGCGGAGCTATGCAATTTTGCGGCATGGTTTTGTGGGCGTGGCCTAATTTTAATTGTTAAAATTTAAAAAAAAAGCATTGCTCAGTTTCAGCTACAGTACCCCCTTAAAAATTGTGCCAAAAGAAGATTTCAAAATTTTTTGTGGATCAAAGTTTTAGCGCTAAATCTAGCTACAGTACCCTTGAAAAATTATGCCAAAAGTAAAATCCAAAAAAATTTGTAGATCAAAATACCTAGGATATATCATTTCGGGGTTCAATTTTAGCTCCAAATCTAGCTACAGTACCTCTCCAAAACTTGTGCCAAAGAAGATTTCAAAAATTCTGTAGATCAAAGTTATGGCCCCCAAATCTAGCTACAGTACCCCTGAAAAATTTGTGCCAGAAGAATATTCCAAAAATTTTTGTAGATCAAAATTTTTACCCTCAAATCTAGCTACAGTACCCACCAGAAAAATTGTGCTAAAAGCAAAATCCAAAAAAATGTGTAGATCAAATTTCCTAGGCTATATTATTTTCAGGTTCAATTTTAGCTCTACAGTACCCCTCAAAAAAATTTTGTAGATCAAAGTTTCCGCGTCAACAACTATCTACAGTACCCCCATAAAAATTGTGCCAAAAGAAAAATCCAAAAATTCTGTAGATCAAAATTCCTAGGCTATATAATTTTCAGGTTCAATTTTACCACTAAATCTAGCTACAGTACCCCTGAAAAATTGTGCCACAAAAATTCCAAAAATTTTTGTAGATCAAAGTTTCTACCCTCAAATCTAGCTACAGTACCCCCCATAAAAATTGTGCCCAAAGAAAAATCCAAAAAAATTTTGTAGATCAAAATTCCTAGGCTAAATAATTCTCATGTTCAATTTGAGCTCTAAATCTAGCTACAGTACCCCCTTCATAAATTGTGCCTAAAAAGTTCCGGAAAATGTGTACATAGATCAAAGCTTGTAGGCTTGCTTTTAGGATTTTCCGAAACTTTTTTAGCTACGAAGCTAGCTACAGTACCCCTTCAAAAATTCTACCAAAAGAAAAAATCCAAAAAAAATTTTGTAGATAAAAAATATTTGCGTGACCCATTTTTTTCCAAAAATCCACGTGACCTAAATTTCATCAGAGCTCCAAAAATGCTCCAAAAATTCAGTCAGTTTCTATTTTCCAACTCTAATGAAAACAACGATTCTCTCTAGTCAAAATTGATTTTCCAAAAAATGTGCATTTTATTTTGTTGGCCGTCAGGATGCTGTGCAAGAAATTGTGAAGAAGAATTCGAGTTTGGCTAAGTCAAGAACACAATTTTTTTGTACATAGATCATCATAAATTTGTTTTATTTGTGGGCCATGGTTTTGTGGGCGTGGCTTAAATTAAGCTAACCGAAAAAATGCAATTTTGCGGCACAGTTTCTTGTCAAGAATTTTTTTTTGAATTTTTGTTTTCCAAAACAAAAAGTTCACATGTATGTTGTGTTTATTTACCAATTTTTCTAATTTTTTTCCGCAAAAAAATTTACCCTAAGTTCCCCTAAGTCTAGTCAATTACCGGAATTTTCGAAAAAAAAAGTTGTTTTTATTTTTTTTGTGACAAAAAAGGTCAACTAATTAACAATGAATGACGCAAGTTTAAAAAAAAAACAATTTTGGCGCCAAAATTTGGGCGCGAAAAGATCATGTGATGATATTTTTCGAACTTGGTATCAATTACTTTCTCTCGAACTTAATTATAATTAATTTGATAAGATTTTTGGCGCCAAAAATTATTTTTTTTCGAAAAACAAAAAGATCAGGTGCAAAAATCACTGGTCTACAGTACCCTAGGATCCAAGATCTACAGTAATCTGAACTTTTTTGAGATCTAGAGCATCCTGAAATCTACAGTAATCCAGATTAATTCAAGGTCTACAGTAACCTAGACTTTTTTTTGAAGATCTAGAGAATCCCGAAATCTACAATAATCCAAAAACTACAGTACTTATGCTAGCTGATCTAGAAACTACAGTAACCTAAAATTTCTAGAGAATCCTGAAATTTGGGTTGTAAAATCTACAGTAATTCAAAAACTAAAGTACTTCAGATTAACTTTACTTCAGAATCTTCAGTTTTTCTTTCTCCTCTCCAAAACTACAGTAATCCTGATTTCTACAGTATCCTAGGATTCTTAAGAACAATCTACCGTAATCCAATTTCATTTGAAATATACAGTACACTTTTATTCATGATCTACAGTATCCCAGGACTCTTCGAGATCTACAGTAACCCGGATTTCTTCAGGAAAAGGTAACCTAGCTTTAATTGAGAGTTACAGTACCCCCTGATCTTTTGATCTACCTACAGTACCCCTTTCTCTCATCTTGGCAGTGTTCCAAAATTTCCCCAAGCCCCGCCCCCTTTTCTCTATTTTTCATCTTATAAAACCCAAATTTTTTCATTTTTTTTCATCAAAAAATGAAGTTACCCTATGTATTTGCTGAAATCATATCCGAATTTCACGAGATCCAACATCTCTCCAAAAATTCGCTGAAGTCAAAAAATGTTCCGAAAAAATCGGATGATCGAAAACATTCCACAATGATTCAAGTGGGTGTGGTGAGTTTTTTGAAAAAAAAATTTTTTTTTGAAAAAAACTTTGCAGGACCAGGTGCCTGTTATTGAACAGCCCGAGGAGAATTTGCGAAGAAAATCTGCGCCGGATCAAATTTTGGAGCACCAGAATTCTATTCAGAATTTGAGACCAAGAAGTGCCAGTGTTTCATATCGCATTTTGAAGTGACAAAATAATTTCCAAAATGTTTTTATGATGTACATATTTGTGAAATAAATTATTTGTATTGCTCATGGTAGATTATACATTTATCCCCTTTTGCTGAATAATTTTCAGCTTTTCTGAAATAGTGAAAATCTCAAGATCTCTCGCGATATTTAACGACAGCGTAATAAAGAAAAAGCTTCAGAAAATTATTAAAAAATGTTTGAAACAGTGAATAAAAAATTGAAGAATTCAAAACTTTTCGACAAACAAATCCGATCTCTGATCAAAAATTCAACAAATCTCAAAATTTATCCAAAAATTTTGAAACAGTGAATTTTTTGAAGAAATCAAAAATTTTTGAAAAGCTCACTGTTTCAAAATTTTCAGATAATTTTCTTGATTTTTGAAAAATTAATAATTTATCTATCCAAAAGTTTTTAATCACAAAAAAACATTTTGAAGCCAAAAAAATATCCACATTGATTTTTACCGTTTAAATTTGTTTGGGTCAAAATAATTTTATAAAACTACATAAACGCAGTGAGATAAACACTTCCTGAAGTTTTCAAAAAGTCTTCTAGAAATTTTGAAACAGTGAATTTTTTCAATTAAAATTACCAGGTCTCAGATCAAAAATTTAACAAATCTCAAGATTTATCATTAAATTTTGAAACAGTGAATTTTTTGAAAAAAAATAAAAAAAATTTTTTTTTTTTGGAAAAAAAATAAAAAATTTCGAAAACTTCACTGTTTCAAAATTCTCATAAATTTCTACCTGATTTTTGGAAAATTGATGATTCTATTTAAAATTTTTGAATCACAAAACAATTTTTTGATGTTTAAAAAAGTTCCGCGTTGATTTTTTTACTGCCAAAATTTTTTTCGGTCGAAATAATTTCCACAAATTTTATAAAACTACAAAATGAGGTTCTCAAAACTTATTCTAGAAATTTTGAAACAGTGAATTTTTTCGATTAAAAAATTGAACAATTCGAAACTTTCTGCAGATATGTAGAGACAGATCTGAGATCAAAAATTCAACAAATCTCAAGATTAATCCAAAAATTTTGAAACAGTGAATTTTTTTGAGAAATAAAAAAATTTTGAAAACTTCACTGTTTCAAAATTTTCAGATAATTTTTCATGATTTTTGAGAAATTGATATCTAATTGATGTTATCTGATTCTCCATACCAACATTCTGTAATTCGGATGTTTTGAACACAAAATTAGTCAAATTATCAATTTTTTGAAAAATCATGAAAAATTATCTGAAAATTTTGAAACAGTGAAGTTTTCCAATTTTTTTTTTACAATTCACCCCCCAACCTCAAAATAAACTAACTTGACTGGCCTCCCGTTCCGTGAAAAGTTGTTGATCTTTTTGAATTTCCTGTCCAAACGAAACATCTTCATCTTCGGCAGCCTGAAACTTATGTGTTCTTTTTCTTTCAAAATGTTCGCCTATTCTTGTTAAACTTACATCAGAAAATGACAATTGTTGATTTGATGGGAATCCTGCATTCTGTGATGGTTTTCTCTAAAAAAAATAAGAAAATTAAAAATGCGCTGAAAAAACCACTCAAAAACCAGAAAAAAAGCAAAGAATAAAAATGTCGTGCAAACAAAAAAAAATAAAAGCGAAACAACGATACTCCGCGTGCGCGTTGTTTAGCGTGTTTTTTGTGCAGGGTAGACGAGAGAGTGTGGGAAATGGAGAGAGGGTTAGAGAGAGAGAGAGAGATGTTTGTTGTTTGAAAAAGAATTATTAATTGAACGTTTTTTTTTGCTTTTTTTCTGGTTTTTTTTGCGGTTTCTTCTGAATAGGCGAAAATTTTGAGAAAATGAATGTAGAAGTTTCAGGCTTCCGAAGAAGAAGATGTTTCGTTTGGACAGGAAATTCAAAGAGATCAACAACTTCTCACGGAACGGGCAAGTCAAGTTAGTTTATTTTGAAGTTTGGGGGGGGGGTGAATTGTGAATTTATTGAGGAAATAAAAAATTCGAAAACTTCACTGTTTCAAAATTTTCAGATAATTTTTCATTATTTTTGGAAAATTAATGATTGTTCTGAATTCGAGTTAAAAAATTCTATAATTCAAAAAATTGCAAATTTTCACTGTTTCAAAATTCTCATAAATTTCTATCTGATTCTTGGAAAATTGATAGATTCAAATATCTTTTTTCTGTAACTCAAAAATTGTTTTGATATCTGAAAGAGAATAAAAGAGAATATCAAAAATCATAAAATTGACAAAATTCTTCTAGAAATTTTGAAACAGTGAATTTTTCTGAATGAAAAAAATTGATCAATTCAAAACTTTTTGCTAAATAAATCCGGTGAATTTTTAAAAATCAAAAATTCAAAAAAAATTTTGAAACAGTGAATTTTTTGAAGAAATAAAAAAATTCGAAAACTTCACTGTTTCTAAATTTTCAGATAATTTTTTTTATGATTTTTGAAAAATTGATTTTTTTTCCAGTTTAATCAAAACTCATAAAATTGACAAAATTCTTCTAGAAATTTTGAAACAGTGAATTTTTCTTGAGTGAGAAAATCTAGAAACCTTTTTAACATTTTTAACCTGAGCAATGTTACACTGACTTCGATTTTTAGCAGGTGATTTCTAACAAGCTCTGACAAAAATTTCACTCTCACTTTTTCAGATAAATCTGAAAAAAAATTATGATTCAAGACTATTTTTTGGAAAATATTCTGATGAAATCATTCTATATTTATCATATTTTACTATTCATTATCTATATTTTAAGTATTTTCATAATTTTCCCATTATTCATACATTTCACAAAAATCAATAGAAAAAAGGATCGAGAATCTTCAATATTCCAAATCACAAATCATCTCTACAAAATCACAGTAATCTCACAATTTCTGCTGATTTTTCTAACAACTTCTATATCAGTTTTCAGCTATTCAAGAATCAGAGAAAGTTCACCTATTTTTCAAAGCCTTGTTTATCTTATACTTCTGCTAACTTTATTTTTGACCTATATTTTTAATCAAATAATTATTCCAATTCAGAATATTCTAATATTTCTATTGGCTTTCAAGAGATTTTTTGATTTATTTTTATCCAAGATCTGAAATTTATCTACTGCAAAGTAAAGAAAATCTAAAAAATCTCATCAAAATTTTATATTCTCTGTCAATTTTTGGATTCTTCTCCTATATTTTAGTACTGGCAAAATGTTATTATACGAGTTACCCTAACTTGAATCTTAACTGCTCCACATTTTGGTCCAAAACATCCTCAATAATTTATATCATCCTAGATTCCCTAGTGATTTTCTCCTCAATTTTCTACATGCTAATCTACATAAGTGTCCGAAAATATTCCTGGAATTCCCACCCTGAAAAATCAATTTTCTATCAAACTCTAGTCCTGTTTTTCGTCAAATTCCTCTGCTTTCCATTAATTTTTTATTCCGCCAATTTTTTCCAAGTCATCCAAAAACTCACAACAAATGCACTTATCAATACGGTACTTATCATAAGTCATTTTTAAAAAATAATTTTAAAAAAATTCAGATTTATTATCCCCTATTCTTCCTTGATGTTTTAACAACACCCATCGTATTTCAAATCACATATATTTTCTGTAACAAAACAAATCTGGAAATTTTGCTGAAAATGAATTTCAGAAAATTTAAAACTTGGGCTATGGTTTGTTGCGGATATGGGGATTTGAATGAAGTTCGATCGCAAAGGGAGATTTATAAAATTTCTTGAATTTGACTTGTCTGAATTTGTGAATTTCGAGTATAAAATGAGCAATGTTGTAATTTTGAGCTAAATAGATTGATGTTTATGACTTTTGCGAATAAAAATTGTATTTTAATCGGGAGTTTTGGTGGGACAGGTGCATTTTTTCAAGAGAAGCAGGTGATTTTCAAAAAAATATTTATTCCCAAAACTTTTTCATTTCTCGAATAAAAAAATGGAAGAAAACTTGAATTTAACGTTAAGTTTGCCTGACAAGGGAACCTTTTTTACTCAACACTTCAAATCATCATGAAATTTTGTCCAGAGACAGCTTTTGGGATCATAAGAACACCCTAAAAATCTTAGTTACCCAATGGACCTCTGAGCCAAGTTCTGGGCTCTCAAAAGTTCAAAAATTGCCAAAATTGGCTCATAAAACACGTCATAACTCAATTCTCGATCAATTTTTTGAAAAACTGACAATGAGTAGCAGATGATGATCAGCGTGGTCGATTTACCCAAAAACCATCAATAAATCAAATTTTCAGAAAAAATTTTGATTTTGGAAAAAAAAAGAATGAGCAGGGGCACATATGAATTTTCATGAATTTTCAGCCGAAAAATAAAAAACTTCAAAATTTTTCGAAATAAAGTTTTTTATTAATGTACTTTTAGGTAATCGACTATGCTGATCAATATCTGAACATTTATTTCTCCCAAAAAAAATTTTGAAATGGAGCTATGATGACTTTTGTGACCATTTTTAGGCCTTTTTTGAGTTTTTGAGAGCCCAGAACTTGGCTCAGAGGTCCATTGGGTAACTAAAATTTTTAGGGTGTTCTCATGACCCCAAAAGCTGTCTCTGGACAAAATTTCATCAAGGTTTGAAGTGTTGAGTAAAAAAGGTTCCCTTGTGAAACAATCCTACAACATTCCTTCTTTTTCTATCACGTCATTCTAATTTTCATTTATTTTTCGAGTATTTTTATAATCTTTCCAATATTCATTCATTTCACAAGAATCAATCGAGAAAAAGATCGAAATGTAGGTTTTTTTTGAAAATTGTTTCAAGTACTTCAAGATCTTCAGGCTTCAATATATCCAATCACTTACCATTTATACCAAATCACAATTATTTCACAATTCATGATCATTATTTTAGCGATCAGCGTTATTTCCTTTATTATTCATAAATATAAATTTGTAGATTCTGATGGTTCAATAGTTTTTCCTATTTTTCAATTTATCACAAGCTCCAGTTTTTATATTTTCAATCTAATAGTCATCCCAATTCAAAACCTGTTAATATTCTTCCTGGCTTTTCAAAGATTCCTAGTTTATTTTTGTCCAAAATCAGAAAAATATCTAATTCCTGGTGAGAAACGTTTCAAATGCATTATTAAATGGTTATATTCTTTATCGATTTTTGGAAATATTCTGTATGGTATCAACCTGGCTTTACGATTTGACACTTCAATTATCGAACGAGATTCATTTTGGTCAATAATAAATTCTGTAATTTATATAACCCTAGATGCTCTTGTAATATTTTCCTCGATTTTTTATTTATTGATATTTTTGCATTATCGGAAAATCACAAAATCTCACCCAGAAAAGGCAATCTTCTATCAAACTTTGGTTTTATTCTGTGTCAAATTACTCTGTGCTCCTGGAATATATTTTTCATTTAATAGTTTTTTTTGAGAAAGAAGTTACAGCAAATAGAGTGTTGAATGCGGTGAGATATAGCCATAATTGCCACGTCATAGCACAACTCATATTTTTTTAAAAACAGATTTATTACCCCCTATTCTTCACTGATGTGTTAACAACTCCCATCGTATTTCAAATCACATATATTTTCTATAACAAAGCGAATCTGGAAATTTTGCTGAAAATGAATTTCAGAAAATTGAAAACTTGGAGAATGATATTTTGCGGTGCGGAATTGAGGAAAAGTCAAGTGGAAAATGAGTATAGTTTGAGAACGGTTTCTGAAGTTTTCGAGGAGGCTTGATACAATTTTATTTGCAGAAAATCAAAATAAATTATTTTTGAAAAATGTTCAAAATTACCCAGCAGAAATCACCCTCAATGTAACATACAGCAAAATAAAAATGAGCACACCAATAAATGAGAAAAACCATCGTAAATCACTCTGGGAGCCTGCAATGAAAATAGAGTCTAGTTTGACCAGATCCAAATTCCTTACTGCTTGCTTCCTGAGTCACTCTCTCTTGTCCAGCTTCATCTATTTGAATTGTATAAACTGGTGGTGAATCGATTTTTGAAGGCGATACACATTCAGAAGCTTTCATCATCATTTTCAAAAAACACTATAGAAATACGGTTTCTTATCTTATTGTCACTCTTATTTATATTGAAAAAGGAACCTTGCGGGTTTTTTCAAGCACATCATAGCGTTTTGATAACACATATTTAATTTGTGACTTGGGTATGAGGTGATTCAGAAACATTTGAGTCATTTGGGAGCATTTTGAAATAAAATTTTTGTATTTTTGAACTTTTATCATTAACAAACTTTAATTTTATTCAACTTAACTTTTCATTTGAAAAATCTACATACATAGTTAGCCTAACTCATCAATTAACCAAGTTTCAAGCCTCCTCGAAAACTTCAGAAACCGTTCTCAAACTATACTCATTTTCCACTTGACTTTTCCTCAATTCCGCACCGCAAAAAATCATTCTCCAAGTTTTCGCGTTTCTGAAATTCATTTTCAGCAAAACCTCCAGATTCGCTTTGTTGCAAAATATATAAGTTATTTGAAAAACGATGGGCGTTGTTAGAATATCAGTGATAAACAGGGGGTAATATATCTGTAAAAAACGTTGAGCTATGACGTGGCAAAATTATTCTCACCGCATTCAACAGTGTGCTTGTTTGAACATCTTCAAAGATAAAAATATTATTAATTGCAGAATACATCATAGGAACACCCAGTAATTTAACACAGAATAAAACCAAAGTTTGATAGAAGATTGCTTTTTCCGGGTGAGATTTTGTATAATTTGTGGAATTCTTTGTAATTTTCCGATAATGCAAAAATATCGATAAATAAAAAATCGAGGAAAACATCACAAAAGCATCTAGGGTTATATAAACTACAGAATTTATGATTGACCAAAATGTACCAAAAATCAGTTTTTGTTCGTGCATTGAAGTGATGAATTGTAATATAAATTTGATACCATACAGAGTATTCCCAAAAATCGATAAAGAATATAGCCATTTAATAATGCATTTGAATCGTTTCTCACCAGGAACTAGATATTTTTCTGATTTTGGACAAAAATAAACTAGGAATCTTTGAAAAGCCAGGAAAAAAATTAACAGATTCTGAACTGGAACAACGATTAGATTAAAAATATAGACAATAATTGATGAGATGATTGCCAAATTTAAGAGAATAAATGAAATTATATTGGTATGCTTAAAATACGTTTCTAAAATAACGATAATTATTGAGGAAGCTAGAATAATGATCATAAATTGTGAAATAATTGTGATTTGGTATAAATGATAAGTGATTGGATATATTGAAGCCTGAAGATCTTGAAGTACTTGAAACAATTTTCAAAAAAACCTACATTTCGATCTTTTTCTCGATTGATTCTTGTGAAATGAATGAATATTGGAAAGATTATAAAAACACTTGAAAAATAAATGAACATTAGAATGACGTGATAGAAAAAGAAGGAATGTTGTAGGATTGTTTCAGGCAAACTTAACGTTAAATTCAAGTCTTCTTCCATTTTTTTATTCGAGAAATGAACAAGTTTTGAGAATAAATACTTTCTTGAAAATCACCTGCTTCTCTATGAAAAAATGCACCTGTCCCACCGAAATACAAAATTTTATTTTGCAAAAAGTCACATTCAATAGCTCAAAGTTACAGCATTGCTCATGCTATACATATTATGATAATTGCCCACGATATTTGTTGGAGAACCGCAGCAAATTGTCATCCAAGTTTTCAATTTTCTGAAATTCATTTTCAGCAAGGTTTCCAGATTTGTTTTATTGCAGAAAAGATATGTGATTTGGAATACGATGGGGGTTGTTAAGACATCAATGAAGAATAGGGGGTAGTAGATCTGAAAAAAAACATGGGAATGACCGCGACGCACACGCAACGCGTGGGGTTTGTGTTTTGGTTTACTCAATACATCAAGCATTAATCAGACAGGTGAACTCTACTTTTAAGAATTATTTAAAGATTCAAAAACATAATTTTAAAATTGTTCTGTCCGCGACGCACACGCCACGCATCCTTAAACCACGTATACTTACCGCATTCATCAATGAATTCAAAGTTAGCTCAACTATATATAAAAATGCCAACGAAACATACAACATTGGAAAACACAATAATTTCACAATTATCAATGTCAAAGTCTGATAAAGTATCGCTTTTTCCAGACGGGTTTTCATCAGACTTGAAGAATTTCTTGTAACTTTTCGAACACTTATAAATATACAAATATAAAAAATTGATGAAAATATTACTAGGAAATCTAGACTTATATAAATCGCCGAATTTATTGTTGAGTAAATTTTTGGGCAGGTATAAATATGGGTTTTCAAAAATTCATCGATGCATTTTGCTATGAAACAAATGTAGATAAAGTTTCCCGAAATTGATATCAAGTATAGCCAGAGAAGAAGGCATTTGAAGGCTTTTGGTCCGGGAATTATGAATTTTTCCGATCTTGGATAGAAATAAATGATAAATCTTTGAAACGCCAAAAGGAATATAAGAAAATTTTGAATCGGAACAACTATTTGATTGAAAGCATAAACCAGGGAGCCTGTGATAAATGTAAAAACTGGAATATAATTAGGAACGGATGAAGTGAATAGGTTAAACAAAATCATTGATAGCATTGAGCATACTGTGACTAAAATCATAACTTGTGAGATGATTGTGATGTAATATAGATGATTTGTGATTGGGAAAATTGAGCATTCTTTGTCTCGTTCTCGATTGATTTTTGTGAAATGAATGAATAATGGGAACATTATAAAGATACTTAAGATATAAACTATGATTAGTATTGCGTGATAGAAGTAGAAGGAGCTTCGGAGAAGCTCAGTTTCCACGTTCATCGGAATGTGCACATTGAGCTCAAAGAAAAACATCTGCCGCTTCTTTAGAAATTCGAAACGATCTTACGAATCTGTTAAGATTTAAATTTTTTAGATCGTGGTCATACTAAAATTTTCATTTTGCTCAATACGATTTGATCTACCACAGCAAACTATACTCCAAGTTTCCGCTTTTCTGAAATTCATTTTCAGCAAATTTTCCAGATTTGTTTTATTGCAGAAAATATATGTGACTTGAAAAACGATGGGTGTTGTTAAAACATCAATGATGAATAGAGGATAATAGATCTGAAAATAATCAAAAATAAAAATTAGAATCGTAACCGCGACGCAAACGCACCACATTAATAGTTAGATCATCCGAGTTCACATGAACCAGAAAAATTAATAAAGGAAAGCAGAGCATTTTGACGACAATTAAAACTAGAGTTTGATAAAGGATTGCTTTTTCTGGACGATTTTTCATGAGATTTGAAGCAAGTTTAGTGATTTTTCGAACACTTATGAGCATAGAAATGTAAAATATTGAGGAGAAAATGAAAAGAAAGTCTAGTATCACATAAATCGCTAAAATTATAGTTGACAATGTATGGTCACAATTAGTAGAATCTTGGTCATGAATAATGAAATAGGTATAGAAACATTGAGCATAGGTGAAAAAGTATAAAATGTTCCCCGAAATTGATATGAAATATATCCACCGAATGATAGTTTTGAACGATTTTTGAGAAGGAACTATGTATTTTTCAGAAGATGGATAGAAATATAATAGGAATCTTTGAAGAGCCAGAAGGAATATAAGGAAGTTTTGAACAGGTATGATTATACGATTGAAGGCATAGAACATGAAAACAGAGGGTATCGAAACAATAAGCGAAAAAGTTTTTAATGATTCATTTTGTCCGAATTTTGTGAATCCAAAAAGTAAAGCAAGAGCCAGAAATGTTCCAAAAATAATAATAAATTGTGAGACGATTGTGATGTAATACAGATGATTTGTGATTTGATAAATTGAAGATTCTTGATCTTTTTTCGCGATTTATTCTTGTGAAATGAATGAATAATGGGAAGATTATAAAGATACTTGAAATATAGATAATGAATAAAATAACATAGTAGAGCCCTATTGAATGTATAAGAACAATACGATAGTCAAAATTGAATTCAAACATTTTCAATATGTAGTTTTCATATGAAAACTACATTTTGATCGAGTTGTATGAAAATCACCTGCATATATTTTTTTGATGAAAATGTAAGCTTTAAAAAAAAATTTTTTTTTTTAATTTCCAGAAAAATGTTTAGAATTCAATGCCACGTCATAGCTATTTTGAAAAAAAATCAATTTTTCATTTACAGGATACTTGTGAATGTCTCAAAACTATAGTGAACGATGGATTTGGCACATCATTTTTCTTGTTATAAAAACAAGACAAAATAAAAGTCCGATAATATTTGTGAAATATCAACATCGAAATCGTCGCCAAAAATCCATGAATCGAAAATAGAATAATACAGAAATTATTTATAGCCTGATTATAATAATCAGCTTGAATTGAAACCACAAAATATGAAGCTGGAATTATAGCAACTGCGGTTGTCGTCAAAACTTGCAGCGAAATCGCCGTGAACACGGATTTTTGCAATTTTTGCGTGTTTTTCGAGATAAAGTTTGAGATATTTTTGAGATGATGGATTGAGTGAATTGAGAAGAATAGGGATTGAGAAAGAGCGGCAATTATGATGATTCCGATTCCTATACTATTCAAAGTGTTGTCTAGGGATAGTACAAATATTGGATGTTGGAAATATTCAATTGTTGGACACGGAACTGTTGTCTGGAAAAACATTAGGGAATATGCGGAAAACCGCGACGCATAAACGCGCCGCATCGAAAAACATGAAAGACAAAAAATAATATTTTTGCGTGAACGTGAAATTTTCGTGGCAAATGTCATTTCAACGATAATTTTTCAGTTATTTCAAATTTTCGGCGAGCAACAAAATGGCAGATGAGTTTTTTTTCTCTTGGGGGTCCCCGAATTCCTTGCCCTCTTCGAACAATTTCACATGTCTCTCCTGGAGTAAAGTACAGCTCAACTTAGCCGAACTCTGGATAGTAAAGCTTCTTAAGTTGGGCATTAGCCATTGCAATTGTCAGGAACCTCGACATGAGTTACCTTAACTTGGTTTTTGGTTATACTCTCGACATTGTCGACTTGATTTGGTTGGAAAAACTGTGAAGGGAGAGATCGAGGTTCGCTTTTCAAGATTTTTGAAAAGAAAACGTGGAATTATTCGAGGAGGAGGGAAATTTCAACTATTATGAGGGGAATTACGATATTTCCAAGAAAAATCATAAATTCTTCAGAAACAAACACAAAAAAACCATGAAAACACTTGCAAAAAACAAGAAAAATCAAAGATTTCGAAATTTTCGGTGAGTTTTTCAAACCAAACAAGAAGAAGTTCTGGAATTTTGATTGAAAATTGATGGAATTCAAATTTTATCAATTTTCAATTGGAATTTCAGATGGAATGCGGAAGCTATGCCCAATTTTTGAATTAAAAATGAACAATTTGCAAAAAAGCGCATTTTTTCCAACGACACTCCGCTTACCCGTTGTTTAGCGCAAAGGACATTTTTTCATTTTTCATTTTTTTTCGCGCGCGTTTTTCGGGGTTTCGGGGAAAATCAGTGGATTTTCAGACAAAAACTGGTTTTTCAGATGTTCTACAAGGCTGGAAATATGGATTTCAATGGGAAATTCGAGAAAAAGGTGGGTTTTTCTGGGAGAAAATTGGTTTTTATTGAAATTTTTGATTTTTCAGGGGTGGAGGTGGATTTGAAGGTGGAATTATCGATTTTTCGAATGTGGGAAGTCAGGAACTGCTAGAGAGCTCTCTAACTCTCATCGGAAGTGATTTTTGAGGTAAAAATTCAACAAATTTCAATTTTTTTGCCAAAACTTCTAATTTTTCAAGTTTTCGCGCTGAATTCTTTTAAATTTTCAAAAACCAGTTGTTTTGTTGTTGGAAAATCCGGGTTTTTAGCGCGAAACTTAAAAAATTCCGCATTTTTTGCAACGACACTCCGCTTACCCGTTGTTTAACGCAAAGGAAATTTTTTAATTTTTCTTTTTTTTTCGCGCGTTTTTCGGGGTTTGGGGAAAATCAGTGGATTTTCAGACAAAAACTGGTTTTTCAGATGTTCTACAAGGCTGGATATAGATTTCAATGGGAGATTCGAGAAAAGGTTGGTTTTCCGGGGAGAAAATTGGTTTTTATTGAAATTTTCGATTTTTCAGGGGTGAAGGTGGATTTGAAGCTGGAATTGTCGATTTTTTGAATTCGGGAAAGTCAGGAACTGCTGCAGAACTCGTCAATTTCATCAAAAACCGTGTTTTGAGGTAAATATTTAACAAATTTCAAGTTTTTGAGCCAAAACCTCTATTTTTTCACGTTTTCGCGCTGAATTCTTTTAAATTTTCAAAAACCAGTTGTTTTGTTGTTGGAAAATCCAGGTTTAGCGCGAAACTTAAAAAAACCGCATTTTTTGCAACGACACTCCACTCTTGCCCGCTGTTTAGCGCAATCGAAAATATTTTTATTTTTCAAAATTTTCCCCTTCAAAACCTTACACAAATCGGTTTTTCAGAGAGTTGGGCTAACCTTCAAAATCATTAGTGGAGCTGTGGTTTGATCAGGCAAATTCAACATAACCGGAATATGCGACAACATTGGCATAATGAAATTCGAAAGATAAAATAGGAATCGCGTCAGTTTTCGAGTTATCCGAAATCGCCCGCGAACCAGAATATTATGACGATTCTCAAGGATTATTGGAACTGCCAAATTCATGATTGAAATACAACAAATTGCGAGAAGCGATTGGAAAGCCATGGGAATATTGAGATTGTGGAAAATCCCGATGGTGAAGCCTGCGCAAGCAGGGAAAAACACATAAGGAGTCATGCAGAGTGAAAGGAGAATGTCGAGGAATATTATGCTGGAAAATTTGAAGGTTAGTTGTTTTTTGGGTCAAAAAAATCCTCAAGCTTGCATGTATAATAAGCAAGGTTTCATTGATTTGAATTTCTTGGGAGTTTTTCGCAAGATACAATAAATGCCCAAAATATCAGCGGGAATCACGAAAATACTAAAACCGTGTCCAAAGTAGAAAAGAGCGTCATAGGAGCCCAAAAATGAATTAGTTTTAGTCGAATCACACTTTTTTGTGTAATTATTGGTGAAGTAGTCGTTCATTTATTCTTGGGAGGGAAAATATGAAGAAATGATATGGGAGTTGGGCTAAATTTGGTTGTTATGATTATGAAAAACACCTGATTGTGGAGAATTCGGGTGTTTTTTCTGACTTTGAGTCTGGGAAGTGACGTATGATTCTCATAAAGCATCTGAACTGTCAGAATGAAGCACGGATACGTTACAAACGCGCTCCACTGTACACATTGCGCGCGCTTTTTTTTTCATTTTTTTTTTCGAAAATGATTTTTATGACCTGTTTTTTTCTCAGACAATTCTTCAGACAATCGTTTTCTTTTATTGCATTTCTAAAAATTTTTTCAAAATGAAAATGAAGATTCTCCAAATTCCAATCCTAATATTAATTTCTACAAATTTCCAAAAAATCCACGGTGACGATCGTCAAGACCTCGAGAAATTTCTCAAAAAAATCATCAATTTTCCGAAATCTCTGAATACGATTCACAAGGATTTTGATTATTTCGATGGCTGTGATGATAATCCCAAGAAAACTCCAAAAACGAAAAAATAATTTATTCAAGAAGTTCTAACTGAAACTTTTGTTCTTCAAAATTGTTCGGTTACTAATTCACGTGGAGGTGGAGAAAATTGTGAGGTAATGGAAGGAGTCGATTATAATTGTTGGATTTCATCATCCCAAAATCGAGAGCTTTTTGATTTTTCAATCACCAGATATACATTGGGTTATTGCGATGCGAGAAAATGGATTTTGCTTTCGGCGAAAAAATTAAAATGTATAGATTATTCGAAACTTGATTTTTGCAATTGATGGATTTGTAGGTGAATAAAGCTTCAATTTAATTTTTTTTCGTGTTTTCCTACTACATATTTACGTGAAATTTGACGAAACAAGTTTCTGATTTAAAAAACAGGTGATTTTGATCACGTTTCGCCTAGCTAACTTTGCAAAAACTTTAACTTCATTTAAATAAAAATATGTCGGATTTGATAAATAATCTGGATATCGGAAACTTGGCAAATCGGACATTGTTTATCTATTTTGCAATTCTGGTATCAATCTACATTTCAAGTGTGTTCATTATTTTCCCATTATTCATTCATTTCACAAAAATCAATAGAGAAAAAGATCGAGAATCGTCGATTTTTCAAATCTCAAGTCATCTATATCGAATCACAGTCATCTCACAATATTTGATCTTAACTTTAGCGTTCGCACTACTTTTCGTCTTTCTTATAATCACAGATGTTTTAACCACCTATAAATTTCGCCTGATGTTTTGGTCAATTGTAATGTTTATGGGTATATTTATTTATGCTTTTAATCAAATAGTTGTTCCAATTCAAAATCTTTTAATATTCCTTCTGGCTCTTCAAAGATTTCTTCTTTATTTCTATCCAAGTTATGAGAAATATATTGTTCCCAGTGAAAAACGATTCAAATGTTTTTTGAAATGGTTATACTTCAGTTTTATTTTTGGAAATATAACGTACACAATTTTTCTTTTTAAATCATATTTCTGGGACAATGCGCAAAATTACGATCCAAGTTGGTCTATGTTAAATTCAGTAAGTGTTTCCGTTTTTCCGTATTAGAAAATTCAATTATAGGCTGTTTATATAATCATGGACTTGCTTGTGATATTCTCATCTATTTTTTACATTTGTATTTTGATAAGTGTTCGGAAAATTACAAGACTTGCTTCTAGTGTTATGAAAAACCGTCCCGAAAAAGCAATTCTCTATCATACTTTAGTTTTATTATTTGTGAAACTGTTTTGTATTCCAATGGTTTTACTTCTCCTATTGTTTGCTTCCATTGAAGATCTGAGCGATAAGTTCAATTTGGTAATTCTATTTCGTTATTTTCAACCTAATCATTATTTTATTAGATTTACTTCTCACTATTTTTCATCGATATTCTAACAACTCCAATAGTATTCCAAATCACATATATTTTTTGCAACAAAACGAATCTGGAAGCCTTGCTGAAAATGAATTTCAAAAAATTGAAAACTTGGATGATTGTTTGTTGCGGAGCATCTTCAAATATGATTGAAAATCACCATGAAGTATATAGCACGAACAAAACATCGGTGGTTGTTCAGAACACTTGAAAATTCGGAATACATTGATGTTTTGTTAGGCGTGATTGACATGGTAGTTATGTTTGTGCAGGTTATTTCAGAATTTTTTTACATGAATTTTCTCACAAAAGTTCACAACAGCAAGTGCATTCCAATATAAGTATATAAAACTTATGATCATACATTCATTTTTTCAAACTTCAGAAATCTCTGATATCAAATGAAATTACTTTATGATTCTGGAAAAATCTTTAATATTGATGATTCGGTTTTCTACTACATCATCATTTTATTTATAATATATATCTTCAGCATATTTAAAATTTTTCCATTGTTCATTCATTTTTCGAGAATCAATCATGAAAAAGATCGAAAAGTTCCGATTTTCGCGATCACAAATCAACTTTATGGAATCACAGTATATTGTCAGTATTCAATTCTGACAACAATGTTTGTAATATTCTTGTTCTATTGTTTGCAGATTCACGAGGAATCTGAAAATATTTCAGTTATATTTTATGTTCTGATTTTCACATTTCACATAGTGTTTATGTAGTTACTTTTTTTTTCTAAATTTCAGATTTACTACTCATTTTTTGTCATTGATATGTTCACAACTCCAATAGTATTCCAAATCACATATTTTTTTGCAACAAAACTTATCTGGAAACTTTGATGAAAATGAATTTCGGAAAAGCGAAAACTTGGATCATTGTTTGTTGTGGATACAATCTTCATAGCGTTGATAATCAACATAATTTATATAGTCAGAGGATTTCTTCTTGAAATAAAACTTGTAATTTCGTGACGTGACAGTTTACAAATTAAAAAAAGTTGCATTTTCGTATACGTCAATCGTTTGACATTTATACTCTAGTAATTTTTAAAGACAGGTGAAACACATAATTTTTTTTCGAGCACTCGAAAATCACTTTACAATCTAAAAAACATGATTTTGAATATATCAATGACTTTAAGTGAAGGTAAAACTTTATCTATAGAAAGACCAATTATTTATTATTTTTCTGGTTTAATTATTCTCTATATTTCAAGTTTTTTTATAATGTTCCCATTATTCGTTTATTTCACAAGAATAAATCGTGAAAAAGACGAAAAAATTCCAATTTTTCTAATTACAAATCATTTATATAAAATAACAGTTTTCTCACAAATTTTCATAATTTTCACCGGATTTTCATTTCTTAATTTGTTAATATCAATGTTCAGTGAAAATGATGCATTTCTAATATTCACAATTTATTTTATTTATATATCCTTTTTCTTTGCTGTTGTTTTCCATCAAATAGTTATTCCTATTCAAAATCTTTTGATATTTCTTCTGGCATTTCAAAGATTCCTCCTTTATTTCTATCCAAGATCTGAAAAGCACATTGTTCCGACTAAAAAATTCTTCAAATTCATTATGAAGTGTTTATATTTATTATCAACTTTTGGAAATATTTTATATTTTTTCTCATATTATAATTGCTTGCTTTTCTATTATTCCGATAATCAGAACACTTACTGCAATTCAAATTGGGCAATTCTATCTTCAGTGAGTTAATGAGAACATTTTCACTTCAAACTGATGTTTCAGGCAATTTATATAACTCTGGACTTTCTTGTAATATTTTCCTCAATATTTTATATAAGTATTTTTATAAGTGTTCGAAAAATCACAAGTCTTGCTTCAAGTGTTATGAAAAATCGTCCAGAAAAAGCAATAATCTATCAGACTTTGACTTTAATAATTGTGAAGCTTTTATGTTTCCCAATGTTGTATTATTCAACATCGTTTTTACTTTTAGAAGATAACATTAATTTGAAAATAATCCTATACTCTGTAAGTTCTTCTTCTACGGTTTAAACCTACTTATACAGTTTCAGATTTACTATCCTTTATTAATTATTGATGTGTTAACAACTCCAATAGTATTCCAAATCACATATATTTTCTGCAACAAAACGAATCTGGAAACTTTGTTGAAAATGAATTTCAGAAAATTGAAAACTTGGATGATTGTGTGTTGCGGAGCATCTTCAAATATGATTGAAAATCACCATGAATTATATAGTACGAGCAAAACATCGGTGGTTGTTCAGAACACTTGAAAATTCTGAATAAATTAATTTGTTGTTAGGCGTGATTGGCATGATATTGTACAGGTGTTTGTACAGGTTATTCCAGAAATTCTGATTATTCGAAACTTGATTCTTGCAATTGTAGGTGAATAAAATGTTGATCTATGTTTCAAGTATTTTCATAATTTTCCCATTATTCCTTCATTTCACAAAAATAAACCGTGAAAAAGATAAAGAATCATCGATTTTTCGCCCTCTCATTAAAATCCCGTAAGGTGAAATTTATTTAGAAATGTTCATTTCTCCCGGTCACGTGAAATTCTGATAAATATATATTTATCAAAAATGCTTCATTTCTTACCTACACGTGTGGTGTAGGCGGGGAGAGCTCTGCCTTCCAATCAGGCAACCCTCCTTCTTTTGTGGGTTCGAGCCCCACTCGGAAAAAATTTTTTCCCTATATCGAGTAATGCAGATTTTCGGAAATTTTGTTCCTTTCTCCCCAAAATTGCGAAAATTCGACATTCCAACGCGGCAAAAAAGAAAAAAGAAGAAGGAGAAGAAAAACCTTAATAAAAAGAGAAAATCGAGAAAATATCCTGCGTGACCCATGAATGAAAAAGGCTGATTCTTCAGATGCTATTGGCATTGTTCAAGAATTCCTAATTCCTAACTAAGAATGTTATTTAAGTCTGCAATACGAAAAAAAGATTAAATAAGTTTTTTTTTCGAAAAATTGATGGATGACTTTATCCGTGGCAAAATTAGGAAGCCTTCCTGATTTTGCCACGAATCATTTTTCGATCAAAAAATTTGAAATTTTCTATAAATTTGATTGTAAGTCAATGTTCTGTGGACAATAATCACAGAAAAAAGTGAAACTGAAATAAATGAGAAGACAGTTACGCCTGGGGGCTAACAGCCCCTAGTCAAATCACAAATCATCTATATAGAATTACCGTCATTTCTCAATCTTTAATAATGACTTCGATATTTGCTATACTAATAGTGATTATTATTGTCTCAGATTTATTAACCACTTATATTTTGCGCGGAATATTGTGGTCATTTGTAATTTCGATATGTGTATTCATCTATGCCTTCAATCAAATAGTTGTTCCAATTCAAAATCTTCTAATATTCTTGTTGGCTCTTCAAAGATTCTTTTTATATTTTTATCCAAATTCTGAGAAATATATTGTTCCAAGTGAAAAACGATTCCGATGTTTCCTCAACTGGCTATACTTCATTTTCATTTCTGGAAGTATATTTAACATTATGTTCCTTGTGAAATGTTGGTGGGAGAATTCATCTTTTAATGAGGGAATTGATTACGATCCAAGTTGGTCCATTCTAAATTCTGTAAGAAATACAGTTATTTCAATTTCTGTTCGAAAAATTTTATTATAGGCGATTTATATAATCCTGGACCTTGTTGTGATGTTATCATCAATATTTTATATAAGTATTCTGATAAGTGTTCGGAAAATTACAACCATGGCTTCAAGTTTTATGAGAAACCGCCCAGAAAAAGTGATATTCTACCAAACTTTGGTTTTATTAGTTGTCAAAATTCTCTGCGTCCCAATGTGTATAATATATGCATGGTCAATGAAAATGCAAAACCTTACTATGAACAAAGCTTTCAATGTGGTAATATCATTTCTTTTCGTTTTCCAAGCAAATCATTTAATGTTTAAGATCTATTACTCCATGTTCTTAATTGATATGTTAACAACTCCAATAGTATTCCAAATCACATATATTTTCTGCAACAAAACAAATCTTGACATTCTTCTGAAAATGAATTTCAGAAAATTGAAAACTTGGATGATTGTTTGTTGCGGAGCATCTTCAAAGATGATTGAAAATCACCATGAAGTATATAGCACGAGCAAAACATAGGCGATGTTCAGAACACTTGAAAATGGAAATTGAAATTTTGTATGACTATTTTTGTGGGCAGAAATTGAATCGCTTCGGGCACAATCAAAATAATTTATATATTCAGATTACTGTATGAATATATTTATTTATCATGAAATAAAAGCATAGTGAAAAAAACTAGAAAAGTTCATCTGGTTTGTAGTTTGATAAAATCCAGAAACTTTGCAAGAAATCAGCTGGTACGGAGTTATGACGTACATAACTGTAGTTTGAAAAAAAATTATGAAAAAATTCAAAAATAAATGTGAGCATTAAAATTAAGAATGCACCGAAATCAAAACAAATGCTCAAAAAATATTTTTCATGATTGATTTTGGGTAGTTCCCGAAGCCACTCCCAAATTATCGATTTCTTGCTGATAATCCACACTATTCGAAGAGGCTCCACAACAAATAGTCATCCAAGTTCGCAATTTTCTGAAATTCATTTTCAGCAAATTCTCCAGATTTGTTTTGTTGCAGAAAAGATAGGCAACTTGAGCAATTAAAGGAGTTGTTAGCACGTCAATGAAGAATAGACAGTAGTAGAACACATTGAGAACTTTGTATGACAAAATATTTTGAAAATCAATGTACATTAGAGTGATAATTAAAATCAACGGAGTAGCTATTAATTTAACAATAATCAAAACCAAAGTTTGGTAGAGGATTGCTTTTTCGGGGCGGGTTTTCATCATAACTGTAGAAGAAAGTCTTGTGATTTTCCGAACACTGATGAGAATCAATATATAGAAAATTGAAGAAAATATCACAAGCCAATCGAGTGTTATATAAATCGCAGAGTTCAACATCGATAAAGTTTGATCACAATTAAGTTCGTGAGTTGACATTGAGACGGTGAAACATTGGATAAACTTGTATAGGTAGAAAATATTTCCAGAAAGCGATAGAGAATAGATGAATAATGTGATAATTTTGAAAGTTTTTTCACCAGGAGTGATGAATTTTTCCGAATTTGGATAGAAATAAAGGAGGAATCTTTGAAAAGCCAAAAGAAATATTAGAAAATTTTGAATTGGAACGATTACTTGATTGATTAGAAAAGTTATAGCGAACATAAGAAAAGCAAACTGAACAACAAGGTATATCCAGGGGTTTGCGTACCCTGATAAATTGAAAATGATTAAAGCAAAACTGCCAATTGCACTGATAATTATAGTGATTTGTGCAACAATTGTAATTTGGTATAATTGATTTGTGATTTGATAAATCGGCGATTCTCGATCCTTTTTGCGATTGATTTTTGTGAAATGAACGAATAATGGGAAAATTGTGAATATGCTTAAAATATAGATGACAATCATTATGAAATAGAAAATAACTAGAGTACTTTGGAAAATGAATAGGCCAAATAACACATTTGGGTTTTCTAGCATTTTTTTTGTTGGAATTCTGATGTGAAAATGAATAAAGAAACTAGAAAAATGCAGCTGTTTTATGTAGAAAGGAAATAACCTTTTTGGAAAGGATACAGGAAAATCATCTGCTTTTTGACAGTGTTTTATATAGAAGTTCGTTTTAGAAATAATCACTGATGAGATTAGAATATTCAGATACATTGTAGAGAGCATGAAGATCCAGACCATTTTTCGGAATAATTTTGTTTCCAAGAATTGTTTACTTTATATACTTTGCTATAACATTGATGAAAAACATGCAAATTTCAGGTTCTCACGCATAAAGAGAAGTTTTGTTTTGTTGTACAACTCGTACAGTTTCACCATCAATAACATTTCAGTTTACAACTTCATTTATTCACCCAATAAAATAATAAAATTGAACTTTTGGTTAAGAATATTCTGTTGGTGGTTTTCCGCAAACAATTGTTGTTCTCACAGCGAAAAAAAATTATTTTTTCTCTTTCCGTGTGGTACGGTGCGCAAAACAGAAAGTGTTTGCACACACAAAGGAAAAAAACAAAAAACAAAAGGGGAGAACACACAAAAACCGTGCGCACATGCAATAATATTGCAGAAAGACGCTGCCAGGGGTTGCGTGTTGAAAACTCCGCCTATTTTTTTTTTGAATTTCCGCAACGAATTTTTTGTGTACAAAAAAATAATTTTTTTTCGCTGTGTATCTTGATAAGGATACTCCCCAGATATTTGATTACAAGCAACATTTAAAACTTGAGTTGGAAGAGCTGCGAAGTTGTTACCAGGAAAATTAGCATATATATATGCAGCCATCAATGCGCATTTGTATTGGCTTAATTTTTTTCTATTTCAAACTTCTCAAGAAATCCAACTTACTTTGATTGCCATGGTTGACCTCCTGACCATTTGATCTGACTCGATCCAGTTGTATAACCATCTGTCCATTCGAAAGAGTTGGTACCACAGTTCGGTTCATCCACGAAACCAGAATAGTCACAACCAAGCGTGATATGGAGACCTAGCCAGACACCACCAATTGTATAACCATGTTCTGCTTGTACGGTAATTGCCGTCCCTGATAAATAAAAATAATCTTCAAAAAAAAAACAATTGAACCCGTTCACTCACTAGTAATCCAGCTTTCCTCAAAATCATTTTGATGACCTGATGGAACTGCTCCATCTGCAGTGCACAAAGCTTCGGCTTGAGTATAATTCAACTCAACTGCTGGTAAAATCTTCATACACCAATTATAACCCGGTCTCGGAAAAATTGTATAACCTGCTGAACAAGATGGAACTGGTGCAACATTGGGAAATGTACTCATTACGTATGCACCGTCATCTTCGTCTGAAAAATTGGAGTTTGCCCCGTCATAACTAATTAGAACGAACTCACTACAAACATCTCCACAACCTGTAGCAAATCTCAATGTGGCTAGAAACAAAAATATTTTAGACGTCATGATCATTTTTGGGTATTCTTGAAGTACAATGAAAAAATTTGGTCTTTTTATACTGTGTGCTTTTTTGTAATATTTTATGTATGCTAATAGAAAAGTATATATCATTTTTCCCACGAAAAATATTTTTGTAAGATTTGTAAATTATTATATTTTTAGAAATGGATGAACTGGAATTGAGGACAACGAATATTATTTAGTTAGTTTTGAGGGTTTTTGGGAGTGGGAGGAATCTGGGTATTTTGACGGTTAGATGAGTCTGGGTTGGAGTTCAGTTCGGGTGGGAAATTGATTTAGGTTCTAGGATGAGAACAGGAGTTTTTGAAAAAAAAAGTAATTGAAGAGTTAACGTTTTCGTGAAGTTTTCGCGATTGGCATGTTTTTTCTTGTATAACGTTGAAATCAGGAAAAATTCAGTGTCAAACTTCATTTTTCCCAAGAAATTAACAACATAACATTTTGATTCAGGAATATTCTGTCGGCGGTTTTCCGCAAACAATAGTTGTCCTGGTTTGAAAGGGTCGCGATGCATATCTTGTATTACAAGCAACATTTATAACTTGAGTTGGTAGAGCTTCGAAGTCGTTGTCAGGAAAATTACCTGCAGAATACGCTGCCATCAATGCACATTGGTAAGCGCTAAATTTTTTTTCAAACTACAAACTTTTCAAGAAATCCAACTTACTTTGATTGCCATGGTTCACCTTCCGCCCATTTGATCTGACTTGATCCAGTTGTGTAACCATCTGTCCATTCGAAAGAGTTGGTACCACAGTTCGGACTGTCATCCGCGAAACCAGTGTAGTCACAACCAAGCGTGATATGGAGACCCAGCCAGACACCACCAATTGTATAACCATATTCTGCTTGTACGGTAATTGCCGTCCCTGAATGAATAAAATTAATCTTCAAAAAAAAAACAATTGTACCGGTTCACTCACTAGTAATCCAGCTTTCCTCAACATCATTTTGATGACCTGATGGAACTGCTCCATCTGCAGTACACAAAGCTTCGGCTTCAGTGAAGTTTTTCAATATTGCTGGATAAATCTTCATACACCAATTGTAACCCGGTCTTGGAAAACTTTTATAACCTTCTGAACATGTTGGAACTGGTGCAACATTGGGAAACGTACTCATGACGTAGGCACCGTCATCTTCGTCTGAAAAATTGGAGTTTGCCACGTCATAAAGGTTATCATTAGAGCGAACTTACTGCAAACATCCGCACAAGCTGTAGCAAATCTCAATGTAGCTAGAAGAAAAAATATTTTGGACATCACGATCATTTTTGGGTGTTTTTGAAGAACAGTGAAAAAATGTGGTCTTTTATACTGTGTTCTTTTTCATAAAATTTTATGTATGCTAATAGAGAATATATCATTTTTTTCCCACGAGAAACATTTTTGTGAGATCACATTTGTGAATAGTTAGCTTTTTAGAAGCGGTTTACGGTTAGCCTTTTTTCAATCAGGATAAAAAATGTTTGCCATTGAATAAAAACAAACGCGTATTTTTCAGAGCTCGAAGATCTGGCGATTTCAATTTCACGCGGAAAGTGCGAAATCGGAAGTGTCTGGAATTTTATTGGATGAACTGGAATTGAGGACAACGAATATTATTTAGTTAGTTTTGAGGGTTTTTGGGAACGGGATTTGGGGAATTTGTCTGTGGGATTCTGAAGTTAAGGTAAGACGGTTTTTGAGGGGTGGGATTGGGGGATGTTCTGTGAAAGATCCGCGTTCTGTGAAGTTTCGAATTTTCGAAAAATAGTGCACTGTAGAATGAAAAGAAGTTGCATTTTTTGTTCAAAAGTTGTTTTTTTTCACTTTTTTTTTTTGTTTTTGAATGCGAAAAAAGTATCACTTGCATAATATTAAAATCAAGAACAGTTTATTAACCCAGAAAAAAATAACATAACAATACGAGTCAGGAATACTCTGTAGGCGGTTTTCCGCAAACAATCGTCGTTCTTTTTCGATAATCATCATATCCATCTGAATTACCACAAGCTACGTTCACGATTTGAGTTGGTAAGGCCCTCTGACCAGTAGGATACAATATTGGATCATAGGCAGCCATCAATGCGCATTTGCCAGTGCTGAATTCTCCGTATTTTTAACTTTTCTAAAAATCACTCAACTCACTTTGGCTGATCTGGTATCCCACTTGCCCATGTGATTTGACTTGTTCCAGTTGTATAACCATCTGTCCATTCGAACGAGTTGGCTCCACAGTTCGGTTCATTCGCGAAACCAAGATAGTCACAACCCATTGTGATATGGAGACCCAGCCAGACACCACCAATTGGTTCATTGTTTTCTGTTTGTATGGCAGTTGCGGTCCCTGAATTCGCAGAGTTTTTCAGACATTATTTTCATACGCGAGGTTTTTTTGTTCACTCACTATTAATCCATCTTGCCTCAACAACATTCTGATGTCCTGATGCAACTGCTCCATCTGCAAGGCACAAAGCTTCGGCTTGGGTAAAAGTCCTTGATATTGCTGGATAAATCTTCATACACCAATTATAACCAGGTCGCGAAAAAACTGTATAACCTGCTGAACAAGATGGAACTGGTGCAACATTGGGAAATGTACTCATTACGTATGCACCATCATCTTCGTCTAAAAAATTGGAGTTTGTCACGTCATAACTAATTACAACGAACTCACTGCAAACATCCCCGCAACTCGAAGCAAATCTTGATATTGTTAGAAGCAGGAATATTCGTGGAATCGTAAACATTGTATATATTTTGAAAGGGAGAGTGAGAAACTTTTGGTCTTTTATACTGTGCTTTTTTGTAACATTTTCATGCATGCTAATAGAAAAAAGTATACTTTTTTCCCATGATGAAAAAGTTTGGAAGATCATTTTTTGTGTAAACTTTGAATGGTTTGGAAATGACTTTTGAAAAAAAAAACTTTATTGATCACTAGCAAAAGTCACATTTTACTCGGCTCAATTTTACTAACACTAGACGGTCCAAAGGTATCTCGCTTCTCATCGATTTTCTTCCCAGCCATTTTTAGAATAATCCTTCGATAAGGCTTGATGAAAACGAAGCTAACAATCGGGGATATTGTAGGGATTAGCAAGAGAAAAAATAACATATTTTCCTCGATTAGTGGGTCCGAAAATATGGAGAAAAGTTGTAAGGCGAAAAGTGAGATTGCGATGATATTGAGCATTGGGAGCATTGCCTGGAAAGGAGTTTGTTGAAGTCTGATGCGAGATCAGAATTATCCTAGTTTCTTACCTGTATCGTCAAACACGTAAGTAATTGCTTATGCATAGCCCTTGTATTCTTACTCATATGCCCTGCAGCCTCCTTCAAATGTCCAATAATCCTGAATCGCAGAAATATGATGATACAATAAATCGGTTGAGCGGGTAAAAGAAGATGACAAAATCCATAAAGTGAGAAAATGTTTCGAATATCTAGCTGGCCATTGATTTGATAGCCAGAGAGATCGTAATCAGGGTATTTTTTATGAATCACTCGGTATATGTCAATGGGCTTGGAGCCAGCGATACAGAAGGCGATCTGAAAAAGGGTGTTTTAGGAAAATAGTCGTATTCTCTTTTCCCTACGCACCACTTGTAGAAAGCAGGGAATATAAAATGCGAAACAGACACCCAAAAGTGCTCTAGAAGTTGGTGAACTTTTCGTCAGAATCCACCAACGATAACTAAACGACACCAAAATCATATACAGCGAAAAACTCGAAAAATGAATATAGAAACTATAGGCGAAATCACAAGCTGCAGGAGAATCAAGATATTTGCACAATCCGGAAGACGCGTAACTTATCGTAAATTCGGTGCCAATGAATCGAGCATGGGTGAAGATGTGGAAAAGGCAGGCAAGGAAATCGGAAATTGCGTGACTGAGAATGATTAGGGAATAGGTTTTGATGGATTCTGGGGTGTAGAACAGGACTGTGTAGATTAGAAGGCCGTTGATGAAGATTCCGAAGCAGGCGGTGAGGGTTTGAAAAAGCCAGAAGATCTCGGAGAGCATTCCGAGGGGCTGGAAATGGAGGGAGTTAGGGTAAGTAAGAAAACATTTATTTTCAAAGCTAGAATTCTGTTCTCTGAAAATCAGAAATTCTATAATAATGTTTCTTTGTCTGATTTTCAGCAAAAAATTATTTCCAGAAACCGGGAAATAATGAATTTCCTATGGTTAACCAAAGAAGCATGAGAAAATAACAAGAAAATTTTTAATAATCAAAAATTCGAAAAATTTGCATTCAACCGGAAAGTCTGACAAAAAAGGAAATATATATGAAAAAAATAATCAAGTTGTCCTTGTCCTTGTTCAAAAATAAATTAAGTTGACTAGAACTTTTCCGAGTGGTTTTACACCCACAATTGTCCAAGTTCGAAAAAAGTGCAAACAAATGAAAATAGTAATTTTGAATGGGGAAAATTTGTGATCATTCAAAAAAATTTTTGGTTAGAAAAAAAAGGTATTTTTGTTTATTGTGAAATTGTTTAGATCATAACGCATTGCTCATACTAGAGATTTCCGATTAATAGAACCACGCTGAACTTTATTTTCTGACGCTCGCTTGAAAGAAAGTTTACAGGTGATTTTCATCACTCCTCTATGTATTTTTTGTTTCATTCTCCAGTTCAAAAAAATGTCAATATCTCAAGATGAACTTCTTGAATTGAATATTGTTTTCGGATCATACCTGGTTTACCATACGATACTATTCTTGATCTATATTTTCAGTATTGTTATAATTTTTCCATTATTCGTACATTTCACAAGAATCAATCGCGAAAAAGATCGAGAATCGCCGATTTACCGAATAACAAATCATCTTTATAAAATCACTGTTATTTCACAATTTATGGTTATAATCATAATTTGTTCAATTTATACTTTTTATATTTTCAAAACAAATGATTTGTCCTCCAAAAAGTTTGATTCTTATACTTTTATACTTTCGATAACTTTACTATTTTTCGTCTATATTTTTAATCAAATAGTAGTTCCAATTCAAAATCTCCTAATATTCCTTTTGGCTCTTCAAAGATTCTCTTTATATTTTTTCCCATCTTCTGAAAAATACATAATTCCAAGTGAGAAACGATTCACTTCTACCATAAAATGGCTATATTTTATATCATTTTTCGGAAATTTGTGTTATTTTCTTATTGTGTTTGACTGCTTCTGGGATGGTGTTTCTAAACATAAAAGTATGTGCGGCTCGAAGTGGTCTACTATCAATTCAGTAGGTTCTTCTTATCAAATAACTTGAAACCAGAGATTTCAGGCAATTTATATAACTCTCGATCTTCTAGTCATGTTATCCTCAATTTTCTATATCTGTATTCTTATAAGTGTTCGAAAAATAACAAGCATGGCTTCAAGTTTCATGAAAAATCGCCCAGAAAAAGTTATCCTATATCAAACTTTGGTTTTAATAATTGTCAAATTACTGTGTCTTCCAATAATGTTTTTATTTTTCTCCTATTTTATCGATGATGCAGAAAATATTACTCTGAACACAATTGCAAATGTGGTGAGAAGCGCATCTCACATTTTCCCCCGTAAATATAACTTTTCAGCTCTATTATCCCCTGTTCTTCATTGATATGTTAACAACTCCACTTGTTTTTCAAATCACATATTTGTTTTGCAATAAAACAAATCTGGAAACGTTGCTGAAAATGAATTTCAGAAAAGCAAAAACTTGGAGGATTATTTGTTGTAGAGGATCTAATAAGGTAGATCAACATCATGTGATATATAACATGAGCAATACTTCTGCACTGTGTCAGAATTCTTGAAATACTTGTGAAATCGATGACAGGTGATTCTTATAGTTCATTTTAACTCCATAGTTATTTTAATTTCTGTTTTAGTTATGGAAGAAGAAGAAGATTCTTCCGAATTACTATTTGTAAATACCTATTCAGTTCCACCAGCTGTGACTGTTTACCTAATCATCCTTATTATTATCTATGTTTTAAGTATTTTTATCATTTTCCCATTATTCTTGCATTTTTCCAAAATCAATCGAGAGAAGGATAAAGAATCTTTAATTTTTCAAATCACAAATCATCTATACAACATTACAGTCATCTCACAATATATGATTCTAGTTACATTTACAGGGGTACTCACTTTATCTTTTATCATGATTCGTTCATTTTCTAGTACTTATGAACCTTATCCAAAGACGACTTCAGTGATGGCTATTACTTTAATAATCACTTATTTTTTTCATCAAGTAGTTATTCCAATTCAAAATCTTTTGATATTTCTTTTGGCGTTTCAAAGATTCCTTCTTTTTTTTTATCCGAATTCTGAAAAATATATAGTTCCCAGTGAAAAACGATTCAAATGTATGGTTCGATGGCTATATTCTATTGTAATTTTCGGAAATGCTGTATACCTGATCATGTTTTTAAAATGCACCTATAAGTATTTTGACAATAGGCATGTTTGTGATGAAGAATTTTTCGACAGTGTGAACAAATGCACTTCCGGCTGGGCTATGATTATTTTAGTGAGTTTAATAGTGTTCTATAACTTCTAGCTTAAAACTTCCAGGCGGTTTACACAGTTCTAGATTTTTTTGTAATATTTTCTTCAATATTTTATATTTGTATACTTATCAGTGTGAGAAAAATCACAAAACTATCTTCTACAGTTATGCGAAATCGTCCAGAAAAGGCGATCCTTTATCAAACCTTAGTTTTGGTAATCGTAAAAATCTTATGCTTCCCCTGTACAATTTATGCCTATGGAATATATAGAATGCTAGACAATCCCACAATTTATGCAGTTCTGAATGTTGTGAGTAGGCCTCGATCTTTTTCCATTCAAAATTTAAAATTCATGTCCAGATCCATTATCCTCTATTTGTTATTGATGTTTTAGCAACTCCAATAGTATTCCAAGTCACTTATCTGTTTTGCAACAAAACAAATCTAGAAAATCTGCTGAAAATGAATTTCAGAAAATTGAAAACTTGGAGAATTATTTGTTGCGGAGCTAACAAAGTGGAGCAACGTCAAGAAGTTTATAATAGCAGTACTTCAGCTGTTCAAGACAGCTGATTCATATAGTTCAGTTCTAGTTATTTTCAAATATGTACTACACTACGCGGGAATTGCGATTTGTAACTACTGTCCTTACACCATTGCTTATCTATATAATTGTTCTGATAATAATCTATATTTCAAGTATTTTCTTCATTTTTCCATTATTCGTGTATTTTTCAAAAAAGAATCGGGAGAAGGACAAAGAATCTTCGATTTTCCAAATCACAAATCATCTATACAAAATCACAGTTCTCTCACAATTTATTATTCTAATCACAGTTCTAGCATTACTCCTTTCTGCAAATGCATACAATATGTCAGGTTCATATGAAAATTATCCTCCACATTACTTAATCTTATTCATTTTTTGTCTCTTAACCGTAGCAATCAGTCATAGTTTTCATCAAATAGTTATTCCGATTGAAAATCTGCTCATATTCCTGTTGGCTTTTCAAAGATGTCTTCTTTATTTTCATCCAACTTCTGAAAAGTACATTGTTCTTGGAGAGAAGCGCTTTAATTGTATCATTAAATGGCTATACTGTATATCAATTACTGGAAACTTTTCCTATTTTTTCCTTATCATTCGTTGTACCTGGAATTTCTTTCCAGACACTGATGGGCTTTTTGAATGCACTTCAGAATGGTCGATAATTGTTTCAGTGAGCTTTGATTCGTGATACCGAGAAAATGTTTTTTTCAGACAATTTATATAAGCCTGGATGTTCTGGTAATGTTCTCCTCGATTTTTTACATTTGTATTCTGATAAGTGTGAGAAAAATCACAAAACTCTCCACTACAGTTATGAGAAATCGCCCAGAAAAAGTGATTCTCTATCAAACTTTGGTTTTGGTGCTCTTGAAATTGTTATGCTCTCCATTTTTGGGAATTTCAATTGCGGTGTTCAATAGAAATGGATTTACTATTCATCAAACATTGAATGGGGTAGCGTTGCGTATGCGTCGCGTTCGCCAACAACTTTGAATTACAGATCTACTTTCCTCTCCTCGCCATTGATATCATCACAACACCCATCGTATTTCAGATAACTTATCTGTTTTGCAATAAAACAAATCTGGAAAATTTGCTGAAAATGAATTTCAGAAAAGCGAAAACGTGGAGAATTGTTTGTTGCGGAGATTCGTCGAATAAAGTGGAGCAACGTCAAGAATTATATAATATGAGCAATACTTCAGTTGTTCAGAATTCTTGAAAAGGGGATAAAAGCATGAATAGTTTATTCAAAATAAATTCAATTTTTCAATTTCGAATAATTATCTTGAATCCTTATAATATTCCCATAATCCATTCGATATTTCTCATCCCACGGACCATTTTTCACATTAAAAGGGGGATCCAAATGTGATCTATCAAATTCAGGAAAAACCAGATAATCATAAAAGTATATTTGATGCAAATATTTCCGAATAATTTTGTCTGTTCTAACTTTTTCAACCGCGATTTTTCTAATTTGCGAAGAATGCGTTGAATGTTTAGTTTCAGATTGCAATAAATCATCAACAATTTTTGAGATATACTCTTTCGGAACATTTTTCCGTTTCAAAAGTTCACCAAACTTCGAAATTGGTTCCTTCCGCTCTTCGGAATCAGACCCAATAACCATAACGTGATAAACTTTTCGAAATTTGAAAAAATCACAGACCCACGAAGTTGGCGTTGAATGAATATCCAAAAATCGATAATTGTTAAACTTCGACACAAGTTCCTTTTCACCTCTCGAAATCTGCAAAAAACTTTCGTACATTCGTCGAACAACACATCGCATATCTTCCGATTTGCAACCATAACATTGTGGATGACGAATACATTTATCCAGATAGAATGAGATAAATCTATCGAATGGATCTCGAATGAAAACGAATCTTGTGTATTGCGAAGTGTTGTGGTATTTTTCGGGGAAACTTCCGAAACCATTTTTGTCGTGTGGATCACATGATCTAGAATTGACTGAAATTGAGGTCCAAGCCTAGACTCACCTTTCATCTTTCCAAGTCTCACCAAACGAATGATTTCCATTCAAAAAACCTTGCGGATCATACAACATACACATTGTATTCGTCGTCATTTGAGACATGGCTTTTCTATAATAACAAGCAGTCAGATTATACTGTGGAACTGTCAGATAATCCGCTGGAAACTTTCCCATATACGGTCGAATGAATTCGAGCAGCAGCTCATCATTCTCTTCTAGCTTTGCCAATTTTTGATGGTAGAAAAAACAGAACAATGTGCAAAGTAAGAGGGGAAACACCTTTTCCAGCATTGTTTTTCGTTCACTGAAATGAGAAAATGCAGGTATTTATGAGTAGTTTGGCAAATTTTCCCCAGCAGTATTCAAGTTCTGATTGAAATCGTGCAAGCGATACAATCTGTTTTTCAAAGAAGGAACTTGATTGCGATCAAAATGTATGCATTTTATTCTTGAAACACCTGATTTGAGAAAAGGTCTTCAATTTTTCGTGACGTAGCTATATTGTGCAGCTGATAAATTTCAGATTAGTTCAACTCACTGCAAAGTTTCGTTCCTCCTATGTCAGAACCTCTGGTTTATCTAGGCTCCTGGTTTATTTATATCTGTATAATAATCACAATCTATATTTTAAGTGTTGTTATAATTTTCCCATTATTCCTTCATTTCACACGAATCAATCGAAAAATCGATAAAAAATGTTCTGTTTTTCCAATCACTAATCATTTATACAAAATCACAGTTGTTTCACAAGTTATGACAACTATTACAACGATTTCCACGTTGATTGCAATGTTTTTGGAATTCACTGATTCTCCTATCGATTTTTCAACCAAGTTCGCATATATTTTATTATCGCTCACTTTTATTTTCCATCAGATAGTTATGCCAATTCAAAATATTCTGATATTTATCCTGGCTTACCGTAGTTTTCTCCTTCATTTTCTTCCGATTTCCCAAAAATACATAATTCCTATCGAAAAACGATTCAAAACTATAATACGATTCCTATATCATTTATCGATTTTGGGATATATTTCCTACATAATTTCAATGTGTTACTGCGCTGTGAGGATGTTTCCTGGAAATAATCAAAGATGTTTGACAGAAAGATCACTTGAGATATCTGTAAGTTCACAGATTTTCATAGAATCAACATATTTTCAGATATTTATTTAGGTAATCTATATAACCCTGGACTTTCTTGTAATATTCTCATCAATTTTTTATATAAGTATTCTTATAAGTGCCCGGAAAATCAGAAAATTCTCCTCAAGAGTTATGAGAAATCCGGAAAAAGCGGCACTCTATCAAACTTTGCTTTTAGCAATAGTTAAACTATCATGTGCTCCAGAAATATTGCATTTCTCTCCAGAGCAGGTTGAAAATAAGAAATCACTAAATGCGCAGATTTTCATGGTAAATCTATCTACGCGTTGCGTATGCGTGGCGGTTTTTCAATATTTTCTTAACAGATCTACTTTGCTCTAATTGTCATTGATGCCTTAACATCCTCAATAGCTTTTCAAATCGCATATTTATTTTGCAACAAGCCGAATCTGCAAATTTTGCTGAAAATGAATTTCAGAGAATTGAAAACTTGGAGGATTATTTGTTGTGGATACAAGTCTAGTGTTGAACCAGTTTTTTGAAAAATGAATTTTCTGGTTAGTGCTGATATCTAAAAATATTCGACATTTTCCACTTTCCAGGTGTTTTTTCTCCAAGTTTCTTTCTCATTTTCAAATCTCTCCTTCAAAATGAATATTTCGGAATATAGATCGGTCAACAGTTTTTTCATCTGGAAATCATTTGTCTTCTATCATTATGCAATAATTATTATCTACGCTTTAAGTGTTTTCATAATTTTTCCAATATTTGTTCATTTCACAAAAATCAATAGGGAAAAAGACGAGCAAGTTAGTATTTCTCAAAAAATTCTACCACAAAAAATGAAGATGTTTTCAGTCCTCAATTTATGCGATAACTCATCATTTGTATAAAATCACGGTGGTCTCACAATTTACAATAACTTTGACAGCAGTTTCAGTGATTATTGTTATGTTTTTCTTGGGGGAATTTGAGAAAATAGGTGGTATTGTTTATTTGGCATATTTTATTGTTGTTCTATCAATTGTGATACTTTATATTTTTAATCAAATAGTTGTTCCGATTCAAAATCTTCTTATATTTCTTCTGGCTCTTCAAAGATTCCTATTATATTTTTATCCAAATTCCGAAAAATATATAGTTCCAAGTGAAAAAAGGTTCAACGTCATTATGAAATGGCTATATTTTATATCAATTTCCGCAAGTATTTTCAATTTTATAACCAAAGCTCAATGCGTCTGGAGTTATTTATCTGCTTCTGAAAATATTAGTCAATGTTCGTATTCAATTATAGTTACTGTAAGCTATTTGATTTTCTAACAAATAGCTTATGTATTGATATTCCAGGTAATTTATATAACCCTGGACTTGCTGGTAATATTCTCATCAATTTTTTACATCTGCATTCTTATAAGTGTTCGAAAAATCACAAGTATGGCTTCAGAATTCATGAAAACCCGCCCAGAAAAAGCAATCCTCTATCAAACTTTAGTGTTGATAATTGTAAAACTGTTAAGCGTTCCATTGGTAATTATGGTATTCATATTCATTACAGTAGGATTTGAGCAAACTCTAACTACGAATACAGTTCTAGATGCGGTACGTTGCGTTGCGTGAGCGTCGCGGCTTTCAATTAGTTCCTTACAGATCTACTACCCCTTATTCCTCATTGATGTTTTCACAACTCCAATAGTATTCCAAATTACATATATTTTTTGCAATAAAACAAATCTGGAAACGTTGCTGAAAATGGATCTAGAAAAATTGAAAACTTGGGGAATTATATGTTGTGGAGCGAAATTTACGAATACTGTGGAGATTCAAAATGAAACAAGCACTAAAAGTTAGGAATTTCGTAGCGATTTTTATGTCTGGAAACTGAAAATTTTTGGGCACATTCACATCATTTGAAACATCCTATAAATTTCGAAATATTTATGCTCTTCAGACAGTTTTCAAAACATGAAAATCCTTTTGATACTTCTATTGATTCTGAACTCCTTCTCAGTTATTTTAACAACAAGCGATGATAGTTCTGGCTGTGAGTATTGGCTCGAAAAATGTAGCGATTGGCCACCTTACCCGGCCGCGACTTGTAAATCAAGAAATAAGAAACGCTTGGAGGAGTATCAGAAATGTTTGAAGGACCAAGGATTTGCTTGATTTTTTTCCAAATCAGTAAAATTTTAAATAAATTGTTCTATCAACTTTCTTCCTGTAGAGATTTTGAAAAGTAAAATTGAATCACACGGAATAACAACGAAAAACACGTAGACGCGACGCGTGACCGCAGCGCGTTCAACGACTCGTGTAAAGTCAAAACTACGGAATTATTCAGTTTGTTGTTTGATTAACATCAACCCTAGGCAGCTGATTTTTTCCAATTATGTGTTTTTGTCAGAAATCAGTGCCTTTTCGAAAAAAAAACAATGGTGGAAGTAGATTTGTATGCTCCAGAAAATTTGTTTCTTCTATTCTCTCTATATTATTACATATTCATCCTAGTTATTTTCTACCTTTCAAGTACTTTTATAATCTTCCCACTATTCATCCATATAACCCGAATAAATCGTGAAAAAGATCGAGAATGTGCTATTTTCCACATCACAAATCATCTATACCAAATCACAGTATTCTCACAATTTCTGATTCTAACAACTGGATTAGCACTCGTATTTTTGGTTTTGGTTTACTCCCCGATAAATGTGAATCAAACTGTGGAATATATAGCTTACTTATTCTTATTGATAACTGTGATTATAGTTTTTGTCTGTAATCAAGTAATAGTTCCGATTCAAAATCTCCTAATATTTCTTTTGGCTCTTCAAAGATTTCTCCTTTATTTCTGCCCAAATTCTGAAAAATACATAGTTCCCAGTGGAAAATCTTTCAAAGTTATCATAAGTTCTTTATATTTCGTATCGATTTTGGGAAATGTGCTATATTCCGGATATTTGGTGAAATGTTATTGGATGAACTTTTTTGCAGAGGATAAGACTTGTAGCTCATTCTGGTCAATTTTACATGCAGTGAGTTTAGGGGTCTACCACTTTTGTGAATTCGAAAAATTTCTGTGAAAATAAGTTGTCTTCAATGCAGGCAATTTGTATATTCTTGGATTTCCTGGTAATTTTCTCCTCAATTTTTTATATCTGCATTCTTATAAGTGTTCGGAAAATCACGAAACTTTCCTCTACAATCATGAAAAAACGCCCAGAAAAAGTTATCGAAGCTCAAACTTTTGTTCTGCTAATCGTAAAACTGTTATGCTTCCCATTGCTCATCTTTGCTTCTATGCTTCTCATTGAAAGGGACATAACTCTAGATGCAGTGATAAATGTGGTACGTTGCGTGTGCGTCGCGGTCACCTATGTAAATATTTTCTAATCAGATCTACTACCCATTATTCATCATTGATGTTCTAACAACTCCCATCGTATTTCAAATCACATATATTTTTTGCAACAAAACAAATCTGGAAATTTTGCTGAAAATGAATTTCAGAAAAGTGAGAACTTGGATGAGTTTATGTTGTGGAGTTAGATCAAATCGTGTTGAGCAAACTGAATTGTATAATATGAGCACAATGTCAGGGAGCACGGTGAACACATGAAATAAAACGTGCAAAATTGGAGCAGGTGATTTGAAAATCAAAAGTTTATTCTACAAAAATGGAACACTGGGAAATGGCTGAATTTAATCAATCAAATGGTCAGCCAAACATTTTTATTTTCGAATCCTTTTTCCTATATTATATTTCAATATTCATTATCTACATTTCCAGCATTTTCATATTTCCCCTATTCATTTATTTCACAAAAATTAATCATGAAAAAGATAAACAAGTTGCAATTTATCAAATCACAAATCATCTCTATAAAATCACAGTTATCTCATAATTCATGATACTGATCTCAACAGTTTCCATAATTTATTTGATTATTGGTCTTTCAGAAGTTAGAAGTGAGAGTTGGCAGATTTTACTGGTGTGGATCACAATTTCTATATTTTATTTTTCCCATCAAATAATCATTCCTGTTCAAAATCTTCTAATATCCCTTTTGGCTTTTCAAAGATTTCTTCTTTATTTTTTTCCAAGATCTGAAAAATATATAGTTCCAAGTGAAAAATTATTCAGAAAATTCATTCGATATTTGTATTCCACAATAATCATAATGAATTTTATATATTTCAATTTTCTGAATAAATGTCTTACGTCGGCTGAAAATGAGGATGCTTGCATGTGGTCAAAAATTCATTCTGAATTTTATATATTTTTGGATTTTCTTGTGATATTCTCAGCTATTTTTTACATCTGTATTCTGATAAGTGTTCGAAAAATCACAACACATTTCATGAAAACCCGCCCAGAAAAAGCGATCCTCTATCAAACTTTGGTTTTGATAATTGTAAAATTAATAAGTTTTCCATTGATTTTAGTTGCAACTCTTCAATTCGTTGAACCAACACCGAATTCAGTGAGTGCGTTGCGTGTGCGTCGCGGTCACCTGAATATTCTTTCAGATCTTCTATCCTCTATTATTCATTGATGTGTCACGTCGACCCAACTGCTGCAAAGGGTGTACGGTTTTTCGGTTTTTCCACGAAGTGCTACGACAATAAACATGGACTAGAATTAATGAAACTCCTTATTTCCACAGATTTGAACACACTGATCACGAATATGTAATCAGTTTTCAAAATGGTTCAGTAGTTTTTTTGCATTTTGATGCATTCTGTCTCACACCCATTGCAGCTGTTTGTTCTTTAGTGGGTCGACGTGGTGTTAACAACACCCATCGTATTTCAAATCACATATATTTTCTGCAATAAAACCAATCTGGAAATTTTGCTGAAAATGAATTTGAGAAAATTGAAAACTTTGAAAATTCTTTTCTGTGGAGGAGCATCTTCAAATGTTGTAAATAGCCATAGTGAAGTTTATAGTATGAGCAATATGTCAAGAAATGCTTTGAACTCAAAAAAGTTTGTTTTAACAAGAAAATGTTGTTTTGAGAAATTAGGTTGTGTTTGCAGCTGATTTTTCCTTCATTTTATATTAGTTCATTGCTAGCCGAAACTACATTTTATTAAATGTTTGGACTTGGATTTGATAAAAGTTTTATTCATGACACATTTGAAATTTATCACGGAATTCTCTTCATTTTCTATTTTTCAAGCATATTTCTAATTTTCCCAATATTTGTTCATTTTATAAGAATCAACCGGGAAAAAGATCGAAAAAGTTCGATTTATCAAATCACAAATCATCTGTATAAAATCACAGTTATCTCACAATTTATGATTTTGATTGTAGCGATTTTCATAGTCGCTAGTTTTCTAACATTTTCAAGCAGTATAGAATCTTCCTCAAATATTCTATTCGTGATTTCAATACTCACCATCTCAATTTTCTATGTTTTCAATCAAATCGTGATTCCTGTTCAAAATCTTCTAATATTCCTTTTGGCTTTTCAAAGATTCCTCCTTTATTTCTATCCAAGTTCTGAAAAATATATAGTTCCCAGTGAAAAACAATTTAAATTTATAATTCGATGGTTATATTTCATATCAATCTTCGGAAATATTTTATATATTGGTTTCTTGGCCAATTGTTTATTCAATTATGCTTACAATTATGCTAAAGATTCTGATTGTCAAACCAGATGGTCTATCATAAGTTCGGCGATTTATGTGATTCTGGATGCTCTAGTCATGATCTCATCTGTTTTCTATATTTGTATTCTCATAAGTGTTCGGAAAATTGCAAACATGTCTTCAAGTTTTATGAAAACTCGCACAGAAAAAGCAATCCTCTATCAAACTTTAGTTTTATTATTTGTGAAACTATTATGTTTCCCAATGTTAATTTTAACATTTATGTTCATTTTCGCTTACAGTGTAACATTGAATACTGTAATGAATGCGGTGCGTACGCGTCGCGGTTACTGATTCTATGTATTGATTCGATTTCAGATCTACTACCCCTTGTTCTTCATTGATGTTTTAACAACACCCATCGTATTTCAAATCACATATATTTTTTGCAATAAAACAAATCTGGAAATTTTGCTGAAAATGGATTTCAGAAAAGCGAAAACTTGGAGAATTGTTTGCTGTGGAGCTAGATCTAATCGTGTTGAACAAACTGAATTGTATAATATGAGCAATATAACAAGATATGCTTATTAATAAAGTTTATTTTTTCTGTGATTTGGCCACAAAATCATAATTTTTCGCTGTTTCAAAAAATATTCACGTCATATTTCATTTTCTCGGAATAAACTTAGTCCATATGAAAAAAGCAGATGTTTTCATGAGCTCAGCAATTTTCATTTTAAACTCCTAATATTCTGAAATCATGTTAGACTATCAATATTTCTTCGAAGGAATGTCAATCTATGTGATTCTTCTATTAACTATCTACATTCTAAGTGCATTCATAATCTTCCCACTTTTCGTTCATTTCACAAAAATCAATCGTGAAAAAGACGAAAAAGTTCCAATATATCAAATCACAAATCATTTATACAAAATCACATTCATCTCACAATTCATTATTTTTGTGTCAGCTATAAGTATAGCTACAATATTTCTAGGTTCATCAGCAACTGACAATGAGAATGATGAAAAAAAGTTTTTTTTATTTTTTACAATTGGAGGAATCGCATTTGCTGTGGTTTATATTTTCAATCAAATAGTTGTTCCGATTCAAAATCTCCTCATATTCCTGTTGGCTTTTCAAAGATTCCTCCTTTATTTTTATCCAAGATCTGAAAAATATATAGTCCCTTCTGAAAAACGGTTCAGCTGTATTATTCGTTGGATATATTTTATTTGGATTCTCGGATTTATTCTCTATATTGCTCTGGTGTCAAAATGCATTTCTGCCTATATTTTCACCCATGTTTATACCTGCCCTAGAATTTACTCAACAATAAATTCGGCGATTTATGTAACCCTAGACTTTCTTGTCATATTCTCATCACTTTTTTATATAAGTATACTTATAAGTGTGAGAAAAATCACAAGTATGTCTACTAGTGTTATGAGAACTCGTCCGGAGAAAGCTATCATCTATCAAACTCTGATTTTAATTATTGTTAAACTTTTATGTTTACCATTTGTTCTTATTGAAATTGATTTTCTCTTGATTAGTGACATCAATACAAACAGCATTATGAATGTGGTAAGCGATGCGTTGCGTATGCGTCGCGGTTACTGAATATTTTTTTTAGATGTACTACCCATTCTTCATCATTGATATTCTAACAACACCCATCGTATTTCAAATCACATATTTGTTTTGCAATAAAACAAATCTGGAAGTTTTGCTGAAAATGAATTTCAGAAAATTGAAAACTTGGAGTATTGTTTGTTGTGGATACACTTCTTCAAATATTGTGAATTATCAAATTTCTAATATTTCTGGAAGTATATCGAATTCCTGAGTTTTTTGTAACTCAAAATTTCCGATTTTCCCAGCCTAGTAAATGACGTTGAAACACTTGGCAGGTGGTTTATTGTCGCCTCAGTGTTTATTTATTTATTTTTTTTTCAATATTCGAAAACAACAAAAACATGACAGTGAACCATTATATCGTTGAATCAATCATTGTTTATTGTACAGTACTAATTAGTATCTATATTTTAAGTGTTTTCATAATCTTCCCATTATTCGTTCATTTCACAAAAATGAATCATGAAAAGGATAAACAAGTTCCAATTTATCCAATCACAAATCATTTATATCAAATCACAGTTGTTTCGCAATTCATGATTTTTGTCTTGACAATAAGCTTCATTACTTTTCAACTTTTTAATCCAGAATTTGGCAAAGATCTGAATGATCTGGGAACAGTGTTCTATTTAGCAACTATCACATTTTGCATAGTTTATATCTTCAATCAAATAATTGTCCCCATTCAAAATCTTCTAATATTCCTGTTGGCGTTGCAAAGATTCCTCTTGTATTTTTATCCAAATTCTGAAAAATATATAGTTCCCAGTGAAAAATCTTTCAAATGTATTATTCGATGGCTATATTTCATCTCAATTTTCGGATTTATTTTGTATTTTTCTTTCGCGGCAAGTTGCGCCTGGGATTGTATTAATAGTACATGTTCTTGCCCCACGATCTACTCAACGATTAATTCAGGAATCTATCTCAGTCTCGATCTTCTAGTCATGATCTCATCTGTTTTCTATATCTGTATTCTAATAAGTGTGAGGAAAATCACAAGTATGGCTTCAGAATTTATGAAAACCCGCCCAGAAAAAGTTATCATTTATCAAACATTAGTTTTGATAATCGTGAAACTCTTATGTTTTCCACTTTTATATGTAGCTTTCAAGTTTCTATTTCTTGTTGGTATCAATTTGAACTCCCTTATGAATACGGTAAGTGAAGTTGTTTCCAAGCGTTGCGTATGCGTCGCGGTTACTGAACATTTTCCAGTTTTACTACCCCTTGTTCTTCATAGATTTTCTAACAACACCCATCGTATTTCAAATCACATATATTTTTTGCAATAAGACGAATCTGGAAATTTTGCTGAAAATGAATTTTCGAAAATTGAAAACTTGGATGAATGTATGTTGTGGATACAAATTCTCAAATATTGTGGATACTGAAATATACAGCACCACAAGAGTTATGAATTCTTGAAATAGTGGTTTTTTCTGATGTATGGGATAATTTCTGATTCTTGAATACCACTGAAACGTCTTGTTTAGCATGTGATTTTGAAATCAAGCCAGCGTACTTTTGCAGGTGAAATTACATGCTTGCTGACAAGTTTCAATAATCAAACCCATTTGTAATAACTTCTGATATTAGAGGCTATAAAATATGAAATGTTCCAAAGTGTTTTGTAGTTTGACTATGTAAACAAATTTGAAGAAAACTTGTTTTTCCTATGAACTTTTTGTGAAAAAAAATAAAAATATTTATTATCTTCATGTATTTACAGAAATATACACTTCTAGCCTATATAAAATTCTAGAAAAAATCTATTCACTTCAAGACCCGATACGATACACTGGCACTTCTTGATCTACCATGATGTTCCTTTAATTTTTTCTCGATTTTTTCTTTGAGCGATGTTTTTTGCGAAAATTGTCCTGGCGCTGATTTTCGCCGCGGATCTTTGGAGAATTTTTGAGAATCTTCGGAGTGTCGTAAAATCGGAACCTCGTCCTGTAGAAATTTAAAATTTCGAATGTTTTTTTTGTAAGAAGTTAGGCTAACTCACCACTCCAACTTGTATCAGCACAGAATGTCTTCTGGGTGCTGGAATTTCAGATTTTTCCAATTTTGGTTTCTTGGAAAAATCTGGTTTTCGGTGAATTTCGTGAAATTCAGAAATGATTTCAGCAAATAAATAGGGAAATTTCATTTTACTTGAAAAGTTTCAAGGTTTTCTTGTTGATGTAGAAAAAAGAGAGAATTACTAGGTTTTTATAGATGGGAAAAAGGGGCGGAGCCTATTTTTTGGAACTTGGCCAGAAAATCAGAAGAGAAAAAGGGGAGAGATGAACTTTTTGGCTGAAAATCTAAAATTTTTCTGAAATCCTCTTCTGCCACGTGGATTCTATTCCGTCAATTAATGTCTTGCAACTTTGATCTCTGAATTTTCAACTTTAAATTTTTCTGACATCTTTAAAAAACAACTAATTAATTAATTATATTTTCCTCAAGTTCAAACCACCAAGAAATCAGAATTTTTTTTAAATATGTGATTTTTCCCGAATTCGTCACCAGTATTTTGTAGTTTACATAAATAGATAAATAAACACAAATTAGTAAAGGTGCTAATTTGAAATACACAAAAATCATCATTTTTTGCGGAGGAAAAGAGGAAATTGTTCAATTTCCTAATGAATTTGTAGTCTAGTTGATCTCTGAAGACAAACATCACTGAAAACTGTACTATACAAGGTAGTACGAATTCTGCAAATTCAAAAAACGTTCAATTTTGAGAGCAGATAATTAGGGGTTTCTAAAGTTTTCAAAAATCAAAAGAATGAAATTAATATTAGGTTGTATCGATAAAATTTCATTCATTCCGCAACGTGTTCATGATTATCATTATTTGTATTACGTTCATCCATCTCGATCCGTTCTTCTTCATTTTTCGCCTCTAATTCCGGTTCTTGAACAACACCAACTTTATTGGTTTTCATATTCAGCAATGCCTTATTTCTGTGAGAAAATAGAAACATTGATGGTATTGCATACACGAAAATCGATACAGGCTTACAAATAAGAAGATGCGACAAAAAATCAAAGGGAACAAAAATATTGAGACCATAGAAACAATGAACAAAAAGGCAGAAAAGACGGATCTGTATAGGGTCGGTGAGAGTGTTTAATATAAAAATAGTAAGTAAAACTCACAAAGCCATAGGCAAAAATCGAAAAATATTGAAAAACATTGAAGATTTCTTTGGATTTCTCAAATGCGACACTCTTTCCAAGTTTTTTCAATATATAACGGAATCCTAATAAATAGAAAAATAGAAGAGGGATGATTGCAGTGCTAAAAATTTCGAAAATACGATTCCTGCCCACTAATTGAATGTTCCAAGCAAATGCTTTTTCACATGTTTCATTCGAAGTAAACATCTAAAAAATGTTTTCGAAAATCATGAACAATTTGAAACAAACCTAACCATATGAAACTCGCAACGAAAGGGTGGACCACCAAATATGATTGCACAATTTACAGCAAATTCACCGTAAAACCATATTGTGAAAATTAAAACACCAAATATTGCCAGCAATTGAACTTTGTTTTTGGATAAAAATGCATTTTGAATTCGAGACATTTTGTAGAAAAAACGAATATTGACCTTTATAAATATCAACAATGACATTAAAATAGGTAAATTTCGGGCAACATTCATCTCGATATATATCTCAATAGTACTCGTTGGAATGAGAATATAAAATATATCTATCACATTGGTTATTCCTATTAAATATACAATATAGATGAGAATTTGCCCGAATTCATAGAACTGAACTGCAGACCAACATAGCAACGAAAGTAACCAGAATACTTTATTTATTTGCCATTCGTGTTCCTTTGAAATTTTCTTTTGGTTCACGAATCGATTATGCAAACGTACCACTACCAAAACGTGTTTTTGTTGATACAGTTTCACAGTATATACGAAAAATATCAGTGTTGTTAATAACAAATGAAGAATATTCGGTAGATATTCTACAGGGTTCGGGAGTCCGGAATCCAAATTGTTAACTTCGAGAGATGTATTCGATATCTCCATCTCTGCTAAACTGAAAATTGTGAATTTCAATTCTAGATATAGTTGGACATCGGCTAAATGATATTTTCATGTTTTTTTTCAGTAAGAGTGTTGAAATATTGGGTTCTAATGTTATTCATATGATAGAATGGTCTAAGACGAACAGAATGATATGAAATTTGGTGATTTTACGTTATCCATAAGTGATTTAGCGACGTTTAGTCGATCGCCTAGGCTTATCGACGCTAAATCACTTATGGATAACGTAAACTCATCAAAATTTATATCATTCTGTTCGTCTTAGACTATTCTATCATATGAATAACATTAAAACCCAATTCTACTCACTTGCTTAACAAACATGAAAATGTCATTTAGCCGAGCTACCCAAGAATTAGTTGGATATCGGCTAAATGATATTTTCATGTTTTTTTTTAACTATGTGAGTTGAAATGTTATTCATATGATAGAATGGTCTAAGACGAACAGAATGATTAGAATTTTGGTGACTTTACGTTATCCATAAGTGATTTAGCGAGCTTCTCGACTAAATATCGACTAAACGTCGCTAAATCACTTACGGATAAGGTAAAGTTGTTTCCAGTGACAAGAAAAGGTGCGCTAAAGGGGCATCGAACTTAGGTCAAAACGATGACTTATCCACTCGGACATGCTTTGAGATTGGCTAATTGAAATGATTCGACAAACGAAAGTTCATTCATAGCCCTACAATTATTTCTCAAACTTTCTTCGAATTAATTATATAGACACATTCTACGTTTGCTCTTTACGCGAATAGCATAAAATGAATGATACAAGCGATCAAGATATTATTGTTGAATACTTTGGACACTATCCATACAGGATAAGTATGGCATTTGTAATACCATACTCTATGCTTTTCTATACAGCACCAAACGATGAAAAACAAACAATAATTTATCCATTACAGAAGCAGTGTTTCTATTCGCTGACTTTGTATACTTTATCTTTAGTTGCTGCAATTCTACTTGGTCTATCTTATTCTAAAAACACGAATTATTCCTACCTTTTGTGGCTCATTATTGTAATGTAAGGGGGCGCTCAGAAAATGTGTGTAAGATGTCTTTTTCAGAGTATCTATTTCATCTTTGGTCAACCAGGTTATGGGAGACTCGGGAATATTCTTCATTTTTCTCATCGCACTTCAAAGAATCATTGTGATTCTCAATATTTCTCCACTACAACGATTTGTTGAAGGAAAATTTCTAAAGTTTCTTATATTCCTGGTTTATATCATAAGCGTCACACGAAACGTCATATTCACCACAACTTGCACTTTCTTATTTCACAATGATCAGTGCCGTGAATATAAGGCGAGGGTAGTCTCAAAAATAGTGAACTTTTGCATAAAACCAGATCTCGTCACCACGACAGAAAAAAATCATCATGCCTATTTTTTATTTGTTTAGCGGCGGCACATTTTCTTTTTATTGTGTTTTATTTTCTCAAAAAAAAACTGTTGTTTCAAATGTATTTTTGTTTCGTTTTGTATTCACATTAACTTTATTATTATGAAAAATATAGTTTATTTTAATTCACATTGAGAAAATTATACTTTATTTCGATTTCTGCACAACGAGCGGTTTCGGTAAGTTTGTTGCGATGTATCCGTGTCGCTCCAAATATTGTGTAACGGTTTCAGATGTGGTAGTTGTTACAAATAATGGATAAGCAGGCTTGTCGCGCAATTGTTTGATAGTGTCTTCGAAATCTGTAACTTTTAATGTTAATTTGTTGACTCGCAAATTGGAAAAGTGAACCTAGAATTCGGAAACTTCAATTTGTTTTTTTTGAATTTTTTTGTCGAAAAAATTTTGTTGAAAATCGAAAAATCGAAGCATTTTGAGGCATGATGCCTCGATCACGCAAAAAATAAAATTTACGTGACTTTATTTTTCAAATTTTTTCGGGGAAATTTTGAAATTTTTTCAGAAAATTTATTTTTTTTTAGTTTCATTCTAAATTTCAAGAAATAATCTACAGTAATCCACAGTATGAAACTGGAAAATTAAATCTACAGTAAGAATTTGAAGAATTAATCTACAGTAAGAATCTGAAAAATTAAATCTACAGTATAACTTGAGAAATTGGATCTACAGTATGAAACTTGAAAATTAAATCTACAGTAATTTACTTAAAATAATTAAAAATTAGGAAACTTCAATTTGTTTTTTTGAATTTTTTTGTCGAAAAAAATTTGTTGAAAATCGAAAAATCGAAGCATTTTGAGGCATGATGCCTCGATCACGCAAAAAATAAAATTTACGTGACTTTATTTTTCAATTTTTTTCGGAGAAATTTTGAAATTTTTTCAGAAAATTTATTTTTTTTTAGTTTCATTCAAAATTTCAAGAAATAATCTACAGTAATCTACAGTATGAAACTGGAAAATTAAATCTACAGTAAGAATTTGAAGAATTAATCTACAGTAAGAATCTGAAAAATTAAATCTACAGTATAACTTGAGAAATTGGATCTACAGTATGAAACTGGAAAATTGAATCTACAGTAATTTACTTAAAATAATTAAAAATTAGGAAACTTCAATTTGTTTTTTTGAATTTTGTTTTTTTTCAGAAATTTCTGTTGAAAATCGAAAAATCGAAGCATTTTGAGGCATGATGCCTCGATCACGCAAAAAATAAAATTTACGTGACTTTATTTTTCAATTTTTTCGGAGAAATTTTGAAATTTTTTTCAGAAAATTTATTTTTTTTTAGTTTCATTCTAAATTTCAAGAAATAATCTACAGTAATCCACAGCATGAAACTTGAAAATTAAATCTACAGTAATTTACTTAAAATAAGACTTTTTTTTCATTTTCTATAAAAAGTTACCTTCTGATTTATAATTTTTCAAGTGATTCAGAATCGATTGCTGGTGACTATGTTTGAAAAATCCTTGTCCTGATTTGAAGAGCCTTCTCAAAGATTTTTCAGTTTCGACAAGTTCAGGGATGACAATTGGGGCAACGAATTGTGTGACAATATTTTGATCCTAAAAAGTATTTTTTTACTAGAAAAATATAAATCAAACTTACTTTGAATAGAGGAATTTGGTCGGAATTATTACATAATTTTTCAAATGCTTCAGTGGTTGCATATTCTGCAACGCATTGCATTATTACGTCTGAAAAAATATTTCATAATTTTAATGGATAATTTTTGGTTCAAAAATTACTTTTATCGTCTTTGAAAAGATGCAGCTGATGGTGTGTTCCACGATTAAGAATATGGACAACATTCGATTTCAACCCACTCATGTCATACACATTATATACGTTATTGACTTCTCTGGTTGATTTAATTTTCTTCAGCTCGTTGTCATAATCTGAAAACATCTATTTTTGTGTTTTATTATTCGTTACATACCCGTTGTCGAAAATATGGTTTTGGTTGATAAATGTTGATTCATCACGCCGAAATATCCGTCGAGTTCATTGTGAGAATGACCGACGAGATTGTTCACCAATGTAACCTGAATTTAATTTCGAAAATAATCTCACTATTAGTAACCAAGTCACCGATTTCAAATTCGGAACTGATTGCAACAAATATCCATAACCAGCTAACAATTCGTCTGACTTGTTCGGGCTTGCGTTGTCAGCAATAATGAACAATTTTGTTGGCATTTTATCCAGCTGAAATTCAAGGACTCGGTTTAAACCATCTCTGTATCCCACCTTAACCAAAAAATCAAGAACAAGTGAAAAATAATAAGATGATCCTTTTTTATACCGATCGCACAAGTTCATATAACAAGATGTTTGAAACTTCGTTGATCCTAGAAAAAACAATTATTTCAATAAAAAAATCGAACGGGTTTACCATTAGTTGGAACTTGTACACCTGTCATTGTGTAAGAAATTCGGTTGGCATCTACAATTGACTTGGGCTTGTAAGCCAATATTGGAATTTTTGTAGCTTTGTTTGATGCACCGTCAATTCGTATAACGAGTATTCCATTATTTTCTCGACATCTATCATCCAAAATGCCAAAAACAGAGCGCGTTTGTCTGGAAAAAAATTTTTTCATAGGAACTATTCGACAATTTTAATTCTTACCGCATTTCTTCCGAATGCTTAAGCTTTTGCTCATTGATTTCTTTCAATTTAGCTGGATCCGCCGCATTCATTCTCATATCTTCCAGTCCACTGCAGTTTTGGCATTTGTTCATAGTTAATATCTGAAAAAATGTGGCTTCAGAATCAAATTAATTTCAGACCAACCTTTGTCCTATGTATTTTTTCCGCCATCGTCTGTTCCAAAATTTTCGTGTCGATTTTCGTTGGACCAAATAGATCTCTGAAAAAAAACTTCTAAAAATTATTTTTGATGTCAGAATATACTTGTTTAGAACGCCTCTGTTGAGGAACCTTCCTCCTATCGGGTTTGATTGAGAATTTCTCAGCAAGTTCTGAACAGATGTTACAATATTGGCGACCCCACGCTTAGTTGGCATATTCAAGCGTTTTCTTTTTGAAGGTGGTCCATCTTCCGGTTGAGAATTTGCCATTATGACGATGCTAAACGATGGTTTTTTTTTTCACATCATTTCCTTTTCTATCAATCTACAGTATGAATTTGGAAAATTCAATTTGGAAAATTCAATTTGGAAGGAATATTTCTAGAGAAAAATTTAGTTGAAATTAACATTTTCTGACATCCTGAATTATGAAAAATGAATATTTCAACAATTTTCGGGGATTTCTAAGATGTTTGTCAAAACAATCTTCAATTTTTTATTCAAAACTTCAATTTTTCCGGGAATTTTCGAGATATTTTTGAAAAATTATTTGTTCTCAGGGAAATTTCAAAAATAATAATCTACAGTAATCTACAGTACGAATCTGGTAATTGAATCTACAGTAACCAATAGTATCCACTTGAAAAAATAATGTAGAGTTATCTAAAATAGGAATTTAAAAATAAATCTACAGTAATCTACAGTTGAAAAATGAATTTTTCCAAAAATTGATCCAAATTTTTTGGATCCCATTCAGAAAGTTTCTCAAAACTCTGGACCTGGTCCCATTTTTAATGGTGCTTTTTGTAGCTTTTCGGATGACATCCAGTAATCTACAGTAAGGTTTTAGAACATTTAAAAAATCCAAGCGAATGTCGGTTGACTCACGTTTTTTCAGGGAGTCCAATTATTTCGGATAACAAATGGAGACAAAAATATTGGCAACCAAATTTTATTTGAATTTCGATACCGTTTTCGTTCCGAACGCAAGACTTTGACATGAATAAATTGACTACCTAAATTTTCTATTTAACCAAAACAAACATGATTATAATTACCGAAGACATAAGAGCTGCACTTTTCCGTTGGCAAAGAATAAACGATGCGCGGCACATTATGATACTTGCTCTGAGAGAAAAAATTAGACAAACAATTTTGATTTGAAAACTTGCTGTGTGATGAAAAGGTTGCAATTATCTTGACAGCATTGTGATGTTATAATTTCAGATGCTGTTTTCCGACGCGATGGACAAATGTTAGAATAATATGATTTTTCAGATTCGATGATATTTTCCCAGGATTGCTAAAACATGAAATTACTTCCAATTTTTATTTCTTCCAACCTGATTCATTTCGTCTTTCATGAAGTTTTCCATTTTTTGTCAAAAATTAATGAAAAATAATTTTTAAACAGAAAATGACAACTAAACACGTCATGCCAACAAAAAAAAACGTAAGATTTCTCATTTCTTTTTTAATTTTCGAAAAATACAAAAACCAAATGCCGTTCGAAAAAGTATGTTTTTTTTTCCTTGAGCAAAGGCTAATTTTGAATTTTCACAGTTTACCGAATGCAACAGGACTATTTGGGCTCCCAAAAACGCAATTATCAAATCCGAATTGATAAAGAAATACCCGGAATCTTCAGTAATTTTCACAAATGGAGTTTTCTTTGAAAATCATCAAGAAGAAGAGGTTGGTTCCCATCTCAAAAATAGCTCCAATTTTCAATAAGCAATTTCAGATTTTAAAAACCGGAGTAGGCAACATTTTCGGTTTGCGGTTTGTGGAGCAATTACAATTATATCGCTGTGATTTGACCGGAAAAGATTTGAATGTGGAGATCGTGGAAATTGACACATTTGTCCATTTAGAATCTGGAGCTCAAGTGAGTTTGGGAGCGACTAGGATTCAGAATTTTGTTTAAGGCCATAGAACGGGTGTTTGCCCTTTACAGAACATAAAAAATTCAAAGCCCACAACGTATTGAATAAATTAATAATAAAAAAATAAACACAACTCGGCCAAGCCGTGGCTAGCCATAGTAAATTTTTTGAAAAATCTAAATTTCAGTTTTAAGAGGTCAAAAATTGAAAAATCACAATTTTTAGAGGACAAAAACTGAAAAATTCACAATTTTTATACTGTAAAAAATTAGCGTACAATTTGTTATTCTGGAAACCACGATTTTGGCCGAGGTGTGTTAAATATACAAAAATAAACAAAAAAATTCCAGATAACTAAAGGCACAACAACGCAATTTATCGACAACAATTTTTTGTTTTTGGAATCGTTTCAAAAAAAAAATCAATATTTTTTCAATGATTTGGTTCATCTCGATGAAGGATCGCTGGAAAAAGAAGTTCCCATGGAAAATTTAGAACTCGAAAATACTTTTGAAACTCTTAAAAGTACATCAAATTCACCAGCGAGGGATTCATTGTCGGATGACTTGGTTTTGATGGATTTCGAAACAGAAAAATCGGCCTCTGATAACGAACATCAGTTATCTGAATTTAATGCAATCAGAACAAGCGCTTCTACAGTTTCAACAACATCAACATTACCAGGAAGTTTTGCGTTGAAAAATGATGAGGAAGCAACCAAATCAAAAATGTCAAAGAATCTCAAAAGAAGCCAAGTTTCAAACCAAAAAAATATTTCAAAAAAACAAAAAAAAAATGAAAATACAGAACAAGAAACTTCATTTGATTCGGATAATTCACTTGATGACTCAAACCCATCACCAAATTCAAGTGGCAACATTCGAAAAAAACTAGGTGTTCAAATAAATGTTGTAAAAAAGCAGAAGAAACCACGAAGAAAACAAGTCGATAAAACATTTGGCGAGAAGTTACGATTTGAAGAGGCGAAAAAGACGATGAACATAATGTGTCACTTGAAGATTCGAGCCAATTCAACTGAAATGGTAAAATAAACTAACGAGCTGTATTACTATAATATTTTTAAGGTCGATGTTGATAAGATAGAATTCAGTGCCGTTTTGAGAGAGGATGTGACTGATGAAGTTGAAAACAATGTTTTTGGTTACAAAAACGACCAGTAAGATAATCTGATTTTGGTATTTAAAAAAATGTGTTTTTTCAGTACTGGAAAGTATATCATTTTGTCGGGACAAACAAAAATCGAGCAACTGTGTGTCAAAAATGGAAAAACTTCGGTCACTATCTTCAATGTAGATGAAGCCAATGCAAATTTGGTAGCAATTATTCGATCAATGACCGTTAGAGAATTCTCAACCGCGGAAAAGGTGCATAAAATCATAGTTGTCTATTGTAACCAAAACATTTTATTACAGATGAATCATGTTCGTTTCATTTTCGCATCGGCTAATTTTCGGTTTGATTGGTTGCGCAAATTGACATGTAACAAGTTAAAAGATCTGTTTTTCATGTTTAATAGAGTGAGTTTTTATACAAATTCAATTAAATTCCGAAAATAATTTGAATTCTTACTGTAGATTTAATTTTCCAGTTTCATACTGTAGATTACTGTAGATTATTTCTTGAAATTTAGAATGAAACTAAAAAAAAATAAATTTTCTGAAAAAATTTCAAAATTTCTCCGAAAAAAATTGAAAAATAAAGTCACGTAAATTTTATTTTTTGCGTGATCGAGGCATCATGCCTCAAAATGCTTCGATTTTTCGATTTTCAACAGAAATTTCTGAAAAAAAACAAAATTCAAAAAAACAAATTGAAGTTTCCTAATTTTTAATTATTTTAAGTAAATTACTGTAGATTCAATTTTCCAGTTTCATACTGTAGATCCAATTTCTCAAGTTATACTGTAGATTTAATTTTTCAGATTCTTACTGTAGATTAATTCTTCAAATTCTTACTGTAGATTCAATTTTCCAGTTTCCTACTGTAGATTACTGTAGATTATTTCTTGAAATTTAGAATGAAACTAAAAAAAAATAAATTTTCTGAAAAAATTTCAAAATTTCTCCGAAAAAATTGAAAAATAAAGTCACGTAAATTTTATTTTTTGCGTGATCGAGGCATCATGCCTCAAAATGCTTCGATTTTTCGATTTTCAACAGAAATTTCTGAAAAAAAACAAAAATTTTCCAAAATACCGAATGTAGATTCGGAGTGTACAATAATTCCATGAAATATTAAACAATCAAATTCCTTTTTTTGAAAATATCTTCCGACGTTTTTCTTTTTACAGGAATTCTACCCGCCCTGGCTTATTCGCATTTCGGTGTTGGATGAAAACGTTTTTTCTATTCTTAAAAGCGTTATGCGGAAATTTTCGAAAAATGGTGTAACATTGGCTCGAAAAATTCCGGGAATTTACGAAACGAACCGCTCAAAACTTCTTGAAGTTTTACTGAATTTTGACGCCAACCCAACATCAAGAATTACTGATTTAGTGGATGTAAGTATTTTTCAAACTAATGTTTTAAAGTTTTTTACAATCACATTGTAATTTTTCAGGAGATCAGAAATTTGGAGGTAAACAACGCCACTGTTTTATTGAGAAAAAATACCCACGCCCTGTCGTTGAAAAATTTTTGGAAAATGCCAATGATCCACAGTTAACCAAATTTTGCAGGTGAGGAAAACATAAAAACGATAGTATTGTAATTTTTCAGAAATGTGAAAGGTGCAAAAACCTATGACGGAATAGTGGAAGAATATGAATCATTCAAAAATTCAGGTTTTGGTATTAGATTCTGCGATGACATAGAGCCCTCAGAAGTTGGATTTTTGAATGGAATGGATTTGGTGAGAAAATTAGAAGTTTACAAATAACCCATGCGAAATTTTATTTCAGGGTGGCTTAGATGACTGGATTTCATACGAACAACAATGTCAGATTTTATTTTTGGTGAACGATGAGAGCGAAGTTTGTTCACTGAAAAAGTTTGTTTTGCTCAAAGAACCAGTAATTATCAACCAAACAAGTGAGTAGAAGATGAAAAATTAATGCCCAGTCTCAAACCCACGTATCTCTCCTAACGAATACATGTTTTCAGCAATGAAACTTCTACCAATTTCCATTCGAGTTTATGAGAATGGAGAAATCGTTGACGACGAAGATCAAATTACTGAAATAATTCTTCGAAAATCGAAAATTTCTACAGACCTTTTCGAATTAAAAGAATTTGTCGAATTGATCCCAAAGTTCGGAAGAACGTGTGTTATAAACGAATGTGGTGAGTATCAATTCCAAAAATTGGATTTTAATACGTTATTTTCAGAACTGGGAATGAATATCTTGCGAAAAATCGACATAGGAGAGGCGCATTCTTCCAACAAAATTTTCAACAAACTTGGAAACTTCATAAAATAACTTTCACTAGTATATTCTATTTTTATTTTTATTTCGCGGTATCATTTTCCATCATTATTATTTTTATCCTTTTTTACTGAATAAAAACTCGATGAAACAATTTCAGAATACAAAATAAAAATAAGTTTAAAAACAAGAAAAAAACGTATGTAAAACAACAAATAATCATTGTAAATTTTCATAACGTGGAATTAGTTCTTCCCTCTTCGCAATAATTAATTTTATATCATGGAAATTTCGTGTATCCTCTTTTTTATGTTTTTTTTTTCTGGTTTTATGCAAAAGTTCACTATTTTTGAGACTACCCTCGCCTTATATGTGATTTTTGACAAATTCAATGAATGTGAGAAACCGCTGCTATTTCTTAAATTGGTTGCTTATTTCAATTTTTCAATTCCATTCATCTCATTATTATTTCATATAATTATTCTTTATTCGATTCGAAAAAACACGAATATTCTATCAGAAACGAAAAAAAAGTCGGAAATGATTATAATTCGTCAAAACGTCCCATGCTTTATCTTTTTTGCTGTTCGAACAATTATTGTATTTTTGATACCGGATCGATATGATTATTTGAAGACACTTTTGATTTGTATCTACAGAAATGATATTGTTTTTATTATTCCATTCACTTATACTATTACCAATTTTCAACGAATAAAAGAAATCTTCTGTCGGAAATCAAGAATTGGCGTTTTGGTATCTACAACCGATGGTAGAGCCAATGCAACTTGAACTTTTTGTGAAAATAAAACTTTTTTATTATCAGAATCTTCATGTATTTACAGAAATATACACTTCTAGCCTACAAAATTCTAATCTATTCACTTCAAGACCCGATACGATACACTGGCACTTCTTGATCTACCATGTTCCTTTAATCTCTTCTCGATTTTTTCTTTGAGCGATGTTTTTTGCGAAAATTGTCCTGGCGCTGATTTTCGCCGCGGATCTTTGGAGAATTTTTGAGAATCTTCGGAGTGCCGTAAAATCGGAACTTCGTCCTGCAGAAATTTTTTTTGAAAAAAAAATAATTTAGGATAACTCACCACTCCAACTTGTATCAGCACAGAATGTCGTCTGGGTGCTGGAATTTCAGATTTTTCCAATTTTGGTTTTTTGGAAAAATCTGGTTTTCGGTGAATTTCGTGAAATTCAGAGATGATTTCAGCAAATAAATAGGGAAATTTCATTTTACTTGAAAAGTTTCAAGGTTTTCTTGTTGATGAGAAAAAAGAGAGAATTACTAGGTTTTATAGATGGGAAAAAAGGGGCGGAGCCTATTTTTTTGGAACTTGGCCAAAAAATTGAGAGAGTTGAACTTTGAGAATTGGAACTGGGACTTTTTTTGGAGCCTAGAAAAATGCCACGTGGATTTTTGGGATCAGAATTTTTGATATGAAATTTGAAATTTTGACGTGGATTTTCAGGAGTATAAATTTTCAGGAACTTTTTATCGAAATTTATTTGCCACGTGGATTTTTTCAAAAATCAGCCACGTGGCAATTCTATTTCAATTTTTAAAATTCAAAAAAAATTCAAATTTCAAAATCATCATTTCCCTTTTTTTCTTCAGAGATCAACTGTACCCTAGACTACAAATTCATTAGGAAATTGAACAATTTCCTCTTTTCCTCCGCAAAAAAATGATGATTTTTGTGTATTTCAAATTAGCACCTTTACTAATTTGTGTTTATGTAAACTACAAAATACTGGTGACGAATTTGGGAAAAATCACGGTGGAATAATTTTCGACACCAAAAAATTCTGATTTTTTGGTGGTTTGATCTCATGAGGAAAATATAATTAATTAATTAATTAATTAGTTGTTTTTTAAAGATGAAAGAAAAATTGAAAGTTGAAAATTCAGAGATCAAAGTTGCAAGAAATTAATTGAGGGAATAGAATCCACATTGAATTTTCAGCCAAAAAAATTCTGAAAATCCACGTGGCAAAATTTTCCATTTTGTTCATTTTCTGATCTCAAAACTTGACACTCATACCTTTAACCTTAAAGTACAAATTTCAATTTTCAACCAAAAAAAGTGTGGTACTGTAGTTTGTAGCGCTGAAAAGGTGTGATTTATGAGTTCGAAAAACTTGTGTTGTTTTTTTTTTCTGATCACACAAAAATCCAGTTTGGCATGAAAAGTACAAAGATTTGAAAAGTAGCATAATTTCAGGGGAATTTTCACAGTATCCTGGATTACTGTAGCCCTGAAAAATTTTCAGAAACCAATCAATACTTCATTCTAGTCAAAAAATACAAATAAATCACAAATCCAACCGCTAAAACCAGCCAAAATGTTGAAATTATCGATTTTTCTGAAGATTTTATTCTAGAATCTTCGGGAATCTCTTCTTTCAGCAAAATTGAATAATTCATGAATTTTTATAGTTAGAAAATCAGAAGAGAAAATAGAAATCGGAGATTTTTATAGGAGAAATGAAACGTGGTGTAGAACTTTATTGAGAATCAAGCAATCAATCAGATTTGGATTTGAAACAGTCGATTTTTCGGGGAGGAATGGAGAAAAGTAGCGAAAAAACTGATGAAAATTAGAGATAAACTAGGAGAAAATGTGATTTGGATGTTTGGTTTTTTGAATTTGGCCCAAAATGTGGCTTTAGGCTTTAGGCCTGGGCTTAGGCTTTGGTTTTGAGACTAGGCTTTAGGCCCAGATTTGGGCTTCAGGCTTCTAGGTTTCAAGATTTTCTGGATTTTACTCTTCACGTTAAAAAATGCAGAAAATTTCAAACGTGTCCTAGTTTTTCTCAAATTTGAGAATTTCCAAAATTTTGAAAAAAAAACATTTTCGAAGTTTTTTTTTAGATTTGACCTACAGTAATCCAGATATCGATAACTACAGTAACCATGAAGAAATTCTCAAAAAATAAATCTAGCTTTCTTTGAAACATTTCATTTTCAGAGAATTAAAAGGATTTCAAGAGCATAGCTACAGTAACCCAGGTCTCTACAGTTGTCCTAAATTCAGATACAGTAAGTCTAGTTACTATAATCCATAAATTCTCTACAGTAACCCATACCGTATCTACAGTACATCAAAACACCAAAACAATCAGATTTGCAAGAAATTTTTCGGCCAAAAAAAAATTTTTTTTTTGAATTTCGGTTTTTTGAACAATCAGATGTTTTGATGATCTGGAAAAAAACTTCCACAAAATTGGGTACAGTAATAATTTTTGAAAATTTGAATTTACAGTAATTATATGGCTAGAGTGCTTAATTTCAGATCAGAAATTAAATCGCGGAAAAATTTGTGTAATGGTTTTTTATCCTGATGTTCCTTTGAATACCGTATTTAAAAAAAACGTTTATTTTTGATGATTCACACAATAATTTTTAGTCCTTTGCTTGATTTGTGGGCGGGGTTTATTTATGGTGGTCCCATGTAGCACGATTGATCGGTACGCGCCTTGAAAACTTGCGCTCCTGGATTGCTGACTCCTGAAACGAAAAACAATAGTACTGTATCTTGACCTACAGTAACCCAGATCTGAAGATCCTTGGGTTCTGAAATATGTACAAACTTCTGGAGATCTACAGTACTCTAGTCAGAATATTGGACATATACAGTAAGGCTTAATGATTCTACAGTAACCCGTAGCTTTTGATGTTACTGTACTTTTCTAGAGATGTACAGTACTGCTCAAATACAGTACCTAAAATTTCTACAGTAACCCAAGATACTGAAAGGACTTTCGAACATCATACTACAGTATCTGGTCTAATCTACAGCTTTGAGAATACAGAAAAAATGAGCTACAGTACTGTACAGTACAGTATCTCAAAAAAAACTACAGTAACCTAGAAGACTTCTGAATCTGGTCTACAAAACTTACAGTACCTTATGAGCTACAGTACTCTAGTCAGCTTGGGCTAGAATCTTCTCATACTGTAGAACATACGCCTACAGTATCCACAGTACTCCTGATCTACAGTACTCACCTCCCGATCCGCCGCCACCACTGCTTCCGGATTGTCCGCCTTGCGCATAATCCTCACGCGCATAACCAGAAGACGACGCATTCGCTCCCATATATCCTGACGAATAGCCGCCGGCTCCCATGTATGCTGATTTGTCGCCCATTTCTTCTTCTAGTTGCTCACACACAAGATGATGAGCAAATGAGCCGCGGAGCCGGGTTTTTATGAGCCGGAGATAAGCATCTGATGAGTTGGCAACAGAAAAAAGTAGAACTGGGTCACGCGGGGAATTATTATTTTTGTGGCACTTTTTTTTCATTTTGAAAAACATTTTTCTGGATCCGGAAGATACGGTATGGGTTACTGTAGAGAAGTTAAGAGTACTGTAGCTAGATCTGAATATTGGACTACTGTAGAGATCTGGTTACTGTAATTGTACTTTCTATGTTCTTGAAATCATTTTCTTCAAATTCTCTGAAAATGAAATTTTTTTCGAGGTTACTGTAGATTTTTTGAAAAAAATCTTCCACAGTTTTTTTTGAACGTGAAAACTAACCAAATCCAGAAAATCTTGAAACCTAGAAGACGAAGCCTAAGCCTAAGCCCAGGCTTAAATTAAAAAAAGCCTGAAACCTGTAGCTTACTCTTGAATTATGATCCGGAAACTTCAGCTTGAAGATCATAAAAAATAACCATTTTTTTCTGAAATACCGTACTGTAGACTGTAATTTAAAGGAACATATTTGAAAATTTTGTTCTAGAATGTGTTTGGCTAACTTTGAGGTTATGCAAATATTTGGTTATAAATAGAAGAAGAACTCACGTCATTTTTTCCGAGATTTTTATGGGCACAACGGAACAAAATGATGGTTTTTGAATATTTGATTTTTGGAGTTTTTTCAGGCATGCCTCTATAAAAGAGAGCGTATAGACTGGGTCAAGTTCAAATTTTTACTAAACTCGGGCCTAGTCCGAAAATAGGCTTAAGCCTAAACTTTCAATTTCCAAAGTGGATTTATGATTGAACCAGAAAATGTTGGGTGAGTCTGATTTAAAAAATTTTAAAATTTCCTAAATTCTAGCGTCAAAAATGATTTGACACCTCCGAATCCCTGGAGATTTGCAAATATTGAAAAACATCAGTGAGTTCCTAAAATTTTTAAATTCAAATTTAAATTTAATTTTTTCAGAGACTCCAAAAATAATCCGGAAACTTTGGAAGCTGAGCTTCATGTTGATGTATTCAGTAGAGCTTTTAGCTCGCCTGGAGCTCTCGGGGATAAAGTTATGCCAACTCAGAAAAGTATATTCAGAAAATGCTCCATCTACAATTTTCTAAAAAATCATCGCAAAAAATGTGGCTTCAGATATTTTGCCTTGTTATTTTTAGTCGTTCTCTACACCCTTTTTGGTGCCACAATCTTCTATTTTATCGAGGGAACACACGAAAAAGCGATTCTCAAAGTTCATGAACAGAATTTGGATGATTTGTTGAATCATTTGGCCGATGATTTGTCGAGTGATGTCAATAATCCCAATGTGACTTTTACGAAACAGGCGATGAAGGATTATATTAGGGTTGGTGCGGGGGAGTTTTCAAATAATGGAATAATTCGGATGTTAAAAAGTTTTTTGTAAAATTTTTGAAACAGTGAATCTTGGTGATTTTTTTGTCGAAGAGAATTTTGAGCTCTGAAAAAATCACAGAATTATTTTCAGTTTAAAAATTCAATTACATACACCGTCAGCAAAAAATTTCTAACCTTCGAAAATTTATGGAATTTTTTGAAACAGTGCATTTTTTTCAATCAAACAACAACTTCTTGGAACAGAGAAGATTATCCTATAAAAATTCATGGAATTTTTGAAACAGTTGATTTTTTGGCTAATTTTTTTTTGGTTAAAATTCGATTTAAAAAAAAGATTTAAATTTTTAGAAATGTGCCGGAAATTTTCCGAATTTCCGGATTTTCCGGTTTTTTTCACGGAAAAATCAATTTTCCGGTTTTCCGGAAAATGTGCTCGGAAAATCCGGAAATGATCTCTAGTAGTAATATTTTCAAAATTGCCTAAATTTTTGAAAATTTTCTCAGTTTATGATAAAAAAAATGAAATTTTTGGAAATTATTTTTTTCAATTTTTCAAATTTTACTATTTTTGAACGTAAGACGTCTCAAATAGTTACTGAATTACCTTTGAATAGAAGAATTGTAGATAAAAATAAGTTTTAGTGCTATTTTAAGGCTGGAAATCGAAATTTCAGACTTTGAAAAAATTTCCGGTTTTCCGGTTCAAAAAATCCGGAAATTTTCCGACTTTCCGTTTTCCGGCACAGAATCATTTTCAATTTATTTCTGTTCAATTGCGTTGACTTATCAGAAAATTTCTAACCCTAAAAAATACATGAAATTTTTGAAACAGTAAAATTTTTGGCTAATTTTTTAAAGTCAAAATTGAGTGTGGCACCTTAATTAACTTAATTCCAGAAAGCCTACATCGACCTTCAAAAACAAGAATCACAATACAAATGGAGCACATACTACAAACTCGAAGACCCCGAAAACAATATGAAATGGACATTTTCCAGCGCCTTTTTCTTCTCAATGAATGTCTACACAACAACAGGTTATGGCGCAATTTCAGCCGAAACTATTTTCGGACAATCCTTCACAATGCTCTACGCATTCTGTTTTGTTCCCCTAACTTCAGTGGTTCTTCGCGACTTGGGCCAACTTCTACTCGTCAAGTTTACTTGGGTTTATGCGCACGCTTCGATTTGTGTGAGAAAACTTTGTAAATCAAAAAATTTGGCGGGAGATCAAATTCAAATTCAAATGCCGGTTAAATGTTGTATGGGAATTTTTGCGATATATTTATTGTTTTGCACAACTTTTGTCTATATTTATGACGCTTTAAGTGGCCCAAAATGGTCCGATGGATTACCGTATTTCACGGCGTTTTATTTTTCGTTCATTTCTTTGACTACAATTGGATTGGGTGATGTTATGCCAAATAATCAGCCGGTAAGTGTTTTAAAAAAAATTCTAGACTGAGGTCTGAGGTGGGCTCGAACCCCCGACCTCGATCTCTCGAGATATAGACTTACTTACCGGCTGCGCCACATCTCCCAAACTTTATAGCTCGATTTCTCAGCTCCCCCTTAAGCTCTAGAGCTCATATTTAGCTCATTTTGATCAGCTCAATGAGCACAATACGAAAATTTACAGTACTCCCCACTGATCTCAATATTATTTTTCATTGGAATGGCAGTTGTCAGAGTTGTGAATAGATCTACATTTATCGCGGTGGAAAATGGAGTTTTTGGAATTATGACATTGGTGGAGCGAAAGATTGATCAAAAATTCCCGCCGAGAATTGAGATTTCCGAAGCTTCTTTCGATTCTGATGCTGAACTTGAAGATCAACGTCGACAAAATCTGAAATCCCGACCAATTTCCGAATTTCTGAAGTCAAATGAGGATATTTACGGTGGCGGATTCGGTCAGGTCAATTTACGAGCAGCCGACTTGAAGCAACTCAGATTCCGTACGACTTTTCGAAGTGTCTCTGAAACTATTCCTAGAAATGTTCATTAATGAAGAGTATACTGTAGTTTATTAAAGGAACATCTATCAGAATTATTGATTGATTTTTCAGTTGGTGCTTTGACGTTGAATGTGAGTGGCGCGTTCCTGAAAACATCGAAATAATGAGAGAATTTCACCGGAGAGAAAAAAGTGCGCGTTTGGCGCAGGCGGTTAGCGTCGCGTTGGAGTGGGAGGTCTCGGGTTCGACCCCGCCCCGGGGCAATTTTTTTATTTTTTTGTTTTTTTCTTACCTCTCCCTCTTTGTTGAACAAGATGGTTTGAACATTGCTTCCACTTCCAAAAGACTCTTCCGAATCGTGAACCAATTGATCGGGTGGCGAGTTAACCCCTTGATTTCTCGCAAAAATTTTGAGCGTCTTTCCAGCGCGCAACACAAAATCCTTGGGCAACGTGTAGACAATCTCGCGTTTCCCGTCGATTCTTCGCTTCAACTTCCACTCGCTGACCGATTCGTCCTTTGCACGGTGTGTATTTTGAAGAATGACGTATTTTCCGTCGGGCGACGCCTCGTGAATCGACACGTTTCCTTTGGCGGAACGTTGGAAGGATTGACGCGAGGCGGTTTCGCCTTTGACAACGCGCATCGTTTCTGCAAGAAAAAGGCAATTTGCACTGTTGGGAAATGTCGCCCTTATAGCTCAGTGGTAGAGCGTTGGTCTTGTAAACCAGAGGCCCGTAGTTCGATCCTGCGTGAGGGCAGAAGTTTTTTTTTGGATTTTTTTTGGAAAATCTTTATTTTTTTTTCTAGAATAAATTTTTCTAAAAAAATACGTTTCAAAATTCAGGTTTCTTGAAATTTCAATTATCAAAAAGAAAGAAAATAACCCCAGAACTTTGGCAAATTTTTGAAACAGTGGATTTTTTGGGAGGTTTTTTTTCAAAACGGAAATATATTTTTAAACCAAAAATCTTCCAAAAAGAAATTATTGCAAATTTTTTTGAAAAAAAAATCCACTGTTTCAAAATCTACATAAATTTTTTTGCCAAAAATTGTATTTTGCTGGGCTTGTACAACGTCAACATAATGAACATGAAAAAAATAGATTCCCTCGAAAATCCCTGAACCCACCAGTATCCTGTTCTTGACTAATAGCATGCGTCTTCACAACCTGCTCCACCAACTGTTTCAAACCAGCCCGATTCTCCTCTCCCTCCAACATCTTTCTATAAATCGCAATCTCCGCATCCAGCGTTTGCTTGGTATCCAACAACATTTGCAATTCAACCATAAGCGCTTGACATTCTTCGCGCATTTTTCGAATTTGTGAATCTCTATCATTGAGTGCTGCTTCGTAGGATCTTTGATCATCTTCCAATTGATAATTCAATTCTTGAATTTGTTTTTCGAGCAAAGAATTTCTGGTTTCTAAATCCGCCAATTTCCCGCGTAAATCACTCAATTGAGTTCGTAGTCTCTTGACTTCTTCCTTCGCATAACCTTGTTCCATCGATTGTCTTGAACTTTGTGTCTGAATTTCCTGAACCTTCAATCGATACCAGGATTCCATATCATTCCGATTCACATTATTCACTTGATCATATTCCTCTCGAATATCCCGAATCGCAGAGCTGAGCTCATTCTTAAAGAATTCTCGATTTTCCGGAGTTGTATCTCGACTCGCCAAAGTTTGCAAATCCTTGATCTCGTTGTCATGAACTCTACGCAAGAAGTCAATTTCTTCGAGCAAAGTTTGAACCTGGTTTTGATAATCGATGCGGTTCAAGGTCTCTTGATCAATGTCAGTTCGGGCTCTTTGAAGCTCGCTCAAAAGTCGTTGATTTTCCTGTTTGATTCGTTTCACCTCCTCTTCTAATTGAGCAATTCTACGTTTCAACAAACTAATCTCTCCCTCAATATTCGACAGTTGCACCAATAATGCGTCAATTCTCGCACGATCTTGCTCACGTCCTTTCAACGCATCCTCATATTTTCGGCGAACTTCCGCTAACTCGTCTTGCATTTTCTTGATTTGATTTTCGAGCTCTTTTTCGTTGCTTATTTGTGTCGTCGATCAATTTTTGAGCATCTGACAGCTCACCTTCGAACATGTTTCGGATGTTGTGCGTGTCTTTGCCCCATTTTGAGCGAAGTGCTTCGAGGTCGGCGGCGAGTTTGCGGTTTTGTGCTTCGAGGAAACGAACCTGCAAATTCTCTGTAGTTGTTAAGAGTACTGTACTTTTTTTCCAACTTTCAAAAATCTTCTGGGATACTGTAAGTCCAAAAAATTTAGCATTGTTTTAATTCTAGAGGTTACTGTAGATTTAAATTTGTTTTAGATTACTGAATTTTCTCCCCAAGTTTTCAGAGTATATTTTTGGGCTACTGTATTCCTAAATTTCTCAGGGTTACTGGGGATCAAGGATTACTGTAGCTGAATTTTTTTAGGAATTTCAGGATTACTCCACGTTTTCCTAGAATTACAGTACCCTGGAAGATTTTTCACAATTTCGAGCTACAGTAGTAAATTAGATTACTGTAATTCGATTTCTAGAGATCTACAGTACTTTCTGATTTGAGATTCATTAGGTTACTGTAGCGGCAAAAGTACCCTTCAGAAACTCGAATCTAGCAATATTTTGAGCTACAGTAACCCAACATCTACCGTAACCATATGAAGCTTCTCAAAATCTACAGTATACTTACTTACTCAGGAAAAATGATGAGCTACAGTAATCCAAGCTAAAATCTACAGTATACTCATCTAATTATGATCTACAGTAATCCAAGAGCTACCGTAACCCTCTCCCCATTTCTACAGTACCCCCAATTCTTCTGTGTCTTTTGAATCTTCTAATTTCTCAAGAATTACTGTAGCTCCAAAAATACAGTAACTACAGTAGTTTATGCTACCGTAACCCTACCCAAACTGAGGAGTTCGGCAAACTCCTACAGTACCCCCCTCAGCCTACCGTACCTTCTCAATATAACTAGCCAATCGATCGTTCAAATCGCTCATCTCTTTCTTCTCACGCTCCCTCGAATCCCGAATTGTCGAAGCCGCATTCGGCCCGAAGCCCGAAAGGCCCGATCCAGCACCGGACCGCAATTCGGAAACCATTCGGAATTGCGCTGCAAAAATATGATATAGTTAGGCTAAGTTGGGAATTTAGGCTTAGGCTTAGGCTTAGCTGGCTTACATTGAACATTACCGGTTGTTGTCGATGTTCGACCGGCCAACGGAGCTCGCGCAGATGGAGCCGACATGATTTTTTTTTGGTGGCTGAAAAATTCTGGGTTGGGAAAATCTAGGAGAAAATAAAAGGAGCACAAAAATGTGCTCACAGGCAAAAATAAAATGAAAATGAGCACAAAAAGGCGGTGAGCAAATGTGTTTGGGAGGTGTTTACCAAAATGATTAAATTACCTGCGCAAGCTTTTGCGCGCTGGGAAAACATTGTGAAAATTTTAGTATTTTTTGGGGGCGAAATAAAGGAAAACGGAAGGGTAAGAGGATTAACATTGACATACTTTTGGTTGAAACAGTGATTTTTTGTGGGTGGAAATTGGAAACATACATTTTGAAATTGGGGAGAAGCTTCTGGATTGAGATTTCAAAATTTAAATCATATAAGAGCGCCTTTATTTAAAAAGTTTAAAAAGCTCAACTACTGATAGGACAGAAAAGCATTTTAAACAACAACTATGAATTTCTATAAATTCTGCACAAAAAAATGTTTCCTCTATTTTTTCTTTACAAATTGATGATTTTTTTTTGTATTCGAGAAATCGACCTTACAGTCTGTGTGGATTTGTAACAAATAATTCTCAATTTCTGGTTTTGGAAAATGAACGCGAACTTTTTAAATAAGGCCGCTCTTATATTATTTGAGAATACTCGGCGAGATGAATCATTTTTAATTTTTGTGCTTTTCAAATATTTTAAAATTGAAACAGTGAATTTTTTTCGGAAAAAAAATATTTTGGAACTAGGAAAAGCTAGACTTTTGGAGCTGGAAGTACAGAGTTTTTAAACAAAAAAAACATTTTTTTAAAATTTTCACTCGAAAGTTTTCGAAAAAATCCATAAAAACTTCAATTTTAGTGCTTTTCAAACATGATTCTTTTGAAACAGTGAATTTTTTTTTGAAATTTTGGAAAAAATATTTATAGGCTTTTGAAGCTGAAAATGCAGAGTTGAAAATTTTTAAATTAAATTTTATAGTATATTTCAATAAGAAACCGCGAGAATCATTTTTGATTTTCAAACATTTCACATTTGAAACAGTGATTTTTTGGACTTTTGGACTTTCTCAACTGAATTTTTCGGATTAGAAAATCAGCCAAAATCAATTTTCCTGCAAATTGTCGAATTTTCCGCCAAGTTCCATCAATTTTTGCTCCAAAACATCGGAAAAATCATTATTTTTCATTCAAAACTACGGTAGGCTGCTTTGTGTGCAATGCACACAATGCATTTTATTTGACGCGCACATCTTTTTATTTCACCGCGTTTTTTTCGGGTTTTGCTGTGTTTTCGGTGGATTTCAGGTGAGTTGTTGGTTTTTCTTTGAATAGAATTTGATATTTTTTAGGCGGAGAATCGATTTTGCGATGGTGGAATGAGATTTTTGATGGTTTTGGGGAGATTTCCGATGAAAATGGGTTTTTCTTGAATTTCAAGGTGAGTTTTCAGGGTTTCTTCGAATTTTTGAGACTAAATTTGATATTTTTCAGGTCGAAGAATCGAATTTTCGATGCTAGAACAAAATTTTTGGTGGTTTTCGAGGGTTCGATGAAGATTTTCGACGAAAATCTGTTTTTCTTGAATTTCAAGGTGAGTTTTTGGTGTTTTTTTCGAATTTTTGAGCTTGAATTTGATATTTTTCAGGCGGAGAATCAAAGTTTCGATGCTAGAACACAATTTTTTGGTAGTTTTCGAGGGTTCGATGAAGATTTTCGACGAAAATCAGTTTTTCTGGAATTTCAAGGTGAATTTTCAAAGTTTATTTGACATTTTGAGGTTGAATTTGATATTTTTCAGGCGGAGAGTCGAAATTTCGATGCTGGAACACAATTTTTGGTGATTTTGAGGAGATTTTCGATGAAAATTGATTTTTCTCAGATTTCGAGGTGAGTTTTCAGGGTTTCTTCTAATTTTTGAGGTTGAATTTGATATTTTTCAGGTCGAAAATCGATTTTGCCTTTCAAGAACATGATTTTTGGTGGTTTCCGATGAAAATTGATTTTTCTCAGATTTCGAGGTGAGTTTTCAAAGTTTCTTTGACTTTTTGTGAAGAATTTGTTGATTTTCAGGTCCGAAATCAAATTTTTGACAATTTTCGATGGATTTTGAGGCTACAAAGATGTTTTGTGTAAATTTTGATGAGGATGAGTTTTTTTTAATGAAAATTTGATGATTTTCGAAAAAATCTGTTCAAAAAATCAAAAAATCAAAAGATCAAATACAAAATTCCAACAAATTTTCCAAAGATCTCTTTACTATCATAGACGAAAGTTTAAAGAAATATTTTTTATGAAAAAATTCTTGTCACATGTTGTTTTTGTATTTTTTATGTACACTAATTAATTAATAATAATAATGATTAATTAGTTCTATCAAAACAAATACAAAATAGAAAATAGAAAAAAAAGGAAAAAAGTTTCGTAACACATAAATAAACAAATTAGGCGTTGTACTTTTTCCTGTGTGTATTTGCTTATTTACGAAAAAAAGAACAAGAAAATTAGACTTGAGTCATCAGAAATCACTATGATTACTGTAGTTTTTGGCGCCAAAAAATTACAGTAGAGCCTGGGCTTTTGGAATCTTGCCAAAAATTTTCAAATTCAAAAAATATGCCACGTGGAATTTTTAAACTACAGTATTTTTAGCTTCAAAAATATGTACAGTAGGATTTTAAAAATTTAAATTTTTTCGCGCCAAAGCTCAGGTTACTGTAGATTGTCAAAGTTGACGTGACCTGAAAATTTGAAAATTTTGAATTTTTTTTTTGAAATTAGACTCCAAAAACTACAGTAACCGTTTTCCCGCCAAAACTTTTAGTACTGTAATTTTTGAACTTAAAAAATTCTGAAAATTCGCGCCAAAAAAATTACAGTGAACATTTGCATCATTTTCAACAATTTTTGGCGCCAAAATGGGGTTACTGTAGATTGTCAAAGTTCACCTAAAAATTTGAAAATTTTGAAATTTGGCGCCAAATCTATAAGTACTGTAGAGTTCGAATTCGGGCGCCAAAAAAAAATTTATAAAAATATTTATTCAAAAAATCACAAAAATACACAGAAAACACACCCGTAGATCAAAAAATGACTAAAAAATTTAAATTTCTCAAAAAAAAATTCCACGTCATCTTCGACTCTTCTCAGAAGTTTGCAAAACTTCCGCTCCCACCGTAATAATCGTCGAATGTTTGCGGAAAACTTCCGCATTCGAATTTGTCGATGATTTCCGCTGTGCGCTGCACTGTTCCGAGCATTTCCGCTTAGGCGGAAGCGGAGGCGGACACGCGGATTTGAAGTCGGGCGATTTGTGGAATCGCGTGAATTCGGCGACAAATGTCGCCAGCGATTTTTCACCAGAGAATTTTGACATTTTCTGTATTAGTCAGTTAGTTAATTAATTAAATGATGACAATGTGTAGGTTTTATATAGGGTAAAAAAGTGGGCGGAGCCTATTTTTTTGCAGACTTATGTTAACTTGAAATTTTGTTGTGGGAAAAGTCACGGACTTGGCTAGAAATTTGACGAATTTTGAAACTCTGAAAGGTCTAGGCTTTGTTGAAGAAAAATTCACTGTTTCAAAAATTTGATGTATTTTTGAGGGTTGGATGATTTGTGGAGGTAAAACCTGACATTTTTCGAAAAATATTATTTTTTTTTTGTGAGTTTATTTTGAAATATGGAATTGCTAATGAAAACTGTAAGCAAATTCTCATCGAATTTTTGAAACGTAAAAAATTCTGGAAATTTTCATAATTCACGTTTGGCATACGAAAACTGAAAAATCCGACGATTTTTTTCAAAGAATTTTGAGATTCTTTCGTTTTTAACACAATAATTGTAAATCGAATAAGTTTGTTAATAAAAAATTTTTTGAAAGAAAAATTCACTGTTTCAAAAATTGTATATATTTTCCAAGGTCAATCTTGAATTAATTAAGCTGTTTTTAAAATTATTCAGAAAATTTTGTACCCAGAAAAATGCGCTGTTTCAAAAATTTTATAAATTTTTTGGAACAATTTTTAGTTGATCACTTTTTTGGTATGCCGTGAAATTATTCAGAAAATTTTGTGCACAGAAAAATTGACTGTTTCAAAAATTGTATGAATTTTTGAGGGTGAAAAACTTTTTGCTGGTCCAATACTATAACCTATTAGTTTTAATGAAAAGAAAATAATTTTGATTTTTGAACAAAAAATGATTCTCCAAAATTTCACTGTTTCAAAAATTTCATATATTTTTGAAGGTAGTTAATTTTTCTGCTGAATGATATATATATATATATATATGATCACCTTTAAAACAAACTGAAAATAATACAGAAATTTGTTTAGAGCATAAAATCCACGTTGAAACATTACTCGAATTTTTCTTCACAAAAAATTTCAAAATTTATTCTGACAAAAAATTCACTGTTTCAAAAATGTCATAAATTTTCAAAAAAAAAAAACACCATTGCTCTATTTTCCGAGGTATTTTCAGATTTTTTTAATGAATTTTACAAATCAAAATCTTCGAATTCTCAAATGATCTGATCAAAAATCAGTTTACATCATCGAAAAATTGTATTTAGCTGTTTACTTATTCATTCATTCATTTCTGTGTCATCATCATCACATTTTCCTCCTCCTCCCAAATCAAACTAAAAAATGAGAGAAAAAACCCGGTTCGAATCAATTTGTCATCATTTCTCTTTGCGTTGATCCGCATTAGTAGAAAATAAGTGAACAAAAATTGGTTTGCAAACCAAAAACAACAAATTTCAGAGAGAAAGAAACCAGTTATGCTAGAAAAATGGCCGCTGCGCGGAAGCTTGCGGATTACACTCGCGCAAAGCGCTCGAGCTTTCTAGACCTAGGCGCGGCCTCTTCGCGGAAGATAGTGCCGCTACGCGGAAGCTTGCGGTTTACACTCGCGCTAAGCGCTCGAGCCTTCTAGGCCTGGCCGCTTCGCGGAAGACAGTGCCGCTGCGCGGAAGCTTGCGGTTCACACTCGCTACGCTCGGCTAGAATTTTGGCTAGAGTGCTTAATTTGACCTCAGATCACAGAAATTGCGTATTTTGTAGGCAATTAGTTAGCGCTTGGTTTGAGTAAAAAAAAGATGATGAAAATTTTTTGATCGGAAAATTTAGATTTTGGAACCGAAAATGAAAAATTCTATTGTTTTTTTTTATATTTTGGAATTCTATTTATTAACAAAAATAGGGTTTTTCGAAAAACTCATGAAAATTTTGAAACAGTGAAATTTTGGTGAATATTTTTTTTGACAAAATTAGTTTCGAAAAATCAAACACAGCAGAAAACCTTTCACCTCTCAAAAATAAATACAATTTTTGAAACAGTGAATTTTTCCTGTGTACCAAAAAGTTAAACAATTAACTAAAATTGTTTTCTGAAAATTTATGGAAATTTTTTGAAACAGTGAATTTTTGGTGAATCTTTTTTTTAATCAAATTTTTATTGCGGATTCAATGCTCCAATCAAATTTCAGAATTATTCACAGAATAAAGTCAACAAACCATTTTTCAACTCAAAAAATACATACAATTTTTGAAACAGTAATTTTTTGCTGTGTACAAAATTTTCTGAATAATTTCGAGGAAACCGAATATCAACTAAAAATTGTTTTTTGAAAATTTATGAAATTTTTGAAACAGTGGAATTTTTTCTGAGCAATCCCTAAGTCTAGTTTAATATCAGCAATCCCTAAATCTAGATTAACCTGAGCAATTTTTTCTCGTTTAAAAAACTGTGCGGCAGTTGCAACTTACTTCGATACCTAGGCTATATTAGCCAAAAATTCTACTGTTTCAAAAATTTCATAAATTTTCAAAGAACAATTTTGATTTGATGGGTTTCTCGAATTGTTGTACACAAAAAAAATCCGCTGTTTCAAAACTTCTATGAGAGTTGCAAGTTTTTCCGCTGAGATCAATTTTGTCAATTTTCATATCAATTTTCATCAAAAGCATCATCAATTCATCAAGGATCTACAAACTTTGGCGACTCGCGATACAGCTCCGAAAAAAATTATAATTTTTTTGGAGTGGGAGTAACGAATCCCATATTGTTTTTGGAAAATTCTCGAAATTTTTGAAACAGTGAATTTTTGGTGGATCTTATTTTGGCCAAATTTAGTTTCAAAGAACGTAGTTGAAATTTTTTGTAAAGAAAAGTTAGAAAAATATTTTCAACACAGGTTTCACGCTCTAAACAAATTTCTGTTTTATTTTCAGTTTGTTTTAATTTTTGAGAGAATCGTTCAGCAGACAAATTCACAACCCTCAAAAATATATGAAAATTTTGAAACAGTGAATTTTTGGTGAATATTTTTTTGGTCAAAAATCAAAATTATTTTCTTTTAATTAAAACTAATAAGTTTTCATTAAAACTAATTGAATCAGCAAAAAAGTTTTTCACCCTCAAAAATACATACAATTTTCGAAACAGTTAATTTTTTCTGTGCACAAAATTTTCTGAATAATTTCGAGGGGCAAACCGAGCATAATAAACTAAAAATTGTTCTTTGAAATTCATGATTTTTTTGAAACAGTGGATTTTTTGTACAAAAATCTTCTGAATAATTTGAAAACCTAGTAATAGTTTAATAAATTCAAGATTGACCTTGAAAAATTCATGAAATTTTTGAAACACACACACACTAGACGAACTGACGAAAAAATCTTCAAATCTCAAAAATTCATGAAATTTTTGAAACAGTGAATTTTTCTGAAAAATGAAAGGTTCAGCAGTTTTCGTATGCCAAACATAAATTTCCTCTGGATTTCCAGTCTGCAAAAAAATTTTCCAAAAAATTTTGCAAAACAATCTTCCCAAGTCACCTCAAATCCGAAAGGTTCAATATCATTTCGCTCAAACTGCATTTGTTCCAGCAGACAAGTTTCCGGACATTTTGTCCCACAAAATGTCCCGAAACTCGCGTTATTTTTGAGAACATGGTCTAGGTGAATTGCGAATCCAGCCATGTCTATCGCGAATTTTCGCGATTTTTCGACGGCCACATCGAAGCCCGTGACTTTTCCGTTGCTGTCGACAAAGAGACTTTCAGCGATTGCTCCGCCAGCGAGGCCTAGAGTTAAATCTAGGCTTGGGATTGGCCTTTAGGCTTTGGGCTTGGCCTTTAGGCTTGGCCTTTAGGCTTGGCCTTTACACTCGCGCGGAGCGCTCGGGCTTTAAGCTTTAGGAGTTTGAATTTTTCCCAGGGCTAGCCGCTTCGCGGAAGATAGTGCCGCTGCGCGGAAGCTTGCGGTTTACACTCGCGCAAAGCGCTCGGGATATTTAACCTGAGCAATGCCTAAATCTCTAGTTTAATATGAGCAATACCTGAATTTCTAAAATAACCTGAGCAATGTCTAGATTTACTAGTTTAACCTGAGCAACGCCTTTATTACTAGATTAATATGAGAAATTTCAAGATTAACCTGAGCAATGCCTAAATTTCAGTTTAACCTGAGAAATGCCGAAATTTCTAGATTAACCTGAGCAATGCCTACATTTCTGGGTTTAATATGAGCAATCCCTAAATTTCTAGTTTAATATGAGCAATGCCTAAATTTCTAGCTTAATATGAGCAATTCCTAGATTTTGTAGATTAACATGAGCAATGCCCAAAATTTCTAGATTAATATGAGCAATTCCTAAATTTCTAGTTTGACCTGAGCAATGCTCAAACTTCTACATTAACCTGAGCAATGTCAAAATTTATAGATTAACCTGAGCAATGCCTGAGCCGCCTGGAACGAATCTAAACCGCAAGCTTCCGCGTAGCATCTCGCGGAAAATTCCGCGCAGCTTCCGCTCTTCCGCTCTTCAAAAGCCACCCACCAACACTCCACATTCCAAGCTTCCTCACATTCCTGATGTATTCCGTGAACAATCGAATATCATACGAATTATCATCATCTCCAAAATACACCACAGAATTTGTGTTACTTTTGAAATGCCGTGCAGTTTCTCGCAGCAAAGTCAATGCCATTGATCGTTGAAACCAACCTCGCTCTGAAAAGTGGGCGTGGCCTAGATTTTTAATATGAGCAATGGCTAAAATTTCTAGTTTAACCTGAGCAATGCCGAACTTACTCGGATACCCTGGCTGAGTTTTGAATGGCAAATATGAAAATGAGATTTGCGATCTTCTCAATAGATTTCTGATGTTCTTATCGATCTGCAAACCATCTTCGATCACAATCCAATGAAGATTTGGAACATGCATCAAAGTGTTAGCCATTCTAGAAATTTCTAGGCAAATTTTTGGGTACTTATCCTAACTCACCGTGTCATATCAGCCAGCTGAGTTAGTCTAGAATAAGTTGGAGTTATCACAATAATCAATGTCTGATTTGTTTTGGAGTTAGCTAAACTCATCTGTAGATTTCGGAGCTCACTATTCTTGTTCATAGAAGAATCAGTAGATTTTCTGTCATTTTCAGTTTTGAGAAAATTATGAGAGAGAAAAAGTATCGAGCCAAAATAGATGAATGACGTCATAGCAATCTTGTATCGATTTTTGTAGATGTACATTTTTCCCTTCTGGAAAAAATCTCTGAAAATCACAAAGTTTGGGCTGAACCTGGTCATTTTATAATATTACGCAACTATGTGATTTAGATTCATATCTCATCTTTAAACATTACGAATTTAAGTATGTTGCCAAAAAAAAAACTTGATTTTGTGATCTAGATGTTCAGTTGAAATTGATGTTTGAAACTTTTTTCTGAAAATTAAAAAAAAATGATTTTTTTTGTATTCTGGAAGCTTAGTTTTACGAGAAAAGTTTAAATTATAACTAGAAACTGATAAAAAAATATATGAATTTTTTGAAACAGTGAAAAATTTTCTTAAACCTCGTGAACTTTTTTTTTGGTGAAAAAATAGCCGAAAAATCATGCAAGCTAAACAATTTAATTTGATTCTTAAATGAAAAAGACCACAATTTAATCCGAGTTTTTTCGAGGGAAATTAAATTTTGTAATGAATCTCGATTTTTCAGGAAAAAAAATTCCTGATTAAAATTTTTTTCACTGTTTCAGGAAAATTTTATGATTTTATTGCTTGGCGAATTTTTGATGACCTCTTTTTTTTCACTGCCAAAAATTTAAAAAAAAATTTTGAGATATTCAATATTTTTGAAATGAACTATTTTTCTGAAAAAAAAATCCATTGTTTTCCGATAAATAATTGCAATTTTAAGGAAGCAGAAATAAATTTAGAAACCAAAATTTTGTCAAATTTTTGAAACAGTGAATTTTTGTCGAACTATTTTCTGGTTAAAACGTAATTTCTATGTTTTTGAAGAAATTTCTTATGTTAGTTTTTTTCAAGAACTCAAAAAAATTTCAGATATTTCAAACACAAAGACACAGATTTACCAAAGATTTTCCAAGCTTCGAAAATATATAAGAATTTTGAAACAGTGAATTTTTGACTTGGACAAAAGTTCAAAAAAAAAAACATTTTCTGGTGACTACGTGAAAATTATCACTCTAAAGAAAAAAATTTCGGTTTGAAACCAAAAGGGCACGAAAAAATTTAATTGTAAAAAAAATAAAACGTGAAAATCTATAAATTCTCTTATTTTGAAATTTTTGTATCAAACGAAATGGGAAAACCCAAACTAACACCAATAAAGCAGCCAAACCCGAAAAATGATAAGAAATCGGAAACATTTTCGGACAAAATCAAGAAAAACAAACTGAAATTTGCATTATTGCTCATATTAGTCATTCTTCCTTTTGTATTTCTGCCAATTTCAATATATTTCACATTCAAAGATTCTGATGTTCAATTTGTTGAAAGTGATATGCACGAGACATCTAAAGGTTAGTTTTTTTTTAATTTTAATTGCGATTTTTCTATTTATTCACTGTTTCAGATGTTGATCAACGATTGAATGATATTCAAAATAAAGTTCCGGACAAAATTGGAGAACTAGAGGTGTTATATGAACAACAATCAACCGGTTTCATTGAAAAATATCAACAAAAACTTGGATTGGAATTTTTACAAAAACCAGGTGTTTACGAAATGGAGGAAAGAGAAATCAAATCGATTTTCGAGATTTTGAATGCCGACGATTTGCAAGCTTGTGATGCAATAGCTAGAAGTATTACAAAGGAGGATTTCAAAAAAGTTTTAACCGATCTAGAAACATCTAGGATTACTTTAGTCAACAATATTGGCAACACATTTACTAATTCTAAAAAAGATTGGAACTTGAAAACTGTTGAAGAGATAGCAATGATAACAAAACATTTAATAACAATCACAGATTTATTAAAGTTTTTGTCTAAATATGCTGAAGAAAAAGCAAAAAATCCTGATGTTAAGAAATATGAGAAACAAAAAGACAATTGGACAGAAACGAATGGATTGAATCAAAGTTTAATATTGTTTTTTGCAATATCAGTTGCTATTTTATATTTGCTTCTAGTTATCACAAGATGTCTTTTTGAACTTGAGAAAATGTCAACGAAGACATATAAACGATTGTTTTATTTTCAACTAGCAGTTGCAATTATTTTTGAAATTTGTTTGCTTATTATAACAATTTTATCATTCTCCTCAACTGGAGGGTTCAAATATGATTGTAATTTGAGTGTTGATTTTGATTCCGGAAACAACAACAACACTTGGTATAGTTTCAATAAAGAGAAAATAGATGAAAAGTTTGTTGGAATCATTAGAAACATTTAAAAATGCTAGATTTTCAGGAAAATCACATCGGTTTGTGAAAAATCAAAGATCAACGTATTGGATGGATTGAACATGATGATCAATAAACAAGTAGTCGATAAATATATATCATCGATTGAGAGTGCAACAAATAATGTCACAAATCCCAAATTAGAAAATATTTGGAATGAGTTTGAAGTGAATATGAATAAATTGCGAGAAATCAATGAAAAAATGAAACAAGTTGAGAATGGAGCGTGTATCAATAAGATTGTGAAAAAACAATTATCAAGTAAAAGAAAACCACTGGAAACTTTGATCACAAATACTAATAATTTGCTGACGGCTGTGAAAGAGATTGGTGTGAAATGGAAAGACGAAACAACCAGCATGAAACAGGATTTGAAATCATCGGGAGAAAAGTTGAAAAAGTTGTCTTTGAGTTTGTTTGCTTCATTAAATGTGAGTTTGAGTCAATTAATCTCATAAATATGTGAAATACTTGACATTTCAGGCGATTCTTGAGGAAAGCGACATAAGTTGTTCAAGTTTCAATGGAAATGCTGATGAATTTTGTGGAATTACCGTCCAAAAAACATCGACAACTTATCCATTCGCATATATATTTCTCATATTGTTGTTCATCATTCTTATCATCAGTTGTATTTGGCTCAATTTCGATTTTATTCGGAAAAGAAAAAAGGATTCTGCAAAAAAGGATGAAAAACCGAAGGAAAAGGTAGAGGAGGGCTATTATTATTTGGCTGAAAAACTATTCATTTACAGAAAAATATAGAAAAAGCGAGTCGTATTGAGTATACGGATCAAACGGGCAAGACTTGTTTTTTTCCTTTAACCACCGAAGTACTGAAACAACATGAAATTTATAAGGCAGAATTGAAAAAAGAAGAGAAAAAACAGAGACGAGAGATCAAAAAAATGGTAGCACAGCCAAATATTAGAATGAAAAGTGAATATAACGCCGAAGATCTGGAGAAATTGTTTGGCGGGAGAAATGAGGAACCGAAGAAAGATGAGGTTTTGGAAAAAGTTGTTTATGAGCCATCATTGAATGTGCTCTTGAATTTTGATGAAGATCATGTTGATATTGAACCAACGAGCAATCATTCGGTATCAAGATCGAGTAACTATTCAAGATCAACAACAGCAACAACAGAAAAAACTCGTACAAATGAAAAATGAGGGAGCAGGATAGTTACTTGAGAATATGATACGATTTATGATCGATTTACTTGATAAAACTTTTTTTGCTGAAAAATTGTTCCACGAGTGTCCTTTTGAAATTTCCAATTTATTAAAAGTTCGCACCGCCCTTTTTCTAACTTCAAATCTGAAAAACCACTGTTTGCCGTTGAACCTTAAAATGTGATCTGGAAAAAAATGAAATAAAATTTCTCAAAAACAAACATATTTTTCAAACGTGTTCTACATATTCAAAAAAAAGTATTTCACATATTCGAATATTTCGCATTTTTTCCGTCGGAGAAATCGAACGAAAAAAAATGAGCCACCGCTTTGATGTGACAACTTTTCTCAAAAAACATTTAAAGGCTAGCATCTGGAAATGTTGGAGACCGGTAAGTTGTGAACTGAAAAAATCTAGAATTCTGCTCTGATTATAAAACCCACATTTCACAGCAAGTGTATGAAGTTAGTGATCTCGAAGAGTTGATAAAACTGGCGACAAATGTTTTGAAATTAGATAAAAGTCTTGTGTTAGTGAATGCTCCCTGTACAATAGTCAGTGATATTCATGGTCAATTTGCGGATTTGATTCAAATTATATTCTCATTCTCGAAAAATGGAAACGTTGATTTGTCTGATATCAAAACCGGAAAGTGGGTGATTTTTTTTTGGATCCTAAACTTTGATTCATTGGATTTTGGACTTAAACCATTTGGTTTAATTTTTTCAGAACATTTTTTGTTCCAGAAAATTCACATGGCAAAAAGTACAGTTTTTATTAAAACTAGAAATAAAAATCTGAAGTTTGTTGATTTTTGAAAAATTTTCTACTGAAAAATAAAGTGGATAATTTTTTTCGGCAAGAATCTCGAAAACTGAAATTTTGGACACGAAGATTTGAAAATCTGGCTTTTTGTTTTTAATTTTCAATTCCACGTGAATCAATTTAAATTCTTCTTAAAATTCATGAAATTCTTAATTTTCGCAAAGTATTAGATTAACAACAAATCGATTTGTGGTCGCCTCAAAAACTAAAATTATTTAAAAAAAATTTCTGAGAAATTTTCACACAAAAAGATTTAAAATTAACTTGGATTTTTTCAGATTCGTGTTTCTCGGTGATTATGTTGATCGAGGAACATTTTCTGTTGAATGCATTTGCCTCTTATTTTCCCTAAAAATCCTCTTTCCAACCAAATTCATTTTGTTACGTGGAAATCATGAATGCAAGGAAATTAACAGACAATATGGGTTTGACTAATTGACCGAATTGGAGAAACGAATGGAGAAATTATTTGGGATCGATTTAATGATTCATTTGGATTTCTACCGCTTTCAGCTTTGATTGGCTCTAAAATTTTGTGCATGCATGGAGGTATTTCACCGAATTTGACAAGTTTGGATGATATTCGGAAGGTGGGTTATTTGAACTTTTACAAATCCTGAAACATCGAAAAATTTTTAGATTAGTCGACCAATCCAAAATGTGGCAGCTAATCCTTTGGTCCAAGATATATTATGGTCCGATCCAATGTCATCGCAAAACCCCCTTAATTTGTCATCCCAACCAATTTTTGTGCCAAATTCACTTCGAGGACTGTCTTTCGAATTCAATGATTCGGCAATCTCAAACTGTTGCAAAGCACTAAAAATTGATTTGATTGTACGTGGTCACCAAATGCAGGAGAATGGTTACACTTTTTGTCAAAATAAGAAGCTAGTCACTATATTTTCTGCACCAAATTATAGTGGAAAACATCAAGTGAGACAATTTTAACATAAGCAATGCCTAAATTTCTAGATTAAACATGAGCAATTTCAAAGATTCTTATTGTTATCTCAAAAAATATCAATTTTTGCAGAATCTCGGTGCCATTATGTTAGTCAAATCGAACGGGCAAATCTGTTTTGTGTTGTTGAAAAACAATCAAAAAGTTGAAAATATTGCCGAAAATTCATCGTCGTCATCTGTAACGGGAACAGGATCATCGGATAGTGGAATGTAGGAAGATTTTGTTATGCGCCTGTTTCAGTTTGTTTAGTATTTAGATCATATGCCTTTATTCATTTTTTTTTGAATGTTGCTCCGAGAACATTTCGTATTTTCTGGTATGAAAAGCTGGAGATCATTTTTTCAGAATTCATGATAATAAAGTCAGATGTCTCAGGAGATTTTTCGCAATTTTGCCGTACAAAATGCGAGATTTTGCTTGCTATCACATAGAAATACATTTTGTCTGGAAAAATCTCCGAAAATCACAAAGTTTGGGCTGAACCTGGTCATTTTATAATATTACGTAACTATGTGATTTAGATTTTATCTCATCTTAAAACATCACAAATTTTAAGTATGTTGCCAAAAAAACTTGATTTTGTGATCTAGATGTTCAGTAGAAGTTTTGTTTTGAAACTTTTTTTCTGAAAATTAAAAAAAAAAAGATTTTTTTTTGTATTCTGGAAGATAAGTTTTACGAGAAAAGTTTAAATTATAACTAGAAACTGATAAAAAAATATATGAAATTTTTGAAACAGTGAAAAATATTTTCTTGAACCTCGTGAACTTTTTTTTGGTCAAAAAATAGCCGAAAAATCATGCAAGCTAAACAATTTAAATTAATTCTTAAATGAAAAAGAAGAATTTAATCCAAGTTTTTCGAGGGAAATTAAATTTTGTAATGAATCTTGATTTTCCAAGAAAAAAATTGCTGATTAAATTTTTTTCACTGTTTCAAGAAAATGTTATGATTTTATTGCTTGAGGAATTTTTGATGACCTCTTTTTTTTCACTGCCAAAAATTAAAAAAAAAAATTTTGAGATTTTTTTTCTGAAAAAAAAATCCATTGTTTTCCGATAAATAATTGCAATTTTAAGGAAGCAGAAATAAATTTTGAAACCAAAATTTTGTCAAATTTTTGCAACAGTGAATTTTTGTCATACTGTTTTCTGCTCAAAACGTAATTTCTAAATTTTTGAAGAAATTTCTTATGTTAGTTTTTTTCAAGAACTCAAAAAATTTCAGATATTTCAAACACAAAGAAACAGATTTACCAAAAATTTTCCAAGCTTCAAAAATATATAAGAATTTTGAAACAGTGAATTTTTGACTTGGAAAAAAGTTTGAAAAAAAAAACATTTTCAGACGATCACGAGTAGAAGAAGGGAGCAGCAAAAATTTTCCAAACCTCAAAAACATATGAAATTTTTGAAACAATGGAATATATCTAAAAGTCACTTCGAAAGTTTCAATTATCACTGTAAAGAAAAAAATTTCGCTTTGAAACCAAAAGGGCAAGAAAAAATTTAATTGCAAAAAAATAAAACGTGAAAATCTATAAATTCTCTTATTTTGAAATTTTTGTATCAAACGAAATGGGAAAACCCAAACGAATACCAATAAAGCAGCCAAACCCGAAAAATGATAAGAAATCGGAAACTTTTTCGGACAAAATCAAGAAAAACAAACTGAAATTTGCATTATTGCTCATATTAGTCATTCTTCCTTTTGTATTTCTGCCAATTTCAATATATTTCACATTCAAAGATTCTGATGTTCAATTTGTTGAAAGTGATATGCACGAGACATCTAATTTTTGAAATTTGTTTGCTTATTATAACAATTTTATCATTCTCCTCAACTGGAGTGTTCAAATATGATTGTAATTTGAGTGTTGATTTTGATTCCGGAAACAACAACAACACTTGGTATAGTTTCAATAAAGAGAAAATAGATGAAAAGTTTGTTGGAATCATTAAAAACATTAAAAAATGCTAGATTTTCAGGAAAATCACATCGGTTTGTGAAAAATCAAAGATCAACGTATTGGATGGATTGAACATGATGATCAATAAACAAGTAGTCGATAAATATATATCATCGATTGAGAGTGCAACAAATAATGTCACAAATCCCAAATTAGAAAATATTTGGAATGAGTTTGAAGTGAATATGAATAAATTGCGAGAAATCAATGAAAAAATGAAACAAGTTGAGAATGGAGCGTGTATCAATAAGATTGTGAAAAAACAATTATCAAGTAAAAGAAAACCACTGGAAACTTTGATCACAAATACTAATAATTTGCTGACGGCTGTGAAAGAGATTGGTGTGAAATGGAAAGACGAAACAACCAACATGAAACAGGATTTGAAATCATCGGGAGAAAAGTTGAAAAAGTTGTCTTTGAGTTTGTTTGCGTCATTAAATGTGAGTTTGAGTCAATTAATCTCATAAATATGTGAAATACTTGACATTTCAGGCGATTCTTGAGAAAAGCGACATAAGTTGTTCGAGTTTCAATGGAAATGCTGATGAATTTTGTGGAATTACCGTCCAAAAAACATCGACAACTTATCCAATCGCATATATATTTCTCATTTTGTTGTTCACCATTCTTATCATCAGTTGTATTTGGCTCAATTTCGATTTGATTCAGAAAAGAAAAAAGGCTTCAACAAAAAAAGATGAAAAACCGAAGGAAAAGGTAGAGAAGGGCGATTATTATTTGGCTGAAAAACTATTCATTTACAGAAAAATATAGAAAAAGCGAGTCGTATTGAATATAAAGATCAAACGGGCAAGACTTGTTTTTTTCCTTTAACCACCGAAGTACTGAAACAACATGAAATTTATAAGGCAGAATTGAAAAAAGAAGAGAAAAAACAGAGACGAGAGATCAAAAAAATGGTAGCGCAGCCAAATATTAGAATGAAAAGTGAATATAACGCCGAAGATCTGGAGAAATTGTTTGGCGGGAGAAATGAGGAACCGAAGAAAGATGAGGTTTTGGAAAAAGTTGTTTATGAGCCATCATTGAATGTGCTCTTGAATTTTGATGAAGATCATGTTGATATTGAGCCAACGAGCAATCATTCGGTATCAAGATCGAGTAACTATTCAAGATCAACAACAACAAAAACAGAAAAAACTCGTACAATTGAAAAATGAGGGAGCAGGATAATTACTTGAGAATATGATACGATTTATGATCGATTTACTTGATAAAAATTTTTTGCTGAAAATCGTTCCACGAGTGTCCTTTTGAAATTTCCAATTTATTAAAAGTTCGCACCGCCTTTTTTCTAACTTCAAATCTGAAAAACCACTGTTTGCCGTTGAACCTTAAAATGTGATCTGGTAAAAAATGAAATAAAGTTTCTCAAAAACCAAAGTATTTTTCAAACGTGTTCTACATATTCAAAAAAAAACGTATTTCACACATTCGAATATTTCGCATTTTTTTCCGTCGGAGAAATCGAACGATCAGAAATCTTCAAAAAATGAGCCACGGCTTTGATGTCACAACTTTTCTCAAAAAACATTTAAAGGCTAGCATCTGGAAATGTTGGAGACCGGTAAGTTGTGAACTGAAAAAATCTAGAATTTTGCTCTGATTATAAAACCCACATTTTACAGCAAGTGTATGAAGTTAGTGATCTCGAAGAGTTGATAAAACTGGCGACAAATGTTTTGAAATTAGATAAAAGTCTTGTGTTAGTGAATGCTCCCTGTACAATAGTCAGTGATATTCATGGTCAATTTGCGGATTTGATTCAAATTATATTCTCATTCTCGAAAAATGGAAACGTTGATTTGTCTGATATCAAAACCGGAAAGTGGGTGATTTTTTTTTGGATCCTAAACTTTGATTCATTGGATTTTGGACTTAAACCATTTGGTTTAATTTTTTCAGAACATTTTTTGTTCCAGAAAATTCACATGGCAAAAAGTACAGTTTTTATTAAAACTAGAAATAAAAATCTGAAGTTTGTTGATTTTTGAAAAATTTTCTACTGAAAAATAAAGTGGATAATTTTTTTCGGCAAGAATCTCGAAAACTGAAATTTTGGACACGAAGATTTGAAAATCTGGCTTTTTGTTTTTAATTTTCAATTCCACGTGAATCAATTTAAATTCTTCTTAAAATTCATGAAATTCTTAATTTTCGCAAAGTATTAGATTAACAACAAATCGATTTGTGGTCGCCTCAAAAACTAAAATTATTTAAAAAAATTTCTGAGAAATTTTCACACAAAAAAGATTTAAAATTAACTTGGATTTTTTCAGATTCGTGTTTCTCGGTGATTATGTTGATCGAGGAACATTTTCTGTTGAATGCATTTGCCTCTTATTTTCCCTAAAAATCCTCTTTCCAACCAAATTCATTTTGTTACGTGGAAATCATGAATGCAAGGAAATTAACAGACAATATGGGTTTGACTAATTGACCGAATTGGAGAAACGAATGGAGAAATTATTTGGGATCGATTTAATGATTCATTTGGATTTCTACCGCTTTCAGCTTTGATTGGCTCTAAAATTTTGTGCATGCATGGAGGTATTTCACCGAATTTGACAAGTTTGGATGATATTCGGAAGGTGGGTTATTTGAACTTTTACAAATCCTGAAACATCGAAAAATTTTTAGATTAGTCGACCAATCCAAAATGTGGCAGCTAATCCTTTGGTCCAAGATATATTATGGTCCGATCCAATGTCATCGCAAAACCCCCTTAATTTGTCATCCCAACCAATTTTTGTGCCAAATTCACTTCGAGGACTGTCTTTCGAATTCAATGATTCGGCAATCTCAAACTGTTGCAAAGCACTAAAAATTGATTTGATTGTACGTGGTCACCAAATGCAGGAGAATGGTTACACTTTTTGTCAAAATAAGAAGCTAGTCACTATATTTTCTGCACCAAATTATAGTGGAAAACATCAAGTGAGACAATTTTAACATAAGCAATGCCTAAATTTCTAGATTAAACATGAGCAATTTCAAAGATTCTTATTGTTATCTCAAAAAATATCAATTTTTGCAGAATCTCGGTGCCATTATGTTAGTCAAATCGAACGGGCAAATCTGTTTTGTGTTGTTGAAAAACAATCAAAAAGTTGAAAATATTGCCGAAAATTCATCGTCGTCATCTGTAACGGGAACAGGATCATCGGATAGTGGAATGTAGGAAGATTTTGTTATGCGCCTGTTTCAGTTTGTTTAGTATTTAGATCATATGCCTTTATTCATTTTTTTTTGAATGTTGCTCCGAGAACATTTCGTATTTTCTGGTATGAAAAGCTGGAGATCATTTTTTCAGAATTCATGATAATAAAGTCAGATGTCTCAGGAGATTTTTCGCAATTTTGCCGTACAAAATGCGAGATTTTGCTTGCTATCACATAGAAATACATTTTGTCTGGAAAAATCTCCGAAAATCACAAAGTTTGGGCTGAACCTGGTCATTTTATAATATTACGTAACTATGTGATTTAGATTTTATCTCATCTTAAAACATCACAAATTTTAAGTATGTTGCCAAAAAAAACTTGATTTTGTGATCTAGATGTTCAGTAGAAGTTTTGTTTTGAAACTTTTTTTCTGAAAATTAAAAAAAAGATTTTTTTTGTATTCTGGAAGATAAGTTTTACGAGAAAAGTTTAAATTATAACTAGAAACTGATAAAAAAATATATGAAATTTTTGAAACAGTGAAAAATATTTTCTTGAACCTCGTGAACTTTTTTTTGGTCAAAAAATAGCCGAAAAATCATGCAAGCTAAACAATTTAAATTAATTCTTAAATGAAAAAGAAGAATTTAATCCAAGTTTTTCGAGGGAAATTAAATTTTGTAATGAATCTTGATTTTCCAAGAAAAAAATTGCTGATTAAATTTTTTTTCACTGTTTCAAGAAAATGTTATGATTTTATTGCTTGAGGAATTTTTGATGACCTCTTTTTTTTCACTGCCAAAAATTAAAAAAAAAAATTTTGAGATTTTTTTTCTGAAAAAAAATCCATTGTTTTCCGATAAATAATTGCAATTTTAAGGAAGCAGAAATAAATTTTGAAACCAAAACTTTGTCAAATTTTTGAAACAGTGGAATTTTTGTCAAACTATTTTCTGGTAATTTCTATATTTTCAAAGAAATTTCTTATGTTAGTTTTTTTCAAGAACTCAAAAAATTTCAGATATTTCAATCACAAAGAAACAGATTTACCAAAAATTTTCCAAGCTTCAAAAATATATAAGAATTTTGAAACAGTGAATTTTTGACTTGGACAAAAGTTTGAAAAAAAAAACATTTTCAGGTGATCACGAGTAGAAACAATAAAGGAAACAGCAAAAATTTTCAAAACCTCAAAAATATATTAAATTTTTTGAAACAGTGAAAAATATCTACAAAATAGTATGCGATAAGTATACTGAACTATCCAAAGAATCAAGTTGAAAATTTGTCAAATTTTTGAAACAGTGGATTTTTGTTGTAATATTTTTTTAAGATTTGATTTTCTTGGTTTAAGCTTTAAAATCCACGTGGCAAATCTTAATTTTCAAACAAAATTCCTTTTTTTTATTCGGATTTTTCAAAAAAAAAATCCTGCTGACATTCTCAAAAGTTCAATGAGCCAAAACATTTTTCCATGGCTCCTGAAAAATTTCTACGAGATTTAAGATTTTCAAATGAAAATCCTAATTATTTTCTTATTTTTTCCCAACTTTCTGGGTTCAGTGTTGGTCGCAAAACAAAACATTTCCTATGATTTTCTGGCGTCCAGAAAAATCGCGAGTTCTTCGAACATTTTTCTGATGCGCGGGTTATTTGGACATACTATACAAAACTTTTATGACACATTTTGTAAGGGAAAAAATTTTCGATGCTTTTTTTCCGGTATTTTTGAGGAATGGGGTGGTGAGTTAGGGAAATTTCTAGGAGAAAAAATATTTTGATTTAAAAATTTTGAATTTTCAAGTTATCTTATATTCTACTAACCGATGAGCAGCAAAATAATTGCACAACTCTTCCAAATTGTCTTCCCTTCAATCAATCAACTTACGCTAACTTCACAATCACTTTCGGAGCTCAGAATTCCACTCGAACATCAATTTCATCTAACTTGAGTGCTCCAAAATGCTCCGGATATAGTTTCACACGAGCAAATGGTCGAAATTGGTGTTATGACTTTGGATCGAATTGGGTTAAAAATTTTGATGGTGCTCAAAAATATTGCGCGGCTCAGAATAAATTTCTGAATGGTTTTGAGAGTTTGGAGGAGCAACAAGCGTTTTTTGCCGTTGCGCAGAAAAGTTTTGGGTTGAGTTTGATGATAAGATTGGGAGCTAGGAGAATATCGAGTTGCTCGGGGCGAACCGCGTGTTTGGGAGTTCCGGTAAGTTAAAAACTACGACATTCCGCTTTTGCACTTGAAATTTCAAAAGATTTTTTGAATTTCGAAAATTCCCACCAAAAAAAACATAATGTAAATGCGGAGGGTCGTACCTCAACAATTTTTAAATTTCAAAGTTTCCCCCCCCAAAAATCTCTAGGGTGTCATTGCGGAGTGTCGTCGTATTCCAGATGACGTGGCTCTCCACCACAATCTCCACCAACACCAGCCTTGCAAACACACCAAAGGGTATGTATTTTGATGGCGATGGTGATACTCTGGTCTACAGATGGGCTTTTGGTCAATGGGGTTATGATGATCTGATGTGAGCTGGAGCGCACTTGATTTTTTGTGCAAAAAATTTTTTTTTTCAGCAATACTTGGTCGACGTCTTTCTCCTGCGGATGGTATGCCAATTAAACAAGAAAAAAATCTTTTTTTTTGAAAATAAAAAATTTTTGTTAAATTTTTCTATTGCGTGACCTATAGAAAAATTTATGTATAAAACTAGAAATTTCGGGGAAAAATTTCAGTTTTTATTCGAAAAATGCTTGAAATTATACATCAAATAATTACATTACTCTATTCGTTCATCTTTTATCTTTGTGAGTTTGGCTAACTCTAGGAACTTCAGATTTTCAGCAAAATGTTATTCCAGCTATAATTTCAAGCTGTTGTCGCACAAAAAAATCGTCAAATCCATCGAATTTGACGTCAGAATCTCCAAAAATCAATCAAGAACCAGAACCTCTTCAAACTCCGAAGGAATCGGGTGGAAAAGCGACACCAACAAGTAAATCCAAGGAGAAATCCGACAAAAAATTGGCGAAAAAACAGCGCGAAAAATCAATTTCAAAGAAAAACGGCGGAGAGTTGGATTTGAATCGACCTGGTTATTCGAAAAGTTTGATTGCGATTCAGGAAGCGGCGTTGTCGCAAATTTTTCAAAATGGATCTGCTTCGGATCGAAAACCCGATAGAACTTTGGCGAAAAATACGACGACGACAGAAAATCAGGAAAAATCGGAGTTGGAGTTGAAGAAAACGCAGACACCTTCGAATGAATAAAATTTTGTTTTTTGTTAATTTTCCCAAAAATTTGGCGATAGCTTCGCTGCCGCCCGATAAATTTACAGCGATAAAGAACCTCCACGCAACCCGCCAGCTATTTACATATTTTTTGCGTGCGACAGTTCGCGGGTCTCGCGGGTCGACATGTTGTGCGTGCAAAGGGGGCGGAGCTTCTCTTTTTTCGTTGGAAAATTTGTTTTTTTTTCGTTTTTTCAGGGTTTTTGGATGAAATTTGGGGTTTTAATTGAAAAATGAAAATTTCAAGACAAAATTAATGTTTTTCAAAAAAAACGTGACCTGAAAACCTCCTATAAAATGCCCAAAAATCCCGATTTTTCTCAGTTTCTAATCAAAAATGTTTGCCAAAATATTACTACATCAGATAATTACATTATTCATTTATCTAGGTAACCAGATTTCCAGCCCTAAAATGAAAATTTAAAATTTTCAGCATTGTCGCCGATGTTTTGCGCAAAAAAGCGACGCGGAAGCGGAAATTCGGCGCAAAGTGAAAGTCGAACTGATGTGACTTCGAGTGAAGTTACTACAACTACAAATACCTGTCAATCACCGTTGAATTTGGGAAATTTGGAAATGAAACGAGGAAAAGAGCAGAAACGCGAGAAAATGCAGAAATCCAGGCAGCCAAAGTCGAAAAAACCGGCTGAAAAATCGCTGAAAAAATCCGAGAAGCCGATGAATTTCTCGAAAAACCCGAATCAGAGATTGGGTTATTCGAGAAGTTTGATTGCTATGCAAGAGGCTCAATTATCAGCGATTTTTGAGAAGGGAAGCGATTCTGGAAGGCAAATTAAAGATCGAACTGTGGAACCTGAGATGATGACGTTGGAAAAAACTCAAACTGATGCCGCGAATCGAGATGGACCGATTTAGAAGTCTGATAAACTCTTTTTTCTTTTAAAAACCACGAAAACCCCCGAAAAAACAAAAAAAACGCAAAGAAAAAACGAAGCTCCGCCCCCTTTGCACACACAAAATGTCACCCCGCGAGACCCGCGAACCGTCGCACGCAAAAAATATATAAATAGGTGGCGGGTTGCGTAAGTGTTCTTTATCGCTGTAAAATTATCGGGCGGTAGCGAAGCTATCGCCAAATTTTTGGGAACATTTCAAATTGTGGTATTGAGTTATGACGTGGCATTGATTTTTGCTTGGGCTAAATTTCATTTTTGAAAAATTTCCATGAGAATACAATTTGTGAAGTTTAACATAGATTATAAAACAAAAAAAAATAAATTCAAAACTGAAAATCGCGTGCATAATGTTTCATAGTTTGTTTTTCAATTAAATCTGGAAGCTGATATACAGGCAGGAAAAATATATTTTTGAATTAGAAAATCCTATGTGTAATTCAAAGCTTCATCTAATGATTTAAACATAGAATTATGAATAAAAAATATTACCCAATATTTTCCAATCAAGCTCTAAGCTCACCTGTTAGTAGTTTTACCCCCCCCCCCCAAGTTGGGGGCCCCAACCTCAAAATAAACTAACTTGACTGGCCTCCCGTTCCGTGAGAAGTTGTTGTTGATCTCTTTGAATTTCCTGTCCAAACGAAACATCTTCTTGTTCGGAAGCCTGAAACCTCTACATTCATTTTCTCAAAATGTTCGCCTATTTTTAAACTTACATCAGAAAATGACAATTGCTGATTTAATAAGACTCCTGCATTCTGTGATGGTTGTCTCTAAAAAAATAAGAAAATTAAAAAAATGCTATGAAAAAACCACTCAAAAACCAGAAAAAAGCAAAAAAAAAACGTTCAATCAATATGTCCTTTTCAAATAAAAACATCTCTCTCTCTCTAACCCTCTCTCCATTTCCCACACTCTCTCGTCTACCCTGCACAAATAAACACGCTAAACAACGCGCACGCGGGGAGTATCGTTGTTTTCGCTTTTATTTTTTTTTGTTTGCACGACATTTTTATTTTTTTTGCTTTTTCTGGTTTTTGAGTGATTTTTTCAGCGCATTTTTTAATTTTCTTATTTTTTTAGAGACAAACGTCACTGAATGCAGCAGGAGTTCTATCAAATCCACAATTGTCATTTTCTGATGTAAGTTTAAGAATAGGCGAAAATTTTGAAAGAAAAAGAACACAGAAGTTTCAGGCTTCCGAACAAGAAGATGTTTCGTTTGGACAGGAAATTCAAAGAGATCAACAACTTTTCACGAAACGGGCAAGTCAAGTTAGTTTATTTTGAGGTTGGGGCCCCCAACTTGGGGGGGGGGATAAAACTAACAGGTGAGCTCAGAGCTTCATTGAAAAATTTTAGGTAAATTAGATGAAGCTTTGAATTAGGATTTTCTAATTCAAAAATATAGTATTTTTTCTGTAGATCAGCTTCCAGATTTTATTTTATGCACGCGATTTTGAGTTTTGAATTTTTTTTTGTTTTTTAATCTATAAACTTCACAAATCCATTCCCAGACGTAACATTCTCCTTCTATTTAGAAGAAATTTTTTTTTCTCACGAACTCTTCGATTTTCTGTCATTTCTTGTGTCACAAATGGTCAAGTGGGTAAATCACGTGTTTTTTGTTGTTCAGAAGGTCCAGGATCGAATCCTTTTGGACGCAAAATTCCAGTTTTCTCTTGGTTCACTCTAAACATTTTGAACCAAATCCTGATCTCAATCTGCATCTCATCTCAAAAAAACTTCGAATCGAAAATAAAAAAAGATTTTACTCGATAATCTGATCGCAAAATCTCGCATTTCTTCACAACATTTCAAAATGTATACGCCGCTTGATCCAGAATTCCAGCCAAAAAATCTGAAAAATCGTATGTACTATATTCTGGCCGCATTTCTATGTACCTTCATCATATTTTTCAGTCATTTTAATGGCGGGGCTGAAAATGACGTGGAGAACTCTCTGAGAGAAGATGTCACACCGGAATTCTACAAGATTTATGGTTATGATGGTCCGATGGATGAGTTGGATAATCTAGAAGCTGAACCTGAGTCACCAGTGAGTTCTGAAAACCTACTTGAAGCCTCTGAATCCTGAATCCTGATTCAGAAATTCGAAAAGATCAGCAATACCATTCACAACTTGATCAACACCACTGAAATCTGCGATTTCACTTCCACAAATTTTGTGGCAAAAAATTCGGAAAAAATCCTGCGGGGCTTCAAAAAATGCACAGTTCCCATTTTCGAATCATTTTCCGATAATCACACGAGATTTTTCGATAATTGGGTGAATTCCTCGAGAAAATGTGATTATATTGATGAATTTCGGAATTTGAATCTTCACGGATTGTCGAATATTGATGAGATTAAGTGGTTGATTTATCCGAAATGTGTGAGTTTTGAGAAATACAACGATACTCCGCGTTTACACCGATTCTTGATACCTGATTCGTGATTTTTGGCTCGAAAATTTCAAAATTTTCTAGTTTCTCGGCTAATTCTCAAGGTTCCAGGTTGAAATTTGAACAAAAAAATCATTAAAATTTGAATTTCCCGATTCTCGCGCCGATGGGTGTAAATGTGGTGTAGGCGGTTAGTGCCTACATCGTTGACTTGAAGGTCGCGGGTTCGAGTCCGCCTGGCGACTTTTCTGAATTTTTTTCAGAAAAAAATTTCACTGTTTCAAAAAATTATGAAAATTTGAACAGTTTGATTAAAATTCCCACGTGGCAAAATTCCAACTACAGTAACCTAGAACAGTTTTGATCCACAAAAAAAAACTTTTTTTTTTGAACTACAGTAATTTGTTACTGTAGTAAATTCCAAATTTTCTAGAAAAAATCAAAAAAAAATTTTTCACTGTTTCAAAAAATTATGAAAATTTGAACAGTTCGACTAAAATTTCCACGTGGCAAAATCCCAACTACAGTAACCTAGAACAGTTTTGATCTACAAAAAAAATTTTTTTCTGAACTACAGTAACTTAGAAAAAAATTATTTTTTACTGTAGTAAATTCTGAATTTTCGAGAAAAAAATCAGAGAAAAAATTTTTCACTGTTTCAAAAAATTATGAAAATTTGAACAGTTCGCAAAAATTTTCGATATTTTCACATTTTTTTTTTGATTTTGCAACTACAGTAATCTAGAACAGTTTTGATCTACAAAAAAAAATTTTTTTTTTTGAACTACAAATTCTGAATTTTCGAGAAAAAAAAATTTCACTGTTTCAAAAAATTATGAAAATTTGAAGAGTTCGATTAAAATTTCCACGTGCCAAAATTCCAACTACAGTAACCCAGAACAGTTTTGATCTACAAAAAAAAATGTTTTTTTCGAACTACAGTAACAAACAATTTGTTACTGTAGTAAATTCTGAATTTTCTAGAAAAAATCAGAGAAAAAAATTTCACTGTTTCAAAAAATTATGAAAATTTTAACAGTTCCCAAAAATTTTTGATATTTTTAAAATTTTTAATTTTATTTTCCAACTACAGTAACCTAGAACAGTTTTGATCTACAAAAAAATTTTTTTTTTGAACTACAGTAACAAATAAATAATTTGTTACAGTAGTAAATTCTGAATTTTCCAGAAAAAATCAGAAAAAATTTTCACTGTTTCAAAAAATTATGACATTGAAAAATTTTTGATAAAAATTTCCACGTGGCGAAATTCCAACTACAGTAACCTAGAACCGTTTTGATCTACAAAAAAAAATGTTTTTTTGAACTACGGTAACAAATATTTTGTTACTGTAGTAAATTCCAAATTTTCTAGAAAAAATCAGAAAAAAATTTTTACTGTTTCAAAAAATTATGAAAATTTGAACAGTTCGCGAAAAATTTCAATATTTTCAAATTTTTTTTTGATTTTTCAACTACAGTAACCTAGAACAGTTTTGATCTACAAAAAAAAATGTTTTTTTGAACTACGGTAACAAATATTTTGTTACTGTAGTAAATTCCAAATTTTCTGGAAAAAATCAGAAAAAAAATTTTCACCGTTTCAAAAAATTATGAAAATTTGAACAGTTCGCGAAAAATTTCAATATTTTCAAATTTTTTTTTTGATTTTTCAACTACAGTAACCTAGAACAGTTTTGATCTACCAAAAAAAATTTTTTTTTGAACTAAAAATTCTGAATTTTCTAGAGAAAATCAGAAAAAAATTTCATTGTTTCAAAAAATTATGAAAATTTGAAGAGTTCGATTAAAATTTCCACGTGCCAAAATTCCAACTACAGTAACCTAGAACAGTTTTGATCTACAAAAAAAACTTTTTTTGAACTACAGTAACAATTTGCCACGTCATAACTCTGAGAATCAAAGTAGCTCAGCTGGTTAGAAGTTGAATTTCTGACTTGCCTAATTAGAAGCCTGGGTTCGAATCCTAGTGCCTGCGAACGTTTTTTTTCCAATTTCCAGCAAGAAGAAAACATCCACGTGACCCTTGGAGTTGGTCACGATGTTCAAGCCGAACTCAAACTCAAAAAACATCAACCCAACACAAAATTCTACGCCGTCGATCCGATGATCGCAATAAACTACGATCTAGTCACAGAGCAACTAAATGGCTCATTTTTTGCCTTTGCCTTAGCAAATGAGACGAGAATGCAGAATTTTACAGTGAAAGAGAAGACGGGTAAACAAAAAGTTTTGAGGGGGAACTTCGGCTAACTCGAAAATATTTCAGGGTATGTGTTGAAACCCGTAGCGACTTTAGACATTGGATATTTTTTCGAAAATCTCCTGGTGCTTCCCAAAATCGACACACTGTTTTTGGACATTGAGGGAGGCGAGAATTATTTTCTGGAATATTTTGAGAAAAATGGGAAATTTGACGAAATTGGCATGCAAATTTGCCAATTCAACATTGAATTTCACAATGTGAAATATGAATATCAGGATAGGATTTATGCATTTTTGGGGAAGATAATTGATGATGAGCGGTATATATTTTTGAGGCCTTCGAATCATCGAAAAGGTTATTTTAAGATGTATTTTGTGAATGTTGAGAATGAGGAATGTGTTAGAAAATATATTGGCTGAAAATTTTTGAAATAAAGTTTTTTGCTTTTCCCAGAAAAATTTGAGGTATCGCATATAAAACCAACATTTCCCCACGCTCTCAAAAACACAAGCGTGTACGAGTGGTTAACACGTGCGCCTCTCGATCACACCGTTTTGCGGGATCCAGGTTCGATCCCTGGTGAAGGCGAAATATTTTTTTTTAAATTTTTTTCTGTTGAAAATATGCATTTTGAAAATCCTGTCTATTGTTTCATCTTTTCCTAATCCCCGTGAAAATCAGAAATTTGCATATAATTTCTGACCGAAAAAAAAGATAGACAAGATTACAATCAAAGAATTTTTGCGCACCCAACCTGAATTTCACAACATAACACAATTTTCACCCTAAAAATGAAATTCTCAAAAATTCCTAGATTTCTCAAAATCTTCCTAGTAAACCTAATAATCACTTTTATTTTCTATCAAAATTTGACACGCTATTCTTCTGAGTGGGTAGAATCATATTTTTTAAAAAAATTCAAAGTTTTTTTTTTCAGAAATGAGTTACAGTATCTCGATTGCTCAGGTTTTATCAATAATTCAAGTTCAGCAATCGAAAATTATGTGAATTCTGGGAGAATGAAATTGGGGTCTGGAAGAGTTACGATAAATTTTTCGATGGATTGTGAAAGTATAATTGAGCGGGTGAAAAATAATGAGACATTTGAAAATGAGTTGAAAAATCCAGTTGCGTTTATTAGAAATGTGTATACGGTGAGTTAAGGGAGGACCACTTGACGATTAGGGTTTATAGGAGTGGCTCCTAGTCAAAGGGGTACTCCAGGAGTGGCTACTTGAAAGCTAGGTTCTCAAGGTCCGGCTACTTGACAACTATGTTTCTTAGGATCGGCTACTTGTCATTGAATCTCACAAGGCGCCGTGCCTAGCCCGAGTGGTTTTCTAGGCATGGCACCTAGCCAGGAGGGTTCTTTAGGCTTGGCTACTTAACATCAAATGTCTCAAGGCACCTTACCTAGTCAGAGTGATTCTATAGGCGTGGCTCCTAACTAGAAAGGTTCTCTAGGCCTCGCTACTTGACAACTAGGTTTCCTAGACCCGGTTACTTGACATTGAATTTCTCAAGGCGTCGTACCTAGTCAGAAAGGTTCTCTAGGCATGGCACCTAGCCAGAGGGGTACTCTAGACGTGGCTCCTTATCAGAGTGGCGTTCTAGGCATGGCTACTTGAAAATTGCATTCTGCAGGCTCGGTTACTTGACAATTGAATATCTGAAGGCGTCGTACCTAGTCAGAAGGGTTATCTAGGTGTGACTACTTGAAATCTAGGTTTTCTAGACGTGACACCTAGCCAAAAGGGTTCTATAGGCTTGGCTACTTGAAAATCGCATTCTCTAGGCGCGGGACCTTGACAATCGCATTCTCTCGTCTCGACCACTTGACAACTAGGTTTCTTAGGCGTGGCTACTTGATAATTGCACTCTCTAGGCTCGCCTACTTCACAACAAGGTTTCCTAGGCCCGGTTACTTGACATTGAATCTCTCAAGGCGCCTTACCTAGTCAGATGGGTTATCTAGACTCGGCTACTTGACAACTAGTTCTTCTAGACGCGGATACTTCACAACTAGGGTTTCAAGGCTCAGTCACTTGACATTAAATGTCTCAAGACGCTATACCTAGCCAGCAAAGTTCTCAAGGCGCCGTACCTAGCCATAGTGATTCTCTAGGCGTGGCTTCTTGCTAGAAGGGTTCTCTAGACTCGGCCACTTGACATCTAGCTTTCCAAGGCTCGGCTCCTAGTCATTGAATTTCTCAAGGCGTCGTATCTAGCCAGAGGGCGCTCTAGGCGCGGGACCTTGACAACTTGATTTTCTAGGCTTCGCTACTTGACAATTGAGTTTCTCAAGGCGCAGCTCCTAGCCAGTAAAATTCTCTAGGCTCTCCTACTTTTCCAGACCTACGAATTCCAAGAAATGCTTCTCACCTCAATCTACCATCCCTCAAACACATATTGCTATTCCATCGACCAAAAATCCGAAAAAACTGGAATATTCGAAAACCTCGCTCAACTCTCCCGATGTCTCCCGAACATCATTCTAAATCCAATCACTTATGACTTCAATTCGGATGGATATTTTCAAGATCGCGCCAATTTCAAATGTCTAGAATTGATTTTGGCTAGGAAATGGGAACATGTGATATTTCTACAGAATAATGACCTTGTTATCAAATCTGTTGAGGAGTTAGCTGAACTCAGTGAGATTTTGAAGGCGAAAAGTTTGATGGCTGTTCAGGAACCTTTTGAAGATCGCTGGATTCATGAAGCAGATTGGACTCCAAAAGGATTGAAGCTTTTTAAAAATGGTGGGCTTTTCTTTCAGGGAAAGCTTAAAAAAAATAAAAAATATTTTTTTTGTAGAATCAAAAGTGCCCAGAGAAATATTAGAAAAACCTCTGCGAATTTGGAAAGGTTTCAATCAAGTGATTTTGTCGAGAATTTTTGTTGAATCGATTTTTGAGATGTTGGATTTGGAGGGCATTTTGGAATTGTTCAATCAGAAAGAGGTGATTTTTTTGGGGAAGAATTTTGGGCTGAAAATCGCTGAAAATTTGGGTCTAGCAATGATTTTTAGGCTTCTGGAACATTTTTGAGAAAGTTCTAAAAAGTTCTAGAATCCGAAAAACTTGTTTTGGACTGAAATTTTGTGCTGAAAATGCTGAAAATGTTGGTTTTCAGGAAATTTTGGTATTTGTGTGATTTTCAGCACGAAATTTGGGTCTAGAAGTGTTTTTCGGGCTTCTGAAACATTTTTTTGAAAAAAAATTTCAAGATTTCGTAATAAGTAAGTTCCAGAAGCCAAACATTTTGCTCTATACTGAAATTTCATGCTGAAAACGCTGAAAATTTTAGTTTTTAAGAAATTTTCAGCATTTCTGTGATTTTCAGCACAAAATTTCAGTCTAGAAGTGATTTTTAGGCTTCTGAAACATTTTTGAAAAATTTAAAAAAGTTCTAGAATTCCAAAAACTTGTTCTAGACTGAAATTTTGCGCTGAAAACGCTGAAAATGTTGGCTTTCAAGAATTTCCAGCATTTTTAAGCTTTTCAGCACAAAAATTTGGGTCTAGAAGTGATTTATGGGCTTCTGGAACATTTTTCAAAAATTTAAAATTGTTCTAGAATTTTAAAAACTTGTTCTAGACTAAAATTTTGTGCTGAGAACGCTGAAAATTTTTGTTTTAGAGATTTTCAGCATAAAATTCTGAAAAACAAGCTCCAAAATTTTCCAGATGTATGGAGTTGATGAGATGTTAGTTCAAACCCTCTACCGCAACAATCTCGGTTTGGCTGGCCAACCAACTTCCTCCAACTTGAATACAACAATCGAAGATAGAATCACAAGATGGTCTGATTGGATATATCAACCATCAGGTTATAATGAAATGTGTAGATCAAAATTATTACGTCATAATATTTGTATAATGGGTGTGGAATATTTGGCGGATTTCAGAGAATCGAGTTTTGTTATAGCTAATAAGATTCTAGAAGATTTCGATTTGGCGCCACTTTTTTGTATTCGAGAAGTTTTTCGGGAAAGGAAAAATATTTATAAGAAGGAGGAAATTTGGAGGAAGGGGACTTCGAAGCTGATTTTGAATGAGATATTGAAAAATCAGGAGTTTTTGAAAATTCACATGGGTCTAAATATGCGGTTTTAGTTAGTTTGAATAAATTTTTGAGAATTTTTTCATGAATATTTTTTTTGAGAAAAAAATCACTGTTTCAAAATTTTAAGATTAAAAAATGCGATTTTTTGAAAACTGATTATTCTAAAAATAAAGTTGCTCAAATTATTCTGGAAATTTTCAGGCTGAAAATTCAGAATCACACGAAATTTTAACTGAAAATCAGATTTCAATATAATTTAGAAAATTTTTGAGAAAAAATTTGAAATTTTCAGGATAATTTTTTTTGAAAAAAAAAATCACTGTTTCAAAATTTTCATATAAAAAATGCGATTTTTTGAAAACTGATTATTCTAAAAATGATGTTTTTCAAAATATTCTGGAAATTTTCAGGCTGAAAATTCAGAATCACACGAAATTTTAACTGAAAATCAGATTTCAATATAATTTAGAAAATTTTTGAGAAAAAAAATTTGAATTTTTTGAGTATATTTTTTTTTAGAAAAAAAATTACTGTTTCAAAATTTTCACATAAAAAAATCGATGTTTTGAAAATTGATTATTCTAAAAATAAAGTTGCTCAAATTATTCTGGAAATTTTCAGGCTGAAAATCAGGTTTCAATATAATTTAGAAAATTTTTGAGAAAAAAATTTGAATTTTGTTGAGTATATTTTTTTTGTGAAAAAAAAATCACTGTTTCAAAATTTTCAGGTAAAAGATTTGATTTTTTAGAAAACTGATAATTCTAAAAATGAAGTGGTTCAAAATATTCTGGAAATTTTCAGGCTGAAAATTCAGAATCACTTGAAATTTCATTTGAAAATCAGATTTAAAAATTTTAAAAAAATTTTTTTTGGAAAAAAAATTACTGTTTCAAAATTTTCACATAAAAAAAATCGATGTTTTGAAAACTGATTGTTATTGTTCGAAATATTCTGGAAATTTTCACGCTGAAAATTTTGAATTACATCAAATTTTAATTGAAAATCAGATTTCAATATAATTTAGAAAATTTTTGAGAAAAAATTTGAATTTTTTTTGAGTATTTTTTTGAGAAAAAATCACTGTTTCAAAATTTTCAGATAAAAAATGGGATTTTTCGAAAAATTTGGTTGAATTGTAATTTTGTCAAGATTCTGTAATTTTTTACGCTGAAAATTCTGATTCACCTCAAATTTTAATTAAAAATCAGGTTTCAACATAATTTAGAAAGTTTTTGAGAAAAAAATCACTGTTTCAAAATTTTAAGATTAAAAAATGCGATTTTTTGAAAATTGATTTTTTCGAAATATGAAATTGTTCAAAATATTCTGGAAATTTTCACACTGAAAATTCTAAATCACACGAAATTTCAGTTGAAAATCACGATTCAACATGATTCTGGAAATTTTTGAGACGAAATTTGAATTTTTCAGGATAATTTTTTTTCAAAAAAAAAAATCACTGTTTCAAAATTTTCAGATAAAAAAATTTTTTTTTTTCAAAAAATGCTTAAATTTCGAAACATTTCGTTTCAAAGGTATTCTGGAAATTTTTACGCTGAAAATTCTAAATCACGTCAAATTTTAATTAAAAATCACGATTCAACATAATTCGGGAAATTTTTCAGAGAACATTTGAATTTTTCAGTGTATTTTTTTTTGAGAAAAAAATCACTGTTTCAAAATTTTCAGATAAAAAATGGGATTTTTTGAAAACTGATTATTCTAAAAATGAAGTTTTTCAAAATATTCTGGAAATTTTCAGGCTGAAAATTCAGTATCACACGAAATTTTAGCTGAAAATCAGGTTTCAACATGATTTAGAACATTTTTGAGAAAAAATTTGAATTTTTCTGTGTATATTTTTTTTGAGAAAAAAATCACTGTTTCAAAATTTTCAGATAAAAATGGGATTTTTTGAAAAATTTGGTTGAATTGTAAATGAATGGTGTAGTTAAAATATTCTGGAAACTTTCAGGCTGAAAATTCTGAATCACACGAAATTTTAACTGAAAATCAGGTTTCAACATAATTCAGAAAATTTTTGAGATAAAACAATTTTTTATATTTTTTTGAGAAAAAAAATCACTGTTTCAAAATTTTCAGATAAAAAATGCGATTTTTTGAAAATTGATTTTTTCGAAATATGAAATTGTTCAAAATATTCTGGAATTTTTCACGCTGAAAATTCTGAATCACTTCAAATTTTAATTAAAAATCAGGTTTCAACATAATTTAGAAAATTTTGAGATAAAAAATTTTTTATATTTTTTTGAGCAAAAAAATAACTGTTTCAAAATTTTCAGATAAAAAATGCGATTTTTTTGAAAATTTGATCCGTTTTTTAACTGATTTCCTGTTGCGTGTTCACAATATTCTGGAATTTTTCACGCTGAAAATTTTGAATCACTCGAAATTTTAACTGAAAATCAGGTTTCAACATAATTTAGAAAATTTTTGAGAAAAAAATCACTGTTTCAAAATTTTAAGATTAAAAAAATGCGATTTTTTGAAAATTGATTTTTTCGAAATATGAAATTGTTCAAAATATTCTGGAAATTTTCACGCTGAAAATTCTGAATCACATTAAATTTTAATTAAAAATCAGGTTTCAACATTATTTAGAAAATTTTTGAGAAAAAATTTGAATTTTCTGAGTAAAATTTTTTGAGAAAAAAAAAATCACTGTTTCAAAATTTTCAGATAAAAAAATGCGATTTTTCGAAAATTGATTCGTTTGTTATTGATTCAATATATTTTTTTTTGAAAAAAAAATCACTGTTTCAAAATTTCTCAAATCTTGATCTACAAACCAGTAACTGCTAAAATGAAAGAAAAGCGGAAAAGATTTGATCTTCAGATTCCATTTTTTTCCGCTAATTCCAAATTTCCTCTTTTGTTTTCCAATAGAAACCAGGAAAACCCTCATAAAATGTATACTCCACTTTTCCAACCTCAAAAATCTAATCGATTTTTCCTATTTTTCTCATTTTGTATTGTTTTTATGTTTCTGATTGCGGTTTTTGGAAAAGAGAGTTATATTCGAGTTTGGAGGGAAGATTTTGGTTATGATGGTCCGAAAAATGAATTGGATGATTTGGAGAAGAGATATGATTCGAAGGTTTGAGATGGGGAGAAATTCGGGAGCTGAGATGTTCAGGATGTAACTGCGGAGTTTCGTAGTTTTCCTGACTGTGAAAATTTTTTGAAATTTAAAATTTTTTTTCTCAAGTTGATCAGGTGTAATTACGGAGTGTTGTAGTTATCCTCTGCTATTTTTGAATTTTGGAAATTCATGCCAAATTTTTCTAAAAATCTGGAAGTGTAATTGCGGAGCCTCGTTTGAATTCCCCTAAATCCAAAATTCTGATTCCAGAAAATGAAAAAAATCGACAAAGCCATTCAAATCATGATAAACGCCACCGACAAATGCGATTTCACCTCCGAATCTCAGACGGGAAAACAAATCGCAAAATCAGTGCTCCAAGGATTTCAGAAATGTGTTGTTCCGATTTTCAACTATTTTCAAAATGATTCTATGCGATTTTTCGAGAATTGGGTGAATTCCTCGAGAAAATGTGATTATATTGATGAATTTCGAAAATTGAATGTTCACGGCGTGGCGAATAATGAAGAGATCAAATGGTTGATTTATCCGAAATGTGTGAGTTGACAGAAATACAACGATACTCCGCGTTTACACCGATTCTTTGGTACGATATTCAGATTCATCATTTTCGGCTCAAAATGCTCCAGGCCTGTTTTTAGCTCAAAATTTCAATATTTTCAAGCTTCCAGGTTAATTCTCAAGGTTCCAGGTTGAAAAATGAAGAATTTTCTAGATTCTGATAATTTTTTATCTCAACAAAAAAAAATTTGAATTTCCCAATTTTCCCGCCGAAAAGAAAGGTGTAAAGGCGGAGCTTCGTAGTTTTCTTTAAAATTTCTTTTTGAATTTAAAAATGTTTCCCGCCAAAATTGCTCGAATTTCAAGGTGTAAACGCGGAGCCTTGTAGTTTTTCCCTTAATTTTTTTTTGAATTTTCCAATTTTCCCGTCAAATTTCAAAGTGTAAACGTGGAGCATCGTAGTTTTCCCTAGTTGTAAATTTTTTTTGAATTTCCCAATTTTCGCGCTAAATTTAAAGACGTAAAAGCGGAGCCTCGTAGTTTTCTTAAGAATTTTTTCAAATTGTGCATTTTTCCCGCCAAAATTGCTCAAATTTCAAGATGTAAACGCGGAGCATCGTAGTTGTCTTTAATTTTTAAAATTTCCCAATTTTCGCGCCAAATTCCAAGGTGTAAACTCGGAGCCTCGTAGTTTTCTTCAAATTTCAGCAAGAAGAAAATCATCACGTCACCCTAGGCGTCGGCCGAAACATCAACGCTGAACGAAAACTCAAAAAACATCAACCCAACACAAGATTCTACGCAGTCGATCCGATGATTGAAGTTAATTATGATCTAGTCACAGATCAACTAAATGGCTCATTTTTTGCGTTTGCACTGGCGAATGAGACAAAACCGCAGACTTTTTATGTATTGATTGATGATGGAACATTGAAAAGTAGGTTTAAAAAAAATTCTGCCCCGGCTAGGAATCGAACCTGCGACCTTGTGACGCAAAAGCGCTGTCGCTAACCACTATACCAAGGAAGCTTCATGGAAACCTAGGGTTTTTTTCAGAGAAAAGGTTGTATGTCCCGAGACTTGTGCCAACTTTAGATGTCGCATTTTTCTTCGAAAAGTTACTGCAACTCAAAAGAATTGATTCAATGTTCATCGACATCGAAGGCGGTGAAAATTATTTCCTAGAATATTTCAAAAAAGATGGGAAATTCGATAAAATCGGTCTCACAATCTGCCAATTTAACTTCGAATTTCATAACGGACATATTGGTTCACACGAAACTGAAATTCATCGATTATTCAGGCAAACAATTGAGGATGAGAGATATATTTTCATGAGAGCTTCTCATCATACACCGGGATTTTGGAAGATTTATTTTTTGAATATTGAAAATCGAGAGTGTGTTAAGAAGTTTTTTGGGTGATTTTTCGAAGAATAATGAAGGCTTTTTCACTGTTTGAAGTAAAAATACTTGCAGAAAAATTTCAATATGTGGATTTTTTTACCATTCCAAAATGTTTTTTAATAGAATTTTAAAATGAAATTTCCAATTTTTCAAAAATAATTTGCGAAAAAAAAATTACTGTTTCAAAATTTTCAAATAAAAATAAACATTCTTAAAATAATTTTAATTCGTTCGCTGTTTTACATGCAGAAAAATTTTACCACGTGGATTTTTTTACTGTTTCAAAATTTGTTGAAAATAGAATTTAGGTTTTTCAAAATTCAATAAGATAGTTGATTGCTACCAAAAATGATTTGAAAAAAATGTACTGTTTCAAAAATTTTTGAAAAAAAAAAAAGTAAAATTCTTAAAATAATTAATTCGTTCAAGATTTTATTTGCAGAAAAAATTTTACCACCTGAATTTTTTTACTGTTTCAAAATTTTTTTAAAAATCGGAATTTCAATTTTTCAAAATTCAATAAAAAAGGTGATTGCTACCAAAAAATAAGTTGAGAAAAAATTTACTGTTTCAAAAATTTTCAAATAAAAATAAAAATTCTTGAAATAATTAATTCGTTCGCTGTTTAATTAGTTGGAAATTTTCCTTAACTCAAATTCGAACCAAATTTTATGATCAATTGCAGAATTTCTCAAAAATGATAACTTTTATGATTTTTTTTCTGAAAAAATCAAAGGGTTATCACGATTTTCAGCCATAAAATTTTAAGCACTCATCGTTAAAAAATTCTGGAATAAAAAGCGACCTATGGCAGAACTGTTAAGCAAAAATGAAAATTCTAATTTTTCTCGCGTTTTTGATGGCGGTGAACACCGTGAAATGTGGGGTGCTCTGCAATGTGTGTATTGGATATATGGATAAGTTATTCGCTGAACTGCTTGTAGTAGATGCTGATGCTAAGTCAGTTCTTGATGTAAATTGTCTTGATGTTGATGTTCAAAAGTTTTTTGAATTTTCTTTTTTACAGGTTGCCTGTGACTCATTTGCCAAACTATCACAAGGAATCGAAGCAACTTGCAAACAAAATGTTGAAAGTGAACTCGACCAAATTGTTACTGCTTTGAACAAATTTGACTCGAACACAATTTGTCAAATGATAAAATTGTGCTAATTTTTAAAAAAACTTTTTATATAAATTCATTTTGTGCATTTGAAAATAGTTTTTTTTCAACTTGGAATTTTTCACTGTTTCAAAATTTTTTCAAGTAAAAAATGGAACTTGCGAAATTTAGTATTGTTTGTTCGATTGTCATTTGGAAAATTCAAATTCAAAATTTTTGACCTCTAGAATTCACTGTTTCAAAATGTTTTTGAATAAAAATTCAAAAAAAATTTACGATCAGTAGTCATCATATTCAATTTGAATAATTACAAGTTCTAAATTATTTTCAGAAAAAATTACTGTTTCAAAACTTTTACAAGAGAAATCGCGTCTTTTTTTTTAAATTTTATTACAAAATCTTTTGAAACAGTGAACTTTTTTCCGAAATTGAAATTTTCGCATTAAAAATCCACGTGGAAAATTCGGCTTAAATAATTTTGAATTTGAATTTTCTCAGTGTGTATGAAATACTTGACTATCCTAGAAAAATTTTTTTTGATTTCTATTAGCGAAAGTGACTATCCTAGAAATATTGAATTTTTTTATTAAAAAATTTTGAAACAGTAAATTTTTCAAAAATTATTTTTTTTTCATTTTTCGCATCAAAAACCACGTGGCAAAAGTTTGCGCTAATAATTTTGAATTTGAATTTTTTCGGAACCTTATACCCAGAGTGACTATCCTAGAAATATTGAATTTTCTAATTAAAAAATATTGAAACAGTAAATTTTTCAAAAACTTTTTTTTTTATTTTTCGCACCAAAAACCACGTGGAAAAAATTTCCGCTAATAATTTTGAATTCAATTTTTTTCGGCACCTATTACGGAGAATGACTATCCAAGAAATATCGAATATTTTTTATAAAAAAAACTTTGAAACAGTAAATTTTTCAAAAATTATTTTTTATTTCATTTTTCGCACCAAAAACCACGTGGCAAAAATTTGTACTAATAATTTTGAATTTTAATTTTTTTTCGATCCCTATCACCGAGTGTGACTATTCAAGAAATATTGAATTTTCTTATTTAAAAAAATTGAAACAGTAAATTTTTCAAAAATTATTTTTTTTTTCAACAAATTACGTGATTTCCCCACATTTCCCAACCAAAAAACCCAAAGCAGGTGAATTTTTCAAATTTCTCTTTCATTCTATGCTACTATGCTATTTCAAGATGAAGAAAATCTAATCCGTTCAATGTCTCTCTATCATTTCATTCTTCTCTTCATCTACATTCTAATAATCCTCCTAATTTTCCCAATATTCATCCATTTCACCAAAATCAATCGCAAAAAGGACCAAGAATCTTCAATTTATCAAATCACACATCATCTCTTTAAAATCACCGTCATTTCTCAATACATTTTCATCTTAACATCAATCTCCTTATCATCTACATTTATTCGTGTAACCTATTTTACCGAGGAACAAAATAACCGCATTCTTTCCCTATTTTTTTGGTTTGGTGTATTTGCATATATTTTTAATTCAATTATTATTCCAATTCAAAATCTTCTAATATTCCTCTTGGCTTTTCAAAGATTTTTCCTTTATTTTTATCCAAATTCTGAAAAATATCTAGTTCCGAGTGAAAAACGATTTACTTCTATCATGAAATGGCTATATTCTATATCGATTTTTGGAAATTTGTTGTATAATTGTTTTGTGTTGAAATGTATCTTCACAAGAACTACAAAACATGTTGGAATTGACGAATTATTGATTGATGTCTTTTGTAAGAGCGCAAAAGTTGTTCGGGCCGAGGCCTGGGCTTTGAAAAGGGGCTTTGGACTCGGCCCCTTTTTAAAATCAGTAAACCAATTTGTTTCCTAGCTTGCACTTCAAAATGGTCAAATTGGAACGCGGCAATTTACACAACTCTCGATTTTCTAGTCATGTTCTCATCGATGTTTTATATCTGCATTCTCATAAGTGTTCGAAGTATCACAAGACTTGCCTCAAGTCTAATGAAAAATCGTCCAGAGAAAGTGATAATTTATCAGACTTTGGTTCTATTGATCGTGAAATTATTGTGTATTCCAACAATTTTCATGATTTTTCAATATTTGAAGAAATTCGAATTTGTTAGTTGGAATGGCATTTTGAATATGGTGAGTATATCTATGAGGATAAAACTTTACTAACATTTTTTCCCAGATCTATTATCCCCTATTCTTCATAGATGTTCTAACAACACCCATCGTATTTCAAATCACATATATTTTTTGCAATAAAACAAATCTGGAAGCCTTGCTGAAAATGAATTTCAGAAAATTGAAAACTTGGAGAGCAATTTGCTGTGGAATAAATTCTAATGATGTGGAAGATTATCATGAATCATATATTCTGAGCAATACAACATAAAATGCCGATTTTAAAATTTTTGGGACAGATTTCTAGAATACAATAATTCTAATATAAAACACAGTGCTAAGTTTTCCAAGTTTTCTGAAATTCATTTTCAGCAAGTTTTCCAGATTTGTTTTAACAGAAAAATTTCACGTGACCGAATGACGTGGCAATTTGAATAACGAAATTTAAAATTTTGAAATTTTTTTAAAACTGATTTCAAAAAATTGTGAAAAAAATTTACAAATTTTTCAAGTTTTCCCACAATTTTCCTAACAAAAACGTTCATTTTTCAAAAAGAATAAAAAATCTCTACCAATTCAACGCATCAATCTTCGCTCCAATATCACTTTCCACAAATCGATTCCATCCATTCTCACAATAAAACCCAAAACCCAAATCCTGTGCCATATTCCAATTTTTCTCCATCGAATTCCATTTCGCCAACTTCTCCTGAACTTCTCCACTCAAATCATCCAATTTCGATCGGCAGAATACGAATTTTCGAATTGGTGGCGGGATTTTCAAACAAGTTGACAGCATTTGACCAGTTTTGCACTGTTTTTCAAGTATTTTCCAGTAAAATTTCGCTTTTTCACCGCAAATTTCATCATTGTTTCGACATTTTTCACAAATCACAAGAAGTTCCGATTTTCTAAAAAGGATAAAAATATATAAGCTTAAAAAAATTTCAAAAAAAAAACTCACACTTCCTCAACATTTTCCTCCTTCAAATAATTCTTCACTACAAAATCCCAATCGCCTTTAACTACAGTATGATTTGCGAAAAATCTCAAACCATCCTCATCTTTTTGTGCTTTCAAATACGTTTCAATTGGAATCGGCTCATGTTCTTTCATAATATAATTTTCGAGATTTTTCAAATAACCAAAAGAATTTGCATCTTCGATGATTCGAAGTTTTGTGCTTTCTGAATAACAATGTGGATCGGATTCGAGGTTTGAGGAGATTGATTTGAACATTTTTTCGGAATAATGAATTCGATAGAAACCGATGGAATCGAGATTTAGGACAAATGGACCTTTGGATTCGAGAAGCAGAGGTTCGTCTGAAAATTTTCTGGTTTTTGGGAAGTTTTGTGAGATTTTTCTAATTTAAAATGTTCAAATATTGATGAATGAATCTCAAAATGCATTTACTTCACAAAAAATTGAAAAATTAAAAGATATATGGCCGAGAAATGTCGGGATTCGGCCAACAATGAGAATTTTTGCAACATTAGAGCGAGTTGGCCGAATTCCCGACATTTCTCGGCCACCAAAATAGTTCGGTTCGGTACCACGCGCTCCACCGAAATAAACACGCAACGCAGACCGCGCCGCGCCACAACACACATAAAAAAGGGAGGGAATTTGAACCGTTCCCTTATATGTGTGTTGTGGCGCGACGCGGTCTGCGTCGCGTGTTTATTTCGGTGGAGCGCAAGGTAAATTTCAGAAAAAAATACTATGTGGCCGAGAATTCGGCCAAACGAGAATTTTTGCAGAATTAGAGCGAGTTTGTTGCCTTGGCCGAATTCCCGACATTTCTCGGCCACCAAAATAGTTCGGCCACATAAAATTTTTAAAAATGCTCATAATCCCCCGAAATTTTCGGAACAAAGTACAGAATTTTAAAAAATTAGAACAAAAATTCACCTCCTCTCAACCATTTCACATCAAAATTCTTCACCAATCCATCCTGAAACCAAATCGGAATCTCCCATCGAAAATCCATATTCGTTTTGTTCGCAATCGCCTTCGGAAGTCCCATCGAAAATCGCTCAAACAATTTTTGCGTCAATTTGATGTGTCGCTCATCGATTCGTTCAACAAAAACCACCGGATATCCAATTTGTTCAGTCCAGCTTCGCGCAAAAATCGTGACATTTAATTGACCCTGATTTCTCGCCACGTCATAAGCTTTCTGAAGATTCTCGAATAAATCCGTTTCGGTGACAGATGAATATTGATTTTTGCTCAAATATTCTCGAATTCCACTCAAAAATACATCATTTCCCAAAACTCTTCGAATCATAAATAAAATTGAAGAAGCTTTTCCATAATCCACTCCATTTATATCATTTTGCAGACTTGTGCTAACTGATTTTGTATGAGTTAGAGAATGCAGGTTGATTTTGCTGAATTCACTGTCAAATGCGCGTTTTTGAATTGTTGAGGCGAATTGGGATTCCTGCAAAAAATCAAGATTTGGAAGATCTTATGACGTGGCAACAATCATTGTTTCCTTTGTTTCCCGACCGCGACGCACAGCCGCACGCGACTGACGAAGTAATGATTTGCACTGATTTTTATTTTTTACAGCTGCCACAGTTCTCAACTTCGATGAAACACATCGAAATACACCAAATCGACCATGCTGATCACGATTCCGATGTCAAAAATTTCCACAATTTCCTGTGAGCACTTTTCTGAAGCTCCAAAGTTACATAGAATTGAGTTTTGGTTTTCGTCATATTCCTGGGTGAAAAATCAATGCTTATAATTTGAATAAGGTTTTTCAGCACATTCGATAATCTATAATATTTTTAGTTTATCAGAAAAATATGAAAAACCAGCTGAAAACTGAAATTTTCAAAAATTTATCATGACTTTTTAAAAAATTACAGGTTCCAGCTGGTTTTTCATATTTTTTGATAAACTAAAAAGATGACAGGTTTTCGAATGTGGTGAACAACCTTATTTAAATTATAAGCATTGATTTTTCACCCAGGAATATGGTGAAAACCAAAACTCAATTCTATGTGACTTTGGAGCTCCAGAAAAGTGTTCACAGGCATTTGTGGCAAACTAACCCCTCCAACCGCAATCACACCAAAAACCTCAGACAATCCCTCCTTCAACCAAACACTATCCCAACTTTTCATCGTCACAAAATTCCCAAAATATTGCATTGCAATCTGTTTTGATAACAACAATCGAATTTCTCGTTTCCGAAGAGCAATCTCATTTTCCCAAGAATCTTCGATCAATAAATCGTTCTCATTGAGGAAGATCAATCCGAAATTAGCCTGTGGTTCGAGTTGAAAATCCTGAATGACTAGGAAATCAAGCTTCTTCACGGGAAGCGGGATTTTCAAAATTTCTTCCATTTTTCTGGCGATGTCAGAAGCTTCCAACGCGATATATTTCAATCTGTTCGAAACTTCAGGCCTCGAGAAGACTTGAAAAATTCCAGATTTTTCAAAATCCCAAATCCCTATAGCTAATCCTAGATGATAAGTTGAGATATTCGGAGTAGCTTGGAATTTTGTGAGCTTGAAATTAGCCTCCAGATTTTTGCTAGCTTCAACTTCAGCACTTGAAATCGCTTGAGTTCCAATCGGATGAATAATCGAGATTCGCCAAATCGCCTTATATTTTGGATCTTCTACACAAGGAACTACAAATTTTCCGAAATCCGGTGAAAATTGACTGATAATTATAGGATCTTTTATATTCTCTTGAGATTTTTGGTATAATCCCTCTTGAACATGTTTGAAAATCCTACCCTTGTAGGAAATTCGCACAATAATCTCTTGATTTTCAGCTATCTCCATTTCGAGGCCAATTTCTACGCTTTGATTATTGTTCACATGGCCAAGCGATTTCACAGTGATTTCCTTATTCTGAGCATTGAACACGTGGATTTTCTTGATATCAAACTTCAATTTTTGATCCGAAGATAGCAAAAATCGACTAGTTTTCTTCAAAACCACCAATTTTGCTGATAAATTTCCAAATGTCGCCAGATTTCGATTTCCAGAATCGATTTTCAGCGTTAAATTGTATTCGAGAGGTTTAACTAGATCTTCTAGACTTTCGGATGATCTGGAAATTTCTTTTAATTGATTATTATCGAAAATCTCACCACGCGCTCCACCGAAATAAACACGCAACGCAGACCGCGCCGCGCCACAACACACAAAAAAGGGAGGGAATTTGAATCGTTCCCTTATTTGTGTGTGTGTTGTGGCGCGACGCGGTCTGCGTTGCGTGTTTATTTCGGTGGAGCGATAATAACTCACTCTTTGTTGTTGTTCATTTGTTCAAGTGCGAAGACTATGAAGAAAATCGCGGCTCCGATAACAACAAGCAATAAAATGATGGCGAGAACGATGAGGATAATCCAGAAGCGCTGGAAATTTCAGATAAATAAAAAAGATTTCAGACAAATCCTAAATACCAAGTTATTATCTTTCGCCGGTTCTTCTTCGGATTCCTCAGAATCCTTATTCCTGGATCGTTTTCTGGATTTCCTCTTTCTTTTCTTTTTCTCACTTTTCCCCTCTTCTTCTTCCTTCACAAAATCTCCAGATTCTTCCAATTCTCGCGCAGTTTTCATTATTTGCATATAATTTTTCTTGTCGTCAATTTCGTTTATTTTCAATTCTCTACCACTACTCGGTTCATTTTCGATTTGCATTATATATCAGAAATAGTGGAGAGCGCATTGTGAGGGCACGAAAAAAATTGGGCTAGCCCTGCAAAATTTGGATCACGTTTATTTTGTGCGAAAAAAAATGAAAATTCATGCGCGTCAAATAAAATGTTGTGCGTGCAATTTGTGCAAACACGCGCTGCATACCGTATCGCACAAACGTTTTTTTTGAATTTTAAAATTTTCGCGAAAAAAACTTGTTTATTCAATGAAGATTTATTGCAAAAAGAAAAAAAAACACCAAAATACATACCCATATCATGAAAAAATACATATAAAGCTCACAAATTTTCAAAATATCTACAATAGCTCTCAAAAATGCTGATCCAATTGTTCAATTTCCACATCTTCTGTTCCATTTCCCCACTCGGCGATGAACAAATTGCTGACATTGTTGAAACATTCTCGCCAAGTCCAGAAAATGGCAAAAATCCACGTGGCAAGTGTCAGAGTGTGGGTGAACTGGAAAAATGTTGGCGATTTTTGGGAGGGAAAATTTTCAGAAATTGAAGAAAAACTCACTGTCACCAGGCAAAACGGCTCAAAAGTCAGCACAAAATTGGCGAAAATCGAGGCGATTGATGTGAAAATGCCGAACGCGTCCAAACCCGTCTCCAATTTTCGCCAGAAAAATTTCTCCACAATAAACCATAGCGATATGAGGCTGGTTCCAATTGCCAAAATATCAAAAGTCGCAACGAGAACCGAGCCGGAGCCTGGAAAATTTTAAAATTGAGGTTTTTCGGGGGGAAAATGAAAAAAAAATATCGAATTTTACAACGACACTCCGCTTGCCCGCAGTTTACCGTAAATAAATATTTTTTATTTTTTTCGCGTTTTTCGGGCGGTTTCGAGTAAAAAGTCAGGTAAATTCATGGTTTTAGGGTTTTCAAAAGCTAAATTTTGTGATTTCAGACTTGCCGCAACTTGGAACATCAATGATTTCTGCTCAAAAATCTAGGGATTTTCGAGAAACGCGGGAAAATGCTTTGAAGGTGAGATTTTCAGAAATTTTAAGTTTTCAAGGCTAAAATGTGACTTTTCAGACCGGACAAAACTTGGAGAATGATGATTTTGGGTTGTGAAGTTGATTTCGAGTTAGGGTAAGTCAGAATCGCTGAAATTTGCCTGGAAATGCTGATTTCAGATTCGAAAAACACGTGGAACCTGGAGAATTGAGGGATTTCGAGAAGAAATCGATTTCAAAGGATTTGCGACAATTTCAAGGTAAATTTTTTGAATTTAAAAATGAAAATTGAAAGAAACGTGGCAATTTAGAATTAAAAATCGTGGTGAGACCTAAATTTTGGCGCGTGTAAAAAAAACGCCCACCTGTTCTCCTCCGCTCAACTTCATAGGCATAAAACGATAAAATCGATAAAATCACCAGTTGAATTTTGCAAATTGTGAGCACATTGAACGGATAAACTATCAGATATTTGTAGGGTTTGTTATCAAGTGGCATAGTGAAAATATGTATATCACATAATCTGAAATTTTTGTCTTGAAAATGAGAGAGAGACGCAGAGAAACTTTAATGATAAGGTACAAAAAAGGGATTTTCTTGATACGAAATCTTGTGAGAATTATATGAATAAGAAAAATATAAAAAGTTGGATTTTGAAAGGGCAAACGCGCTCTACTAAACTCAGGTGGGAAATTCGAAAATTTGAAAATCAGAGAAGAAAAAACAAATTTTAAAAAATTGCAGTGGAGCGCATTTACTGACTTTGGCGGGGAGTTTGAATTTTTCGAAGCCACGTGGCAAAAATCCAAATTTTTGAAGTTCTCGAGGACAATCAAATTATTTTATTGAAGAAAATGAAAAAGTTGGATTTTGAAAAGTTCGGTGGAGCGCGTTTGCTTTTTGAAAGGGCAAACGCGCTCTACCGAACTCAGGTGTGAAATTCGAAAATTTGAAAATTAGAGAAGAAAAAACAACTTTTAAAAAAGTTGCAGTGGAGCGCATTTGTTTGATTAACTGATTTTTGGCGCGGAATTTGAATTTTCGAAGCCACATCCAAATTTTTGAAGTTCTCGAGGACAAAACAATTTTTTTCTCGAAAAAAATAAGAAAATCTATGCTCTCTTTCTTTCCCACATAAAAATTCAGCGATAAAATTTTTTTCATCAAAAAAAATTAATAAAAAACTGCATAATAAATGTAAATAAGAAAAAAGTAGTTGAAAAAAAATAAAGAGAAAAAAGGAAGAAAAATTAGTCAAATAATTCAAGAGGTCCCTTCCCTCCTCCTCTACTTTTTCCCCTCGTTTTTTCTTCGCTTCGCCATTCCTTTTTAGCTCGTTTTCTCGGCTCGTAATGAGAAAAAAACCCGAAGAGCAGCTAAGAATGGAGAAAATTGAGAAGTTTTATTACAAAAAAAAACGAGGGGGGAATCCCATCAAAAATGCAAAAATCCTCATTTCCGCCTTTTTTTGTGGATTTCATCTTATAGAACTTGCTACGCTGATCAAGATGCTCTAAAAATCTTCTGATTTGCTCCAGGTGGAGCCGTGAAACTGAGCTTTACAAATGTGGTCAAGCGGTGTAGGCGTTAAGTGTATATGCTTTGGTGTGGGAGGTCACGGGTTCGAGCCCGCCTGGCGACTATTATTTTTTTTTTCTATTTTTATTGTTTTTTTTTTTGAGAGAAATGTCGGAAAACAAGAAAACTCCCATCAAAAATTCTTCATTTCCGGTGAAAAACACAATTGAACCGGAAAATCCAAAGTTTTTCCTTTTTTTTGTGTTGAAAAAAAAAAAGTTTTCGTCTATAAAATGCGATGAAAATAAAATAAAATAAAATGAAATCGAATTTCGAGGGCCACACAAATTTGATTTATCTTTATCTCGAAAAAAAACAACGTTTTCAGGCGAAATTTTTTTTTTGGCGAATCAGAAAAAAATGAATTTTTGAGAGGAGAAATTTGAAATTATAGGTTTCGCAGCCCAAAATTAACGAAAACCAAAAAATTCAGATTTTTATATGAAATAAAAATTCCAGATTTCAAAGCTAAAATTCTAAAATACAGGTTAAATTTAAGCACAGCCAAAAATTCCCTTAAAAAATTCCACCCAGCCTAGCCAAAAAAAAAAACTAAAAAAAAAGAAAAAAAAAAAAACTTTTTGGCACGCAATGGATTTGTATTGTTCTACTTTTTCTTCTCTTTATTTTCTTTTTTTTCCATGAAAAGAAAAAAAAGCAAAAACACAAAAAAATGGAAAACAAAAAAAATCGATCGATATTTTTTCGATGCGAAATTTTTTTATTATGAAATAATTTTGTTTCACATGCGAAAATGTGAAATGAACAAATAAATAAATAAAAAAAGTGAAAGTTTTTGTTCGGGAATAATTTTAAATACAGTAGAGTTTTAAAGGAACATGGGATTTTATTTTGAAAAAATAGATATTAAAGGAACATACAAAAAATCACATATTCGACTTAAAGTACTGTAGACTTTAAAGGAACATGGCTCTTAATTTCGCGAAAAAATAGTTTTATAATTTTTCAAAGAATTTTGAGGCATGAAAGTACTGTAGAATTTTTTAAAGGAACATTCCTCATATTTTCTTTCTCTCCTAGAAAATCAATCAATAAATGTTCAGCAACAAAAACTATTGTAAAAAATTCCCAAAAAAAATCGACCAAACAAAAAATGCTCCCAAAAGCAAACACTAATATTTCAAATTTTTTGTCGTTTTTTTTGTTCGCCGCCCAAAAAATGGGACGTTTTAAAGCCCCTGAGACGAAGTTTGGCTACTTTTTCAGAGAAAAAAAAAAGAAAATCGATATGTCTAGACTAATATGAGTGGGAAAATTTTGAAAAAAAAAATTATATCATTTATTTAATTTTGAAAACAAAATGAAAATTATTTTCCTGATTTTTTTGATTCCCTTGATCCAATCTGAAAATTCTGAAATCGCCAACAGAATCTTCGAAAAGTTCCGCGAACTCGCCTACGCTGGCAATTTCAAAACTGCCAAAACCCTCCTTGCTCCGAATTTCGAAATCAGATGGTTTGGAGTTGGCTCAACTCCAGATAAATATCTTAAAGATCTGCAACACAATCAATTCCGAACCAAGTTTCTTGAGGCTCAACTGCAAACTTCTGAAAATTCTGAAGTTGTGCTGATTTATGACGTGGATGATGGAAGATTGAAGTATAAGCTGGAATTGAGATGTTTGATTGATGAGAGTTCGGGAGATGGCAGGATTCATTTTATTAAAACGAGGGCTGTTAAGAAATTTTGAGCATTTTTGGGGTGGGAATGAAATTTTTATTCAAGATCTGAATTTTTTAATAAAAAATCCACGTGGCAAATTTTGGAGAAAATTTTGAGATCCTCAAATTTTTGTCTGTAAAAGAGATTTCGAATTTTGAAAAAAAAAAAACTAATTTCGGGCCTCTCAGCTCTGGACCCTGAAGCTAAGCCTAGATTCTAAGCATAAGCCTAGATCCTAAGCCTAAGCCTAGATCCTAAGCCTAAGCCTAGGTCCTAACTAACAAGGAATGGTTTTCAATGTTCCCCCAAGGAAAAAATCGAGAGTATGTGGAATGTTGAGGGTTCCCGTGGGTAAGAAAAACCCTAACGGGAATAAGGAGAAAAATGCCTTATTCTCGAGAAAAAATGTATTTTAGGTCGATTTTTACACCATTTTTTGATTTTTAGAGCATCTGTAACTCGATTTTGAATCTATTTCATGAACTTTTGAGTCGTGGAAGTTGTTCAGAATGGTCGATTACGTGTTTGTGAAACTTTTTATCAAAAAATTATACATTTTTTGAAATTTGGTTTTTTCAGTCGGGGTTTTTCTGATCAAATGGTCACCAAAAAACACAAAAAATAATTTTTTCCATTTTCAAATGAACGGAACTTGAAAAATTTATGACGGTCAACAGACGTAATTTGGCCCGTAGAATCCAAAAATCATAGTCTCGATTCACACAAACTTCTCCTTCACAACGAAAACGTTGATTTTCTATGAATTTTTCAAACTAGAAATTTGATTCAGTGGACTTTTGGGACCAAAATTATTTTATTCCTAATTTTAGTTGAAGTAATACTAAAGTACGCCGTTTGCGCTACAAATGGATTTTTAGACTGACATTTTTCATCAATTTTGAAAAAAAGTTTCGATTTTTCTAAAAAATTTCATCGCAAAAAACCATAACACCAACATTTTCTAAAACAAGGCATTTTTCTCCTTATTCCCGTTAGGGTTTTTCTTACCCATGGGAACCCTCAACATTCCACATACTCTCGATTTTTTCCTTGGGGGAACATTGAAAACCTTTCCTTGTAAGCCTAGATCCTAAGCCTAAGCCTAGATCGTAAGCCTACGCCTAGACTTCGAGCCTCTATCCTGAGCTTTAATCTTATTGTTTGTTAAGCTTGGATCTGAAGCCTAGGCCCTAAGCCTAAATCCCAAATGGCGCAGTCTAGAGCTTCGCTCAGCCTGCGCCTGAGCCTAAGCCTTGAGCCAATGCCTTAGCCTAAGTCCGAGCTTCTAAGTCCCAAGTTTCTAAATCCCATTTTCACAAAAAAAACTTTATTCACTAATACTCATTCTTCACAAATGCACGAACAACTGATCCCAACTTAAAACTTCCTATCTTGCTCACATTAATCGTCATCTTCAACTCAAAACTCAATTTGATATTCTTATTTGTGTAGACCAGAACAACCTTGTCTTTTCCATTGTCAACAAGTTCTGGTTTATCCAAATTCACTTCGGCACCATCTTTTGCCACAAGTTTGATGAAGCCTTCACCATTCGAATCTGGTCCAATATATGATTTGTATACAAATCGATCATCGAGAAACATCTTGGCTTCTTCTATAGTTCCATGTTTCGCTTTCTTGTAGAAATCTCGAACTAGTCGATGGGCATGTTCAGCATTTCCAGTGAGCTCTTCGGCATGGGCTCCGACCAGAATTGAAATCAGGAGGATGAACATCTTGAAAAACTTCTATAGATTTTTGCAATGAGGCCTGGACTTTTAAAGAATGCTGCTAGAGAAAAAATGTCTGCAGATCGTGAAATTTTGGAAAAATATTTTTTGCAATAAAATTTTGCAAATGTGCTATGACGTGGCAAAATATATCCAAAAAAAAACAGTTTTTCTCCATTTTCTTTGCAATCAATGTTCACATCTTGCTAGACAGTTTTTTTTACAACTGTTTACATTATTAAGTTCCGCTTTTTCTTCGTCTTTGTGTCAAGTCAAATCATTTTCGTTGTAAAAATCCACACAAACCAATCAAAAATCGGAACTTTTTCGTTTTTTCACTTCACATTAAAAGTTATGTAATGTTATTTGAAAAATCAAATCACAAGGCACAAAGTTTTTTGAACCTTTCAGACAAAAAAAAGATGGAAAACCTGCCATTGCAAAGGTGATGGTAGTGGTTGATAAGAGAACACATCTGAAAAAAAAGTTGCGATATTTTTTGGGAGATGATTCATTGTTGGAAATGAAGTTTTGGATTAGGCTTGAGGAATCGGGCCGAAAAAAGCCCAATTATCTGAAATAAGATTCAGTTCAGAGAAATTGGACCCTATCAAGCCTGAAAATTGGATCCTATCAAGCCTGTTAGCTTGAACGGCCTGCTTGACATGGTCCACAGCCTAACAATTTGGGCTTGGCTATGCTTGAAGCCTACCTAACCATGTCCTTCACATCGTCCTGGTCCGATTCAGGTCTAGCATAGTCACTGTACGAAAATCCTAAATGTGTTGAAGTTGAAGAGCCTTCTGAAGCCCTTGGACACTCTCTAAAGCTCTCTAAAGCCCTCTAAAGCCCTTTAAAGCCCTCTAAGGCCCTCTAAAGCCCTTTAAAGCTCTTTCAAGCTTTCTGAAGCCGATTAAAGCCCTCTGAAGCCTCCTAAAGCCTTCTGAAGTGCTCTAGAGCCCTCTGAAGTCCTCTAAAGCCCTCCAAAGTGCTCTAGAGTCTTCTAAACCCATCTAAAAATCTCTAAAGCCCTTTAATGTAGGCCTCACATGCTCTTGACTAATTTGCCTTGCGGCCCAGTCGACATAGAATTTCTCAAATCATCACAAAGGTTTGGAGCATCTTCAGGCCGTCCAAAACTGTTGTCCCAATTCGTGCTTTATTAAAACACGTCCTATGTAAGTAATACCTTCCAATTTTAATGATCAACCAGGAAACAAAAAAAACCGAACGAAAATCGAAGAACCTTGATTTCTACTATCTCCTACTACTACTATGCGTTATCACAACAACACGACAAAAAACCGAAAGTAATCGCTTTTTTCCCAATGGCAACAAGGAAAATCATCACATCTCTCCCCATATCTTTTTACTAGAAAAATGGCAAGCAGCAAAAAAACTATTGACAAGGTCAAACGCAATCACACAACAAAGGGGGAGAGAGAAGAAGAAAACTGTTCCTGGTGGAGTATTACAGCAAACCCTGCCCATTTTCCACAAGGTATATAAAATCGACGGTTTCGGTCAGGAACTTCACTTGACTTCTTGGTTCAATCAGCAAAGGTAACTGAGTTTCTCTAGAGTTTCTCCAAGTAAGCTAAATGTTTTGCAGATGTCCGAGGATCCAAAGCAAATCGCTGCCGAGACCGAGAGCTTGCGCAAAGTCGCATTCTTCGGAATCGCCGTCTCCACCATCGCCACTTTGACAGCCATCATTGCTGTTCCAATGTTGTACAACTATATGCAACACGTTCAATCGTCACTTCAATCTGAAGTCGAATTCTGTCAACACAGATCGAATGGACTTTGGGATGAATACAAGAGAGTGAGTTTGGCAGCCTAGGGATTTAGGTTATGATACAGTATACCTTGGGCTTTTTACTCGAGCCTTATCCATAATGATTAAGGTTAGTTACCTTAATCAACCCACCATAAATCTACCTTCTCTAGATATATCTTACGACCTTAGTTAGCTACCTTAGCTACTCACCGACACCTACTTAGTTCCAGGTACCTAAGCTTTTACTCTGATAGGCTTTATCTATCCTTAACTCTCTCAGCTACATACCTTAGATATCTTAAGTTAAGGTAGCTCAGCCTACTTTCAGATGCTTACCATAGCCTTAAGATCTACCCTACCTACCTTTGCTGTAGGTTTCTCTTAGCTGTACCTACGTTAATCTTCCCTGCTGACCTTCTTTCTTACCTTACCCATAGCCTTAAGTACCTTAGTCCTCCTTTAAAAAAGTAAGTACCTTAGCCCTCCTTAACTCTACCTTACCCACTTCCCGCTCTCCCCCCAACAATCCCAATTTTCTTGCAGTTCGAAGGAGTCAGCGGAGTCGAGGGCCGTATCAAACGTGAAGCCTACCAACGCAGATACTCCGGAGTCTCTGGACAACACCGTGTTCGCGCCAACGTCAAAAGACAATCGTACGGAGGAGACGCCGCTGTCGGAGGATTCGGAGGATCATCGGCCGGACAATGCTGCTCGTGCGGAGTCGGACTCGCCGGACCAGCCGGTCAACCAGGACAAGACGGACAACCAGGAAATGACGGACAACCAGGAGCCCCAGGAAACCCAGGACAAGATGCTTCGGAAGACAGCGTTGCCACTCCAGACAACTTCTGCTTCGATTGCCCACCAGGACCACCAGGACCACCAGGACAACCAGGACAAAAGGGACCATCCGGACAACCAGGAGCACCAGGACAATCAAGCGGAGCCGCTCTTCCAGGACCACCAGGACCACCAGGACCATCAGGAGCCCCAGGAGGCCCAGGACAACCAGGAGCCCCAGGACAACCAGGACAAGCCGGACAAGTCGTCGACGTTCCCGGCACCCCAGGACCAGCCGGACCACCAGGACCACCAGGACCATCCGGACAACCAGGACAACCAGGAGCGCCAGGCACCAACCAACCAGGACAACCAGGACCACAAGGAGACGCCGGAGCACCAGGAGCCCCAGGACAACCAGGAGCACCAGGACAACCAGGAAACGACGGACAACCAGGAAACGAGGGGGCTTGCGACCATTGCCCACCACCACGTACCGCTCCAGGATATTAATTCTCCTGTCGTTCGAGCCTTGTACTTTTCTATTACATTTTGCTTTATGTATCCACACACAAAAAACTCCAGGTTTTCTCGGTGACAAATGAGAGACCTGGACTAGTCTTACTGTAGTTTTTTGCTGAATAAATTTTCATCATCAAAAAATGTGTTTTTGCTGAACTCTCGGCGCTGTGAGGCTTTCCTAGGCTACTCTGGGGTTGCCGAAGCTTTTCAGGGCTTCTCGAGGCTTTTCAGGGCTTCCCAGGGCTTCTGAAGGCTTCCCGAAGGTTCCCAAGGCTTCCCGAGGCTTTTCAAGGCTTCCCAAGGCTACTCAAGGCTTTCGAAGCCTTCTCAAGGCTTCTGGAGACTTCCTGAGGCTTCCGGGGGCTTCCCAAGGCTTTCCAAGCCTTCCGGAGGCTTTAAAGGGCTTTTCTGGGCTTCCCAAAACTTCCCAAGGCTTCTCAAGGCTTCCCGAGGCTTCTCCAGGCTTCCCGAGGCTTTCCAAGGCTTCTCGAGGCTTCCTAGGGCTTACCGAGGCCTTCCCAAGGCTTTCCAAGGCTCCCCAAGGCTTCCTAGGCCTTCCCAAGGCTACTCAGGCCTGCCAAGGGCTTCCTCCAGGCTACCCGAGGCTGTTCAAGGCTTTCCGAGGCTTCCCAAGCTTTTCCAAGGCTTTCCGGAGGCTTCCCGAGCCTTCTGAAGGCTTTCCAAAGATTCTCCAGGCTTCCCGACGCTTCCCGAGGCTTTCCAGAGATTCTCAAAGCTTTCAGAGGCTTCCCAAGGCTTTTCAAGGCTTTCCGAGGCTTTCCGAGGCTTCCTGAGAATCTCTGAGCCGCAAGATCCAACAGACAAAAAAACTTTTCACAGCCTTCTAGAATCTCTCAAAAATCGTTTTTTCAAAAATCAAAATTTCCGCTACTTCCCCATTGCTGACTGAAACAGTTCTCTGATTTTTTCAAAAATTTCGCCCAAAAACTTCCGTCTTCTGTTTTCTTCTTCAACAATTTCTAATCAAGTTTCGCTCTAGAAAAAATTAATTTCTCTTTTCCTTTTTCCCCCATTCGATTTCCTGATACGGAAAAAAAGGAGAAAAACGGGAAATTTATTACATACATACACATACATAGTTAGTTACCACTCCCAAAAAGTAAAACCGCGCTGTAAAAATTGTATTTTTCAATATTTTTTTCGAGTATGACCTTGGGAAATATAATGAATGAATGAAGTTAGTGTGTGTTTTTTTGGGAAGGAAGAACAATGAAGTTTTGATGATAGGTTCAGGGCTTGCGGAAGACACATGAGCTTCCGGAAGCTTCCGGAAGCTTCCGGAGACCTAAAAACCTGGATATTTGAATCTAAAGCCTAGGAAAACCTAAATTTAATTTCAACAATCTTCAATTTTTCAGATTAAATCTCGAATTTTCCCCGTTTAAAAAAAGTTCAGGGAGAAAGTTAAAAGTATATATTTTTGCTTAAATAACTTTTCTGTTTCAAAAATTTTATTTATTTTTTGTTTTCTTGTAAAATTACTAAACGTAGAAAAAATCTAAAAAAAAATTCACTGTTTCAAAAATTCTACTGATTTTTTTGTCATTCTGAATTTTCAATCATATGTGCGACATTGTTTGAAAATTTCACAGTTTCAAAAATTTTACATATTTTTCGAGAATTTCGAATTTTGGTGACCAAATATTGAAAAATGGATTGAATAGGAGAAAAACGAGATTCTGAGTTTTTGATCCGAAAAAAAATCACTGTTTCACAATTTTCACATAATCATAATTTCTGATTGTGAGTGATTTCGATTCTCTGAATTTCAAATTTCCCCCAAAAACCCCCCTAATAAATAAATTTCATATTCGTATATCAAAGTTCTATAATATTCTGATTTCTCATAAAAAAACCCCATAACATGCACGTTCTCCGAAAAAAAATCAGCTGCTCTACCAAAAACTTTTCATTTTCAATAATATTATTTTTCACCACGCCACAAGCTGAAAACTAATGATTTTTTCAACTCAAATCCATATATTCCTTCTAATCTTCTTCTCCATTCAAACCTCCATTGCTCATATTACAAATTCGGATCAATCGCAGGATACAAGTGGTTACAAGGGAGTTCAGGGTGGATTTTCCGAACTCGACGTCGAAATTCCACCCGAAGAAAAGGGATTTGCGTATTATTTGGTGATCGCAGTTTTCGTTTTGGCCACAATTTTCTCGACAATGTTGAACGCGGCTTTTCTCCTAATTTCCGCCGTTTTTTGGAAACATTTTCGGGGAATGACGTTTTTCTGGATTCTGACGCAATTGACGTTTGCTGTGTTTGTTGTGAGCATTTTGAATTTGATTATTAATGTGCCGGCTACAGTATTCTCGATGTTGACTAAAGAATTTGTACAGTCAGGTAATGGTGGAAGGGTACTGTAGATTTTGGCGCGAGAATCTGATAAGGGCTGATTCACGAACGAAAAAAAGTTAAAAATGTTTTTTTAACATTGAAAGATCAATTCACAAAAAGTCTAAAAAACATTGTAGATCAAAATTAGTTTTTCAATGTTTTTCAGTCAAAAATGATGACAAATTGAGATTTTCGAAGCTTCTGGAGTAATTTTTGATGAAAATAAGCTTCGAGAACCCTATTTTGCATTTTCGAAATTCACCAAAATTTTTATTTTACGAAAAATCAGCAAAACCTTCTGGAAAGTGAATTCCAAGGTCAATTTTCATTGGAAATTACTCCAGAAGCTTCAAAAATATTGATTTGTCATCATTTTTGGCTGAAAAACTTGAAAAACTGATTTTTTTTACTTCTCGTGAATTGATCTTTCGATTTAAAAAAAAAACATTTTTCCTTCGTTCGTGAATTTATTTACGCGAAAAAGCAAAATTCAAATTTTCGTTTAGATCAAAAATTCATCACATTGTTTTTTCCAGATGTTTTCATAATCATCACCCATCTAATCGATGTTTGCAACTACGCCATTCTATTTTCCAACCTAGTTATCGCAATTCAACGATTCTTCGTCTTTTTCATCCCAAACACTTTTGAGAGAAGTTTCAAAAGTCCCTTTATTTTCATTTGGTTTATTTTAATTTGGGTTGTCTCAGCTTTGATGACTTTTATATTTTATTACAATTCCTGCCTTTATAAGTATACAGTTAATTTGAAATATGAATTGACTTGTGAGAGCACAAAAACAACGTTGGTTAAGGTGCCAAATCCTACTGCAATTAATGTGGTGAGTTTAGAAAAGTTACCCTAACCTTAATAACCTTAAGTTCAAGTTGAAATCTAAAGGTTAACTTCGAAAGTTAAAGAAGGAAGCTTCAGTAAAGTCTCATGGAGCTTCGGGAAACCTCAAGAAGCCTCCGAAAGCCTAGGAAAGCCTGATTGAGCCGCTGGAAGTCTAGGCAATCTCCAGCAGCCTCTTAAAGCCTCCGGAAGTCTTCGGATTCTTCAAAAAGCCTCAGGGAGGTCCTGGAAGCTTCAGGAATTTTCAAGAAGCTTTGGGAAATCTCCAGAAGCCTCGGGAAATCTCCGGAAGCCTCCAGAAGCCTCAAGAAGCCTGATTAGGCTTCTGGAAGCCTCAAGGAGCTTTGGGAAATTTCCAGAAGCCTTGGAAAGCCTGATAAAACCTCAAGAAGCCTCAAGGAGCTTCGGAAAATCTTCAGAAGCCTGAATAAGTTTTGGGAAATTTCCAGAAGCCTAGGAAAGCCTGATAAAGCCCCTGGAAGCCTAAGGAAATCTCCAGAAGTCTACGCAAGCTTCAACAAGCTTCAACAAGCCTCAGGAAAACTCTGGAAGCCCTAGGAAGCCTAAGGAAGCCTTGGGAAATCTACAGAAGACTCCGGAAGCTTTGGGAAATTTCCAGAAGCCTTGAAAAGCCTGATTAAGCCTCTGGAAGCCACCGAAAGCCTTTGGGAGCCTCAATAAAACTCCGAAAGGCTTCGGATTCTTCAAAAAGCCTCTGGAAGCCTTGGGAAGTTTCGGGAAGCCTCGGGAAGCCATGGGAAATCTCCAGAAGCCTGGGGAAGCCTTGGGAAGCCTTGGGAAGCCTCCGCAAGCTTTAAAAAGCCCTTTAAAACCTCAAGATGCGCTAGGAAGCTCTGGGGATTCTCCAGAAGCCTCGGGAAGGTTCCAGAAGGCTCCGCAAGCTTCGAAATGCACCCTGAAGCCTCAGGAAGACTCCAGAAGCCTGAATAAGCCTCTGGAAGCTTGGGAAGTTTCGGGAAACCCCAAAAAGCCTTGGGAAATCTCCAGAAGCCTCGGAAAACCCTCTAAAGCCCCCTAAAGCCCCTTAAAGCCCCCTGAACCCTCCAAAAGCCTAAAAACCTGTTTTTCCAGCTCGACACGGCCCTCCAAATCCTCATCCCCCTCGCCAACTTCGTCGTCTATCTCGCAATCATCATCAAAATCGCCATCATCCGCCAAAGTAATCTGAGCAAACAGGAATTGTCGATTTTGAAACAGGCGATCATTATTTTCGTCATGTTTCAGGTGGGAAATTTTTGCAGATCTCAAGATCAGAATACGAATTTTTGTTTTTTTTTTCAATTTTGAAAAAAAAACAGGTGAAATTCGAAAAATTCAGAAGTTCAGGACACGAAAATTTCCGAGCTCAGGCTCAGAAAAAAAAAGTTTTTCCAGTTTTCCTCCACAATCTTTCTGCTCTGCCAAATTTTCACATTTCAATCCTATATTGCTTTTATCATCAAGCGTCTGATAAATTCGGTGAGGGATTTTCAGATGGAGTTCTGAAATTTCTAGATACGGTAGAAAATCTACAGTAACCTGAAAATTGGGTAGATCAAAAGTTCATTACATTAACTCACATTCAAGAATTCATTTTCAAAAAATTAGCGCGAAAATCTTAGGGTTACTGTAGAAAAAAGTGCCAAAAAATTTTGTAGATCACAAAAAAATCTATATTTCTATTTCCAGACCCTTCTCCTCGCCGGCACCGCAACTCCCCTCTTCTTCTTCGCCACTTCCAGCGAAGTTCGTCGAGTTTTTCGAAGTTCGACGAGTTCCGGAACTTTTATGAGCGTCTCATCGAATGCTTTTGCGAATCGCGAGAGAAATTCCAGAAATACCTGAATATTTTCGCAGGCAGCTGTAAATTATTTGTAAATAAATTTGTTTTTCAGAAAAAAATTATATTATAGAATCATTTTTCAGTTTTTCATGGATTTTTTGAAGTTTAGGCTTAGGCAAGAGCTTAGGCTTAGGCTAAATCTTAAGCTTAACCTAAAACTTAGGCTTGATCTAAAATTTAGGCTTAGGCTTAGGCAAAAGCTTAGGCTTAGCCTAAAGCTCAGCCTAAAGCTTAGGCTTAGGCGAAATCTTAGGCTTAGCCTAAGCCTAAGCCTAAAGCTTAGGCTTAGCCTAAGCCTAAGCGTAAAGTTTAGCCTAAAGCTTAGGCTTAGCCAAAAGCTTAGGCTTAGCCTAAAGCTTAGGCTTAGCCTAAAGCTTAGGCTTAGCCTAAAGCTTAGGCTTAGCCAAAAGCTTAGGCTTAGCCTAAAGCTTAGGCTTAGCCTAAAGCTCAGCCAAAAGCTTACGCTTAGCCTTAGCCTAAAGCTTAGGTTTAGCCTAAAGCTTAGCCTAATGCTTAGGCTTAGCCTAAAGATTAGCCTAAAGCTTAGTCTAAAATTTTCAGACACTTGGCTGAAACTGAATTCCCAAATGGACTCTGTGAAAGGTGTAATCATCGACGTCTCGATCGCAGATTCGCAAAAAAATTGGCAATTCTATCTGGTGCAGATTTTTTTCACTGTTTCAATTTCATTTGCATTTCTGATTTCGACAATTTTCATATTTTTTGCCAATTTTCTGTGGGGCGCTCTAAAATCGCTCCCGTTTTTCTGGATTTTATCCCAACAGGTTTTCACAATCCTAATTTTATCCATCTTGAATTCAATTCTCTACATTATCATCCCAATATTTAGCCTAACTCTCAGCTCAGAGACATCCTATAATCTTCAAAGTTTCATCGATTTTTGCCAATATTCCATTCTATTTTCAAATCTAGTTATCGCAATTCAACGAACATCTCTTTTTCTTCCAAAATCCCTGGATCTTGGGATCTTCAAGCCTCCATTGATCTATATCTGGATAATTCTGATCTACCTATCTGGGGCCATTTTCGAGCTCTTCATGATTTCTCAAAATTGTCGATACTTATATTCAACTCTCGAATTACACTATATTCTAAAATGCGACTCATCGGAACTTATCATAACTTCGCCACCGCCACCAAGGAATATTCAAATCCTCGAATTAATTTTGCAATTTCTGATTCCTCTTTTGATTTTTGTGATTTATCTCGGGATTATCATGAGAATCTCGATTTTCCGCGTCAAATTTCGAATCGAGAAACAGGAGTTGACGATTTTGCGACAAGCTGTTTTGGTTTTTTCGATTTTTCAGGTTTGGTTTTTGGTGAAATGTGTTTTTTTTTTTGAGAAAAATAAGGTTTACAAGATCAGGGAGCAGGTGAAAATTCATAGAAAAAAAAACACGATGAAAAAACCGCGACGCAGACACGCAACGCAGTCAACATTTCCCAAAATTTCGAATATTCTATGATTTTTCAAAAAAAACCGCGACGCAGACACGCAACGCTTTCAAATACATATTTACCAAATTGTTTGTAAAGCCGCGACGCACAACCGCAACGCATGCCACTTTTCCCAGAAATTTCGAATATTCTATGATTTTTCAAAAACCGCGACGCAGACACGCAACGCTTTCAAATACATATTTACCAAATTGTTTGTAAAGCCGCGACGCACAACCGCAACGCAGTCAATTTTTCCCAGAAATTTCGAATATTGTATGATTTTTCAAAAACCGCGACGCAGACACGCAGCGCATCAGGAAAATGGGATAATTTTGGAGCCGCGACGCAAGCACGCAACGCTCTCAAATTTTGTGAAATAAATTTAATGGCCGCGACGCAGACACGTAACGCTCTCAAATTTTGTGAAATAAATTTAATGACCGCGACGCAGACACGCAACGCACTCAAAACTATACAAATTCAAAGCTTCACCCTGCTCTGCTCTTGAAGTGAACAACAATTCATGGCCGAGTCGGTTTCTAGTCCCCCGCCAAATTCAAATTCTTCCAGCTCTCCTCACTGATCTTCCTTCTCCTCCAAACTTCCAAATTCGAATCCCTGGATGCATTTTTGCTCAAAAGAATTTTCAACGCCTCCCAACTTTTGGCCGGCTGCACGGGACCCTGTCTATTTTTCTATTCATCCGGTGAAGTTCGACGAATTTTCCGAACTCGAAAATCACTATTGACTTCCAGTAACTTCTTGAAGACCACTAATACAACAGCAATTCAAGTGCAATAATTTATTTATTTATTTTTATTTAAAGCAAAAAAAAAACACACTAATATGAGCAATGGATGAAAAATCAATCAATAAATTAAGAAAGAGAAAGTGAAAATAAAATACCGTGTTGTTGTCCTATTTGGAGACTTTCCATACCAATTTTTGGCATCTAATATATTCAGCCAAATGCAAAGTGACTTGTTCTATCGAATTTTTGCTCATTGTGAAGGTCAGGCGTTCTTTCGGCGATTCTTCTTCGATTTGAGCCGGCCGGAAAATTGTGAGCATGAAATCTTGTTGAAATTGGCCGAATGTGGAGAGGGTGTTGTAGGGAATTGTGCGAATGACGTCCTGGAAAATGGGAGAAATTCAGAGGGTTTTTGGGATTTTCTGGGACATTTTTGGCAAGATTTGAGAAATTTCGCGTTCTAGAAAAATTCAAAAAATCCACAAAAATTCAAATAAACAATTATTTTGTTCGTTGAAAATTTGAAGTTCCAGAAAATTTCCAGAGTTTTCTAAAAATCCCAAAATTTGAAAATTTCTAGCTTATAGTAAAAAAAAATATTTCCCAAAAAAAAATTCACTGTTTCACACAAAGATAATTTTTGAATTTTGAAAACCTATTCAATCCTTCTTTCATTCGGGTAAAAAATCCCAGAAAATTAACTGTTTCAGAAAAAATCTATCAAATTTTTGGATTTACAAGGTACAATTCTGATTTTCAAAACTCGGAAAAAAATTATTTTTCGAAAAAAAAATTTCACTGTTTCACAAAAAAATATGAAAAATTTGAATTTTCCCAAAAAATTGTTCATTAAAACGATTTTTTGTCTGAATTTTTCACACTAAAAAAATTTGCTGTTTCAAAAAATCCTCAAAAATTCATGGATTATTTAGCTTTTTTGATGGGACTGAATTTTCGTCGAAATTGTAAGAAAACTGAAATTTTCAGTGTCCTCAAAAATTTGCTGTTTCAAAAAATCATTAAAAATTACTTCATAAAAACGATTTTTGATGCGACAGTAAGGTATTCTCAATTTTCTCCCACAAAAAATACGTTTAAAATTTTTTTAAAAATTCATGGATTATTTAGTTTTTTTGTTGGGCTTGGCTGAATTTTTTTGTTGAAATTTTAGGTAAACCGAAATTTTCAGTTTCCTCAAATATTTGCTGTTTCAAAAAATCATTAAAAATTACTTCATAAAAACGATTTTTGATGTCATGATTAATTATTCAGACAAAAATATGTTTTCAAAAATTCCAGAAAAAAATACGTTTCAAAAAATCCCCAAAATTTTATGGGAAATGAGTTTTTCAGCAATGACATTATTTTTAATTGAAAAAATCACTAGTTTTTACGCTCAATCCCCAAATTCCACAATGTTTTCCCCGAAAAAACTCACAAAATGCCTGCGATCAATCAAATGAACAGCGGTATCACAAAGTGCCAAATAAATCTTCCTCTCATTATTCGTTCGCATCGCCGCTTCATGCAAATCACATCCAAAAAGTGGCCATTTTGATAGCACTTGAATAATCAATCGAATCGCCTCATTTTCACTCATTCCATACAATTCCGACCAATTTGTGTGGATTTGTGAGCGTAGACTTTTGATGCACGAAACTTCGAGCATTTTTCGCGGATAACATCGTTGACTGATGAATTCGAATTGTTGATCTGTGATGTTATTTGGAGGAGAATCGCCGAAGGCAAGTTGAGCATATAAAGAGGCCAAACTATCACATAATTGATTGCTTAACGGAATTCGACCCATCACAATTTCTTCAGCCGATCTCCAGACAAGAAATTGGCGTTCGATTGGAGTTTCGGTTGGTGTCTGGAAAAAATTGAAATTTATTTATGGGATGGGAAAATTGTTTCAGGATTTTTTAGAACATTCCCATACTCAGTTTATCGATCAAAAAGAGAGAAATGTTGAAGATTTATTTGAAATTTGAAACAGTGAGTTTTTGGTACAATTTTAATATGAGAAACTTTTTTCATAAACTTATCAAATTTTCGAAAAAGATGGGAAATTCGAAGAAATTTTGAAACAGTGAAATTTTTTTCAAGATTTTTGAAAATTATTTTTCCGCGTCGAATTTCAAAAAATAATTGACTGGGATCTATTTTTATGTAGAATTTTGATATGAGCAATGTTTTTGAGCTCAAATTCGTAACATACAATTTTTTTCATGAATATTGTGATATTGTAAACATTCAAAAAAAAAACAGAAAACTTTGAAGAAAATTTGAAACAGTAATTTTTTCTCAAAGTTTCATGGAATTTAATTTTTCGTAAAATTTTAATATGAGCAATATTTCGAGTTGAAAATTAAAATTTTTTTTGAGATGTGAACTTGAGCTTATAAAATTATTAAAAAATCTAGAAATATTGAAACGTGCAAGCATATTCAATTAAGTTTCAAAATATTTTAGAAAAATTTAAGAAATTTTTGAAACAGTGAAATTTCGAAGAATTTTTCAAGATTTCAAACACATCAATTTTGAACAGAAAATTTTATGGATGGAAAAAAAAAAAAAATTCAGAAAAAAAATTGCCTGGGATCTATTTTTATGTAGAATTTTGATATGAGCAATGTTTTTGAGCTCAAACTCGTAAAATTCATTTTTTTGTTATAAGCATTGTCAGCACATCAAATTTCAAAAAAACATTTCGAAGAAAATTTGAAACAGTGAATTTTTCTCAGTTTCATGGAAATTAAATTTTCGTAAAATTTTAATATGAGCAATGTTTTTGAGCTCAAATTCGTGAAATTCAATGTTTACATAAATATTATGATATTAGTAAGCTTATCAAATTTTCAAAAAAATGTAGAAATTTTGAAACAGTGATTTTTTTTTTGAGATTTTCGAAAATTATTCTTCCATGCAAATTTTCAGACCAAAAACTATCTGAAAAATTTTTTTGATACAATTTTAATGTGAGAAACTTTTTTTCATTAATTATCAAATTTTCGAATTAAAAGGAAAAAATGCAGAAATCTTTGAAGAAAATTTGAAACAGTTAATTTTTTTTTTTCCAAAAATATTTACTGGAAATTGTTTTTTGCAGAAAAACATTGAAATCATCAAATTTTAAGTTTTTATTGAAAAAATTATGAAAATTTAGAAACAGTGAATTTTTTTTCCAAAAATATTTGCTGGAAATTATTTTTCGAAGAAATATAAAGAAATCATCAAATTTTAAGTTTTTATTGAAAAAAATTATGAAAGCTTTGAAACAGTGAATTTTCCAGAAATCATAAGTGGAAAAATTCTCAAAGGCTCTTGCCACGTGGATTTTCAGACCAAAAATTTGACTGAAAATCGTATCAAATATTCGAAAACAGTGGGAAATTTCATAGAAAAAAAATTTTTAACACATGCATAGAATTGATCAAATTCTCAAAAATTCAAAAAATTTTGAAGAAATTTTGAAACAGTGATTTTTTTCCAAAAACATTTACTGGAAATTGTTTTTTGAAGAATTTAACAAGAGAGAATTGAATTTACAAAATTTGTTTTGAAAATTTATGAAAACTTTGAAACGGTGACTTTTTGAAAATTTTCGTGAAATTTCAGACAAAAAAAGGCTACGAATCGATTCTGTGAACTTATCAAATTCTCAAAAATTCAGAACATTCTGAAGAAATTTTGAAACAGTGAATTTTTTCCCAAAAAATATTGACTGGAAATTGTTTTTTGAAGAAAAAAATAGAATCATCAGATTTTGAGTTTCTATTGAAAAACATTATGAATTCTTTGAAACAGTGAATTTTTTTTTGCAAAAATATTGACTGGAAATTGTTTTTTCGTAGAATTTTAACAAGACAGAATTGAATTTACAAAATTTGTTTTGAAAACTTATGAAAACTTTGAAACAGTGAATTTTCCAGAAATCATAAGTGGAAAAATTCTCAAAGGCTCTTTCCACGCGGATTTTCAGACCAAAAATTTGACTGGAAATCAAATGAAATTCTCAAAAACAGTGGGAAATTTCATAGAAATTTGGAAAACAAAATAATAGAATATTTATCAAATTCTCAAAAAACGCTGAAGATTTTGAAGAAATTTTGAAACAGTGAATTTTTTTGTTCCAAAAATATTTACTGGAAATTATTTTTTGAAGAAAAACAATGAAATCATCAAATTTTAAGTTTTTATTGAAAAAATTATGAACATTTTGAAACAGTGAACTTTTTTTCCCACAAAATATTGACTGGAAATTGTTTTTGTGGACACAAAAAGAATTATGAATCAAACTTCAGAATTTTTTTGCAAAACATTTTGAATTCTTCGAAACAGTGAATTTTTGAGTTCTCCCAAATCTCCCCCAGAAAAACAAAAAAAAACGTACCAAATGTGTCCAATAATGTCGCATTCTCAACGACAACGCGGCCGCACAATCCACCGCAATCTTTCCCCGCTGAACATCTCTCGATTTCGTCTCCCAAATCATCAGCGCATCACACAGCTTCTGCTTGCCTTTCAACAATTGAACACATTGAGTTAGCGGATCTTCGATATACAGTGCATAACCACTCAAAAGTGCTGGCCTCATTCCAAGTTTCAAACAAAGCGAGCTCAAACATTGTCCAATTTCGGTGCTCCCATCAAATTCCACAATTTGATATTCGGAATTTGGCAATCTGACGCTTATTGAATGCGGGAATTTGGTTTTGGTAACATCTCGTGTTAGAACCGAAGTTACTTCAAGTCGACTCGGACCTTCTTGTCTTCCACCAACTCTGAGGCATTTATCCAGCGCAACTTCACAATAAATCGCCATTCGAGTTTCATCGCTATCATTTCTGCAAAGAAAAAAAAAATTTGTTTGAAGAAAAAAAGCCGCCGGCGAAATACTGAACAAAATTTGCGAGAGAGTGAGAGACGCCCTTATAGCTCAGTGGCAGAGCGTTGGTCTTGTAAACCAAAGGTCCGTAGTTCAATCCTGCGTGAGGGCAAAACATTTTTTTCTTTTTTTTTATTTTAATTTTTTTGCTAGTGGTTTTCGAGCTAGACAATTTAATAGACTCGGAATTTTTAAAGAACAATTTTTGCCACGTGGAAATTGAAAAATGAATTTTTTTGGTAGATCATTTTCAAGGCTGAAATAATTTCAGAAATCAAAATTGTTTTTTTTTTCTGAAAAAAAAATGTGCCACGTTTTCGAACATTTTGCCACGTGGATTTTCCAGATTTTTTCAAAACCTCCAATTCTGAAAATCCAGAAAAAACTCAAATTTTCTGGAAAAAACGTTGCCACGTGGCAAATTTAGTACCAAAATTCTCACAAAATTGAGCTCTTTTCAAATTTTCAGATTCTGGAATTTTTAGAGCTCAAACTCAGTGGGAAAACCCTGCCACGTGGATTTTCAGCACATTTTTTGACAAAAAAATTTACTTGAATTCATAATCTTCGGAAAATTCAAAAATTCTCAATTTTTTTAAAGAAAAAAAATGCCACGTGGCAAATTCGGTATCAAAATGCTCACAAAATTGTGCTCTTTTCAAATTTTCCAGAAAAAATTCAGGTATCTACTATATACTAATTGGGAAAATTTTTTTGGCAAGAGTCTGTCCGCGGTCCGTTCTCAAAACTGTGCGCATAAAAACTGATGATCAAAAAAAGAAAAAGTTTCTAAATGGTGGCACAATGATGCGCGTTTCAAAAATTCTCCCTCTAAATGTCTGTGGGTGCGCGGAGAGTGAAAAGTTTGAAAACTCCAATGTATTTTTCGATTTTAACATGTGTCGCTCGACTTTTCTCAATTTCCAGAAGACCATTTTTGATGGGACCTTCACCATTCGATCTAAAATTCTTTCCCATCGATGCGCTAATATTCAATTTTTCAAAAAATGCGCGAGTTTTAACGTGAAAAATCAAAACTTTTTTCATGTAAAAAAGAATGATCACGTTTTTATTCCAAAAAAATTAAAGGGCACGTTTCTTATCTGATCGTTCTATTCTCTGAAAAAGTCAACAATTTTTAGCCATTTCTCAATGTTTCTCTTTCCCTAACCGGAAAATAGATTAATCAGAAAAAGTAAGTCAAACTACTGTAGATGGCGGTAGCCAGCGAAGCCCTTCTAGTAAATTTTTAGAGCTCAAACTCAGTGGAAAAAACCTGCCACGTGGATTTTCAGCACATTTTTTCGAAAAAAAAGTATTCACCTTTGAAAATTCTCAATTTTTTCCAAAAAAAAATTGCCACGTGGCAAATTTAGTACCAATATGCTCATAAAATTGTGCTCTTTTCAAATTTTCTAAAAAGTTCAGGTATAAATTTTTAGAGCTGAAACCCATTGGAAAAAAAACCTGCCACGTGGATTTTCAGCACATTTTTTTTCGACAAAAAATATTCATCTTTAAAAATTCTCAATTTTTCCAAGAAAAAAATGCCACGTGGCAAATTTAGTACCAAAATTCTCACAGAATTGTGCTCTTTTCAAATTTTCAGATTCTGGAAAAAAACCCTGCCACGTGGATTTTCAGCACATTTTTTTCGACAACAAATATTCACTGGGATTCATAATCATCGGAAAATTCAAAAATTCTCAATTTTTCCAAAAGAAAAAATTGCCACGTGGCAATTTCGGTATCAAAATGCTCACAAAAATGCTTGTGCTCTTTTCAAATTTTCAGATTCTGGAAAAAACCTGCCATGTGGATTTTCAGCACATTTTTTGACAAAAAATATTTAGCTTTGAAACTTAACGATTTTTTATAAGAAAAAATTGCCACCTGGCATATTCGCTATCAAAATGCTCCCCAAAAATCAGCAAAACTCACGGCATATCAGCCCATCTCGAAATATGCCTCTTCAACAACCACAACAACGAATACTGTTTGGGCAAGAACAGCGGCACAGTCAACGCCAACAATTTCCAGCCTTGTAAACCGAAAGGCATAGCTCCCGAAGTCAGGCGAATCAGCTGACTATAAACCTCATTTTTCAAAAATTCATTTTGAACCGCAGTCTGCAGAATATTCTGCGCAAGATCAATGTGATATTGCACAGCTTGTGGTCGCATCAAAACCGATACAAAAAGCTGACAAGCTTTCGAGATTTCCAGCGTCTTCTTTTTCTCTGAACTCTCCACTGTTGTCATTGTGTCTTTCGGAATCTCTTCTCCAGATGTTAGCAGCAAATCTTTCCAAAGTTCCGAATCATTTCCAACTGATTCAGCCATCATTCTTTGGACGAGAATTTCAAAGGGAGTTCCGGAAAGTGACGAGTTTCCGGATGCGGATTTCAGGTAGTACAACCATTTTTCTTTTTCTTCCGAGCCACGGAGCACAAGATACACGGGATCTTCGTTGGCGATCTGGAAAATGAGAAAATTTGGGTTATGACGTGGCAAAGTTTTCTTAAAATTTCAGAATCGGATTTTTGTGAATTTTGAAGCGAAATTTCTAGATTTTCTGGGGTTCATTCTGACTACAAATAAGCCACACCTATTATTTCGCTCGGGACAGTTTTTCAGGAGTTTTCTGAGCTAAATTTGGTCAGAAATCCTAATTTTCACAGAAAATCAATAATTTATGGTCAATTTTTCGATAAAAACCAGAATTTTTGAACAATTTCACATTTTCGAATCAATTTCACATCAAGAAATCTTAGATTTCAAAATTTCAGCTGAAAAATTCGAATTTTGAGATTTCTGAACAATTTTACATCGAAAAATTATATGAAAAAATTATATATAGAAATTTTGAAACAGTAAATTTTTTCTAAAAATTTTTTCTGACTGAAATTTTTTTTCTTGATTATTTCTGAAATTTTGAGCCCTTATGTTAGGTTTAACAACTAACTTACAAACTTTTTAAATTTTTCTGGATTTTTTAAAGCTGAAAATTCCAGAACTTGCGCTAATTTTTCTGCCCAAAATCCAAATTTCACAATTTCTGAAAAATTTTTCATCAATCTTAAATCTTTATACCAATTTTTCATTGTTTTTAATCGAAAAATCCGAATTCTTGATATTTCTGGTCATTTTTGATTCACAAATTCAAATTTCACAATTTTTGACCAATTTTTAATCAAGAATCCAAATTTTTGAGATTTTTGAACAATTTTTCATTGAAAAATCCGAGTTTCACAATTTATGAACAGTTTTTAGCCTAAAAAAATCCAAATTTTTGATATCCTGGCCTATTTTTTCATGAAAACTCAAATTTTCGACCAATTTTTAGTTTAAAATCCAAATTTCCCGAATTTCTAAACATTCTTAATCGAAAAATTCGAATTCTTGATATTTCTGGTCAATTTTTGATTGAAAAAAAATAAGATTTCACAATTTCTGAACAACTTTTAACCAAGAATCCAAATTTTTGAGATTTTCAGACAAATTTTCAGTCAAAAAAATCCAAATTTTTGATATTTCTGGTCAATTTTTCACCAGTTTCACAATTTCTGACCAATTTTCAGCAGAAAATTTCGAATTTTTAAGATTTTCAGATCAATTTTTCCCCACAAACTTTTCAAATTCCTGATATTTTCACCCAAATCCCCTTCCCAAAACTCTCCCCGTACCTGTATACACAAGCTATCATTACTCTTCCTCGAATTCGGATGTTCTCCTCCTCTCACAATACTCTGTTGTTCATCACTACTTCCACTATCCTCAATTCCATCCTGTTTTTCGCTAATCTGCGCACCTTGCAAACACAAAAACCCGCCATTCGGCACCAAATCATTGGGATTTTTGAAAAACATCAATTTCTGATTGACCAACGCGGCGAATACTTTTTTCGAATGTCCACATCTGACACGTGTCAACCAACCATTTATCGATGAATCGATTGGTGTTTGGCGACTTGCCAAATCTCGAAGTGTTGTTGCTTTTATAGTCGAACTTATGATTTGAACCCAATCATGTGTCGTTTTTTCACTTTCAGTCATGAAATTCATTTTGTCGGTGGAAGTTATTAATTGAAATGCGTAAGTGGCGCCTTGTTGTTCTAATTTTGCAATTGATCGAATTTCGGTGACATTTATTTTGAGGACAGGTTCATCGTCGCGATTTTTCTGCAAAAAATGAGTTGGGTAGATCAAAAAATGTCTAGTTTTTCGAGTTTTTCAGTCAAAAATGATGACAAATCGAGATTTTTGAAGCTTCTGGAGTGATTTTTGATGAAAAAATAGAAAAAATCAGCAAAACCTTCTGAAAAATAAATTCCAAAGTCAATTTTCATCAGAAATCACACCAGAAGCTTCAAAATTCCCGATTTTTCATCATTTTTGGCTGAAAAACTCGAAAAACTAATTTTGACCTACAATGTTTTTTCGATGTTAAAATTTTTTAAAAACATTTTTTTGTCCATGAATCAGCCCTAATTAAAAACAAACAGCTACTGTATTTAAAAAAGCTGATTTAAAAAAAAAATTTTGACCTACTGTAGATCAAAATTTCGCGTCAAACTCAAAAACCTCCAATTTTTTGTCGGAAATTCAAATTTTCCGAATTCGGAGCAAAAAATCTGGATTTTTCGAAAAACTAAAAATGATTGACCTGAATTTAAATTAGCGTCAAGATTTGAAAAAAATTCAGAGCAAATTTTGATCCAAAAATTTAGGCATTTTTCAAAAAATCTAGAATTTCCGCTATGAAAAAAAAATTCGAAATTTCTGGAATCTGAGAGAATCAAATTTTCGCAGTCAAAAACCCCAATTTTTGAAGAAAATTCAAATTTTTCAAATTCGCCGCCGAAACTGGATTTTTGAAAAACTGAAAATGATTAATTTTAAATTCAGAGCAAATTTTGATCCAAAAATTTCGGAATTTTTCAAAAAGTTTTAATTTTACAATTTTTTTTTTGCTAAGAAGCTAGAGTTTTCGCTATGAAAATAATTTTACTAAATTTGAATTCAGGTCAAAATTTCCAAAAAAAAATCGAAATTTCGCAGTCAAAAACACCAATTTTTGTCGGAAATTCAAATTTTCGGAATTTGGATTTTTGAAAATCTAAAAATGATTAACCTGAATTCAAATTAAGCTCAAGATTTGAAGAAATTTGAAGCTAAAAAAATTCGAAACTTTTTCAGAAAAGCTAGAGTTTTCGCTATGAAAATAATTTACCCAAATTTGAATCCAGGTCAAAATTCAAATTTTCCGGGCCAAATCTGGATTTTTGAAAAAAACTAAAAATTATTAATTTCAAATTCAGAGCAAATTTCGATCCAAAAATTTCGAAATTTTCAGAAAATCTAGAATTTTCGCTACGAAAACAATTTCCCTGAATTCAAATTTCCCCCAAAAAACTCACCCTATAAAAACTCAAACTTCCATTCCTCAACACCACAAATCTCCGCTTCAACGATTTAATCCTCGAATCCGTCAACATTGTCCAATATCCACTTTTCTCCAGTGTCTCCTTCGATGAAACCAACGAACTTCTTTCCTGCGATGAGCAACAATCATGAATCGCATACGCTTCAAGACTCGATCCAATTCTCGACGATTTTCTCGAATGCGGTGATTCAGTTCTATGGCTTGAGATCCTTGAAACATGATACGGCGAAACCGAAGAAGTCCCCTCCGAATCCGCTCCATCACAAATACTCAAACATTTCTCCGCGGCTAGAATCAATTTACTCTCCCATTGTCGTTTTGGTGGATTCTGATGGAGCGGCAACGCTGGCGGAACATCTGACGAATTCCGATGCTTAACAATCTCCGAATATTGCACTTTATCATCTTTGATCTGTACAAATTCATTGAGATTCACATAATCCACATTTTTCGATTTGTGAAGAGTTCCAGAGCCCCGCGCATCCATAATCTCATCAAATTCCTCCTCTTCCCCGATATCATATTCATAATCATCATTTAGACTATCCCGTTCGATTTCTGAACCTTGACTCTGTCCAACGATCCTCCGCGGTAACGGCATGGGTTTCTCCTCACATGGTGAAGATTCAGAAGAGGATGAGCCCTGAACTCCTCCAGCTCCACTTCCAGATGTCTTCTTCGATTTCCGTTGAGATCTCGGAGTTGTGACACATTCCGAAATGCTCACACTCATCTGACAAATCTTCACACGATTCTCGGGATCATCTGAAGTCAATCCACTGTCGTCTGAAGTGCGATTCTCATCTCGAATAATCGGCAGCGTTCCGGTGATGCTTCGCGACATTTCCATATCGGCTTTGATTTGTCGCGATTTTTCGGTGAAACTTCGCAACATTTGAAGTTGCGTTGTGCAACGGAGATTTTGAGCGCGAAGGCGTTCGTTTTGATCTTCGAGCTGCAAAAAAATGAGAGATTATTGAGAGTGTGAGAAAGTTAGAGACGCAGAGAAGCATGGTGTTTTGGCGGGAAAAAATAGCATTTCAAATTTTTTGAAAGAAAATTAGAGAGTATGGGAGTGTTAGAGACGCAGAGAAAAATAGTGTTTTGGCGGGAAAAATAGAATTTCAAATTTTTTATAGAAATATTAGAGAGTATGGATTTGTTAGAGGCGCAGAGAAAAATGACTAGATTTTGGCGGGAAAACTAGGGATACTGTAGATCAAAATTTGAAGTCAAAAATTCAGAAAATTGCCACAACAGCTCAGGATTTTGTAGATCAAATTTTCGCGCTAAAAATCCTAGAAAATTCGAGCCAAATTTTTTTGTAGATCAAAATTTCCTAGAAATTAGGGTAAACAAAAATTCAATTTTAAAATTTTCAAAATTCAAAATTTCGCTTCAAAATTCCTCTTCCACATACAAAATCTCGCTGAAAAATTTCCGAATTCAAAAAAAATTCAAAATTTTCGGAAGCTCATAAAACTACTGATTAGAAAAAATTGATAATTTTTTTCTATTTTTTCTAAAAAAAATTTCTGGCGCCAATTTTTCTTCTTCAAAACAAAGCAGGTCCAACTGAAGAAGGAAAAAGCCACTTTTTCTTATTCTCAGAGAGAAAAAAATAACATAAAATATGAATGTCTCTTTTCTTCTTCTTCTTCTTATTTTTTGTGTGTCACAGAGCAAAAAATTCGGACTGGGAGAAGAAGGAAACCATTTGTCAAAAAACAACAGAAAAACTCTCCTCTGGGCCACTTTTATTTTTTGAGCCAACAAAAATTCGGAGAAAAATGAGCCAGAGAAAAAATTTCAAATTCAAATTGTACCTCAAAAAATTCTACGAAAAAAAGAAGAAGAAGAATAAGAAAAGCTACCACAAAAAAAAATGAAAATGGGCGAAAAGAAAAAAATTGGAATTGGAATTGGATGAAAAATAGTATATAAATTTTGAGAGACGCAGACATCGGATGAATTCCAGAAAAGACAAATTGAAGTTCATTTTTTTCCCTTTTTTGGGGAAGAATTTTGCTGCAAAGCGAAATTCGAGTAATTAGCCAATAAGGGAAGATGGAGAGGGAAGAAAAGAAATTTTTTTAATTTATTAACCGACAAAAATGTTAGATTTAATCTAGAAGAGAAGGCTAATTAGAAATGACTGGAAAATTGCATTTTTGGAATTTTTTTGGTAGGAAATGTTGTTGAAACTAGAAAAAAATCGAATTTTTGAAACAGTAAATTTTTCAGGCTCATGGAAAAATCTCTGACTTTTTAGGTTTCAAATTTTCTGGAAAATAGAATTTCATAAGTAATATTATTCCAGTGTTGACAGTTTGAATTCAACTCAAATCATCACTAAAATGGACTTTTAGAGAAAAATGATTACACCAATCGAGACTTGAAATTTCCATATATTTATGAAAAAATTTTGAAACAGTAAATTTTTCGGGTTCACAAAAAATCCCGAATTTTTTAAGTTTCAAATTTTTTGGAAAATATAATTTTATAAGTAATATAATTCCTGTGTTGACAGTTTAAATTCAACTAAAATATTCACAAAAAAATACTGCCACGTGGCAAAAAATGGACTTTTAAAGAACAATAATTACGACTATCGAGAATTGAAATTTCTATATATTTATGAAAAAATTTTGAAACAGTAAATTTTTTCAGGCTCGTGGAAAAAATCCCGAATTTTTTAGGTTTCAATTTTTTTTGGAAAATAGACAAATTTAAAGCCACGTGGCAAAAAAATCACGTTAGAAATTTTCAAAATTTTGAAAAATCGATAAAAATGCCCCGGGGAATATTCGAAAACTATATTTTAGAAGAAAAATCGAGAAAACTGTGCAAAAAATTTTACCCCAGGTGTCCAAAAACGTGGCGCAACTTGGTTCAAACTGGTACAAAACAAAAAATTTATTGGGTTTTTTTTTCATTGCAAATTTCTAACACCTGTCGGAAGTTTTTTTTTCGCAAAAAAATTGTGAGAAATGAAATAAAAAAAAAAGAAAAACCTTTCTTCCACCCAATAAAAATCGGGGCAATTAAATAGAAATGTTGATTTTTGTTGTCTCAACAAAAATCACTTGGGAACATTTTTTTCTGCTTTGAAACAAACATCTGGCGAGAAAAATCGAGGAGCTCACAAAAAAAATTAGAAATGAATACACATCTATACATTTTTAAGAAGTGCGCGAATTTTTTTTCGCGGAAAAAAAATTTTTTTCGAAAGAAAGACGCTGGCTTAAAGGGTAATTAAAGAGGAATTAGTCAAAATTTCGTCAAAATTTTTTTTGCAAAACAAAATTCGATCTAACTTTTCAACTTTTCCTAGAAAAATTCAATTTTCCAGGGATGAAATCAAATTTTTCAGTTTTTTTCAAGTTATCCTAACTAAATTCGTAATATTTCCCCATGAAAACTGAAAAAAATAAAAATGAAAATGAAAATTGAAATGCATTTAGAATTTTAAACGAGATGTGTCTATGTATTTTTACTTTACTATTTTGCATCTCCTCCAAAAGAACTACACAATTAGTTGTAATTATCCTCGTTTTTTCGAAAAAAATGGCGAAAAATCAAATAAAACTACAACAAGAGAGACGAAAATCCGGTTTTTCTAACGGGAAAAATATTGGCTTAGGGGTTAAAAGGATAGATTAGAGAGTTAGAGACCAGGGTTCGAGCCCCGGTGAGCGCACTAAATTTTATTTGTCAGGTTAAGTGGTTAGCTAGCTAGACTACCAAGTTAAAGACCAGGGTTCGAATCCCAGGGCGGTCTAAAAAAATTTCGTACAGTAAAAAAGTGGGGCAAAAATTCCTCAAATTTTCCCGAGAAACAAAAAAAAACCAAAAAGAACATCTGGATAACCAGGTGGCGGAGATTTCTCATTTCTCGATTAGAAAAAAAAAAGATTTCTCACACAGAGAGAAAAAAGGAACTTTTTGGGCGCTTATGAGGTGTGAATGAAGATAAATGAAGGTCAATCGAGGCGCCAAAAAACATTTTTTCAAAAAAAAAATGAAATAAAAATATTTGTTTTTCAAGAAACTTTGTGTAACATTAGATATAATTGGGTCAAAAAAAGTTTATTTTTATTTTTGATAAGATTTTTTTCTTCAAAAATATGTAGAAAAATCGTACAAAAACAGGGGGAAATTCAATATTTTTCTGTTGTTTTTTTCGAGAAAAAGAAGGAAACTCCAAGAAAAAACCAAAAAATAGAGAAAAATCGAAAAATGTTCGAGAAATACTCTAGGAAATGAGTGATGTGAGTAAGAAAAATTCCCAGTGGAATTTTGTGGCAGGATTTTGGAGTTTCAAAGTTTTTTTTAGGGGAGGAGGAACATTTTGGGATTTATTTCGCGAAAGAAAATAAGGAAATTTGATGAACCACTGGCAATAATAATTTTACAGTCTCCCCTAAAATGTTTCAAAAAATTCTGAAACAGTGAATTTTTTCAAAGGCAGGACTACTTAAACAAAATGATCGGGTCAAGAAATTTTTTCAAAATTTTTTTTGAAACAGTAAAAAAATCAGAAATTCTATTTAGGGAAGGAGGAACATTTTGGGATTTATTTTGGGAAAGAAATAAGAAAATTTGGGTTTTGAAAATTTTTTGGAAAATTTTATTTCAATCAACTATTTCGATGCATCACTTTTCACAATTTATCAAAAAAAATATATGAAATTTTTGAAACAGTAGATTTTTTCGTTGAAAAAAATATGAAAATCTATAAGATTTTTGGAGGAACACCACTGGTCTTAATAATTTTACAGTCTCCCCCTAAAATATTTCTAAAAATTTTGAAACAGTGAAAAATTTCATTCATTGTTCAATTAATTTTCAAACTTTCTCAGAAAATTTTTGGCTTGAAAAAAATATTTTCCGGCAAAACTGAGCCGTATTACTTCCATGAAAATCTTCTAAAATTGATAGATTTTTTGAAACAGCAATTTTTGGGGAGAATACAATAAATGGTACGATTATCCCTTTTCAAACTCCCCCTAAATTATTTCTAAAAATTTTGAAACAGTTAATTTTTTCATACAAAATGATAGGAGCAAGAATTTTTTTCAAAATTTTTTTGAAACAGTAAATTTATCTGAACAAAATCCTGGCGGAAAATTCAAAAATCCAGATTCCGAGCCAGAGAAAAATCTCAAAAATGCTCCAAAAGTGCTCGGAAAAATATAAAAGTGAGAAAATGTTTGCTTGCGCACATGCGTAAAAATCCCATATCCATTACTTTTTCATTAAAAATCTTCGAAAAAAGAAATCCGATACTTTTTTTCCTGAAGCAAAAAAGATGGAAAAATGGACAGCGAGGAAATTCATCTAGTTTTTCCAATTTGATTTTACAAACATAAATAATCGGATCAAAATTCCAAATTCCAAATTTTTTTCCATAAAAAAAAACTTTTTTTCTCAAAAATTTTCATAAAGTTCTAGTTTTCGACAGAAGAAATTTGAGACTTTTTCCCGCCAAAAAAGGTCAAAAATGTGAACTAACCTCTTTCATCCGTTTGCTGACCCAATGTCGAATTCGAGACGATTTCGCAAAAATCTCCTCGTCTTCTGGTGAACGAAGTGGCGATGGACTGGCCGACGAATCACCCATCGACATTTTTGCTGGAAAATTTGAAGTTTAGATGAGAGAGTGGGGGATTTTGAGAGGGTAGTTAGAGAAGTGAGAGAAATTAGAGAGCACAGAATTGTAGGAGAGGTTCTAGAGAAGCTAGACATAATTTTCCGTGTTGGAAAATTAGAGAACACGGAATTTTAGGAGAGGTTAGAGAAGCCAGACATTCAATTTTATCATTTCATTAAAAAACACAGAACAACTCAAATATTCCCAAAAAAAAACAATAAAAATATTTTGAAACAGTGAATTTATAAAAATTATCAGAGCAATTTTTTTAAATTCAATTTGTAATTTCCAAAGAAAAATCTTCCGATATCAAATCAAAAACAAAATTTTACGAAAAATTCATATCAATTTTTTGAAACAGTGAATTTTTGGGAAATTTTTCAAGAAAGTCTAGAGTAAAAAAATCCAATTTTCTACTAAAAATCCACATTTTTTAGTAGAAAAGCCTCAAATAAAGCCACGTGGATTTTTTAGTTTTTTTTGAGCTATACATGATAACTTTTTTTTGCTAACGCGTTGATCTGGTTATTAATAACAACATTTTCCAAAAAATTCATACCAATTTTTTGAAACAGTAAATTTTCCAGAACAATTCCAGTGAAAATTTTTCTTGAGAAAAAACTTCACTAGAAATCAAATTCTAATTTGAAAAATCATGAGGCTTCAAAACTTTTGGGATTTTTTTTGTTATTATCTGCAGGGCTGCCGTTGATATCTGGGTATACCCGGGCACCACCCGGGTAAATCGAAAAATACCCGGGTATTGAGGCCCATCGACCTGGGTGTCAAATACCCGGGTTGGGTGTGGGCACCCTTAGGGCACCCTTGGGTATGATGCAAATTTTTGATTTTTTTTGTTCTGTTTAGCTATTATCCATGTTATTGGACGAATTTAGCTAAAAAATGAGTGATTTTTGATTGAAAAACTAATATGCAACAAAAACGATCGATAAAGTTCTATTTTATCGATTTGGTTGACTTCTAAAATAACTTAAAATGCATTATATTTTAGAAAAAAGAAAGAATATGATTTTCTTCGACACCAAATTACATAAAAATGAAAGAGTTCGTGATAAAATCAACCTTTGAGAGAATATGTGCTCATACTCAACTTATAGAAAGTCTTTTGTGTGTTTACAACACGAAAAATAGTAAAATTTCGAGAAAAAAGCTGATTTTTTGAAAGTTTTCTACAGATTAGACCAATTTTTCATGTTACTGACCACTTTTCATGAAAAAAACACAATTTCCAAAAAAAATTCGAAAATAAATTAGTACGAAAAATCAAATACGAAGGCCCATTTTGGGTATCTGGGTGTGCCCGGGTATACCCACCCGTTCTGTCATTTTTCAATGAAAATACCCACCCGGGTGTACCCGCCGAACTGTGGGTATTAGGGTGCCCTGTGGGTGCCCAAACGGCACCCCTGATTATCTGGATCCTGACCCATCAATGTTGAAAATCTCAAAAAATTCATATCAATTTTTTGAAACAGTGAATTTTTGGGAAATTTTTCAAGAAAGTCTAGAGTCAAAAAATCCAATTTTCAACTCAAAAACAATTCCAGAACAATTTCAGAAAATAATTTTTAAAGAAAAACTTCACAAGAAATCAAATTCTAATTTGAAAAATCACGGGGTTTTCAAAATGTCCTGCCTTGAATTTTTTGTGATAGTCTTACTTGGATCCGAATCCTCCATCAATGTTGAAAACCTCAAAAAATACATATTAATTTTTTGAAACAGTAAATTTTCTAGGGTCAAAAAAATCCAATTTTGTACTGAAAATCCACATTTTTCAGTAGAAAAGTTTTTGAAATTTTGAAATATGAGGTTTCCAAATTTTTATGATGTTTGTTTTTTATTTCTCCTCAACTAACAATCTCAAAAATCTTGAAAAATACATAAAATTTTTCTGAAACCTAAAAACTCCGGGATTTTTTTCAAGAAAACTATAGGGTTAGAAAAATCCAATTTTTCACCAAAAAATCCACATTTTCAGCCTGAAATAAAGCCACGTGGAATTTCATAGCTAGTTGTTTTGGAAATACTATATCAGAAACAAAATTTTGAAAAAAATTCATATAGATTTTTTGAAACAGTAAATTTTCCTGACAAAGAAAAATTCAAGTGAATAATTTTTCTGCAGAAAACTTCACAAGAAATCAAATTCTAATTTGAAAAATCATGAGGCTTCAAAACTTTTGGGATTTTTTTTTGTTTTTATCTAGATCCAGATCCTCCATCAATGTCAAAAACCTCAAAAAATTCATATCAATTTTTTGAAACAGTAAATTTTCTAGGGTCAAAAATATCCAATTTTCTACTGAAAATCCACATTTTTCAATAGAAATGTTGTTGAAAATTTGAAATATGAGGTTTCAAAATTTTTGTGATTTTTTAATTTTTCCAACACTCACACTCAACACTCACACAAACAAACAACACAACACAACATCAATGTTGAAAACCTCAAAAAATACAAATAATTTTTTTGAAACCTAAAAACCCCGGGATTTCCCTCAAGAAAGCTATAGGGTTGGAAAAATCCAATTTTTCACAGAAAAAAAAATGGAAAAACCCCATAGTATACATTATGGGAAAAACTAACGACAGGAAAAAGAACATCAATTTGTTTGGCTCATAAATTCTCGTTTTCTTGAGGCGAAAAGGTGCATGCAATTCATCACAAAAATTTATATATGGAAAAATTTTCAGGAAAATTCCTCCTGGTCCAAAAAAAACGCCCCGTCAAGAAAAAGTTCAATGAAAAAATTGTGCAAAAAGTGGTCAGAACAACAAATTGCGCCATTTCACTTGGTGTGTCCATGTCCACCCTCACAATTTTATATATAATTTCTCTGCGGCTCTCCCCAATTCCCACACTATTTCCCGCTGGTTTGGCAAAAGCTGAAGAGCTTTTTCCCCTCCCATTTTTAATCCTTTTCCCCCCTTTTTTCCCTTATCGAAACTCGAAATCTTACTTATACTTAGTTGGGAGAAAAAAAGAGAGAAGAAGGAAAAAATAATGTATTGCACAACAACATGCGAAAATTTGGAACGCGTTGAATTTTTTGGGGGATTTTTCGGGTGGTATAGGAACAAAATTGACTGTTTCAAAAAATAAACAAGATTTCTGGGAAAAATTTAACAAGCGATAAAATTATCAATAAGATAGATTTTAAGATTTTTTGAAACAGTGAATTTTTCAAGGAAAATTTTCATTGAAGTTAAAACATTGCCAAAAATCATCTCAAAAATTCATCAATTTTTGAAACAGTAAAGTTTACAAATATTCTTGGTGCAGAATTTATTGAAAATTTCCCGCAGCGGTTTGCAAAATCCTCCAGAAATTCAAAATAATTTTTTGAAACAGTGAATTTTTTCTCGTAAAAATATTCATCCCAATTCTACCCACAAATGCAGCATTAGCGATTCCAAAAATGTCATTAAAATTCTCATACAATTTTTGAAACAGTAGATTTTCCAGGAAATTTTGAACAAATTTTTTTCACAAGAGAAAAATTCGTGAGGTTTCAAAATGCCAACAATACTTTTAAAACAGTGAAATTTCATTTGAGATTTTGAAAATCTGGGACTTTTTTCAAAAAAAGAATAAAAGAGAAATCGAACTCTGAAAATGTCACTAGAATATCAATATTTTTTGAAACAGTGCATTTTTCGAGCAACATAAAAATATAATTTGCCTTGAAGTTAAAACATGCTCAAAAATAATCTCAAAAATTCATTAATTTTTTGAAACAGTGAATTTTTTCTCGTGAAAATATTCATTCCAATTTTTATCCAACAAAGGAGAAACTAGCGATTCCAAAAATTTCATTAAAATTCTCATACAATTTTTGAAACAGTAGATTTTCCCGGAAATTTTGAACAATTTTTTCTCACAAGAAAAAATTAAATACTTTTGAGAACTTGAAAATCTCGGATTTTTTTTTAAAAGGATTAACAAAGAGAAATCGAACTCTGAAAATGTCACAAAATAATCAATATTTTTTGAAACAGTGAATTTTTCGAAAAAAATAATGATATAATTTGCATTGAAATTAAAAGATTCTCAAAAATAATCTCGAAAATTCATTAATTTTTTGAAACAGTGAATTTTTCTGAAAACAAAAACTCGAAAATCTGGGATTTATTAAAAGAATTTCGGCAAAAAAGTATTGAAATTGTGAACAAAACTAATTTTTCAATACTACTCAAGATGGACTCATCAAATTCTGGAAATCACCTAGAAATTCATGAATTTTTTGAAACAGTTAATTTTTTTGAGAACAAAACTGTTTCACTAACTTTATTAGTTATCAATAAACCAATCAAATTAAAAAATTTCCAAAAAAAAATATCTAAATTTTTTGAAACAGTAAAATTTCATGGGGAAAAAATACAAAATTATTTTGGTTTATGAAATGGCATATAGAAAAAATTCCATATCATTGTCGAAAATTATTCGAAAAACATCTTTATTTTTTGAAACAGTGAATTTATTAGAAAACTTTTCTTTCTATGAGAAAATAAAATCAAACTCTAGACATCTCCCAGAAATTCATAAATTTCTTGAAACAGTAAATTATTTTTGAGAAAAAAAATATTTGCTGACTTTATCAGGGGGACGAGAAATATTTTTTGATAAACTTTAAAATTTATCCAAATTTTTTGAAACAGTGAATTTTCTGCATATTCCAGGTGGAAAAATATATAGGACCCAAAAAAAGCTACAAAATCCAACAAAAAAAAATGTCACTTGCACTTTCTCCCTGGCAAAAAAAATCTCCCTGGAAACAGAACATTTTCAAAAGTGTTCCCTGACTAAAAAATTGCAAATTTTTCGAGGAAAGCCGAAAAAACACTCGAAAATCAGGGGGGAATTCAATTTTTCATGGAAAGCTCAAAAAAAATCCGAAATTTCCGGTCAACTCAATAAAAACCACCCAATGAGTAAAAGGAAAATGGGAAAA